TATCGAGTAGACGTAAAAACATCTGTAAGTCGCTATGAATGTTAGTAATGTCTATAAGCGCTATAGAATACTTTTAAGGAGAAAAAGATTATATTATTTAAATAGCACCATGCTGATAATCCGGATATAGTACGAATTTTCCTTACTTACGTTTTGTTAATTCACATTTCTGGATAATTATTCAGCTGCAACTAAGAGGAGGCAATAATAAGGTAATTGGAATAATTAAAGGTTATCCATGTTTTTACACACTAAATGTTTAGACTAACGCTACCGTTCATTAACAATCTTATCAATTTTATATTATCTGTAAATGTCGGCATAAATGAATTTAATTACAATGTTCTTCTTAAGGACTATTCTAAAGACAGCTACCGGCATCATCGTACTAAAAGTAATGATGAAGTTGAGAGAAATAATGTTCCTAAAGTGGTATGCAGAATACTAAGATTGAATTCGTAGTCAAGAGGATGATTGATCATCTATATAGATACAGATCTCTAATGATAAGATAGAAAATAATTTAAAGTAGAGCAATATCGAAATTATCTCCTTCTAAACATTGAATATAATAATAATAGAGAATTATATCATTTCAGGCTGCGCCAAATCGAGCACGTCATAAAACTGTACCTAATAAAAGCTTTAAAATAACCATAATGTTTTACCACCGGTAAAGAAAGCTAATGGGACAGAGAAGCAAATTAAACCAAAACCGAAAGTTCTTCCTAATATAAAATCGAAAAACGAAAACTCAAAATCACCGGATGATGACCTTAGATCTCCCGTTGCTGTAGAAGATAGCCACATAGATGAACGTGATGGCGATAACCATCAAGAAAAAATGGATAAAAGTCGAACTCCGACACCTTACAGTGATAAATTCGATAGTGAACACAGTAGTAAACACTCTAGTAGAGCTGTAACACCTGATGATCAAAAATCGATGCATGATGACAATTTAATGAATGGTGCTACGAGTTATAGCGATGATGAGCATCATGAAACTGACGATGCTCTAAATAAGAAAGAAGGTGTTAGCGAAAATCATGATGATAGGGATCGGCAGTTAGAGCTACTTGAGGACGCAAAATCTGAAGCCAGGAGCAATCAGCCTTCACCAGTTGATGATCACGAAACGAATCGCGAAGTATATGATGATCAGGATAAATTGGCTGATGAAGACCTTCACGATGTAAATAAAACTCAACCTGTCTCAGCTGATGATCATGATCAACCAGATAATCAAGATCAGATTGAAAATCAAGGTCAGTTTGAAAATCAAGCTCAGTCTGAAAATCAAGATCAGCCTGAAAATCAAGATCAGCCTGAAAATCAAGATCAGCCTGAAAATCATGATCAACTAGATATTCAAGATCAGGCTGAAAGTCAAGATCTGTCTGAAAAGCAAGATCAGCCTGATAATCAAGACCAGGCTGAAAATCATGATCAACTAGATAATCAAGATCTGGCTGAAAATCAAGATCAGTCTAAAAATCAAGATCAGTCTGAAAATCAAGACCAAACTGAAATTCAAGACCAGGCTGAAAATCAGAATCAGTCTGAAAATCAAGATCAGACTGAAATTCAAGACCAGGCTGAAAATCAGGACGAAACTGAAATTCACGACCAAGTTGAAAATAAAGATCAGGTTGGAGACCAAGAACAGGCAGATAATCAAGATCAGAATGATAATGTGGCTGATGAACAGCAGCAGGAAGATAATAAGAGCAATCATGATCAAGATTTAGCAACTGCAAACGAAAACCATGGACATATCCCTTCAGATCGTAGTAATGCTGGTAGTCGCTCCAGTGGTGGAAATCATAACAGTCATAGCCATCGTAGCGATGATGACAACAAACATAGTAGCCATCACAGCAGTCATGGAAATAGTAGTCGTCGCAGTAGCCATAGCAGTCATCATAGTAAGAAAGAAAATGAATCAGTTCATGGAGATGGCAAAAATGAAGATTCTAAGGAAGTAGATGATCAGGATAAAAAATCGGTAAAGGAATAAATATAAGGCTTTATTTTTAAGTATTTAAGTAAAGTCTTGAAGAGAGTTGGACGATTAGATTAATTTGATGATCAATATTACTATTTCATAACGAATACAAAAATAGGATGTTCCTGAATCGACAAATTTTGATCCTGATGATGATGCTAAAATTTTGTATCATGCCTTTGGTGATTTGGGTAGGCGATAATAATATTAGAATTCAATCGAATAGTATATACTGCTGCATTTTTAGGAGGTTAAATTATCTTATAATGTGATAAAATATAAAATAAATTATTTTAATGTAATATAGTGAAGTGCGAATAATGATATTTTTTGCATAAATTATCATACGAATGATTAGATTCAGGTGGTGATACCATAGTTGATCTGCTGGGAGAAAGAAGACGAGACCAACGAATACAAATTTCTAAAGCATATACTTCAAAATATTCACAGGCAAGAACGGATTTAAATGGTTATCATTTGTTATTTGATTTTTTCTTACCTAGAACTATTTAAAATTTGTTAGGATTTATTAAGCGATACTAAAGTTGAATTGGGAGGTGATTATACAGAGCTTCTTAACGTGATGCTAACGGAGAAATCAGAATACGATGCAAAGGCGCTTCATGATGCAATTCAGGTTTGATGATTGATTGAATCTATGGGTAAACTTAGATTGAGATCGATATGTACAGTAGATGAAAGCTCGATTCTAGTCAATAGCCTTATGTTTTATTAGACTAATACACACTATTTCGATATTGAATTAGGGAAGTGGAAATAGAGCATCTGTTATGATTGAAATTGTTTGCAGTAGAACATTTTTGGTAAGGATTATTTATTATTTATAAATGTTAGTGTCAAACCGTAGGTCATTTGCAAATATATCTGAAATTGGTATGCTCAGCATTGTAGTAATATAGAATACCATATATAATGCTGGTTATAAATTTATTGAATAGGAATTACAAGCAATTGCTGAAGTATATGAATCTGAGTTTGGTATGACATTGGAAGCGAATCTATCTGGAGATCGCCAGTCTAGAATAGGAAAACTCTTGACATCATTTATTACGGTATAACTTATAGCTAATATAGTGAATGCTTGCATAGCTTGTGCCGATAGTCGTTACCCTAATGTGGATGTGCTACCAAAAGCTACACCAATTTTACTTATACAGCGCTTGCATTAATTAATTATTCTTCAGACAAGGAGAGAAATCAATGATGTTGTGGATGAGTCCGCTGTTAAAGATGATGTTCGTCAGTTGCTTGAGGTGAGCACAAATTCTTATTAGACTATAGTACGATAGTGGATACAATGAAGGTGAAGTTGTTTTCTCTTTCTCTCTCTATGAGTGGATATTTGTAAACAATTTGAATGTATTTCGATAAATATTCCTAAGTTTAATGGTACATAGTGCCGTATCAATGAAATGATATCATGAGAGGAACTTAATTATTCATATTAATTAATCGATAACTGATCTATGAAGGCCGACAATGAAGATTGGGCATCAGATAATTCCAAATTGAATACCACATTGTCAACACGAAACTTTAATCATATCAGGGAAGTTTGTAATCATTTTAAAGAGGTAACGTCATAAATTACTTAATGAATAATTCGATAATTATACGGGTATATGAGATATACCGGTACATGCATATTGAATTTAATCATAATACATTTGGATAACGTCTAGGAAAGTACCACTGGGGATATTTATCAAACTGTTGATGAAAAAATTCAAAGCCCAACTAATGAGAGTTTAAAGTCAATCCTTAAATGTGTAACTGATACACCGGGTTATTTTGCTGTCGTGTTACATGCTGCCATTAATGAGATGGATTTGAAAACCATTTCAAGGGTGATCATAACTAGACATGAGGTTCGATAAGATCGGAATTATAAATGCTTAATGCATTAAATATCGTTATGTTGTGAAAGCCACATTAAAATCAGATTTAATACTATGATAGTATTTACTAATATGATCGACTATCTTTTAAACTCTAGCAGGTAGAAAAGCTTGTTAAAGTAATTGTAACTGATGTGAAATTTGTTTTGATGCAGGTCGATCTAGATGATATCAAAATCGCTTACGAACAGAAGTATGATGCTGAACTAATTGATGATATTCAAGATAATATTATAACTGATAGTCAAATTATGCTCTTGAAAATGCTACTTTAAGTTTCAGGCGTATCTATTGGCAATTACTTCGTATAGGTAATTTGGATTGTATGTATGATGATACTCTAAATTTATCTACAATGTTACCCTTGTACAGTACATCGTTTAATAATTATAATCATATTATCATTTACATATTACTAAGTAAAAGTAATCCTGTTAAGTTGGAGTTAACATTACGTTCTTTTTAACGAATCTATCACAAAAGCTTGAACATGATATATCCAAACAGAAATGTAATATTTTACATCTGATTTTTTCTAATGTTTTACATAGAAAACAAATAATTTCTCAATTTCGATACCCTTAACATGACAGGACAAACAACATAAAATTGTTGCCGTAAATAGTACCGATAATTGCGATACTCCAGTTATAGTAAATATGTAATTGTAAAAGATATGAGACAATGATTAAGGTCAATCCATAAGACAAATTTAACATTACGATAAAACTTGCAATGGTCATTACATGATAGACATAGTATACCTTTTTGTGTAGAAACTACATGAAAACTGTGATTAAAAATCTACAGTAACGGACCATTTGTGATGTTTATTGCGATTGATACACGATGATGACTGTCGTAGTCCTTCGTTCATATATTCCAGTTAAACGATAAGAACAATCTAACAAATCCATAAACTGAATATGTACCTTGTATTGTTATCGATTTTTAAAGAGGACCCATTAATGATACCAGTCCATAACAGATGTAACTAGTTATGTCCATGTAAAATTACAATAATTGCTACAAAATATATCGCTACAGGTTGGAATTATTACTGTATTATATCACTGAAAGTGCTTTGCTAATCGAGCAGTTTTATAATCTGTTCTTAAATTGGCAAATTGCTGTAAAACATTTCGATCCATGGAGGCCTACAACGTCATAGGGTTTAAAATAATGCAGTTAGATTAAATTAATCTGTGCCAGTGATGTACTATTTTCCTACATTAAATGAACTACATACCAGTTGTTCTTCGCAGCAAAGTTGACGTATATTCTCTGGGTTTGTGACTAAGAGCTTGCATAGTGCGTGTAGAGTTGAAAATAATTTATCTAACAATGGTATCTGAAGCGAGTAATACACAGTGAAGTTGCTCAGATACTATAGGTACAAAGCTCATTCAGTTGTTATAGTAATGGTTTACTTAAATTGGAAGTTTTAAAAAAATACCTGGAATTCTTTAATGCAATCTTGGTAACTGTGAACGTCAGCTAAAGCAAACATTCCACCTACAGATAAAAAAGTACAATCAATTCGTATAGGAATGGAATTAGGTTTATACCATTAAAACTAAAAGCATAAAACACTCGTTATCAATATTTACCCATGGAGTTGTACGCGAATTGTTGTAAGTGATCATATAAAATTCGATGAAATCGTACGCCAAATTCTTTTAATACTTCCTCAACATTTTTACCATCTAAACAACTTTTTATTAACTTTCTTTGTAGTCTAATAAACTGAATACAACTGGAACAAGCCTGTATAACAAGTAAACTTTTTAAATTACATACTTTTAATGGGAATTTTATACAGAAAATACGCTAATAGACCAGCTAATAGCATGCATTAGTTATGCGACTTACAGGAGTGGTCAATTCCACGACGATCTTACTATCTTCTGGTCTAAAGTCAGTCTTCTTTTGTTCAGTTGACAGTATATGCTTTAACCAACTAATCGCTGCTTGAACAGATCTAAAATATAAATAAGTCAATTTTTTAGCGTTTGTTAGTTATTCAAAGATATACTATTTATCTTACTTTTCAAGTCCCTGATCAATTTTTTCTTCTAGTTGTTGTAATATGGCATTTCTTTTTTGGATACTACTATCGTAAATTGCGGTAGACCTGAAAATATGGTTGAAAAAATAATAAATTCTAAGCACAGATAATGGAAACAGTGTTATGCAATTATGTAACAGCCTACCCAATAACAGGCAAAACATTTTCGTTGAAATGTTTTTTTAATAATTGAATAATTGCGTTTGCTTGTCCGGAAACATCGTAAAAACGGCCATCTGGCTGCGTATTAGGAGACGAGCTGGGAATCACTGCAAAAATGTATCAATAAAAAATTTGCAATTGCTACTTAATAATTTTTAAGTTCTGTCCTAATTTATTAATAAACTTCAACAATTTGCATACTTTGGAGACTGATATCAATAGCATAACTAATATGGTCTAAACATAGTTTTTCAAGTAGAACTTCAAAAATCTGCCATATATAATTTGGTAAGCTCAGTTTCGGTGCAAGCTATAATAATATAGAATAAATTGTTGTATTAGTCAATTCCTTGTAGTTATGGGTTAAAAACTTTACTAAAGAAGATACCAGATGACATCGTAAAATGGCATTTCGACTTTCGGATAACATATTAATTGCTACTTCTTGAGAGACTAAAGATTCATCTCCTATACCACTTGTATCAGTTGAACGTTTTAGGAATGCTTGAGAGAGTCTTATTTAAAAAGTCAAGTACAGAATAAGACTTACAAGGAAATCACAGTATTTACAGTGCTTCATTTTTATATTTCAAAAACTTTACCCTCCGGTTGCAATTTGCCTTTTTTGATGACCAATTGACGAGTAGTACGACGATATAGAATTATCAAACATATCTCGCAAATGTTTTACTTCAACACTAATATAGTCTTCCATGTATGAACCAAATATGCTCTTTTTGCTTTTATTTACAATGCTGACCTCTGAACTTAAGTCATACTTTTTAGTGATTATACTGGTGACTTTGTGAAATCTTGAGAGAAGAAAATTGGATAACTTGATTACTGTCTTTAGAATGACAGCAGTATGTTATTATCCTAGCAGTAGCCGATAAGTGTTAATTCTACCTATGTATATACCTGTCATAGTAATCATAGAGGGATTTCAAATATTTTTCTTTGTCATTTTGGTAAAGTTTATCAAGATTTGTATGGACGTATTCCTTTAAAACAAATCGTTCTGATTATTTTGTGCATAGTAACAGTCAAATAGAATGTGATATTGTTACAGCTAATTGTTACCTTGACATGTCCATCAAAGATATTTTCAACTAGAGTTGCCATAATATGATTATAATCGCTAAAAACTTCCTTAATAATATCGTAGGCCTATAAAGGCAGTAAAGAGAAGAATGACAAGGCTAAATGACATCGATTCTTTTGAATATAATAATAGAATCTTATAATGATCATGTAAACTTCCTTGGCAACTTACTCGTTCGCAAATTCGTAAAATATCATCAAATGCGTTGACCGAGGTAAATTGATTCTGTATTTATTAGCAATTTGTTAATGAAAGGACACGTAAAATAGTTGGAAAATTGAAAAGATATTTGAGCATTGCACTAGTTCCAAATATACCCTTTGACAAGCGGTAATGAAATCTTCTATGCATTGATTATATCCCTATATCATAGAAATAATACAGACTTTCATTATGATCCGTAATATATATTTAAATTGGACAAATTGCCTTAATAAATAACCTCCGCATTTGTAAGACGTCCAATTAAAGCATAATAATAAATTACCTTGAATGGTGCTAAAGTATTGGAAATATCCTTCATTTTCTTGACATCTTTTGCTTGATGTGCTACCGCAAATTCACATTTCAATCGGTTTTCAACTTCTTTGTATTTTTCTGTTCAAGAGCAAATCATTCGCTCAATATTTAAAAAGCAATCTTAAATTTAAGGGATAATTTAGTTAATGTAGTGATAGTATCTGTGCTGATTCTTGTTTAATTCTTGTAAGATGATTTTTATTTTATTTACCATTTATTCTGCTTTTGACATTTTCAAATCTGTGAAAAGAATTTAAAATTGAATACAATCATTCATTTCGGAGTAGACTTGGCAGTATTACCAATCGTTAATACTACAATACGAGATAGATATTTACATAGCCTTGATATTACTAGCTACATACCCCTCGGTAGGCAGATCTTGAGATAGATGATATAAGTTTTGAATGATATCCGCTGCTTCGGCAACCTTGATATAGTGCATTGGATATGGCTATGTTAGTTTTGAGTTATACCCACTAAAGTCTGTCTTTACTAATAACAATTTATTTGTATCGATGGAAATTGGATGTTATTGTAAAATTGCTAGATACGATGACTTTAGCTGATTTAAAATTTTCAAAATAATAATTTTAATTCATTGGCAATTAGTATAGACCATCTAGATCGGTCAAGAAATGCTATATAACGTACTTTGTTAGGATCTTCAACAACGATAACCAGTGGATCTCTGTCTGCCATGTATTCAGAAAAGTAGGACATTAACTTTTGTGCCTCGACATCATGGGATCTGGGCATATTAACCCCTTCTAATTGATCACCGACATGGACAACTTTCGTCGCTACAAAGTTTACACGTTGATCCAGATCTTCAAAACGATCAATGGCAGTCTAGTATTATTGTTAGAAGAATTATACACAGAGTAAAAGGGACATCATTAATAAAAGCACTAAGCTATCGCTAATTTTGGGTATGGCTAGCTCACTAATTGACACATTAGTTACATGGAGTAGTGGATAATATTTAAAGTGGAAGCCATAGAATAAGATTAAATTAAAAGCATTCTAATTCAATTTCGTACATCTAAGGCCTTTTGCAGTGATTGTAATCGCTTGCGATGTTCATATTCTTCAGTTTTGCAAGTTTCTTCTATTGCATTAACTCTATTTTCTGTGCTTTTTAATACACTTTGTAAGCTATCAATAGCTTCTTCAAATGTTACATGCAAAGCTTGAGGATTGAAAGATTCCGGCTTGCCACGAATTCCGCTACCGGTTGATGAACGCGAGATTCGCTCAATGAAATCTTTCAGATCGAAATCGTTCTGTTGATAAATAATAGTTTAGTAAAGACGTTATTACACGAATTGCCCAACAAACTGAATCAGGGAGTTACAAGAAGAAATTGTGTTTAGGTATAGTGATTGTCGTCATTACGTTGTATTACTCGTCAAGGTCAAAAATCAACAGAAAGTTGATATCAACGCTTGTCTATTACTCTATCCTTTCTAGCTTCTAGTATATAGGTCTAAAGACTGACGATGAAGACTGTTTTTGACCTACATGACAAGATGGAATAACAATAACGTGCTTCTTAACATTGGTTCTAAAGTGGCCTAAAGTATCTTGATATCAAACAGTTCGACTATAGTATTGCATGCTTTCTATAAGCTTGTCAAAATCGCATAGGACAATCTATCCGTAATTTCGAGTAATTTTATTAATGATAGAATTCCATGTCATTCTAGCATAACTAGAAATTATTTCCGTCTACAATCTACACTATGCACAATATTACCTCAAAATCATCCACAGTAAACTGCATTATTGCGATTTCTTAAGTTTTTAGGTGCACTCTAGAAAGTTGGAAAAGACGATTGAATCCATTTTACATGATGCAATTTAAACCTGTTGAAAAGTTGCTGCCTGTCCTACTTCTAGGCAGCATATCAAAAAATACTTTGCAAGCATACTACTAAATCATCATGACTTACACTTTGCAGCTAGCATAATCCAAACTTTTCGATTGGATGTTATAGAATAATTGAGGAATCAATCTCCAGTTGAAATCTGTCGTCTAGTACTGTCGTGTTTGGATGATTGGAATGGCGAAGTGAAATCCCAAAGTTGGAGATGGGCCTGAGCCTTTTTTCTCCTTGACAACACTGGACAGTCTACCCATACTGGAGTAGTAGTAGCCCACTACAGTCTGGGCACGAAATCATGACACCCCTTGTCTTTCTGTCCTTCCGTTTAGTATTTTGTCAGCCATAAGAGTCTATGGTGCAAAATATCTGTCGCTACCGGAGGCTGGTGGTTAGGTGATATCGTTGTCCTGTTTTAAGGGTCCACATTTTGCAAACGTAGAGTACTGTATGGACAGTAGACAGTATAGTATTATCAACTCTAACCACAGCACTGTACTGTACATTTGAGTGAGTGTACAAGTGGATATATACTATTTTTCTATAACCTGTGGCTGAGCGATGGATTACTAAAGTGATTTCGAGTAGTCTCCTTGTCGTAACTTGATGATTTCAGTAAACGCATTTTAAGCGACATCTATTTTACACATTTGAATACAGTATTTTGTAGTACAGTACTGTACCAGGGACTTCTGAGGCAGATATGATCTCAGCATCTGTCTTGCCGTCTGTCCTACTAGCCACTGACGAGTGTACACAGTACAACCCGATGCTGTAAAACCCGATCAAACGGTTGATTTTGGAACCCGAAATGAGTCCAATCGCTATACAAACACTGTATCAGGAAAGAATTACTCAAGACGAATCTCTCCTTCGAGTCCGAATTCAAAGTCGGGTTTCGGCTTGGCTTTTTAAGGTCTTTCGTACTAGCTATTACTAGGCGTCTGCAAACAATTCCACATCATTTTGGACACCACTCTACGCTGTAGTCATTTCGAGTAATGGCCTCCTTATTTGTTACACTTTGAGTAGTGAGATTTCAGTCCTTAATTCCTCTCAGAAGTCCCTAACTACTGTCAGACAGTCCTGAGAAAGAGATTTTCTATCTTTTAGCAGTCCCTGCTACCGTTGTAAATTGTCTAAGTGAGAAAGGGGCGTGTGCTATAAGTACTAGGGACTACAAATAAGTCTTCATTCGATTGCTAATGACTAAATCAACGGCTACTAAAGGAAGGAATGATACAGTATACCAGGGACTTTGAAGGTTTGCTCTTATTAGAATTTCCTAAAAGAAATAGTATGCCAGTAAACAGTATACTGTACAGTATACTGTATCAGAATAGAATTACTTAAGCCGAATCCCTCTCTCGAATCCGAGTGCAAGTCAGGTTTCGGGTTAACTTTTTAAGGTCCTTCGTATTACTAACTATTACCAGGCGTCTACAAACAATTTCACATTATTTTTGACACTACTCTTTACTGTACCCATTTAGAGTAATGGCCTCCACATTTGTTACGCTTTGAGTAGCGTAGCGAGACTTCAGTCCCTAATTCCTCTTCGAAGTTCCTAGTACAGTTGTAGATTGTAAGTTAGAAAGGGGCGTGTGCTGCTAGTACTCGCGACTATAAGTAAGTCTTCATTCGATTGTTAATTAGTTAATCAAGGATTACTCAAAGAACAAATGATACAGTATACCAGAGACTTTGAAGGTTTACTCTTATTAGAAATCTCTAAAAAATAGTACTGTCGAACTCGCTGACAGTGATCGATCTCACCATTGATTTTTCAAATTTTAATATTGACTCGTATTTATCATGATTAGTATTGAAATTTGGACTACCATGTTGACACTGTGATAGTACGCGTACAGTACTGTATAGTGTATAGTGTTCAGTGTACATTGTACATGGACGAGAAGCGCGCTGGAGAAAGCTTCGTAAAAAGATCGCACCTTTGATTTACCTATTAATTTAATAATGAATTAATTAGAATCAATAAGTAAATCATTGAATCTATTTGAGTACCGCACTATACTGTTGTTAGTAGTAGAATTACTACTATAGGATCCATCATGATGGAGATGCTGCCATGGCAACGTAAAGTCAATCAGAGAGAAGCAGTTATTAAACTCGATGCCTAAGTCAGACAACTAGGCATCGAGACTGTCTACAGAGACTAAATCGATAGGGGTCGCAGATCTGTCATGAACCTTCCTCAGATGATACTCCATTAGGCAGTATGATGACCTCGGTATTAATTAACTGTAAATAGGCCAATGATCTCGGTGCTTTCTTACCGGCGCGTGTGGTTAACCCTTTAAAATCAACTTCATCGACGAGATAGACGAGTATCATTTTAAGCCAAGCCATTCGAGTAGCTTGGGCGTTATTGGTAATCCTAAACTCTATTCTTATACTGTGGTTAAAATTGAAAAATTGGATCCTGCTTGTTTGTTTTGTTAAATGTAATGACAGCATACTCTTGATCATTTGTCTTTCTTATGTTTCAATCCAATGTGCCTTTATAAACTGTCTTGCAAATATTCAACTAGGGTTAGGCGTAAAAATTAAAATTTCAAGGAGGATGCAGTTCTCTTTCAAAGTGCTAATATTGGTATAAGGTTTGCTCATCCTTACTCCTTGTAACTTCTACATTTTATCTCAATGCAATGACCGATAAAATTTCGAAACTTATTCATGCCTTGCTTATATAAATTCTGTAGATTGAAATTAGTCTGCGAGTGCTATCATCATCCTATTACCTCCTTGAAAACTCAAGCTCTATTTGTAGTACTGCCGTATCCTATTTTAAACGAAAATTGACCCAATCTTGTTTGATTTTAACGATTCCAACGGCAGATGGTGAACATGACTGAAATGAGGAAATCAAACAGCATTTCTTATTTACCAGTCCATCAAATGCCAACTCAATATCGTGAACCTTATATTTTAACTGGTTATCGTGAACCATGCTCTACTTGCAAGAGCTGCTTAAGGTAATTTATTCATAAAATTTCTACAACTTTGTAATATATCTCGTGGAATAAAGGGTAATTAACAGTACTCTTTTTATTGTAGTGTCATAATATGACATCAACTAGGATACTGTATGATAGGTAAAAAACTAAGTAGTCAGATCAAATACAGTATAATAGCGATGAAGCTATGGGCATACAAGCATTGCACAGTTTACGTGTATTAACTGTAGAAAATAACCTCGAATTGACTGTACTGTACTTGTATCTGTAAGTGCTTGACATTTTTAAATCAATCATGATATCCATTTGATATTCTTTAATGTACGTTGCTGTTGGCTATGCATTCAAAGATTTGTAAACTTATTCTTCATTGCTATGATCATTTTGCAGATCGTTAATTCGAGCTAGCAACGAAACTTTAAATGTTTGGACGCATTTCCTACCAATTATTTACTTTTTGAATAGAGCCATTCAATTCTATTCAAATAATGATAGCGGCTGTTTCGAATTTCAATATTATCCTTTCATGCCAAATTACATTGGCATTATATTCTATCATTTGGCCAGCAGTATTGCACACTTGTTTTGTTCAATGTCCATAAAATATCGTCATACATGTTTCTACATCGACTATTCTGGTATTTGTATTTATGCTATGGGTGCTGGAATTACTTACTATAATCTATACGTATTACCAAACGCGCCGACCAATAATTACCCATTGTCACAAATTGCCTTCACGATATTATCATTTGGTGTATCTTTAAGTGTTTGTTTAGTATCGTGTATTTCAAGACATTATTGGAGGTCAACAGGAGCGGTCATAAGAACAGGAGCTTTTGCAATTAACTTAATATTCAATACAAGTCCAAGCTTGTGGCTCTTTTGGCAAAATCAATTGCCTTCAGCAACTCATCTTGTTCGCCAATGGTCGTGGTATGTAGCAGCAATTACCGCTTATGTTTTCAAAATTCCTGAGAAATTTGCTCCTGGAAAATTTGATGTCATTGGTCATAGCCATCAATGGTTTCATGTATTTTTAAGTTTAGGAACTGTGGAGCAAATAAATTCTTTGGAATTTGATGTAAATGCATGTAGGCCAAAGTACATGCCGTCTGATGCGCCAAGTTTCTTTATAACCATTGGATCAATGATGCTTGCAATTCTTTTGAATGCATTGATAGTTAGTATTTGTAGCTACAAACTAGCTAGGCATGCCAAAATGGATTAATAGCTGTGATATAACGTTGTAAATGATGGATACCAATGGATAGTACCACTAATGACCCAATCTCAAAGACAAAGTACAATGTATCAGAACTCAGTTAGCCATAGAGAATCATTTATTATTTTAATCTTTCTTTATAGTAACTTATTTGAAAATTTTCCGGTGCTAGGTTACCGGACGTTTCATAATTGTATGGTTGCTATATTGTGGTAAATATATCACTTTTTATTTACTAGGACCTCTTACTCGTTATTTTTGGTATGTATCTTTTATTTTTATAGCATTACGCGAAGCCACATACGTGCTGCTCTAAGCTTAACGACGTAAAATGTTTTTATAAGTCAATATTACTATTTTATAATAAAGGGTAGCTTTGATAGGAAATATTTACAACTATGTTTCAATGACTGTTATTACCACACTTATAGTAGTGGGAGGTTTGCCATTTTTACAATTTTCCGACTGATTAATAAAGAAAATACATCTTACCACGTACAACAATCATCATTGATTTGTTTACAGTTAGACAATAAAAAATTAAACTATTATCAACATGTAGCTATGCTACTGTAAAAGTGTCGTCGTAGTCATAATTTAAAAGCCATATTGATAGATATGAAAAATATTTATCCGATAAATTGAACACTGAAAACATATAGCCTATTGAGTAAGAGTAGTATCAATCTTTCTAAATTTTCAAACGAAAATAAGATGATAAAATATGAGATTATAGCCATAGTTAAGTGATAGCAGTGATTCTTTGGTCGTTGCGGACCCAATTTTGATGCATTTAGTACAGATATTCGCCGTTCCAATTTGATGAGTTCATAAAAAGTGGATTGAACTATCAATCAGAAATGAATTGAATATGAACTACAATACCTAATAAACATAGCGAAAAGGTCGGATAATGTATCACTACTTTTTTTGGTAAAATATTTTCCGGGCATGAGATGATCTAATCTACACTCCCATCATACCTACAAGTACTGCATATAAATAACGGTATATTACCGCATTAAATGTATTCCTATCCCAACCAAATGATGTTCTTGCTGCAAAACCTCATAATAAAGATCAACTTCACAGAAATCTTTTAAAATGAAAGGATAGTAGACAGGTCAAACCATATGGAAACACATCCATTAGAATGCTGATCACATTACTTTTTATGATTATACATTCGACATTAAAATTATTATAACAATGAATTATTGTTCTACAAACTCTAATTTAGGTGTTATCTTTTAAGTTTGTATGTAATTTGTGAATAACAAATCTCGATAGACTTAGTTGTAGTAGCTCGATTATTCGAATGTAGGCATAGATCATTTTCTTGTCGATGGTACTACTTTACTTAACCACTTTCTCTGAGGCTTTATGTAACTGGGAAGTAACAAAGTCGAGTGAAATTATTCGAGTGAAATTGAAGACTATCTAAAGACTGCTAAGGGGAAAATTGAGTCGTTTCTTAGTTCGACAGTTGTAGTATCTTGTGTGAGATTCTAGTGGTTTTTGACTTAATTTGCATTTTGATAAAAACTATGTTATTTTTTGGATTAATTCTGTGGAAAATACGAATTGAACTGACCACAGAGACAAGGGGGGCTTTCTGTATGGAACTGACGTAATAAGACACTGGCCAATGAGAAGAAAGAGTCGTTGGCGTCTCGTACTTCTATTCTTTATTAGGATGTGCAGTTGTGCACTCTCATATTTTATAAAAATAGTCAAAATGGAATCCAACTTTCAGTATACAGTATCTACGAGTTGTCTTGATTGTAGACTCAAGACTGATTCTATACAAGTTCAATTTGATTTTGATTTTGAAGCGTTGTTCATCTCCTTGTCCAGCGTTAATTAAATAAAAGTCAGTTTAGTTTAGTTTATATAGTGTACACTACAACTGGAGTACAGTGCTGTACAGTACAGTATTCTACACATTGCCTTTTCATAGTTTATCCTTCCAAGACGTCTATAGTACTGTACAGTATGAGCACTGCAGAGTGAGTAAAACAACGGCAACTGAGTGTACTGTACTGCACTGTGCTGGCTGTTCAGTTGGTATCATAGCAGAGATTTACATAAACCTTAGTGACCTCGCCAGCTTCCATTCAATTTCATCTTGGGTTGCAGCAACTTGAGCCGATTTTGAGTGCACCTCTGGGCGATTGATCCTGCGATTGGATCATCCAACTAATATTGTTTGAAGAGAGATCTTCACTTACAGTTTGTTGATATATTCGTATAGGATTTTATTCCATTGAGGATCGTCTATATGAAATTGCTGTTGTAATTATCATTATTGAAGGAGAATCAACATTGCGCTATGGGTGCACCAATCGCAAGATCAACTTGTCATCGAGATAACAAGAAAACCTTTCATCAAAAGCTATTGACAGCAAAACAAATTCCAAGTTTCTATCGAGAACCGTATATACTATCTGGATATCGCCCGTTATTCTCAGACCTTTCAGTTTGCTTTCGGTGAGAGTTGTAGAAACACGTGTTAGGAAATGAAGAATTTTTATTGATGGACAAATTTCCTAAAAGAGCCAACTGATGGCTAATGCTATGATATTGAAATACTGTGCAGTATACATGCCACTTTTTAAATCTCTTACCATCAATATTAAACTGACCCTTAAACACGCATTACTAAGTAGTCTGAGTGATTTTATATCCTTACAAGTTGCGTCCTTATTCTCTTTCAAATGATCATTACCTACTTTTTTTTTTATAATACGGTATGCAATTACTCGTATAATAATTAGAATCATTCAATTTTTTTTCCTTTTACGCGTAGGATTGTCTTGTAGTATTTACAGTAAACTTTGATTAAACATTACATGTACTGGAGCTTTGACTAGACGGCTTCACTTGCAGTAGTATATTAATATTTACTACAATATGCATTCTAATTTCGCTCGCGGTGCGTAGATCTTCAAAGATTGACAGATGAAATCAACTGGATTTAAGATTTAGTACTCATTGTCATTTCTATAATAGAAATTTCCTTTATTGTGGCACTTATAATTGTACACAATATATATAAAATACAAGTATGATTTGTTACTACTACTACATAGCACGTACTTATGATACTAAAGGAGAATATTTCTTTAAAAGAGTACAGCTTTAGCATAGCTTAGACCGGTAAAAATATTACTTTTTAGGGTCTTTAGTGTCACTACAGTTACTTTTTCATGCCAAATTTTGAATTAGGTTCTCTTATCTTTGACGAAACTGAATAGGTATTGAAAGTAATGATTAATTATATATTGGTAGTGGGCTCTCATATGCTTCCATGACTGGATCAGTCATTAGATTAAATAATTAGTTTATAAATTACGTGATGACATCAATTAAGTATTTCAATCATTAAACTATTCGAGTATTTGGTATTGTTCCCTATTTAATATGCAGTATATTATATATGGAGGATTGGTTACTGATGCTCTACATCCTTTTGCATGTAAGGCATACTGTATGTTGTACAGTGTACAGCTATAGTCAGAAATTAATTTAGAGATATTCCTTCAATGAAATCTCTCTAGCAGTCCGTGCCCGCAGTTGGGTAAACTATTTTTATAAATGAAAAAAAGTTCTTAATACGCTAATACTTAATGGTGCACCAGGAAAGAATATTTATAGCTGTCGTTTGAATACTTTACATATTATGAGTAAAATGACAATTTTACAATTATTTAAGGATAAATGTAGCGTGTACCATTATACAGTATGCTATAATATTGCTTAAATGCTATTTGCAGCAGATACGGTAAGATATAACGCACAAAGTTTGATTAATACTATGAGTATATCGCTGTTTGCGAAGTATGGTGTGTGTTAGATTACCATTGGCACGTATAGCATTCAATTCATATCATGTAGTATTATTTAATCCCAGAAACATATGGTAATTAGTGAATCAAAATCAAGTTTTCATTGAAATGTTGATATTTGAACTGAGCTTGGCTTAAAATACCAATCAAAATAATTGTAGTAATTTACCATATTTTGGTTTAGCTCAGTTGCTAGTATAAGTATTTACATTACACTCCTATACGTTCATTAGTTAGTGTATTTCAGTTTTTGAGGGTAGGTGATAAAACTGTAGGTGAGTACGTGCAATTTTACATTACGATAATTAAGCAGTTGATAATTTAATTTCATTATTTAGAATTTTATTGGCTTTGAAACGACTGGGAGCTCTGCCTTGATGTACAGTACAGTAAAATTACGCCAGGCTAATAAACTATAAATTAAATTTACAATGGAGATTCTAATTCAATATTCTAATTCAATATTTAGTGTAATGCTGTAAATTATAGTGTTGTTTATTTAATATCTTACTTAATGCGTATATCGTAAGGTAAAATACACACACGAGTAAGGTATTCGTATATCTTAATATTCTATGATTGATCGTATGCTTATTCATGCAATACGTATATACGGGTACTCGTATGCATTATACTAACAGCAACAATAAATTTTTTATCTTCAGGTCTTTATTTCAACGGACAAATGAAACTTTAAATGTATGGACGCATCTCATCCCCTGCTTATATTTCGCTTTTAATTACGTGCAATTTTTCTTAAAGAATGATATATCGGACCCATATGTACGCGGAATAATCATTACCGCGATTGGTTCATGTGGCTTCCTTGGCTTTAGTAGTGTAGCACACTTATTTTGTTGCCTGTCAGCAAATGTCCGCCATACCTGTTACTACATAGACTACGCTGGTATTTGCTTATATTCTATATGTGGAGGATTTTCTTTCTTGTTTTACGCCAGACCTGCGCTCGAAGCAGACAGCGATTGGTTCTATCGTCATAGAATATTGTTCTTATCTATTTCTGTAGTGATATCTAACGTTATATGTCTCCTCACGTGCATATCTAGACATAAATGGTTAAGATTTCGCTACCTAATTCGTACTTTAGCGTTTACGGTACCTTACTTTTACAATGCTCTCCCGTTATTCTATCGCATTTCCTCATGTCCTGTTGATGCTTGCAATCCTGAAGCCTTACGCTATTATTATCTCAACTGGTTTTGGTACGCTATGTCATTTGTGAGCAATATTGCTAGGCTACCAGAACGCCTAGCACCTGGCCAGTTTGATATAATCGGCCATAGTCATCAATGGCTTCATATTTTTTTGGCATTTGGCAATGATGCATTCATAAAAGGTATCATGAGTGATTTCACTCATCGTAGAAATCAATTATTATTAACAAGCAAGGTTACTGATCTTTCTTATGAATTTACTATTGTCATTGTTGGTATATTAAATCTCATGGTTATCATAGCAGTTTATAACGCTTTACTACGTAAAGGCAAGTTACATAATCAAGCTGAAGAAGAAGAATATTATGCTTACACCTCATTGAAGAAGAAATAAAATCTCAGCGAAATATGATGAAGATTAAAACTGATATCATTAGCGTCTTAATACAGTAGCCTTTTCACTTTTATCTTTCTACCAAAAGTTATGTTATTGCTGAATACATCGAATTACATATTTTATTCCTCATTTGCTTTTTCCTGTTTTTACTCCATCTTGAAATAGTTAAGTAATTTTATTGAATGCTTGCTCCATGCAGTCATTTTTAACAATTCTTGTGTCCTATAGCCCATAGCTATGCAATTAAACTATATTATAGCAATACCGAAGATACGTAAATCCTGTACATCAGTATTAAAAATAAATACAACGATGACTAATACTGATGGCGTACATTACAATTTTTAGGGATAAATTATTGCTTGTGCTTTAAATTTTCTTTCAGGAGCATCAATAAGATACTACTTCCATTCCGATAAGTATTTGGAATAAGGACGAATATTGTACACTGAAGATAGCCTCGTACAGGGTTAAGAATAGTTTATTGTCGATAACGACAACAGTACCAATTTAAATTAATGTTAAACTCCTAAAATTTCTTGCAATAATATTTAACAGATAAGTATCTGATCGCTCGGCGATGATAATTATTATAATTTATCCTCAAATTTTGTCTCTATCTTATCAATGAGAAGTAATGTGTATTTGATGCAGTATTGTATGAAGGCTCATTGATCAATAAATTTGTTATGTGCCAAGATTTCTGTGATCACAGGTTTATAGCTTTATAAGGTAAAGGCAGTATGCGTTGCATGTGAGATTATAAAATACGTATATTCGATTTACTAGCCACACTCTAAGCGTAACATCCCTATTTAACATCATAAGGTAAAGTCTGCAAAAGTTTGCATAATTTTCTTATTATAATGTAAAACATATTGACAAGATTTTAAATGAAAGCTGTTCGCGGACCTTTGTACCAGTAAAAATTAATGGTTCGTAGTAATACCGATTACAGTTTATCGGACTATAATCTTACTAATTTTAAAAGCGATCTATTACGCAATCCATATTCAGCTGGCGTTGCAATTGCACCATGATGTACGCATATTACAGATATACGGAACTTGAGTAGAGAATTGAAGCTTATACAGTGAATTTACTGTATAATAGCAAGCGGAATCTGTAAAATTAAGCACTACATAAATACCCAAAATACGTATTAATAATGTAAAGTGACAATTCGTGCCATCAGACCTTATTCTGTTGTTATCTCCTACTTTAATTTCTTATAATAGATCAATGGTTAAGCTAATCGAAATTTAGCTGAATGGATAAATTTTTTGATTACATGTAATGTGAAATTTATCAATATTTCAGAAAATATAATAGGATTGAGTGCTATATTGTCGGGAATAAGCTTATCGGTAAACTGATAATTTGTAGATAAGTATCTTTTTATGATTTCTAGTTTGCTACTGTTCGATTAATGGATATAGCATCTTAAGTAAAGGAACGTAACCGCTAATAGTTACTTAATATTTATTGAAAAACGTAGTATCAAACGTGTATAACACAACCTTAAGAAATTTCAACAATTAATAATATAATAACAACAAGTCTACGCACAGTAACGTTCGACGTTTCCTTCCAGTGCTAACAGTCGGTAATACGCCGTAACTCTAGCCACAGCGTTGATCGGATTAATAATCAAATCTTAATTAATATAGCAGAAAAAGAAATAAAACAATCGGAACAAATATTAATGCTATCAATAAGTCGTGATTATATGAGGGAAGAAATATATTAGTCATAATTCGAATTTTATGTGACATTAAGTATGCCCACATGTGCTCAATTTATCAGCCCCAAATTTTCCCAATAGCATGCAGTAAAATGTCTCATAGATTTTAGTGGGGTAGACTCCTCAAGTGATCTTATCAATGTCATAAACTTCTTGATACAACGGTAGAGTTTAAAATCCATTTATACAAATTACAGTACGGACATCTTATTTGTACAGGACGTCATAATGGCCAGGGCGATACAGTAAAGTAAACTGTGGAGCGGAATGTTCCGGAAATCGATGTTTGGAAAGATCATCATCCGTATGGTTCAAGTATACAATCTCAATAGCCGTATTAAGGAATCCTGTTAAAGCGATAGCATGAATGTGATCGCTTTCTTTACCAATAGGCTCAACTTCGTAAGAACAAAAATCCTTTACTGATTGATATCCATCTATAAAGTTTTCAAAAAATTCTGCATTAGTCTTTAAATGGGCCGATGTCAATAATCTGAAGTAGACGACGAAGTAATTTGATAGATCTCGATCATTAAACCATTCTACCAATTCATCGTTAGTGCAATCGTCTTTACGAACATTCTTTAGCAAAGTAAGAACCTATTTTCGATAAAATAATATTCTAGTTAGCAAAAATCAGTATGCCACTCATTAGTAAATTTCAGCTTTTGTTTTAAATCGGTTAGTACATTTATCTCCAAGTGTAAACTGACATATTTTTAGACTCTGGTATCTGTTTACATGTAATTTGAAGATATACAGTAATGCATAGGAATTCGAGCTATTGCATGTAATGATTGCGTAAGCAGGAAGAGTCGAAAAAAAGTGAATAATATGGCTGGCACAGTCTTTAATTGTCATTTAATCGAAAATTGATGTAATCGGTACATCGAAGAATGATTGAATAGCAAGTTGACATTATATTATATCCATTTTGATATGAATGCTGTTCAAGAAGAAGATGTTTATGGTCGATATAAAATTATAAATATAGTAGATTTTATAAAATATTTAGCCTATTATTTATTACTCACAGTTTGATGGAAATCTTCAATGATAAAAGCTTGATAGCCAAGTTCTATTAATCGGTCTTTGCTTTCTTCGATGACTTTGTAAACTCTAAATCAGAAGTATTGATATAATTTCAGATATTACTAAAGATCAAAATAAACGTAACAACTGTAGGGAGCAATTTAACTTTAAAACAGGCGAGAATGTAAGTTTAATTAATTACACTGATTGTAAATTTAAGAAACTATTTCAGGCCCCTAAATAAATTAAAGCAGATATGAAGCGGGCTAGAAATAAGGAGATTGCACCTAAAAGTTACGGCTAAAAATGGCGCACTTTACTTCGTACGTATATCTATACGATATATAAATACATTGTTACTTAGTTGATAGTCTCTTGCGACATATAATTAATTTATATGACTAAAAGTAAAAATTAGCTAAAAGCCATGAATGAAGTCATGGTATTGATTTTCGGGAAATAATTTAAGAAATAACTATTTAAGCGTTGATATGTAAATTGTACAGTCATGGATTTTTAGAAGAAAACCGAGAGGTTTCTTCTGGTAGTCCATGGTACAGTGCGGCATAGATATATTACGGAGCCACTTTGTCAGCGCAATAGGATTTCAATACGATTTTTAATACGAAAATATAGTGTCATAATGCACGTATTTGTTCAATACTATGCAAGTATTACTCGACGCAATGTACGATAGATGAAGCATTTATCACTCAGTTGTTAAACTTCTACTATACCTTGAACTTATCGCTTTAATACCACTCATGTTAGGTAATACAAGTAATTCTATGCCCGTCTTGATTACACTAGGTTATAACCCGAATCAGTGTATACCAGTTAACTATTATATAATTATATTCATCACTTTATAATGTACAATCGGGTTGGATAAGGAATTATTTGGCATAGTATTTCCGCGAAGTTTTTAAGCGTCATGAGTAGACTAGTGTGTCCATTGGAGTATGTGGTATCTCATGGATGATGGATACAATACAATATCATAAATGTAGTTATTCTATTTAGTAATAGTCAGTATCTAGTTAACAGCTTTGTAGTAGAATAATATTTTTGAATTGAATTTATTTATTGCATTCTATTTTCGATATCATTGAATATCACAGTGTCGTGGCAGCCAGCACTTGCTTATACAACAGATCGTAACTGCATTCAAACTGCAGCAAGAAATTATTTGTGCAGGATGTCTACTTGACTAGCTAGCTTATCAGGTCATCTCCTTGGAGTTTCAACATACCTATGATATTCATCGGGATTTTGCTTAAGCATTTCCATCAATGAAATACCAAAAGCTCTATAAAAGCAGTTACCATCACGACGAGTTCTCCTTATCCATCGATAACTGGAATATAATGATCGTATTTTGCCTTGGTAAATAGCATCGTCCGGAGGATATTCTTTAGCCAATGAGGCTATGTCCTCTTTATGGCTAAGTAACGGTACAGATTCTTCTATCTCTTTCCTTATCAGTTCCATCTGATCCATGATCTTTTGATCTAAGTTTTCTGCTTCGGTACTTGCATCCATTCCAGTATTTTCTTGTGTTGATTTACCATTCTCTGCTTCCATGTCTGCTTTCGTCGTCGATCCTTTGCTAATTTTTAAAGTTTTTACTTGGCTAACATTGATCCTATCGAATAGGTAAATAACGCAGGCAGTTTACAGTAGACTAGAATCACTCGATCGTGTCTTATTACAGTGTCATCGAAACAGGTCTGACTTTACTCCAGGGTCAATTCATTCTTTGCGGGTCATGAAACGTTGAAAAGTTGCATAGTGTGGCCTTGAGATCCCCTAGAGACCCTCCAGTCAAGTTGGAGGCCAGGCCCTAATCTGGTACCGTCAGCTGGTAGAGTCAGCTTGTAGAGTGTTGTACTGTACTGTACGTTGCACGCCTCACTCCGGCTCACGTCAACCGCGACACCACTGTACTGTACTGTACACTTGTACAATGTACAGTACAGTGTACAGTGCACTACTGTACAATACTGTACTGTACTCTGGTGTGCGATGAAATATAGTGCGGTCGGACGGACAGAGAGGACGAGTGCAGTCATGGCTCGTCCACCTTAATGAGATGGGTACGCAAACACGCAAACGTCAGTACAGAGGATAGCTTATGAATATAATCTGGTTTCATGACTTGGATACTACAAAATACGGAGCTAGCAACCAGGAAAATTTCAAGATTTTGATTACATGTCGAACAACGCATGATATTCAAAAATAAATCATGAAGCAGTAAAATTAGAGGATCAAATAAATGCAGTACGTAGCTCTAGTTGTTGTAATATACAGCCAACAAGGAATATACACGCACTAGCTCAGTTGACAGCCATTTTACAACAAGACAGATGGATAACCGACATCACAATTTTGCTAGAATGCAGTTGATTAGCATTTCCACGATAGCGACGCTATTTCATCAAACTCGTAAATTATGTCATTGAATGAGCTGATAGAGGAGTTTTCTTTTCTTAATTTTATGTCTTTAGGCCACGATAATATGTATACAAACGTATTGTACAAGATATACTATCCTGTGATTATTATTTAGTTTTTACATTAAATGGTAATAATACCACGTTGTAATTTGTAGATTTTTTAAAGCCGGATTAGGCTTAAATTTGATACTTCCACTGTATTAGTGATAATAAATGATAGGAATTTCTTTTATACATAATCGCTCTTTTATACAGGTAAAATAAGAACTAATAAAAATGCATAATTCTACAGTACTAATACTGTCAATGGGCTCGCAATATGGCACATAGTACAGTACAGTAAATAGCAATAAAACATTAACTACAGGAAATTAATTAAAGCTACTCAACTTTCAGACGCTATATTTTCTTAACCTATTTCATATGGAATTTCTAGCAACAACTATAAGTGCTACAGTATAAATTGGCGAGATAGCAACTGCGTTCCAATCGATTGTGATCGCTATAGTAAGCATGGGCGTCTGTAATAATGTAATTATAGACGATACCATACTTGTAATGGCTAAATGGACGCGATCAATAATTTCGCGATATTGTACTATTCCGTAAGTTATTGCGAACTTACGTACACAATCCAGATCTTAAGTGTATCTTACAGGTAGTAATGCAATAGCTAGCATCCTTTGCATTATTGGTCTATTGCATATGATGTCTGAATCGCCATAGCTTAACTAGGCGCGCTTTTTTTCCTTCTGTATACGCTATATAGGTTACGGGTTTTGTATACTGGGCATACGAGTATAGTAAAAACCATTCCTAGTTATATTTTTACTCTCAATTGCTCCTGATCTTAGCAGGATTGAAGTGAACACTAGAATGAATTTAATTATAAAATATTGCATCTAAGACCATCTATTAATATTTAGTAGCACGATTTAGTACTATAATAAGTGGAAATTATTTTACATTATTTTACTTTGCATATTGTATAGTGTCTATACTGGATATAAAACAAAGGAACCGTAAACATATCTTGGAGTAAATAAATGCATAACCATGCTTTATTGTTCGAACGCTTGCATAATCAATTATGAATAGACCGTAACAATTTGATCGGGGTAGTACAATCTTTACTCAGTGCTACTCATTATAGAGTCATCGATGCTATTCTAAATAAAGATCGCCATCATGTGTCGTCACATTTCTCCTTTGATCTAGACGCTAAAATCATGTTTAAAGGTTCTCCTAAAGGATGTTATAAGCTGGAAGGTAAAGAAATTTAAAAGATTGATTAAACTTTTATTAGGTAATTAGATGTTATGGTACAGATATAGCAGAACTATATCATACGGTATATACTCAAAAGATTTCAGAGGAAGTAGTGATCGGGTAACGTTGATTATATAGTATACGTAGGTGCATAATCATCCCCGTTGCAAGTAGGCAGAAATATGATTTAACATGATAGCAATGAACTTAAAAACAACAATATCTCTGAGTCATTATCGTACGTTTTACGTATATAGTCACCATACAGACTGATACTAACTATCGTTAGAGATTTGGTAAAGTAGCGTAGTTAATATTAGTGTTGTTATCTTTTTTAATATAAAGTTAGACGGGTTAAATGCTATAGCTGCGGCTACGGACACGAAATTAATAGTATAACTGATATTTTCATGATAACTTCTTCATTGTTATTCATACCGTAATTATGTCTTATTATTAATTATTAAGGCTAAAAAAGAACTCTGTTTAAGTTGATAATACGTTTTTCAAGAATAATTTCTTTATTGTCACTAAAATAGTAATTATTTCTTATATCAATCACTAGAACTCTAGAAGAATTCCGTAGAAATTGATAATTTACCGCAATGGAAAATGTAAGATGAAATGAATCAAATGGTTTAAATTATATTTTTGCTCCTTGTGTTATGATATCGCAATTTAAGCGCTGTCAATAATTATATTCTATCTAGTTAACAATTAATCGATCTATTTACATCGTTTACTTACTGATCGTTCATTTGTTTGGCTGATAATTACCTTACCACTATGTCATGCAGAGGTTGTTTTGATTTTATCAATCTCTTAAAAATTGTCTACTATACGATACTATTAAAATAGGCAAACGATCTTGTAGAAAAGATTTATTTTGCGGCTAAGTACGAAGATGAAGAAGTATTAAAAGAACATCAATGTGATATTAATGAAGCGACTTTAAGTGAGAAGGAAATTGACTATTTTCGTATTAAAGTAAGAAAATACTAGCTGTTGATTATACGTAATATGAGTTAGTCGTCCAACGATATAGTATCAAGAGACAGTTAGAAAGTTTATTCTTGGTCTAAAGGCACATTATCAAATTGAAGTACATCATCCAATTACCAATACTATTTAATCTTATTTACAATATAATGTGACAAAATCGTCGAATTGCATATTACTATAGGTAAAATCTAATATTGCTGGATTGATCTGTAGTTGTAAAAGTCTTATATTTCTGTTTATTGTCTTTATTATGATATTCCAGAAGGGAGATTTCAAGTGATATCAGATATAAACAGTAAAGTATAAACTGGTATTTATTAATGCACTTCCTATGATACTATATTGGCAAAAACATTAGGCTATATTATTACCAGCACATTGGTACTGTAGTAGACGACTACACTTAGACATTTGCATTTTACAATGTTAACAAATTTATATAAGGGAGTAGCCATTATCAAATTAAAATTATTTATAGTTATTTATGAATTAAAGCTCAGGTTTATCTTATCGATGCATAATCCATATTTCGACCACTTATCGCAATGTTGTTCAAATAATAATTAATTTTGTATCAACTTCTGTACATACTTTATAGGCTAAAAACGCAACCGCTTTACACTATGCATGTGCAAAAGGAGACTTAAGCGCGGTTGAATTGTTGTTGCGTTATGGAGCGGATCCCTTAATTTTAGATATCGGAGTAAGTGCCTTAGCTTCTAACGCTACTTATATACAGTATAAGAAGAATTATTTAATGCCGTTACGCAAAATCAAGAAGTTATTAACAAGTCTTTACCTGTATTAATAACATCATTTACTTTAAATTTACAATAATAAATGGTTTAAACTCGTAAAACTTCGACTAATTACGCCGGAATTTCCTATAATTTGCCCTTCTCTAATAGTGAAAAGGATTTAATATAATGTTCTTTTACGTAATTAGAGCAGCAGTTGGGCTCCCATACATTATGCTGCTTTACTTGGCCATCAAAATTGTGTAGAAATACTTTTTCGACATGATCCGAAAATAATTAGTTGTACTACTGGCAAGGTAGGCCTTTTAAGCTATAGTATACGGTGTCTGATTGTCATTAGTTTTAAATTTTATACTTATTCGTGCAGGAAAGATATCATCCAATTCATACTGCAGTATTTGCAAATGATACTGAATTAATAAAATGGCTAATACGTAATGGTGCAAAAATTAATAAGAGAGACAAGGTTATAATTTATTGATAACTAAATCTGAATTGCTTACGAATAATAAGTTAGAAGTAATCATTTATTATTTCAATGAATTTAAATAAAATAGGTAAGCATTTATTTTATATAATTATTCTATTTAACAGCGAGGGAATACACCTATACATACTGCTGCTTATCTGGGTTACAAAGCATGTGTGAGGACTTTACTAAATCTAGGAGCAAATCATCTATTGAAGAATAAGGTTAAGAAAATTTAATTGAACTACTTCTTAAATGTTGTTATAATGTTACATAGAAATCTAGATTACTAAATAGTACAATTACCACTTAGCAATTTTAGTGAATATTTGCTTTATCATGTAGAAAAAGAAATATCCAATCGATTTAGCTAAATCGAATGGCTATGGCGATGTTGTTGAAATGCTACAAAGGCACCAATATGCGACACCTAATGATCGGAATATCAGTAATACATCTTTAGCAAGTTCTACAGATACTTGGGATAGCTTAGATGATGTATTTGAGGAAGCTCAACTGGTCCATGATTACAAGAATACCAGCCCTCGCATGATTAAAGGTTAATATAGTTTATTTGGAGTAGCACATCAGTTGCTGATAAACTATTTTATCGTAGGATATTTCAGTTTCTAAGTTTGAGCAATTCTCACTTGTAAAAGTTTCTATACTATATACTCTTATACGCCTATAGAGCATGTTTGCCTGTGGATTAATGTTCACCAATGCAGTAGTTGTCGGTAGTTATTTGCTATAATCGATTCAACTGCAGTTAATTTTCATTATGCTTCATTCGTTATTAGACAAAAATGATAACAAGATGACTTTGAAAGGAACAATGGAAGGGAAAATTCTACAAAAAAATTTTACAACCATCTGCAATAAAATCGATGCAACTGCGTTGTCTGATTATTTATTCGAGCGAGAATTATTAACAGTTGATGATCTGCAAGAATTAGAACTCCGACATACTTCATCAAATAATAAAAGCAGGTCTTTGTTGCTAAGACTATTTAATATGCAATTGAAAGTATTTTACAGCTTGATGGATTGGTTAAAGTCTAGAGGCGACACCAATTCATCGATATTGTATAATTTACTGGACCATGAGCTCCAGGAATGTAGATCAGGTAATTCGACTTAGAATTGAAATTGATTCTCTTGTTAAAGAAGTCATACTGGCTTTATAGAAACTATCTTAAGACTAAATGATACTATAATAATTTAATTACCTAACGCTATCTATCTTGACTGAATTGATTGTCGATAGAATTATTCATCATCATGTTTAAGATAAGGATTTTGAATTGTTGTACAATTCCTTATAAGTTTTATTTACAATATTACCTTACTGGATATTTGCTATAGTAATATTTTAAATGTATACGTTTTGGATTACCGGAATATTCTAAGTTTTGCCATATACAAAGCCTTATGATTTCCTGAAATTATTGCATCTGTGATAATTATTATTCTACAAGAATATTATTATATAACAGCATTGGCTGTTTAAAACGAAACCTCAACTCCTAGAATTAATAATGTCCGATATTTTATTTATTCTATGATTATAATCAAAAGCCCTTTCGTAATGTGAAATATTGCCATTTATACGTACTTTACGAAATTTAATATTATTATATTATATACTGTATAGTCAGTGTGGCGTCATTTGTTTTATCTTGTAATTTATAATTTTTCAGAAAATTTAATTTAAAACTATAAATAAAATGAGCATCGAAAAGAATATCCAATTTAACTCTATACTGCTCCAGCCTGACGGTTTTTCTTTCGAGTTCCATTAACTGTCTCGCCCTGTTACGATCCATTACTGCACACGAGCAGGCACGAATACTCTAATATTGTAGCTGTAGACATATAATTGCGTCACATTAGAGATTTGAATTTTAACAACTCAAATTTTGAGGCGGTTGTAAAATCTATTCATTACAGTCCAAGGCGTATTATATCAATAAGAGTGCAATTACTGAATATCGAGGGCTAATGAACAGCTTATTGTAGCTTAAATGACCAAGTTTAAGTAGAGTACTGCAACCCTGGGCTGTAAGCTGTACAGTATAGCAGACCTAACCAGTCATGGACTACTACACTAGATGTACATCATGCCCATTTCGTTCATGATTTGGTTGGTGGCACCATATTCACCAAATTCTGGAGATTCTAATTAGGTATATTGTACACTAGACCTAACTATTTCAATCTGGATTTTTCATACACATCGACATGGGAGCAATATACAGTACATACAGAAATGGCCGTGTCGAAGTATACAATACGAACAATTTATATTGAACATTCCCATGATTAGATGATCGAGAAGAATTGGTGAATCAGCAAAGCACTACCAATAATGCTACGGATCAGTTACTCTAAGCTAACGACACTTGCAATCTATCCCCCTAGTCCGAGCAGCTCATGATGAATTATTGCATTCAGCCAAGCTTTCTTCAGCCTGTGCCATTTGTATTTCAGGCTGCACCACAACCCTAGACCAGCAGGCCATCCCTGACTATCCTGACCTACTTCACATAAGTGTTTGTAGTTCAATTTGAAGCACCTGCAACGGCAGAGCTAGAGTCTTGAAAGCAGACCTCTGCAAATGATGTCAAAAATAATAGCTGCCATGAGTGGTCGGCTTGGAGGTTAAGAATAAAAACCCGGAAACTTCAACAGTACTGTATGCTTCAAGATCAATGGCGCAGACTAGTGTAGACCAGTGTGCTACAGTACCGCCATTGCACATGTGCTTCCGCCATTTGCACATTTACAAGTGCAGTCAGATTGAACGATGCAACCTGGAGCAACGGCATAGCTAGAGTCTTGGAAGCAGACCTCTGCAAATGATGTCAAAAATAATAGCTGCCATGAGTGGTCGGCTTGGAGGTTAAGAGTAAAAAAAACCCGGAAACTTCAACAGTACTGTATGCTTCAAGATCAATGGCGCAGACTAGTGTAGACCAGTGTGCTACAGTACCGCCATTGCACATGTGCTTCCGCCATTTGCACATTTACAAGTGTACATGTCAGATTGAATGATGCAACCTGGAGCAACGGCATAGCTAGAGTCTTGGAAGCAGACCTCTGCAAATGATGTTAAAAATAATAGCTGCCATGAGTGGTCGGCTTGGAGGTTAAGAATAAAAAAAACACCGGAAACTTCAACAGTACTGTATGCTTCAAGATCAATGGCGCAGACTAGTGTAGACCAGTGTGCTACAGTACCGCCATTGCACATGTGCTTCCGCCATTTGCACATTTACAAGTGTACATGTCAGATTGAATGATGCAACCTGGAGTTTAGTCCGCCATGACTGTACGTACGATGATTGTGAGTTAGATGCCTATACGGTGGACAGTGTCCAGTACCGTATTGGCATACTGTACCGTACTGTGAAAACGTACAGTACGGTACAGTAATTTATTGACGAAGATCCAACTGGCAGCACACCAGCTAAATCGCGTCAAACCGTGTACAGCAGTAGATTGTGTTTGCTCGCGAATCGATGCCCACATCTCCAACGTCATTTGCTCAGTTTTGACTTGTAGTAACTCCATTACCTCGATATGCCGTTGAGTTCTTTGAGTAGATTAGCTAATATTATATCCTATAATAGTCAAGCTTACAGATATGGCTTGAAGATTCACCGATATTGTAGAGAAATTACTCGTCGTTACAATCATGCACATACAGGTTGCTTGACGACCGTCTCTGGCAATAGGTAAGCTATGGATTGATTGATTGCAGTAACTTAAATAGATAAAAGGTTCATTTTAGGCAGTAGATAGTTCCATTGGTTAATATCCCATAACGGAAATAGGGCTTACAGTATTTACTTGGATCGATGTTGTGAGGGCTTACGACACTGTTGTATAGTATGCTTAGAATGGCTCTTCATGTCAGAGCAATCCATGTTTGCATGCATACTCGTGCATGCAAGCAAACGAGTACATTGATACTACATGGCTATGCTACTGCCATCAATAACTCTTCTTGTGGAAGATGCTTCAATCTTACATTAGAGTCAACGATTTAGCTTGAAAAGCTAACTTACAATCAATAACATCGGTCATTCTTAACATGCAGATGGTCATACGCGTGTTTGTGGAAAGCGTAACCCTTTCCTAATATGTATAACATGAATCTGAGGTAGTGGTTATTTGTCTGTTAATTCGTCGCTGCTGACTACCAATCCGTCTTTTGCTCGATAGTGATCACTGACTATTTTGATATCACAATAAAAAAGTGTTAGCATAAAATAATTAATACAAAGTAGTGTATGTAAGGCATACTATTCGAATAATCTTGTTAGAACATAACCAGAATACATGACGGATTATCTTCAACTCCTTTATTGATTGTACTTTAAATGATTATCACATTAATTGGGATGCCATTCAATTTTTATTTTATCCATATTGAATTCTTACACCATTGAAAAATTCTCATGATATTAAAATTTTTTTAGCGAAATAAAATTTTCTTGTGGTAAGCTTGCAACTATTGCAGATGGATCTGTCCTTGTAGAAGTAAGTTCAAATTGAAGTAACTGTAGAACTTATTCATTGACTGCTAATTTAAATTAATCTCCAGACTTTGATAACTTATGTCCTACTTATCGGTATAATTTTAACCTTTACCTACTATATTTTGTATTACTGTAGAATAATGTCAATAGTGCATAGGGATAACGTTGCAGATAATAGATTTGCCTTATTTAGTTGAATATAATATTTCCTATTCAGAGGTCTGAAGTATGGGCTATAAATTACGTGATAGATTCAGGTATTCTATGGATTCTTGCTCAAACCAGTAATCTGTATTTTATAACTATAGACTGGATCGACCGCAGTCTTAGTTACTGCAGTGATGAGTCGAGCTACTACTTCCTACGCTGGCTTCGCTCCCTTACGGGTAATACATGTCAGCATAAGCTTATTATTCCAAACTCAAATCATTTACTGAATACTGCTAAAATAAATAGAATACTTTCTAAGCTTTGAAGCAACCTGTATGTAATAGTGCATTAGTACTTGAAATCAATAAGAATAAATAATTGATCGTTCTTAATTAATTAATAAAATGTGAAACGGTCTTGACATTATTTTATTGCTAAATAGGTGGATTATAGAGAGAAAGCCTCTGCGACTGGAAAGATACCAGTTAATTTTTTCAAGCGAGAATTAGGTCCAAGTGAAAGAGAAATTCTAGCAAGCAGAAGCATTGGTGTGTATTATTATCATTCTCGTTTAAGTTAATAATTATTCACTCGCAACTTTTAGACTGCATTGTATTGATCCTTGCATTCATTATAATTATGTATATAATTAATAGATCGTTCCATAAGGTCATCTTTTCAACGTGGTATGCCACAAGAAGTGCAGGTACGGAAAGAAATGCTAAACTTTATGTACTGAAGAAATATTTTCTTTGCTTTACTACATCTATGCCAAAAATATATATCACGATTGCCTTATGTTACTAATAGATTGTATGTAGCTTGATGTCTGCTGATGCCGAACGCGATACGATAGTTCCGGCTATAAATGGAGGTAGGAGACTACTTACTACTAATCATATATGCACCAGCTTATTATTTAATGACAAATAATTTGTTAGTAAGCTATTGAAAAGTTTTGCAAATTTTTGCATACCGTATGTAGCATCGGCCGCTTTAACGATATCAAACATACCGTGGAACGGACCAATTGGTATAGCCTTGATTAGGAGATGTAAAATCTTGAAATTAAAAATTTTGATTGACAAATTAATATTACAGGGGCTGTTAGAGTGGGTTATATTAATGATGAAGTAATAATCAATCCTACGCGAGTTGAGGTTAGTAACAGTAGTAATGTGATCAGAATAAATTTGCTAGACGAAGTACTTATTATAGATTTTGTGGTAAATAGGGATATCTGATAGACACATTGCTTCTCCTTGCTATTTTACTGCCATTATTAATTCATCTTTTGTTCTTTAGTTATATCAATCGAAGTTAGACTTAGTTATTGTAGCTTCTGCGAAAGGATTAGGTAATATTGTATTCGCAATTGTTAACATATTAATTGCATTGATTGGTATGCCTTTATAAAATAACTCAATGCTTACAAATGATTCTAGTTATGTTGGAAGGCACAGCCTCTGAGTTACCTGACGCTGGGGTTTTAAAAGCTATCACGTATGGCCTCGAAGAGGTTAGACATTAACGATATTGAAAATCCGTGAGCAAAATTGTGTATCTCACATGATTTATTTTGCATATGAAACGACTTGACTTTAAAGAAAATTAAACTATTGCTACTGTCGTTATTTATTAGGCCCAAAATGTTGTTAAAGCCGTAGAAGATTTTGGTCATAGATATGGCAAAGATAAGACTAATCTAACTTTCTATAGATTAGATGAAAGCATCAAAGAAGGAGCTTATAAGTAGGATTAAAAATTTTAAGGCTTACCTTACGCAATTATGCAACTTAAGAAGTACTATTATTTCTCTTTTATGCAGTCTTATAGGCGATCAGATAAATGATATCATGCTGGACTTTTCTCATAAAAAGGTATCGTTAAACTGTAGCGAAATAACAGTATGAAAGTATTTTTTATCGCTCGTTAAGTACGTGCATTAAATAAAGTCTTAAACACTCTAATGTAGCTTTCCCGGGATCGAGCTGCAAGGAAAGTTGTGGATGAAAATTTTAAAACTCTCCAAGGTAAAATTCAGCCTTATATTATTTTCGTACTAAGTTGATTATCTTGGTGTAATAATTACTTATTCTATATCTCATTTTACATAGAAATGTTTCCAAATGCTGATAACTTTCAATTATCAGATTCATTCAGTTCCGTTACTAAGAGATGTATAACTCAAAATGTGATGACTAAATCTATTCGGTACATTTTAAATTAATAATTAGCGCTCATGGAGTATACTGTGTTATAATTGTTCGTTAATGCGTTGAAGAACTATTACTTATGAGTTGATACTATTTGCTTCAATGTAAATAGCTGTGATGGTCGTGGATTGAATGATTTACGGCCAATCGATGCAGAGATAAACATTTTTCCAGCCTTACATGGTTCTTCCCTTTTTAAGCGTGGAGAGAGTCAGGTGTTACACAAAGCTTCACTGCTTTCGATAGCGTCAATAATAACTAATACCATTATGTAATGAGTGTTCTTGCATGGTTTCAGATTTTTACCACAGCTGTACTAGGGTCTAAACTTTCGCTACAAAGATTTGATATAACCACTGCGATATTAGGGTTAGATAATGACTCTTCAAGACTATAGAGTATTTTGAATTTAAGTCCGTCCTCTTATAAATTTTTTCGTAATAATTACAGTCTATCATTATATATACACTAACAGTATCCTTAATTCGATTTATTTACAGTGGCGAACGTCATCGCAGTTTTATTCTCCATTATGAAGTATGTTAGTTAGTATTCAGGGTTATGTTTTCTAACTTTCTTATCATAATATATATATAAGCTAATTACTTCGGTTAACCTGGTGACAGTTTCCTCCGTATGCAAATAATGAAATTGGAAGAGTTATGGAAAATTCTAGACGAGAAATTGGTCATGGTCAGTTCAGTTTTAAGAGTTAATAATTACTAATGCTTAAGAAGTCGTATAACCATGATCTGAATTACTGCAACAGGTACTTTAGCAAAGAATGCTTTACGATCTGTTGTATCTGACGACTTTCCGTTTACAGTTCGGTTAACTGGTCAAGTCTTGATGTCAAATGGTAGGTTATATTAGTTAATTATTAATGGATATTTAAATAATGTTAAAGATAATATTCAATGTGGACAGGATCGACATCGATGGCATCTGCCTGTGGTGGAAGTTTAGCATTGATGGATGCAGGTAAGCACCTGAATCGCTGCATATATTTAACACTTAATCTTAAATCAGTTTCTATGGTTAGATACATTCGTATTCGTATTTTATCATTTCATTAATTACTAATTACATCGCTATAATTTCGTTAACCTAAGGAGTACCTATTTCTCGTCATATTGCTGGAGTAGCGATGGGTTTAGTAGCTAATCCTAGTGATGATGGTTCAAAATTTAACTATAAGATTTTAACTGATATTGCGGTAAGTATCAAATATATAGATATGTACACGAAATGAATGCAATGCTAGTTAAATCGCCGAATCTTATTCTCTATGATACAATATAATTCTCGCACAAATACTATTAATACAGGGTATTGAGGACTATTTTGGAGAAATGGATTTTAAAATTGCAGGCTCAAGAGAAGGCATCACATCATTGCAGGTTAGAGAGCAATTGTGGTATCTTTTTCATGCTATCACATGTTGTGAATGATACAATAATGATAATTATGTAGGCGGATTTTAAAGTAACAGGAGTCTCTATGGAACTAATCGAGGAAGCGATAAAGAAGTCGGCTGGTTCGTACATTGCGTTTATGTCTTTAAATAGTCTATCAACCGTGATTGCAAGTGCCTGTAATACTCTCCCTAACATTATGATTCACCGCACATTTTTAGTGGCTAGAGGAAAGGTGCTCGACATAATGTACGGCGTAATAGATAAGCCACGATTGGACGTAAAAAGTAGCGCTCCAGTTTTTGGTAAATCAGTGCTTTATGTGTATTATCGTTGCTGACTATTTTATGAGAATGTCACAGACTCTTACTACCATTTATTGCTACTTTTTATAAGACATTGTTGATGTGCCTGCGGGTAAGAGGTTCAGTATAGTAGGTTTAGGCGGTGTCACAATCAAGGGTTTACAGGAAGAATACGGTCAGTCATGATTACAGTTATCATTTTTTAAAGCAGTTCTTAATATTTGTCTAAAATTACATATTAGGGTGTGACATAAATTTCGTAGATGAAGACAAAGTTTCAATTTATGCTCCAAGCGCCAAAGCCTTAGCGAATGTGAAGCAAAGAATAGAAGAGTTGATGGCTGATTTGAAAGTACGAGTATATCGTAGCTTTCCTTATTCACACTAAATTTAGAATGTCACACGGCAGCGTTGCTCTGCTATTATGACTTTGTTAACAAGTATTTGCAAAATTTACTTTAGGAACCAGATCTTAAATTCTCTCAAATCTATACCGGGAAGATTGTTGATATAAAGTATAAATCCTGAGTTATCTAAAACACGACTAGTATCCGATTTAATTGATGTCTTTTATTTTTAATTTGCAGGAATTTTGGAGTGATGTTGGAAATGGAACCTAATACTCAACCGATTCTGTTGCACGTATCTCAGTTGGATCATCGAAGGGTAGTACTGTAGCAGTCTTATTAGAGTATTTCTATGGTCACATTGGTTCCAGTTTTAACTGTTATTGTCCATATGAATACTTCATAGGTATCTAGACCAGAATTACTTGGTTACAGTATTGGTCACGAAATGACGGTGAAGTGCTTTGGTCGTGATCCGATAACAAACAGATATCGGCTATCAAGGAAGGCACTATTGCCAGCGCTGTCGAGTTCCATATTTCCACCTAACTCATCCACTGATCCTAAGAAAAAAGAGACGCCCAGTAAGGATGACATCAAAGGGATGGAAGAGCTGATCGGTAGCCATTCTGAACACGAACAGGAACAATAATTTTTATAGGATAACTGTATGTATTTCCATCGATAACTGAGGATCAGACACCACCTTTAGGTGAACAAATCACTATGCAATATTCAAAAAAATCACTCAACCTTTTATGACCATTGATAAAAGTCAAGCCATGTTTTATTGGATAAAGATTAGCAATGTATGTAAAATATTACTATATTATATCTAAAGATCTTACAATACGCTAATGATACAACATCTGTTTTTATTGTAAAACATTCAAATCGGACACGCTTTATCACGAAAAGAAGGTTTTAATTAATCCTATATTTGGAAACTGAATACTTTTAAAAATTCTCTTTAATATCAGCCAGCTTTTAATATACAGCATGCATCATGCATATGACAATATTTAATATCGCCTTTATACGCGTATATAAAATAAAAAGAATTTCTTTACATTAATATGTAATGGTGTGCAAACCATTTGATTGGATTAAACCAACACGTAACGAAAGTTTAATTAACGAACATTACATCATACGTGTTAGGACATTTTATAGTAGTTACTGTGCTAATTCTAGTAAGATTCTCTTGTTATTTACACCGCTCACACGCTTAACCTTTACCTTTACTCTATCTCCTGGACCCAATGGGCGTTTTTCGCTTTCTATATGATTATACTTCACGTTAGTTTAATCGAATAGATAAAAGAATTTGACGTACATCTTAGCAAACGCAGACATACCAGATTGAGTTATCACTTCCTCACCAATCCGAATCATGCCGTCTGTTCCTAGTCCACAATCCACAAATATACCGAAAGTAGTCACATTTCTGACGCAACCGGTCAAAATTGTGCCATTTACAATTGACTGCAATGAAATAATGCTACTTCGGAATACAGGTTCATCATAATCTGTTAAAAAAAGAGTAAGTCGGAAACTTGCACAACTAGATACGAATATTTAAATTTTTCGTTACCGGATCTAATATCAAAATCAAGGTTCTGTTGCAATGCATCGCATAAATTTTTAAATACGTCAGAATCAATCCCTAGACATTTTTGCAAAGCTTCAAATCCTTTCAATAAATGATAATATATGCACATTAGAATCTATTAGATTCTACTGCAGAATAATACAGATCTAAATAAGAAGTAACTTTATTGGAACAGTTTATATTCGCTATACGGTACCGTAGATTGACTGTAAACAAAGTCTACATCATCGGAATACGAACCTGGAATATTGAGCTGTAGCGTAACTTTTTCAATCAGTTTTTGGTCGCCTATGTCATCCATTGTAGCTCCTAAGTACCGGAGAAATCTGGCAAAAAAAATTCTAATCAATCACTGTCGGTATCATGCAAAGTCGACGATAGAAATACCGTACTTCAGTGCTGAAGGATAATTGTCGGGATGAATTATCGTCATATCTAGCTTGTTAGATTCTGCTATTATTCTCTGTTTCTTTCTTGCAACGATACTACTATCAGTGGATATCTTCCTTTTCCCAGAACTTGTTGATACCGTCAGGCTCGTGTAGTTGCTCAAGTTTTCCTCATAGGAAGCTATTGACAAGCAAGAAAAATACATTCCATTTCAAAACTATATAATGGTATCTTTGCTTTCGGATCTCTTGCAGAATGATATGTACCAGGATTAATTCGTAGAAAGCCAGCACATTGTTCAAAAGTTTTCGGTCCAATTCCTTTTATTTTCTTTAACTGTTCACGGTTGCATAGCGGACCATTCTCTTTTCTATATTCAACTATAGCTTTTGCACACTTAAGATTGAGACCGGCAACGTGCCTATTATAATACGTAGGCCAAAGTTAAGCGGACTTGCAACAAATACTATTTTAAATTATCTAAAAGTATCCTACTGTAGCATTGTCACGTCGGCAGTATTACAATCGATTCCAACAAAACTAACGCACGCCTCTAAGACACCTTTTACCGCTTTTTCCAGTAACTTATCAGGAATATCATGCTATGACATAATATTATGAGTTTGTAAGTTTTGATAAATAAAATAACTAAACAATTTTCATCCCAATCTTTAGCGATGTGCATAATTACCTGATACATACCAACACCCAAATGTTTTGGCTCTACTTTTGTCATCTCAGCAAGTGGGTTTTGCAATCTTCTAGCGATAGAAACTGTAGTAAGAAATATCAGTTTAATGCTTAATTTGCCTTATACGTACTGCAATATTACAATAATCTTCAAGGGTTCAATAGAAAGAAACTAGTAATTAATACATCTATCCGTTTACCGGCACTCCTTAAGTTTGGCATTAACTTCGGCAGTTCCGCTCTGCCAAGTTCCGATATACTATACCAAGAGCTCCCAGATTCGTTGACAAAGCTGAAAGACATTTTACTATCAAGATAGAACAAAATTAAGCTTAAAAAGCACACAAGATCTTACCAGTACTTGACCTTTTGAAAATTGAAAGCTCTCCTTGAGGTCAAGTTACTGAGTAGAGTTTCCACATCGCGGCACGCACAACCGTTACCAATTGCTATAAGCGAACACCTGGGTATCCATAAACCCCCAAAAACGTAAAAGTAATTATTATACAGTAATAATGCTTTAATTAAAAATGTCAATAATACTGATTTACTAGTACTTTTTAATTCAAAAAAATCTTACTTGAATCCTTGGACAAGGTTGACTAGAGTTGCCTCAGCTTCGCTGATTCTTGCATCATGTATATAGATTATAGTAGCGTGCAATACTTCACCTGTAATTACGCCTTACATTAATTAAAATAAAATAATAATTGGTGTTCCTACAAATGCCTAAAATAGACAATTTAAATACCTAATTTATCAATTATAGCTAATTTGCAACCATTTTTATATCCAGGATCTATTCCCAAGATGACTTTTCCGCTTACTGACGGAGTCAACAACATCCGACGCAAATTTTGAGTAAAAATACTCACAGCCGCTTTTTGGGCTTGACATGTCAGATTACGTCTAGCAATAACAACACTGGCATTATTTCATCGCAAGCGTAAAACTTCACTACTCATTTGACTGCAACTACAAGTAGCTGTGCAATATTTAATTTATTCTAACATATTGAATTAATGCAAAAAGGCGCTTGTTTTTACCGAATCCGTCTTTCTTCAGCAGGTTGTAGCAATCGAACAAATGCATCCTTTGTTGCTTCATTAAATATGCGTTCAACATCTAATCATAGAGAAAAAATCGGAATATCCATAGATAAACGATCGAATAAATTACGATCATCTCACGGGAAATTTCACAAAGTAATTTATAAATTGGTATTCTTATGGCGATAAAGTTTAGCTAGACCTTTTCTTTTCGGGACAAATGGGAATATTTCATTTCTTGCCCATGTGCAGAACTTTTCCTGAGCTTTGAAATCAGCTTTTATTTTCACAGTTAGGATTTTCTCTCGTTCACCACGATTCAGAGCCAACACCTAATGATACCGGTAAGTCAATAAAATCTAATTTTATACATGCCAGATTTCATAGCAGTTTTCGTCCTATCCACATCTAAACTCGTCTACTGATATCTGTACAGTAGATATAGTAGGCGTTGATCAAAGTATGCAAGTGTGACTGACGGCGTATAATATGTACCTGATGAGGTAGAACATGTGTAACTTTTCTTTGAAAGTTAGAATATCTCTCCAAAACATTATCGAATGAGGGATTATGCATTTGCTGCTTGATTGTTGTTGACGATAGGAATGAAGTGATCTCAGCATTTTTAAATCTAATAAGCATTATGTATAAAGAGTCTTAGAATACAAAACTGATATTATCTTGCATTTGTATAACTGTAAATTGGGAAGGCTTACACATACGGTAATAATGTATACGTACGACTTGCTATCATAGGAATGATAATTATAATAAGTTGGTCTTAATGATGTACACTGTGTTTGCTCTTACTCTAAAAATAATGACTCAGCTTACAGTTTGCCGACGTAACTTCTGCAATTAGAATTCTTGGCGATTACATTAGCTAAGATGTGTTTGACACCATTCTGGATCTCTTCGATTGATGCTAGACCTGGTAGTTAAGATATTTCAGTTTCAACCATTTAATCATAACTATCTACTACAGTGCACGTCCTATCCAATAAACGATTCAGCGACAGAATTAATCACAGATGGTTATCTGGCTAAACACAACTATACGTACTTCAGTACTAGAAGTGATATTACTTGCACACTAGGGTTATCAATAAGTGATATGCCAATGGTATGTTGCAAGTTCAGTTACTGACAATACGATAGCAACTATTATATATAACAATTTATTTCTTACATACGATATATAATAAAATTAAAAGTAATACATCTTTTACGTTCAAAGTTCATACCTTGAGTATCTCTTTTGATCCACGATTTAAAATTCACTTGATCAATTTTATTTTCAAGTAATAAAGTGGCTAACTTATCCAGACCAAGTTTTTTAGCTCTATCGGCTAATGATCCAGTGGGAGTTGTTTTAAACTGTTTAGCCTACAGTAGAATACGGTAAATATATAATATCTGTTGACAATGGTAGCCACTGTAGTAAGTTATGGATAAGACAACAATATACTAGTAAACTTTGAGTATAAAACAGTGCCGTCCTATCTTAGGTTGAAGTAATTATTGCCAGTCATTTCTCTCACCAATTCTTTAATTTCTTCCACAGACTCAGCGCGATCGAGCTCTTGCTCTAGCTGTAAAGTTAAAGCACCGCTTTTTTGCAGCCTTGTCTTTAGTTTCTTGCTTTCTTCTTGAAGTAATCTAGTAGGATGAAATAAAGATATAGTCACCAGTAACACAAGGTGAAGTTTTGAGCTCGTTACTGCTGACTGTAGTACAACATGATGAAAGAATTATGGCATTGAGATTTCCATCCTATTTATCCTACGATTATGCATGAAGCTGTAAGTTGAACAACGTCAATAGTAGGTTACTGAAATTCATCCTTTGCATAACTGATCGCACGCATATAATAACACAGTGAGCACACTGAACACAGAATAACAGTGCTATCGACGGCATTTTGTGGCCGCAGACTTATGGTGCACTATGGACTGTGTGAAAGTCTTCATCCTACGGTATCAGGATGGATAGGATTCTTCTACTGAGCAAGATTAGTCATTTAGTAAAGGTGCATTTGTGCATCACAACCCACGAAGTAACTCATCTGAATCATATTTGGCATTAAGTTAATCGTAAAGTTACTGTGTTAGTATAAATGTTTTTAAAAAAAGTACAATTTAACCATTTGCTATCGGAATAATTTTGTTTAATCGATTTGTACCAGATCGAATCACGACTGTCTATCGTTTCATCATAAGGCGTCACGACTTTGAATTGATAGTCATAATATCTTTAAAGTCTAGCCATAGTAAATATTATGTGAAGAATGATACAGCTAGCACAGTCGAAGGTATATATCATGGCTATTTTCAATCAAAGTAAAGTATTAGAAGGTTTGCCATCCATTGAATGCTAGCAAGTTAACACTAATCATCTGTAAAGTCGATCGTGTAGACTATCACGACTAAGGCTCAAGCCTATTTGTATAGGATTCAGTTATGGAACGATCATTGGTCCATGTATTGGACTTGATTCAAGAATTATTATTATTCAATATTCTTATTGGATGCGAAATGAGATAGTCAACATCGCCTTGAGCTAAGCAAGTTGCATAGTAGGTTCAGCACAGAGGAAAGTTAAGCAAGGGATTTTCCTAGCCTGCATATCGATCGTACAGTATGCATACTAGCGTTTAAAGTGAGAAATCATTTTGCAAGCCATCTTGAAAACTAGTACTGCAATTTCTAGCCCGGTCGGGACAAAAAGCCTTAGGATTAACTCAATATTGGAAGTTTATTTTGTTTGTAGTACTGTAAAGCAACCTTGGCTAATACTAACCAGGCATAACAGTAAGATTTCAGTGATCGTAGCATGCAACATGAGTGGGATGAATATCGGCGCCAGCAAATGATCGAGTTGAAAAACAAGGTGCTGAAACACGTTAAAAATAGACACCGCACCAATCCTGTTGACTATGCTTATTGATGTAGACGCAACTTACATGAAGTCTTCGTAGTCATTTCGAATTTGCTGAATATTTATATCATTAATTCCTTGGATCATGCTACTCTTGTAACGAACGATAAATGGCACAGTATTTCCTTCTCGTAATAGAGCGATTGCGTTCTTGACTGCGACTTCATTGGCTTGATAACGTTGAGCTAATCGCTTGATATAAAATGCTTGCAATGATTGATCGTGTCTTTGACTTGCCATCTAAATTAAAATGTCCCCAAAACAATAATAACTTTATCACAGGTTGTATAGCTATCATTCATTCGTCTAGAAACATTATCCATCTCTACTAATGGATAAGAATGCTCTATGAACAAGGGGAGAGAGAGATACGAGAGAAAAAGCCAAGGAGATCATAACTTGCATGAGAAATGAGGAGGAAAATAAATGATTACCGTGATCGCTCTCAATTTGTCCTTCTTATTATGATTCTATAATGATGGAATCTTGGCTATGAATGGAATGTGAGCTCTTGGCGATTCTACGGTCAGTCTAGTAGCGGCCACTGTTTTAGCTTTCACTTCAGCTTGTTGCTTTCACGTTGTATTTCCAAGGCTGCAATGACGAATCTTTTCGCATGCAATGGCCTGCCCAATGTCTTTGCATCGATGTGGACGATTTCGAACTGGTTGGATGGCAAGGAGTTCGCCGGCTAGCCGATGAAGAAATATTGACACCTGGACACTTGGACGGTCCAGAACGGCACCCCTGTCATACTGGATACCCTACCGTATGGATGTTTCGCGGTACACCCATGGGCTACGAGAAAGGAAGCCACAGTACAGTATGGTAGTAGTCCATGACTGCAGAAGCAGGACTAGAAGTCGAGGTTGCCATGGTCAGCATAGAGTCTGTAAAATCATGCTCAAATATATGAAAAATATCATTTTTCTGAGCCCAATTTTGTTTTGCTGAGTGACAACCTCCATTTTTATACGAAACCGGTTAAATTGCGTTTTCTCTGATGCTAAATAGAGAAATAAATACAGGTGATGGAGGCATTCGAATGATGAATCCTCCATCAGGTCTGTAAAGGTAATCAGCATTAAAAGTATTCATCTTGGATTCTTGGTATTGAATTAGTATGTTTACTAGAGGATTGTGCACGGATTACTAAAAAGTTGCCTACATTTTTGAGCCCATTTAGTAGTCAAGCTCATTTTAGTACCGTACACAACTAGAAATCTTGAACGACTGTCAAGTAGTTCTAGATTGTAGAAAGGTGTATAGCTGCACGCATTGAACAGTATTTGGTCAGCAGTGCGCCTCCAAAACCATGCTCTGAGCTGGTGGTTATCCATCGTAGCATTGTGCACGGACTACTAAAATGTTGCCCGTATTTTGGAGTCCATGCTAATAGTGCATACAGTCTTTGTCATGGACTACCCGAGCTCTTTTTAATACTGAGCACAACTAGAAATCTTGAACGACTGTCTTGGTCAACAGTGCGCCTCCAAAACCATGCTCCGAGCTGATCATCTACCGTAGGATTGTGCATAGACTCTTAAAAATATTGCCCGCATTTTGGAGCCCATTTTAGCAGTGCACGTAGTGAAAGTCACCGACTAACCAAAGTTCTTTTAAGTGCATTATCCAACTAGAAATCTTGAACGACTGTCATGTAGTTCTAGAGGTGCACAGTGTAGCGGCACATATTGGACAGTATTTGGTCATCAGATTTCCTGCTTTCGTGTTGATGTCATGCTTACTTGACTAAGCTACCTTGAAATGGTAGGATGCGCATTGAACTCAAATTTAATTTATTTATGGAAGTCATTGTTCAAGTCACTAGCCTGTACTGTAAGTCTAAAGACTGCAGAGTGATCCATTTTTCACCTGCAGTAGTCAATCTATAAGTGATTGATTTCCATTTCAAGTGCTAGTGGGCTCTGGACTATGCACGATTGTTTTGCAATGAGCTCCCTGCCTACTGTAATATGATGTCCTGATTCACAAGGATGGTCGAGATAGATTGAGGATGAGGGAAGAAACTTTTTTTACAAGTCCCTCTCTCTTGCATACTAGTCCACAGACTCGGTGCAAATGATGCTATCGGCCAGGCTAGTTACTCCGAGTTGGAGCAATATGCAAAAGAGGTCTTGGTTGGTGATTGACGATAAAACATACAGCATTTTTTCAAACATTGTTCAAGCTCTTACGGATGTCTCACTCTTTGAGGGACATTTATACGACCATCAATCCCGCTAGAATGACTTCGTATTGATTACTTTTGAGTTAGGCAAGCATAGAAAATGAGGAAATGGATATTATTGACTACTATCCACCTCTCCATCCACTTTTAGCTGACATTTTGGCCCGTGTACAACATTGGTTTTACGTTGAGACCTTGAATGCAGTCTACAACACGATCCACTATACTGCATTCAGCACCGCCAATTTCGCGTTAGCATCGTCCGCCCATCCGGCCATGTACCCACCTGTCCATCGGTCCGTCTCTCTCGGGTGTCGAATTTCATTCGGTTGGTCATCATACAGGTACTTCAATGGCACTCCTCTGGCCATACTGTAGCAGTAAAAAGAATTCTTATACTTGGACTGGCCCATAACATACGCCCATGGCCGCTCTCTAGACCACTTTAATACTGTGCCAGTATAGGAAAGTCCAATCTCGCCATTGCTAGGAGACCATTGCAAGTCCAGCCAATTCATTTGTGGATGAAAGTAATTTATCGATTGCATCATCTATTCCTAGCAAGTTCTCCTAATGGCTTCTAAATTAGTGTACTTGAGAGGAGGAGTTAGCAAACTAACGTATAGCTTGATGACTCCAATAACTCCTTCTTATTCTGTAAACGTTATCAATCGACCTTACAATCGGCTAGCTAGTCATGGTCGATGGTGGCATTTACTTCGTTCTTACTCGAGTACTGTTCGATTTGCAGTGGAATCGACGTCTAATCAAGTTAAAAAAAAATCCAAGTCTAATATTTCTGGACTTCAACGTTTAATCACTTTAGCCAAGCCTGAATCCAAGCGTTTGACATGTAAGTTATTCTACATCTTTTTTCATCTATCTGTGTATCATTTGATGACAACACTTCGTGCTGCAATGGAAGGATGGCTATGCAATTTGCAAATTCAATAAAGTGAATGTCTGATGCTGCTGCATCCTGCACATATTATTTACTCAGTGTCACAAAATAGCTTTCGTAATCGGACCTAAACTAGCCTATCTACTCTATTTAATCTTCAACTAACTTTAGCATGCTCTCTATAAGGAAACTCACTTATTTCAATACTAGAGAATGGAGTGAAACGAGAGGGATTTACCTTCACGCAATTGTATTTACTACTAGCTATAATGTAAATTAGTACCTGTGTACTCTACGCTAGCCTCCACTAGCTTCAGTCGAACTGAGATGAAAAAATTTACAATCAAGCTTACAGTATATCACCATGTCATTACAAATGCCCCTCTGCTACAGTCTCTCATATTAAATCAACAACGTCAATTTTTCAATCATAAATCTCTCACCATTCTGGTTGAATGATTAATTAGAAGTACCTACTAGTCGTAAACAAGGATCGTCAAGTTCTGTAACACTCAGTGCAATCAATGTTGGCTTTTTCATTACTAGTAACAGCTTCTTCGTCTTACAAGAACGCGATACACGCCAAAAATGGGTGTTCTAATTTGACTCCGATACTCTTGATGGTAGTACCATTGCCTTCGTGCAGTATGCATGTAGCTTATACAGTAGATGTAAGGTAGCGATAGCTAATTTAGGTTATGGTAGTTTATATAGCTGTGATAGCTGGAGTTGAAATTATCAAATTATAAATTACTCTACCGTAAGCACAATATCTGCAGCTGGTATCCATATGAGGGGAAAATGACTCGTTCTCACGTACAGTAGAATCGAAACTTTGTGGCATAACTACTACTTGTAGTCGATGGAGGTTGAAAATTTTGCATTAGAATCATGGCACAATCATGACCTATTTTGCATTTGAAATTGCGAGACTACTAGATCAATAAATCTCTCTTTGACATGGCATAGCATCGTTGTTGCACATAATGACTCAAGCTGCAACTGCCTAAAGAAATTGAGCAAAATGACGGCTCAATAATGGCTACTCATCCTATCTTAATCATGCATGAATAACGGCTGTTATTGTTGATGTAGTACAACATGACGGTATAAACATAACAGTACAAGTAGACTAGAATGCCTTTCTCTAGCTTGGTTCACTAGCAGTCGATAAAGGTATAACACCATTGAAGTGCTAGTCATTTTACCATTCTTGCCATTTCAATACTTTAAAGTGACGGATGAAAGTTAATTGAAATCGTTATCCATAAATATCTATGGGTATTATTGAGAGTAGATCCATAATAGGAAATTTGCTGAAAGATCTGTTCTGGACAATGCTGCTCTTTATGATGCAATCCAGTATATCGAGCCAACTGTTAGTCCATTCTGTAATGATGGAAGCGATTACAGTATTGCTGCTCTTTATGATACAATATGGCCAGCCTACTGCTAGATAATGCCGTAATTACGGAAGCTATTACAGTATTGCTACTCTTTATGATGTAATTTGTCCAACTTACTGCTCGTTAATTATGGAAGCTGTTTTACTTTTATCGGTATCATTTACTACCTTGATGGATGCCTATGTCAATCAGTTTAACTACTGTGTTAATATTATTATGATACAATATAAAAATACAGAATTTTTATTCTTCTAGGTGCTGTTATACTTTTATTTATTTCCTCTTCTGTAACAATGTCAGTTCCATACTTTATGGGTGATATTATTGATGTAATCAGTTCGGAATCCGCTCGCAGTGGTCCAATGATGGATAAATTGACCCAAACTTGCTATATTTTGTCGGGAATCTTTCTTATTGGTAGTTTAGCAAATTTTGGTCGAGTCTATCTGATACAATCTGCAGGTACAGTAAATCACGTTACTTCAATTCAAGGAAGGAATCAAACTTTACTTTCGTTACAGCGACTGTCACTAAACGTATCTCAAGGAATATATTTAATTATATACTTTTATTGAAAAAACTCAATAAACCTGACCTCGAGCTCACTATTTTTTGCAGGTCAACGCATCGTAAGAAATATTAGGCAATCACTTTTTGGTTCTGTTGTAAAGCAAGAGATTGCATTTTTCGATAAAACTCGTACAGGGGAATTAATTAACAGAATGTCTACAGATACATCAGTGGTCGGCTTATCAATTACCAATAATCTCTCAGACGGCTTAAGAGCGCTTATGCAAGTTAGCATTGGAGCTTCAATGATGGTAATTGACTGCTGTTTTATACATCAATTTTATCGTAATCATATTCCCCTCTCTACGATATTAATTCGATGCTAAATACTTACTAATGGTCATGTACACTTTATATTCTTGAAATGGATTAGATTTACGTATCACCTTACCTAGCTACTGTTGGTATTGGGATGGTTGCGCCATTATCAATTGTTCTCATCTTATACGGAAGATATTTAAAAACTTTATCCGAGAAAACCCAAAATGCTTTAGCTGCATCAACTGAGGTAACGCATAAATATAAACTGATCCTATTCACAGTCGAGTACCGTATGTAAAGTGATATTGACTATCAAAATAATTTCCTGCAGTTAGAGTAAGGTAACTATAATATTGCAGCAGCTTATTAAATATTGGCGCAATGTTACATTATAACTATTGAATCGATAAAGAAGGAAATTGTTCTTAACACATCATATTAGATTGCCGAGGAAAAAATTAGCAATTTCACTACTGTGCGAGCATTTGCGAATGAAATGAAGGAATTGACAAGGTTTGAATGTACATTTGAAGCCGTGACGATTAAAAGATTGCGCATTATTAACAAAAGTAAAAGATATCTTGACGTTAAATTTATGATAATAAACAGATATGGAGAAAAAATCGACAAAGTTCTTCATCTTGGCAATAAACAGGCTTTTGTAAATGGTACTTTTTTTGGCTTTGTAAGTACTGTATTGTAATTTAACTAGAAAAGTATGTACTATCGATAAATTATAATATGATACCACTAAAGCGGAAAATTAAATGAATGTCATTTTAGACTGGATTTTCCGGTAACCTTCTACTATTAGCTGTACTATGGAATGGGGGAATGATGATGTCGCAAGCGCAATTAACTGTCGGCCAATTGACATCCTTCTTATTATATTCCGGCTATGTTGGTATTGCGATAGCAGGTAAGCCATTTTAAGAATTTGAAGTAGTTTTGATTTAGGTTACAATATTGCTGGCTCTAAATTGTCTATTTTACAATTATTGTTAGGAATGAGCTCATTTTATTCTGAACTTATGAGAGGAGTCGGTGCCAGTACTAGATTATGGCAGATTATTGATCGCAAACCCAAAATTCCCATTGATGGTCAGTAATAACAAAATTATCGCTTTATTAATGAAGGTTTTGTCGTCTGAAACTACAAGTAATTATTGCCACAGTACTAAATCAAATCATATCAATAATTATAATTTAGCCGGAATTATACCGGATATTTCAATCCTTAACGGAGATATCGATTTTAAGAATATTGGCTTTTCCTATCCCTCAAGATCAAATGATGTAATATTTAAAAATTTGACTCTCAACGTTCCAGCTGGTTCTATAACTGCAGTTGTTGGTGCTAGTGGAAGTGGAAAGAGCACATTATCATCGCTGTTGCTACGATTTTATGATCCAGATATCGGACAAGTATTGATAAATGGTGAAGATATAAGGTCAATCAATCCTGGTTGGATTCGTAGTAATGTAGGCTTAGTTAGTCAGGTTAGAAAGATCAGAAATGTGCATCTTTTATTATATACTAATGAAAATAATATAAATTATTACAAATAAACTAGTTTAACGCGTGACTAATATATTGATTTATCATCATTGTAGAATCCAATCTTATTTTCTACAACAATCTATGAAAATATTGCTTACGGTACCCAGGATGCCAAGTCGATCACTGCTGAAGAAATAATATATGCTGCCAAGCAAGCTAATGCTATGCAATTTATAGATCGATTTCCAGACGGGTTACAAACTGTTGTTGGTGAAAGAGGTCAATCTCTTTCAGGTGATAATATTTTTATTCGTATCATTATGCTATTAGTTCTCTATGCGAATAATTCATACTGAAGGAAAATAATAATGAACCTATAGGTGGTCAAAGGCAGCGAATTGCAATTGCCAGGGCACTCATTAAGGTATAAAATCCTGTAAAAGTATAAGATTAACCTTATAGTATTGTACATACTTCCTGCATTTATACTTTAGTATTAAATTATTAAATAAATTATTCACTATTTGCTTGTACTAACATTTTTTTATCATTAGAATCCACAAATCTTAATATTGGATGAGGCTACGAGGTAAAATTAAAATTATTATTTCATTAAAGTTAAAATCTTACCAAGTCTATACATTATCACACTTAATTTACCGAAAATAAAGTCTACCCTCTCCTCCATTACACTATTGAATAATATAATTAATTCTGTGTAATCGTATCATAAGAGATAGAATTCCATATGCATATATAAGGAATAAAATTGGTTAATTTCTATTTACTTTGTTGATTTATTAATGGTATCAATATCATAAATAGCGCATTAGATGCGGAGAGCGAGTACTTGGTTCAAGACGCTTTGCAAAGGCTGATGGTAAATAGAACAGTTATTACAATCGCTCATCGACTATCCACAATTAAACACGCGGATCAGATTGTGGTCCTTAATGAAGGCAAAATTGTTGAAAGGGGCAACTATAATGATTTAATGCAATTGGAAAATGGTGTATTTAAGAAGCTAATTGAAAAGCAATCAATTCTTATTGAAAATTAAGAGTTGTCGATCAAATTGTTGTTCTTATTTTATTAATTAATGCCTATCAGAATTTTAGCTAATCGAACTTAATAATCTAGCGTAACATAATTTATATTTTATATATTGCGCGTATATGATACATTGAGAAGAGTAAAAATTTTTTTGTTAGTAAGTTGACAATTTTTATTGTAAGATCTGCCATTATTTACTGATACTCCAACAGCACAATCCGTAAATTGATGAAAAACCAAGTAATATATACATTACATTGAAATTACGAATGAATCTTGTTTATTATTACTTTCATATCTAAACGCCTTATAATCCTATGAACACACAATACATAAATACCTATTCAGTATCATTAAAGGAGATTTTACACGGTCTTCGCTGTTTTGCGAAACATGTGTTATAATTTATGAGCTGTTTTACTTGTAAATGTTTATATCAAAGCTATAGTCTATCTACTGGCTTTTCCTAGATTTAGTTAAATAAAACTTCATAAAATCATTTTAGTTTCCGTGTATTTGCTATTTATTCTAGCTTAAATATCCATAATCAAAATCAAGGATTAAAATAATTCTCAAAGTATTCAGCGAATCATAAAATTGTTGAAAATATGTTCATTCCCGGGAGTGGCCGTAATAGATCTGTAGTACATAGAATCTGGGGCTAAAATATATAAAATGCGCTAAATTTGTTATAGTTTACTATATATCCAGTCTGGCCATTGGAAGCTTTATACTCAACGCTTTTTGTCCAATGATTTACGTAGTGATTCTGTAGTCAATCTAAACATTGTTCCCCTAATGTCCATCGTAAAATTTTATGCAATGTAAGTATTGAAGTTACTTGCATTAACTTACCGTGGTCTGAATCATAAATCTATATAAAATCTGTCATCTTTGAAATCAAATTACCAGCCAAGACATTTGCTTCTATTCTAAACAGCTGTAACAATATGATTTACGTACATTAACGTGATGCAAATAGCCGTAATTCATCGAATCAACTATTGATATCTTTCATGACAAAGCCAGTAACACTAGCGCACGTTGTTATTTATATTATTGTCAAGTAATATTTTATTTATCAAATCGGCCGATGCTCAAATAAGTCTATTTGCATAATCATCCTGGTAGCTAGTAGTGATTTTATTGGTTGGCCTTTCACCCCTTATTATTGCGGCTAAAGAATTGATATTTTGTATCCAAAACAATCGTCTTTATACTGTATAGAAATTGAATGTTTAATGTAATATTATTTGTTTGAATATACGGTAGCAGCTCATTATATATAATTCAATGCCCGGCGGAAAGCGTGATAAATTGCGACTCCAATAAGTTGCACTAACGTGGTGATCTATGTGTATCATGTTGTCGTAATTATGATAAAAAATTAAGGGAATCTACTTGTAGTGCTTATAATATCGAAGGGTTTATATTATACTATTAGGTAGCTGCCCATATATTTCTCATAATTAATTCATGAACTATAGTTAAGTTATCAATAACATTATTACATTGTTAATTAGATTTGATGATATCGTAAACAAGATTAATTGGAAGAAATAAATCGATTTATGCAGCAGTAAAATCTTCGATAATCATTCTCACTATAATATAGCTAATTTTTAAATTCTCTACTAAAGTAAATTTCATAATAGTAACGTTTGACAACGAGTTAAAGAGAAAATCAAAATATTTCAGTGTGTACCTTCTATCAAAGAGATACGTATGTCTCTTAAAAAAAACATAAATCAAAGTTATAACAATAAATCCGACGTATTTGTTGCTAAGCTAAGAAATGGTAATTATATTACTTACCAACGACAATGGTTATTGTTTTTGACGTATTAAAAAATGGTTGCTTAAATAACTTGTTAGATTGACTTTCATTAGTAACAGTCATACAGTAGCTAGTATCCTTCATTACGCGGCTACAGCTTCGCTAGATTGATGAAGAAAATATCCGTTTATATATCGCATGGCGCTAATACAGGCGTAACTACGAAATAAACTTGTGAAACTTCATTAATTGGCGCTGTATTAAGTTTTTATATATAATTTAATTAGAAAGTAAAGTTTCAATATGGTAATAATAACCGGCATTATCTGAATTAGACTAAAATAAATAATTACATATTTGTATAGGAAAGGAATGCAGTGTTATAAACGTATAAAACGCTTTACAAAAGTAGTTTTCTATTAGCTAATTATTCAAACATAGTACTGTAAACATATTTATATATACCAATATAGTGTGAATAACTAGTCCAGAGCAATTGAATAATTAAGTTGGGTAATAATTGGTAAAAGATAACAGCCGAAATTAGCTTAGTGAAAAGACGCTATGGTGCTGGAACAAAAACTTGAAATTACCTTGATAATATACTTATTGTAATGGAGAGAACGGTATACGCATTGATCTGATTATCTGATTGTAAAAGGTATAAATTATATACAGTATCTAAAACGCATAGTGAAGACCCCGCCGTAAATATTGGATTAACTATAAGTGAACAAATTTTTCTTTCTCACCTAACAACTATAAGGTACAACTATAAGGTTATTATAATGATGGTACTGAAAACTTAAGTACAGTACAGAATCTTATTTTATCTGTTCTAATTCTTATCATCTACTAGCTAAGCCTATTACAATGAATATATTGCTCTATTTTTATAATTATAGTAGCAGATGCTAGATTTGAGTGCTGAAAATTGTATTATTCAAAAGAATAATTCATTATTTTATCTATAAAATATCTATACACTCTCACTATATATAACAACCGCAGAGTAAAGATTTAAATTTGCCTAGATGGTTATTAAAATCGGAATTAAAATACAATTATGTTATATTTAAAATTAATGATCGGATTATTTCTGCAATCTGCAACTCTATGAACAACTAATGCCTTTAGAAATCATCCTATGCCTGTAATATATCTAAGTATCAGTAGCATGATATATATAGTATCTCTAGATAAAACTACCTGTTGATGTATGTATGTTACCTATATATTAAACCTGATTCATGTATTTCACTTTGAATTTGTTCCAGGTAGCAGTTGCTTTTACTTTCACATTTAGGTACGGGCATATTTTAAAGCTAGAATATCTCGTTTGGATTACTGAATAAGACTACAGTATATTTGGCATAATATACGCATATCATACGATCATTTATATGACTGATGATGCAGTTGAAGTAGTCAATGCTTGAGTAAAGATATCACCAAGCATAACTATATTTGTATAGCAATATGAATGATCATCTCGTAAAAAAGTTTCATTTCTGATAGCTAGCTGAATATAATCGGTAACTCTCAACATCCTAGAATACAGATACATTTTTGAAAATTGATTTTGAATATGAAAATAATTAAAAATTATAATAAATCGTACTTCAAGGTCGCTATGAATCGATACTCGGATAAATATTATATCCCAATATATTAGCCTAGGGGTAAAATATGTTGTAGTAAAAATGTAGTTGAAATTATAAGTTACCAAGTTAATAAGACTATACATTGTCATAATTAATGTTCGATCAATCTTGGCTAGGAGTTCATTAAACTTAGGCATAGAATGATAATAGCTAAATTTCTTTATTATTGTTACCAGTGCAAGATATTATTAAAAATAAAATTCATTCTTAACATAGTAAGTAATATTAGTATGAAATTTTAGTATCTACAGCGTACATTAAGGTTATTTATCGTTAATATGGTGCCGATTGACTAATTTTCGTCCTAATTTACTATATTGTTTCATTATTTTATTTTTCTCTTTGGCTATCATTTTACTTCTTGTCAGCATATTCAATGAATGCAAAATACAAAAATTATGCATAAGCATTATAAAGAATGTATACATGATAAATTATCATATAACAGAAAGAAAGAATGAAGTATCGACTTATCGATACTAACGATACCAATATAGCCATCAAGAATTATATCGTTAGAAAAAAATATTACTTTATAGCTAGATGATAGAAAGGAGATAGTTTGTATGATGAATATGTGCTTAAAAGATGAATTGAAAGAGAGAGTAAGAGAGCATGTGATCAGTGTTGTTGAGAACGATCAGATAGACAGGATTATGGATAATTTACGAAATAAAAATTTAAAATAGCATAGTGAATGTAGGTATTAATAGATATAATAATATTATTAAGATATTAAGATTTAACCTTGTATCCGTAGTGATAGCGTATTATTAATTCTATTTAAGGATGTAGTAACAGTTAAAATGATAATATTGACGAGGTTCAGGTTTGTATTCCTCCATTTTTCTATATAAATACTACATGAAGGAATTTTTCTTAAAAGAATATTAAAGTAGGACAAGTAATGATAAATGTATATAAAACGAACCAATTTATGTCGTAGTATGTTTATTAAGATGAAACTGGAGTAGTTTCTAATATAGTAGATGTAAGAGAAAGAGGAAGATTAATTGAGATTGAGATTTGAGGCTTGTCAATTGTATTGCATCATACTATTGGGTTAATATTCCATGTATTGACGATTAGAAACACTAAATAACTATTTAACTATTTTAAAAATCGATAATAAAAAGCAGTAAAGTATATATTTACATGTACATAAAATAGTTATGTCTTTGTATGTTAAGTAGATATCATCTCCTAGATCTAGGATAGAAACTTTTTACCGTAATGTTTGATTAGTTGCCTTACTTATGGATCAAGGAAAATGTAATATAATTGCAAATTTAAAAATTTGCATTTTCTTCTAACGGTCTCTAGATAAAAAATATCTTTTACATTATTATTTAATAAATAATTTCCAACTTGACTGCTACAATAAATGTCAATCGTACATTTAAATATCTCAGTCGCTCTTTCTCTTTTTCTCCTCTCTCTCTTCTCTCTTTCTCTCTCTGTCTTAGTCTCTTACTTTGAGTATATGTATCTGTACGTATATTTGGGTTTGCGTCCACATGTCTAATAATGATTTGAAAACGCCACATAATCCTATATTCATCTGGTCACTTCCCCGCAAGGTCATTTATAGATTTATGTTTACTTATAATTATTATTATAAATATAATATATATATATATAATATATATAGATAGATTTTTATCTATAGATAGAAATATTTTTGTAGATGTGATGGAATTGATTTTGATTCTGGCTCCATAGCCATGCTAGAACACACATAATTTATCGACAACCACACTGCCTTACAACCATGTCTCTATAACTTTTTAAAACACTTTTACCTCTAGCATTAATGTACAACAACGGAATTGGATCTAGTTCAGTTGGTACACAGCACGGTAATGGAACTTCATCTGGTGAATGTTGATTGGCTACGGTTTGTATGATAGCATGATTAGTTGCATTCATGTGTTGACTAAGAGGAAATTTGCAGCGCCCTTTACACAAGTAAGCATCGTAATCTTTAGGCGCAATTATCCAATCATTCCATCCCACTGCGGCAAAATTAACCTTTAACTTATGCCGTTTGCAGCCTTTCTTTGATTTGGTGCTTGTTGTCGTACTCGTAGTTGCTCTTTTACGTCGTTGATGAACAATTGTCTTATCATGGCTATGGATTAACAAAATAGGGCGCTGTTGATTCCATTGATCCTGATTTTCTAAATGATTTAGACCGCGCCTAAGGCGTAAGCGATGATTTGACTTTCGGTTATTATTCACCAATTCACTCGGAAGTTGCCTGTTGGATTTACTAGGAACAGAATGAAGGTTCACTACTTCGACTTTCAAGCCTAGATTAGGATGACTTTTAGTAAGCCAATTTTTGACGGCTTGTGTAACATCGATGGAGATCCATTTGGAAGCATTACTTGCCAGCTTTTCTTCGTTAATTAATTTGTAATCCATTCGAGATTGATGAGTTGTAACGATATAAACTCGTACAATACTTGCTCCGAAAGCATTATCGTGAGGAGATTGACCATGGTAATGAATGCGTAAGATGGCTTGATCGAGGATTTCTTCATCAGGATTCTCCGATGATAAATCGAAGTATAAGATATTATCATTGACAATTCCTTTATCATTTAGTTCTCCTTTAGTTGATTAAAATATATAGAAAAAAAATTTTAATCAATATTGATCTAGGCTTAAATAAGATATTGTAGTAGAAGAAAAATATGCTTTGCTATAGGTAAATATTTATGATCGAATAATTGACGTAAAAAGATTGATGGAAGCATGCAATGAAAATCAGTACGTTAACCAACAAATTAGGTGTATTTAAAGGTAAAAAGACTTGATAACTGACGGTTATAGTTGGTTAACTGTAGGTGCGTAAATTAGAACATTTTTAATCAATAATAGTAATCGATCAAATCTCAAGTTGTATCAGTAGTCAAGGAAAGGCAAAAATTAACAATACTAGGAATCTTGCTTAACGTTTTCATCTATTGGAAATTATGTTATAGATAATGGATTTCAAAGAAAAATATTGTATGTTAAGTAATACAAATGATCGAAGAGTACTTTCAATAGTTATCTTACTACGGAAAAATGGAGAATATTAAGCTATTCTAGTAACCCCAGGACTATGTTTATAGTGATCTATAACACTATATAAATAAACAAAAATTGCTTCATTAATTATTCTTTCCGATAGATTAAATCTTCAGTAATTAAAAAATGAAATCGCACATTATGACTATTCAATTTGAATTTAGATTATCACGGATGATTTATCTGGATTATTGAACTTGAAAGTTCGATGGGGAGGAATACTGAATATTTAAAAGTTTACATATCTTGAATTTGTATAGAGTACTGTTGATTAATTATACCGGTGATACGAGTGAACTAGTCGATTGCTACTACTATTCGAACATTTATTGTTCGCAACAAGTTTTATTAATAATACTTAGGAACAGTAATATAAATTTATCATTACTTTTATCTTCGTTAATCGAATGGGGAAAAAATTAAATATTTTTATGAGAAAAATTTGGAGGTAATTCTGTCAGCAATTTTATCTGTTATGTTTTAAATTTCAATGAAATTTGTTGGCTTAGTTACGATTCAGTTTAAATAAATTATATACTACTCTATAACTTAGAGAATATTGAAGACTTTAATACTTGAAATTTAAAGTTTTCAATTATTCTATACAGTCTCGACGCTATTGTATAGATATTGTTCAGTTGATTAACGGTCATTTACCATGAAATGTAATTTCAATTCCCACCTTCATGATCGATAAAGATTAGTTTTAAGAGTTAAAATGTATAATTTAAAAATTAGCCATTACTTTTATTAGTAAAAAAAGCTACAATTCTTCCCTCTTTACTATATTTTACATTATAACTACTCACTTTTTTAATCTTAAATACAGTCAGATATCAGAATATACAGCTTATGCATCATCATCTTTCAATCGTCTACTATTCCATAGTACATGTAAATTATATTCACTATTTTATCCATTCTACTTTAATGATGACCTATCATGAAAACACGTTCATTCTAACCCTACTTCAATCTATCCCTTTTACTCTACTATATTTTGAAATTTGCAAGGTCAACAAGGTGGCACCGATAGGAGTAAATTATGTAGTGTAATTGCCGTGGTGAAATACTTTGCTCACATAACAATATCTTCTACTATACTATGAGACAAAGGAAACTAAATAGGTGTCCTTTGGTCATCTTATGTAACTTACAATAGTTGCCTTATAACCAATTTCTTATGGGCCAACAAAATATTATTGTAGTAGTGTAGACAGAATTGATATCAAGACAATGTTGATATTGTGATTTAAGTAGACTTGAAGATGATTCTAAATCGATTGAGACGGAGTTATTCTACTACAACTTTTTCTACCGTCTGTATTTTTTACGACAATAGTGAACAATAAAGTTTTTTGCTCTGCTGGATAAGATTGCCCATTGTATCAACAATATAAGCTAAGTTCTGAAAAAGCATGATGCAGCCAATCCTTCATAATTACAAATGTTGCAAAATAAATTCGCAAAACATTTGATATTGTAATAACCATTAAAAGCTAATATTAAGCAATTCGACGGGAATAAATCGATTTTGTGCATTGATTTTTCGATTGGGATAGAAATTTTATCGATAGGTAGCAATTTTATGCTCTAGTGTTCAATTATTCTATACATAAATAGTGCCATAATAAGGATGGCGGTAGTAAAGCGTTTGTTTATGAGCAATAGATTAATTGACGATAGCACTTATATTTTTTATTAAATTTTAAGCATATTTTCTTGTTAAAGCAAACCATGGATTAGTTTTTTAAGGCATAGAAAATAGTCGTCTATTTCTGTAGTGAACATTCTATCTTTAGACGTAAGCTACGGTAGTTAATGGAGGGAAAACTATGAAGTGAACCCAACGATCTTATAGCGCCAAGCTATTGAACCTCTTTACACTATTACGGATTTAAAAGCTATAAAAGATACTGTAGTTTGATAAAGTAGGTCATTTATCCTAGAACTAATCATAGTAGTCGGCATTAATGGAATACAGTACTGTGTAAATTATTCTAGCTGTCGTATTTGAAAAGGATGTTCTATATGGAGTCGAGGTAAATGCTATGAATCGTTATTAATAATAATATACTAGGGAAGCTGATAACAGAAAGAATAGAGCGAATTATGCTTTAAGTAATCCCTCTTCATCCAAACGACAAGTTTCAGTTAACAACTGTAATCAGTCTAAAATCACCGGTAGTACAATAATGGCAGAGATACAGGTTAAGAAGTAAATGCACACTTGCTTTGGACACATTCCCCATCGCCATAATGCAATACTGTCAAGTCTTATGTGAAGAGTTTGTCTATCATGATATTAACTCGATCATAACTATTAGGACATTTTAGAAAAGTACAAACTACAGTCAAGATAGTAATAAAGTTGTGATATATTGGAGGACGACAAGTGAACAAATTCGTTGTCGGGCAATCAAATTTTAAGTCACTGATTCTAGTGATAGAGTAGGTCATTAAGGTTATGATATTGAAAGTAGATTTCGGCTAAAAAATATACAAGCATTGACTTTAAATTCATTCTGAAGTAAACTATAATTTCAATTTATTATTCTCCCCTATTGTCATACTTTAAGTATACAAGCTCTTTATTGTCCTAATATCAAGGAAAGCTAAATTATTTTAACTACTTTCAAGCAAGAAGTTAAGAATCAAGTAAGCTAGCTGTCTTACCTTGATGATGGAAATTTCTGACTACGCTATTAATAGCCATTTTACTGACAAATGGTATATCCATATAATTATGTTGGATAGGAAGATAATTTTCTTCCTCTTCTTGGCTCATTTGTTGCTGATGTTGCTCGGCTCTTATATGATATAAATCATGCATTAATTGGGGTACTTTTTGACGATGTTGACGTCGATCTTGTCGTTCAATGTGATATAATAATTGGCTTTCTAAGCGTTTGCTGAATTCTTCATCACTATCGCCATGATAATGATTATCCTCACTTAGCCGACGATTCCATGATGAGATCATCATATTATCCACAGGTGGTTTGGGAAAGCCAGTGACCAATTGCCAATTCAGACTATGACTTAGTAATACCACGTAGATAATACACTTGAATATCCTGTTCGATTTCGTCATGATCAAGCTTTTCTTGTTACTAGTATTGGAAAAAAAATGGACGTATTTAGCCTCAATGCTGGCGATGAGATTGAGGAATCACGTTATCGGCCTTTGACTAACTTTTTCTCCCCTCTGTCAATAATTAGAGGGTAATCCTTATGCAATGATATCAAAAAGAAAAAAACGACCACTAGGACGTTGCTTTTATATTTGTCAGTACGAGTAGCGGTAGGGTTCTACCTTTTTTTCTTTTCAACTTTTTCGATCAAATAAACCTTTCCGTTAAGTACTTGTATGGTAATATTGAGAAATATCGTATTTCTAGTAATGATCCAAGAAAAAAAGCATAGATAAGATAAGTCAAGAATGTCTTGCTGAAAAGGTTGATTTCGGTTAATCTGGTCTTCGAGGAAAAATTTTCTTTCGATGGTTTAATACCATATAACTATATCAATTGTGCTGTCTAATCTACTTATACAAATAGGATGGAAAGTAGATAATCGGTAAATCTTTTCTACTCGTTTAATGTTGAATTTTTCTTCCTTTTTATCTTTATCGCTTTCTATCTTGCTAAAATAGTTAATATTTAAACGATATCAGTCATCGGTGCTACCAAAGCATAATACTATCTTATCGATGCAATCATATTAAGATAGAAAAACAAAAAGAAGGAAGAAAAAAACCTCCACTAGTACTCTAAAATTAACAGATTATTTCATGGAGAATAATAATTATAATCAAATGTAGCCTGTTAACAGGAGGTAACTAGCACTAGGTAGAATGATGATAGAGCTTACAATGTAGATGATAATTGGATTTTTTTCCTCTTCTTGTAAGTTCACCTAATCTTTTTCTTGATTTTTTTACTCTTTTAGTGGTATTTCTTTGGAAAATGAGACAATGTTTAGCTTGGAAATAATACTAATTGCTTTCTGATTCGTGATTATACTTGAAAATAATAACGACCGCATTACAGAAAGTCCAAGTTTAAAATTTATGCATTGTTGTAACGGGCACAAGGATCCTGCGATAACTCCTGTCGTTGTGCAATATTAGCATAGTACAGTTGTTAAGGTCAAATAAGAGGATGTAATGGAAAAAGTTAGCCAAATCGTATAACGTCTGCGTAGGGCTGGTGGATGCCAGAAGAAAGTTTTGCAACACTATTTAGTATTATAGAATAAGTGCATTTAAGTAGTGCTAGTCAACTAGTATCAATAGTGCTGAAGAAGAGCGCTAAATCATATACTTGTGTATCGTAGAAGTAGAGTGAAAAGAGGAAAAAAAATTGGACAAGACTCGTTAATATATTCTCTTGATTAAATAATTGTTGTTTACCCTTGGAAGATGTCTTTCAACTCGCCATTGTTCACGTAAATCTTTTGAATTTTAGCCCTATCTACCAACCCCCTAACGGTAACAATAGCCTCCAAATCAATTGGTGGCCATTTTTGTTGTTAGCAGCAAGTTGAAAAGTGGACTAATGTTCTACTTTATGCTAGTATGGCATAGAGTTGAACGTTAAGATAGGCATGTATCGTATGAACTTGCCTCTTGATGGTATGATGATTTCAATTTAATCACAGCATGAACACTTTTTATGCACTTAAAAAGGGTTTTGCCTTTGTTGCTAGTCGAGTTTATTTTAATCTTCCTTCTATTATTTTCATGTTAATAAGCAAGCAAAAATGCACTGTCAAAATAAACCCTCTTAACATTATAACAGTGATCAAAGCGGACCTTCATTAACACAACATTGACTATGCACGGTCAATCCGTAACCTCAATAATATCCTACTCGAATATAAATAGCATTATCCTCCAAGAGTGATGACTACGGTCAAACTTGTTTCTTTCTACCATGGTATACAACGATTACACCCACCATGATATTGATAATGATAGCGTTATTTAAAGTTATACTTGATGCAATGCTATTCATGACTCAATTCTTTCTGATATGATAGAACTATCGATTAACGCGAAGTTGACATCGATTGCAAACGGTAGCTCATTAACTTTGATCATCTTTTATTTCATATGTGTATCTATTCTACAAGGTAAAATTATTTTCAAATGACATTTTTCAATTTTACAGGTTAATCTTAAACTGCAATAGTTAAATCAAGCTGTACCATCATGACAAAGATGAGCACTGTTCTCTAGGTCAGTACCGTAATTTGTTCACAACTACATGATAATTTCTATAAGAGCATCCATCATGCTCTAGTTGTAACTATATGATGGATATGTTATATACATCAAGGCATGAATACAAAATAGATCATAGCTTTTTTTGTAATCACCCCTTGATTAGATCTGTATTCAAGATGATCATCACATGCATGATTAACTCGCTTGTCATTATCATAATAATAATAGATTGCGATATTAATAATCAGGCAATCGTGAACATTAGTTAATTACAGGAAATAACTGTAACAATAAACTCTCAATTACTTTATCGTAATAATTTTATGTTAATATTTTCAGATTATATAATTTTTTGACATCATCTTATAAGATATTATTTATTACGCTTCCATTTTTGTTACTCAAGAAAAAATATTGACTTAGATTATGTGCTTGCATAGATGAAAATCTATCACGGAATTTATTTGATCGCGACTATATGAATCATATCAATTCCAGACTGTAGAACACAATAAGTGCATCTTAATTATGGACTATAGGTTAGAGTCCTAGCTGTGCCGTGTCTGACGTCAGATCATTGACATTATGACCAATTGATTCTATGTAAGTTTGCACGAGACATTACATTATATAATATTTCATCTTAATGCTCAAAAATTTTTCAAATTTAAGCAGTAGTTACTTGATGAGTTTTAGATCTTGCCGAAAGTTAACTGGCGCTATTGAGTGGATAATAATATAATACAATACTCAAATTATTGTAGAATGAAAGATATACGTATAGATATTTGTAAGCTCGGCGTTTTTCCACATTCCTGCATACTAGGATATATGGTAAGGTATAAATTACGCAAAAGATCGATTCCTATGCAATATATTGTATATGCATGTTGCGCGGATTAGTAAACTGGTGCAACACATGAACTACTGTATACAAGCGACACTATTGTGCACAAGTTATTTCTACCAACGGCATGATGCTAATAACCTGCCCACATAATTGTATATGCAAATTTTTTTCGTCACGCTCTTTTTTATCTCCACCCCTCACATAAAATCATCATGAACATGCGGTACATTTCGTTGATTAGACGATCTGATTTAGCTACCGGTAAGTGGGTTTAAATTTGATTTTCTGAGTTTCGTACACCTCCGCATCTATATACACATACGAATATTTATTTATATAAACTATGTAGGGCACGAATGATGTAGAATGATGTAGGACCAAAAATAACTACGTGCATCTATATATTTACCAATATACGTCGACATGGTATAGATATAGACAGTACATACGCTTTTAGATATATACTGTACATAAGTGCATTGAGTATGCTTCCATACAGTGCCATTACTGCACATTTAATGAGAGGTTAGATAGATTGTAGCACCGGGAGCCATCGCATTCATGTAACGATGACTGTATAAATAAAAAGGAATAATTAACATCATGCTGCACTATGACGTAAAGTATAGAACTCCTACCCAATTTGCTTACGTAACAAATTTTCATAATTTTTACAAGAAATTTTTTGAACTCAATTTTTGAGATCTGAGAACTTCCTGACCTCGATAAATTTTTTAACTTTTGGTATGATAATAAAACAAATTAAATTGTTAAACAATCTATCATTTCCCGCTTGCTAAAATTTTGCTGCTCAACATGCCTCAAAACAGAATTGAATCGTAAAAAGTGTTTCTGTCTTGCAACAGCCAATAAACCTAACATTTACTAATACAGCAATCCCATATCTTCCATTAATGTGATGGCTATAGACTGACTACAATATGCATGATATTAATGCTATTGCATTTACAAAGATTTAATGCACTATACATAGTTCTACGTGCTCAGTACTACAGTATGCTAATATGTATAGAGAACTTCTGTCTGGGCTTTCTGTTTCAGCGTTTACGTAAGGAGACTGCATACCCTTGTTATTCTGATATATCCACAATATGTGGTCAATAATAGTGACAGAAAGAATGCAGTCTCCATTTTGTGGCATTAAATAGTAAACTACAGGATTTTTTATTACACTCTGAGTCAAACACTAAGCTAAATTAGTTTGCTATATGAAAAATGCTCTATTTTATAATGCAGCATATAACAACATTAAAATGAAAAGTTCAAATTCAAACATACGTGTATTGACAGCTGGAATCACTATCGTGATAGTAAGATATTAAATCCCACTGCATGTTAGTGACTCAATCGCGTAAGGTATAATTTACATTTACGATAAATTCCATCTAAACAAATAATTTGAACGATTTTTATTCCCGTCTTTCATTTAACTACAGATAAGGCTATTAAAGCGAATCGTACCTATTTATAGGCTTACTTATAAAGGTACATCTAAATGCGTGACGGAAAAGTCTCGTTTATAATTCTGGATATGGCGTTATAAAATTTAAATTTTGCGCTAATGTTCCTACTAAATGGAATCTATCTCTCTGCTTAGCTCACGTACCGGACAATTATGTTTTGAGAAAACTACACCAGTTACCACCCAAAAGATCATGCCCCAATATTTACGCCAAAAACATCAGGGGTCGTGGGTGCATTGCATGCACAAATAATGGCAAACCCAAGTTATTACGTGTTGTTACCAAATTATACGAGTAATTCATAATATTTCAAATCTACTTAACAGATAAAATCTGAGGTCCATTTATACCAGGATATTATTTGGTAATGTAGTATTTAGATTTATACTAAATTAAGCTAAGACTAGCTCATTTGATATATAACTTGCAATTATACGACAGTATCGTACCATGTACTAGTCCTAACTACTAATTCGGCTGGTTAACGAAAATGTGTATAAGACAGCTTACTAGGAAGTAGTAAATGAGAGCAACTTTGCAGTAACTGTCATGTTATTTTAATTCATAGTTGATACTTAATAATTGAGATACTAGTTAAATCTCTTTATTCATATTTATGCGTCACAGTACAATATACGTTTTTACTAGTCATTGATCACAAAGGTCAAGTTATGGCATACAGTGTTTGTAATTTAGAGATAGCTTAAGCCATTGACAGATAAATAGTCAAACCCAGGGTTAAAATTAGTGAGTATATGCTAATTTCTTGTAGGATATCAAATTATCGCAAGCAGGTTCATAATATAAATGTAAGCTGTGCAATCATCGATATTTACGAGTAGTCTATTCTAGGCGAAGGTCACGTAGGATCCCATCCTGATATCATGTGTTAATCCGCTTGATTATTATGACAAGCGCATCACTTAGAAAAACTTTGATAATATAATTTAAGTCCTCAACAACAAAAATGGTTCTAATTCCGACATAACCCATATGAAAATTTCACTGCAAAATCTAGAGAAAAATTGGCCAACAAATCAAATTATGCTAAGCTATCACTAATCGTCTTTTTTAACACTCAAATTTAGCATTGTATAGGCGCGCCCTGATCAATATTTGTAATTTAATATGCAAGTTACATTAGCGGTATTTAAAATACTACGCAAACTGTTCTTAAAATATAAAATGCCAAGGATAAGCCACAGAGTAGCGGAAAAAATGAAAATCTCAGATCTGTCACTAACGTTACAAAGTATTTGGTAGCATATTATAAATTAACTAGCTCTTCATACCTTTAATTTCTTCGCGAGTAATAACGGTTCCTTTACTTGTGTTTACTTGCACTTTACTAGAAGTATTGAACTTCAGGATGAAATAGCTTGAAAGGCAACGAAAGTCAAGATAGGGGCGATTAAATAATTTTAGCACGTTCCAAGGTTCACCTTGACTTCGGGGAATAGATCGCAGTAGTATATTATTACGCCTCCCACCTGCATTGCAAGTTGGCGGATTTTTATTGGAAATGGGTTTAATTGACAGCAGCAACACACGTGGATGCAATCAGAAAGTTATAATACGGAAAGTGTTTATTTTATACATGTACATGCAACGCCATTAGCAAAACTGGAATGATGAGACATCAGTTATGGGCTTTTTGACCTGCGTGTATATTCAAAACAGATCAGAAAAGCCTAGGAAATTCTTTGTAGGATAAAATAAAAATATGGTAGAATTTCTATACATTGTTATTTTTATTTCTTTTACGATTCTTGTAATAACACCAAATCGATGTCATGATATTTTCTAGTAATTTGCTCCAAATCTGTAGGAGATTTCAATTTATGTTCAACAGAATTCTCAATAAAATCTAATAATTACTACGCGATGATAAAAAGTCTTCGTGTAGTAAATCCTGCCGGTTTAGCAGAAAAGTAAGCTTTTGAGGCTTGTTTGACCTCTAGATATTTTAAGCATACAGCATTTTCATTAAATACACTTAAAATTTTAATATGGAACGTTTCAAGTAGAAGATACGTTGTAAATATGAGTCTCCTCCCTTCTACCAGTTATGTAAGTATTCACGTGATAATACGGTACTACCATAAGTTCAATGTTTGAAATTTTATTACACAACTACTAAATTAAAATCCACACCATCTTTATTGGCAAAAAATGACATTTACTCCTTAGATAATTGAATTATTCTTATTACAGCGATTAAATTTTGTCTATTAATTTACAAGGTCTTCACTTATCCTGAATTTCCATACTTATTTTTTCATATGCATCAGAAACCATTTCAATTCATTTCATGACTGTTCTTGCCATGATTTTATGTTATTCTTGGATAGCATTTTGGTAATACTCTGTCAATATTCAACTATGCAGTGCTCTGCCTCGTAACGGTACTGTCTTTAAAACTTAGCTCAATGCAGTTGTAAGCCTGTAACAAAGTGTCTCAAAATAAGATGACGGGAACTTTAACTTCTTGTTTAACTCCACTATACCGTATAATATATGATTTAGCTCTTTTAATAAAATGATCGACCTCGATGTCTCCACTGTGAAAATAGACACTTGTGTACAATCTTAAAATCGAACCTATATGAGTATAAGTATTATCTAGTTTAAGACTGCATTGCATAGTCACATTTTAAGCTGCAAGCATTCTAAGCATAAATCTCAGGCACATGATCTAGGATGAATTATTCACGCGCATTATGAAGACTAAAATTTCGCACATTGTCGCTTAAATCAAGCAGAAAGACGTTATCATTATTTTATACATTTACTGTCATACATGCGAGTTATTCGACTATGATGATACGATACGTGAACGTAATAGCGAATTAAATAATGGCAAAACAATATAATATTAATGTTACAGTGAAGTCCTACCCAACTAATAATTTCGGCACCTTCCGCTCATGAAAGTTAGCTCCTATTATCAGTTATAATATAAGGATCGGACTACGCAACTTTATTAGAATTGGTCCTGGTGCGATACAGATATTAAGTTATGTATATCATGGGATGCACACTTTTTTATTAACTATTTTACCATTTAAGAATGCAATTAAGTTATAGGAATAGTATGACTTACTTATTGGAGGACAATACCATCTTAACCAAATAGACCTACGAAGAGAAGCTATTAGCAACAGTAGATTCAACAAGAATATAGGAAGGAGAAGGGGACATTTGAAGCATGTAAAGAGATTTATATGAGAACTAGATAAAAGTAGAGGAATGAAATAAAGCTAAAATAAAGAAATGGTTAGACCTAGTGTTTTACTATCTACATTAGGTAAACTTAGTTATTATTACTCTGTATAAACGACTGGGGTTATAAATGTCGAGGTACCTTTTACTGTGCGCTGTATAGGATATATCCTGTCATCTTTGGTTCAGTCTTGGAGAAAGATTAGTGCGCATACCGCTAATATAACATCGTCATTTTACATTATCCAATCTATCTACTATACTGTATTGCATGTACTACAGTACAACAGTATCGAAACATAATTCCATCGTAGCTTTAATATTTAGCACTACCATAATAGCTGTAGTAGTAAAACATATAAATACGCCAAATAGCTTTTAATGTCCACCAGGGAATATGGAGGTAAATCTATAAGATTTCGATCGCTAAATTTCTTATGCACTACTGCTTTGTTTTAAATGAGAGCGTAGTCTCAGTATACTAATGGCACGAAAATATTGTTAGGTAGATTCAGTAGCAGACATATAAGAGATTGATTAATTAAAGTTGGGACTGTAACTGAAAAGGTTTATCACAATTCATAAATGAAAGATTCTTTCTGAATTAAGTAAAACAACGCACTAAGCACTAAGATGCAGCCAAATACACAAATATCGGTTTGTAAGTATATTAATACCATTCTTTAAATAAAAGTTTCCGATGCCATTTTTAGGAAGACGTTGTATTATAATTTTAGGATCTGCTACTGCTGTAGAGCTAATAGATATTGTCTATTGGACTGGTGCACTTCTGCCATAAACTGGGATCTAATTAGCTGTTAGATTAAAATATCAACAGTAGAGTCAGTTGGGTGAAAGCAAATTTATAAGATATTAATATCAATTTTATTACTCTCGCAGTATCCACTACGGATAAATTTCAGTTATGAAAATGCATCGTGTTTCAGAGTCTGATGCAAGGGCTGATCCTTGAGCTTCACATATACTAAAATTTGTGATACAGTACAGTTTAAGTGAATGGAATTAACCAAGTTATTGTTTGAGACACTGTAATGAGTTGGTATTTTATGCCTGATACCCTCGTTGTAACTTGAATATCTTCTTAAATCTATTACAATTGCTCATGACTATAAATATACTCTTTTATAAATGAATAAATATCCGTGTTCATATTTGTATTCTTATTTTAAACGCGTAATAATGGAACTTTCATCTAAAATCCGTAAGAGTGTATTAGTTTTGAATACAAGATTCTACGATTTATGAGCTAAATAGTAACCTCAGCACACAGATTTCTCCAGATAATTCTTACTCTACAAGTAGAAATGTAATGATAATTGACTTTTATTTATTTAGACTGAAACTCTATCCAGTAAACTCGATCGTAGTAGAGACTAAATCTTTTAAAAGAAAATCTAGTAACTACACTATCATATATACTGACATGGCTAGAAATAGCTATAATTCTGTATTATGACATAATTGAGCTGATTTAGTCAAAGAAATCATTTGAATGCCATCAATGTCTCATCTGCAAGAAAACAAGATCCGATATACTGAATAAGCAGAAAATAGGAAAGGGCTATAATGTCAATAGCGGATTAAAAATGATTAATATTAATCTTTCATTTATTTTAATTTTTTCTGGTAGTTCCTTTGATGTATTTTGATATGATTGATAACGCATCACTGAAAGATAACACTATCGTGCAAATTCTAATAAATTTAATGACAATAGATGAATATCATCGGTGTTAAATATTAATACGTATATTCAATTTGGTTGAACACCTATTGAGTACTATGGATATCTTTTACTATAGTTACAAATAACATTGATGCTATTCAAATTGCGCCCTTGAACAGCACATAGCTTAGGATTAATAACAACATTGGCAACTAGTCAATTTATCTAATATCAAAGAGAATTTTCCAGCAAGTAAATACAATTACTATTATTAAAGCTAAGATTCGGTCATAATTATAATCTCCGATTTGATGCGTGAAAACGGATAACAAAGGAAATCACTTATTTGTAGGTATTATAATTTATTCAATTTTGAAAAATAATAACTTCGCCTCCTTTAGATTAATAATTCATTGATGTAGTAATCACTTTATTGGGATAGAATTCAAGATTAATCTCTCTACTTCAACTAAAAGGTCAATCTCAGTTGGGTTACCTGTGTATTGATATAATATATCAAGTATAAATGTAACTTGCTATTTCATTACACGTTCATTCGTCATGCAATAATAACATTAACCCGATAAGGAAAATATATGGCAAATAAAAATATAACATTTTGTAATTACAGACATCGACTTAATGGAAATTAAGTGATCAAGCTTCTTCAGATAGTCGATCATACATTTTCGTAAATAAATGAGTTATAATGTAGAAATAGCAGAAAAATATTGGTAACATATATCGTAAAAGACAAAATTGATTGAGATTCTGATTTCACTTCCTTGTAGCAAAGGGAAAGCAGAATAACACATAAGATCGTACTAGATATATTTTTACAACTGCCATTGCGGTGAACAAAGGTAATATGTTACAAAAATCAATGAGCATAATGTTGTCGTTCAATCATCATCTTCTGTTAATGCAATAATTTTTACAATATCAATAAGTTAAAAAAATTTTCATGGACATTTTGCATCTCGTAGCTTTATCACGGTACAAAAGCAGTTGAAATAAAGATTTAGTTAGTTTGTTGCTATAACATTAGCTGAAATTCGTTTCAAGAACTAATATAATGATATAGTAAACTTTAGTGGATATAAATTATATTATGATTAGCGATCTATCACATAGTAGCAAAATTTATCTACTTCAAGTAGCATTTTTCTTAAACCGTGGTTAATGAATAAGCTTCCATAAATTGTACTCCACATGGAATATAGTAAATCATCTGCCGATAAAATTTACTCTCTTTATTACTTTAACTTATTTCAGTGCTATCGATTATTTAAAGAATTTCGGTCTAAGCAGGGTGCATATTCAAAAAGTCTAATTAAATTGTAATTCCATCAATTCTTCAGTAATTACATTTGGAGGTAGGACTATTTTATTTAGTAAACGTGGATAGGATTTATTACCAACCTAGGAAAATACATTATTTCGTATCAATACCTCTAGAAATATCTTGCACCTAATGTGAGGCTGCAGAATGATGGATAAATATGGCATGTTTAAATTCTAATGAATACTACATTGATATATTTACTAACGGTCAAAGTTACAGGTTTTATCTGTAATCTATCGACTACAAATTACTTTAATAAAATTTTATTAATTTAAAGTTATCTCCGATATCCAAAAGTTCTTTTATGGCAAATTCTTAGTACTGCAAGCTAAACTATAATGGCTACCGTGGGTATACTATAGGCGGCAGACGTCATGAATTAACTTACTTGTAGGGGAGCTTCTTTCATATCCCAGATCCGAATTGAGCCATCATCTGATGATGATATCATTCTTTTCTTTTGAATCTAGTTTGTACGTAATTTAAAGTACGATGTGGTTTTAAGATTTATTCATTTTAATGCTTAAAACGAAATACTTCATGGGGCAATCTTAATATTGAAAGATTATTTTAAATCATAGTAAAATATCTTGGTGTTAACCAACATATACTGTACATATTAAGCTTAAAACATAGCTATACCTTAAATTTACTTTTCTCACGCTGTAACTAAGGTAAAATGTTGAGTAGCTTACCTGTAAGCACTGAACGGGACCAAAATGACCACTAAGGGTTCGAATGTAAATGCCAGTTCTTAGATCAAATTCTTTAATATTGCCATCACTGTAAAATTAATAAGAGAATGAATCAGTACGATACATTTTTGTATTACGTAGCACATTCTAACATAGTAATGCGGTAAGTAATAGATCAACCTGAAATACGACATCTATAGAAGTAAGTACTATAGAGGCTCAACAACTATATTAGTACATATCGTAGCTTTGATTTAAAATCTTTCGGGCTAATGGTGCCAAGAAACTTTTAAACTGATAACAGCGAGAATTTTGCATTCATCGCTTGCTTATACTATGTAGTTGTTCCTCAATTCTACGATTAATAAATTTTGATAAAGTATGATACGAGTATAAAATCATAGGTGTAGAAGCAAATATTCACATACTCTAATCCTGCGAAGAATCTTAAACCCATAAACCGGATTGATCTCACTGGAATCTTATGAATAGCTACCGTTGCTTCATGAAATTTATGCTTTAAATTCCAAAACATAATTTTACCATCAGCAGAACCGCTTGCAGCTAATCCACTGCGAACCTACAAAAAACCGCAATATAGTAGCGATCTTAGTTATCAATATTGCAATATTATCAATAAGCATTATTCAGCTATAATGCTCATTACTTGTAACTTTAAATAGTATACAACTGAATTCCTTATACTATAATATTAACCTCTAAAGACAATACTGCATCAGTATGGCCTGTAAACCTATGGAGGCACTCTAATGTTTCACAGTTCCAGTATAATAGTGTCCTATATCAAGTAGAAGATATCCAATTGGCATATGAGTTTATGAAAGAAATTATAATATCCGAATTACGTTTCTACGGTAATCTTACAAAATAACTTACTTATCTGTAGAGCCACTCAATACCATTCGTCCATCGAAGTGAAGACAATTTACTGAATCTGAATAGAAAGTTGGACCATCTTTAATTTTTTTATCTTAATGTTAATTTATTTCTAATCATTAATTACTAAAGTGTTAATAACTGACCGGTATGGCCCTTAAAAACACCTTTACATTCCCAATTCTTCATATTCCATACACATAAAGTGCTATCATAGCTACCAGTAACACTAGATAGATCAAAATGATAGTTATCAATCCTAAATGATTTAACATTGTATTGTATCAATAATATTAAGATTAAGTTGCCTAGTTCTTTCTTACAGTTTCTCTTCAGTAAACTGCAGACAGGAAACACAATCTCGATGCTTATACAATATGTTTAATGTTTTATATTGTATGATGTCCCATACCTAATTGAAAGTGTATAGATTTATTACATACGTAGTTCTTTATAGTATCAATTTTGTTAGTCTGGAATTCAGATTGTACTCTAAGGAAGCGTAGTAACATATGAAAATAAATGTAGATTCTAATTTTATCAAAAAATTAAGTGTTTCATACTCGAACAGTGGCATCCCATGAGCCAGTAACAATGATATTATCATCATACTGAAGACATCTAATTCCTCCCTGGTAAGTAAAAAATTGGTCAATGGTTGTTATTAAACTGATCGCAGGTATTGTCGTTAAATTTTATCCTGTTTTTCAAACATGCCTTATGGTGATGAACTACTTTGACGGGTCTACCACTTCGAATATCCCATAGTCTAGTAAGTATTGACATAAATTGCAACAAAATTAATTTGCCTCAGTTCTATGAAAATGGATGCTTTAGTGGCAGCTATAAATTTCAAAGATTTTTTTCACTTTACAACAATCATACCTTAAAGTACGATCTGCGGATCCCGAAATAATTTTACATTTATCGAATTGTAGGCACATGACCGCTTCAAGATGTCCCTACAATAAGATAATAATATTTCAACGTATAATAAATTTTATTGTAGATAACATCAGACTTACTTGCAGCCGGAAAACGTGCTTTAAAGGCCTAACAATTCCTGAACGGACTGCATTTCTTTCATTTGCTAGTTTTGAAGTGAAATGCACAACTTTTGCGAGTGTTCCAAGGTTCTAGTACGTCAAGAAGAATCAAATAATGTTATTCAGCTAAATTGATGTGGCATGATTGATTTATCAGAAATTACCGCGCCATGGTTTTAAATTACGCGTATCGTTATTTCAAAAATTATGATAAAGGCTTCATATCAGTGCAGCACAGCACATAAATTCTTAATCTAAATCTTTACCAAATTGTGAAAAGAATCTATTGAATCATCGTCATAGTAAGGATCTTCTTCTGTTCTAGTATCGGCTATAGTTTGACATTCAGCTTCATGGTGTATATCTATCAGTAGAGCAGTTAAAAATTTGGCCATGAAAATGCCTATAAAGTACATAATTATGATTTAAAAGACTGATTATATCTCCGTCTTATTTACCGAACGCTCTACCAATACGTATCTCTGGTGTTTTCCTATTTACTATTAATTAAAAATAGTATGATTACGAGTACCTTAACTTTTAATATACACAGGCTAATTAAGAAATTTAACAATTCGTTTTCATACGTAAGTTAGCATATTCCTTTTCAATAGTATTGTTAATATCCTCTAGAAATTTGATGCCTAATGAAAATAAATGCCGATGCATTAATATCAAGAATTTGCTTTACAATTCATAGCATTATATGTATCGTATATTTATCAATATCAAGACTGAAAAAAACAAAATTTAATAATTAGTCTAGAAGCTATAGTACCGTAGTGCTCGGTAAATAAGCTTTCCCGGGAAATATTGGCGGAGTATTCGCTTGTTAAATTATTGTTAACGATATTGAGTAATTCTTGATATGCCAGTTTCCAATCGATGCTTACATCATGTTCTTTGGCAGATTCTTCTATAACATCCATCAAGTCTTGCGCCTCAACTTCGTCAGCTGATGATATATTGATGAGGTGCATTCATATTTTATGTTATTAAGTAATATTCAGATGTAAAACAACTTAATTATGAAGATAGGTACTCACTTAATTCATCGCATTTAGAATACCATAATGAATTATCTTTAGTAAGATACCTCCATCGCTGGCAAGTCTATATTAAACAAAAACAGAAATATCGATCTAATCAGCTACTACAGAATATTAATAATTTAATACTATATCGATACTTGAATATTGATTACTATGCATAGTAGATACATACTTGAGCGCAACGACAAATGCTTTGGGGATCCAGATTGGAGAAAATAGTTAATAGTATTTTATCTGTTAGGCAGTTTATATTAAGGCGATGATCCAAACTATTTGATAAATTATATTTCTCATAAGAATTGGACAAAAAAATTTAAGGCAATAGTAACATGGTCAATTCACCGTTGATTCACGCAATTAGCTAGGTATTGTAATACTGATGGTGTTGCTTCCTTAGCAATTGTCATTAGAAGTACTTCGGTTTTTCCCTCAGACCAGTGATCGATTCTCTATTTGATGATTGAAAAAATGAAAGATTTAAGCTATAAATAAAGACTTAAGGATAAGGTAAGGTTAGCCATGAAATAGTAAAATAGACTAATTTTACTTTCAGGACGTGTTTTAGTTGATCTTTAAATTCATTTTCAGAGTTTTTCGTTATTGTTGCAACATCTTGATGTGTGGTATTTCTTAAGCTGGTAGATTTAAGACGTTTCGTAATTGTCAGTGCAGGCCGTTGAGACGACGAATATTTTTCGTTCGTCCAGTAATCACTATTTCTAAAATCATAAGATCGTAAGGAATTTCTTAGTGTTTCACTACTTTGTGCCTCCGATGAGTTCATTGTAGCATCACTGTAGCTGTTGATATCCGATTTACCACTAGTACTCCTACTAGCAATCGTATTTGGTATAGGACTGCTCTTGCTTCGTCTATGTGTCAATTGAATTTTAAAATCGTGATGATATACTGGTTCAAGGGTTGAATCGAGTTGTACTAAGACATTTTCAGAACATTTTTCGACCAAACTAGAAATGAAAATTTTTTGCTGGCATATATTCCACATCGAAAACCAACGGCAAATCTTAAAACAAATTCTATTTAAACTTATTGATTCGGATAATATATCAATCTCTAGCTTTTGGCCATTCACATTGGGTAAGATTGCTTTATCGTCAAAATTCAGTAATGGTTTCACCTTCGTATCATGTAAAATTCGATTTTGTTTTAAAGAAGGTATGAAAGACAAGCTAGCTCCCGTTTTCCTGTAATTTGGTAAGCTTGGAAGTTGAAAAAAGTTTGTATTTTCTTCTTCAATTTGCTTTTCATCATCCATACTTTAACTGCTGAAAGGTGCTGTTGGTCTCTTTTACGAAATTGGATAATCACAGCATAAGTGAATTATTTCAGTCAGTAAAACGTTGCAATAATAATATTCAGTACGTAGAATACCATAATAATTACTTGTTTAGCTGTGTATTTTTTATAATAATAACTAGTAAGACAGGAGGTGTTTTCTTGTTATCGATAATTCATAAGAGAAATTCGTCTTGTTTGATTTTGAAATAATACAATTATTCTTGATGTTGCTTTAGTGTTACTGAAATCTTTACGAGCTACAATACGGTTATGATTAGGGATTCGTACTCTAAGTAATTATAACCTTCTGTATCTATTTATTGTACAATGCAGATCAGTAAACCGCACGCTATACAGTAACTATGTAACTACTCTTTGAAATACGTTGAATATACGATAGTTGCAGTTATATACCCGTACGTATTAATGTGCTAGTTGAATTAGGTTGAGAGGTTGTTAATGCCTCATTTCTAAATCTTCTACTGTAGCATACACAGGGTAAATTAATTATTATGATTTATTCATAAACTATTCATAAATCGAGGTCGAAGTACCCGATTTCTAAAAAGCATCCCACAACTCTCAGTAATCCTTATATACTGTTCTCTCTAATCAAAGATGTACTATCCAACGCAGAAGATCATGGTGCTGCTATTATTGTTGGTCTCCGTTGTTATGGTAACGTATAAAGTGACTAACTATCAGCTCTGCTTCCCTCTCTATCCACTCGAAAGTCTCTAGTATGATCTCTGTTAAACTGTACAGTTATCATTCATGGACTGCAAAATAAATCTACAGTACTGTACAATCTAATACTAATGGACTCATCGACCACAACAGTATAACAGTACTTTCGGTCGAATAATAGGTAAAATAGTAAGCATAATCGACCTGAGATCGAGTCGATTTTTACCCACTTCCATTGAATTACTGTCCAGTGTACGCTTTAAGTTTGCTTATTCTAGCCTACCGCTTAACCACGAATTACTGTACTGTACGGTACAGTGTACAGTACTATCCACTACAGTACATCGTACTGTGGCGTATTGTATTGTACAGTACTGGAACGGGGGGAGGTGGCTACAGTACAGTACATTACTGCACAGTGTACAGTATATTGCACAGTACACTCTTAGTACTGTACCCCGTTTGCGGTATGATTTACTAATCAACCAATGGTTATTCCTGTTACTACTGCTACATAGAGTAGCGCACTAGCGCTACACCAGCATAGTGAAGACCTCGTGGATACTGATCGTGGTGGATAGAGAAAAAAAAATGTCCAAGTTAATTGCAAATCTTGATAGCAGCTTTTCTAAATATGCTCTTGCTGCAGGAACTGGTTTAACTATAGGATACTTGCTAAGTCGATTAGTATTCTGTAGTAGTAGTGCTAGTAAGAGCAAGGAAACTGATTACTATGAAACCCGAAAGCTACTAGATGAATACTTGGCCATGCATTTTGGCAAGGAACTTGATCTACTGCAGTATAAGTTCTTTCCTGCACAAGCATTAGAATTCCCCCAGCGCTGTGCTGACCAGTGCATCAAGCACTATCAAGTAATCAAACATATAGATATATTTATATATATACACTATTATACAGTGACTTTTTAGAGCTTGTAATCTTCTTTTGTTTATCTAGCTGCTGATTTGTACATGTTTTGATTTACGGTACATCCGTTAGAATACCACACCTCGCCGTGCTTTAGATATTGGCTGTGCAGTGGGAGCGTCTTCTTTCGACTTAGCACGATGTTTTGATGAAGTTGTTGGCATTGATTATTCGCAATCTTTTATTAATGCTTGCAATGAATTAAAAAAAAAGGGTCGAATGGACTATTCTATTATCAATGAAGGAGACCTTACTAAACCTTGCACTGCAGAAATTCCAGCTGATATTGTAAGAACGCGTATACATGTTTATCAGCTGCAATATTATCTACAGTAATCTATACTTGCATTGCTGTAAGAGTAGCACCATGTGCTTATTTTGTTACAGTGATGTGAAAGTGTTTTCATCATACTGTAATAGGTCTTGATTAACCATATACCTTTTAATTATGATACCACATATAGTGTGATATTAATAAGCATTGGTGGTATTGCATATTTAATAATAATATAGGATCGATCTCGCGTACACTTTCAATGCGGTGATGCATGCAATTTACCAACAAATCTTGGACAATTTGGCTGCGTCCTGGCAGCAAATTTGATTTGCCGATTACCAGATACACGTGCATTTCTATACCGTCTTCCGTCATTGGTAGCTGCAGGAGGTATTTTAGTAATTACGTCGCCGTATACGTGGTTGGAACAGTTTACACCTAAGGTTTGTAGCTATTTTTAAGAAATTTCTGTGATCTTGATTTAGTTGATCAAGGTACTGTACATGTACATACAGTAGGCGTACGAATTTACTTACTATCACATCCCTGGCATAGCTAGTGTCAGTTACACAGGGATCACTAATAATAATAATATAATACTAATTACTATTGATATTCTGTACTACGGTTCAGTAATATCAATTGATGATCGTACGAATTTATCTATCTGCGTTGTAGGATAAATGGATTGGTGGTTATTTGGACAAAGATGGCAAACCAGTTACAGGTTTCGATACGTTGAAATCGATACTTGGTACACATTTTGATCTTATCGATGATGAGAATATGCAATTTTTTATTCGAGAAACTGCACATAAGAATCAATGGTCAGTCGCTCATTGCACTATATGGAAACGAAAAGAGAACTAATCTGTTTGATATATTCAGTTGCTTTATTGCCACAAGTCTTTTTCTCTCAAATTAATTATACAATGCTGCTAATTAACGCAGCGTTGATGATTAAAGTAATTCTACTGCAATTGCTGTAAGCAAATAAGCTCATCATGTTAAAAAACTTTTCTAATGTTTTACCAAAACTTATATGCAAGATGCGGACTGCTGAGATAGGCGTATAGTATTCTGTACTAGCAATAATGCAAGCATTAAAGGGGCTGTTTTCAATAAGTAGTAATCATGAAATTAGATATAAAAATGTGTCGTAAATACACGAAAAGCGCTATTTTATATTATAAGCTGCACCAAGTCATAAAGCAGTGACTACTTGAAATTCCATTATCGAAGTCACTACAGTTGGTTTATCTGATCTGTTTACGGTTCATTAGCAATAAGTAATAAGTTATTCTCACTACGAAGGTATTGATGGAGTACATTTTTATTTTCGGAAATAAACTTTGGTATTGCAATATCAGCGGAGTAAATTATAATACGCTATTTCAAAATAGTAGGTCTCGAGCTGTGATCAAATTGTGTCGGGAACTGTAGAATTCAATATTTATATAGGATAATAAAAGTACAAATAGGTGCGGCTACTATCGTTAGTTCTAGTAGCAATTACATATCATAAATAAGAGTAATGCAATTTTCTGTAAACTAGATCAGACATATCAAAAATTCCGTAGCAACTACAAACGATAAAAATTTTAATTTTAACTACTAATCACTATACCAGTTCAAGATTGAAATCTAGTCATATGAATTTTCAAGAATTTAAGTGTATATACTCGTAAAACAATAGCACTATCTAATAACTGACTGCCAGGTGTCGCTTGGTCTAGGATCTATCATAGAGCCAGTAGGGCCCGGCCCACTTGTGGCTTCCGTTTTGTATTCCATCAAGAAGTTATATTGCTATTATATAGTTCAAAATTAAGATAGTGTTAATGCAACGATTAGTTTTGCGCCAAATAATCCTCAACTTACAGCAACGGTTTGTATAGCCGCATTGCCACGTATATCTCTAACTACTTGTATTGCTTCTTCAGCACTTAGAAGTGGGTTCATTTCCAGTAATAAAGCACAGGCAACTGGTCGTGTTAATGTTTAATAGTAAATGCCAGAATAATTTAAAAGTAAAGATTAATCGTTAGTATTATTAAGGAGCTTGAATAAACAGTTAAGAATGCAAATGCTAACCTACGCAGGATCGACAATATCCGTTTACACAGCTTTAGCATTTACCCGTATCGATGACAAAGAACAAGAATTTCGTTATTTGAAATGGCTCAACAAAAGCAGGCTTCAATAAAGAGTATAGTAACATACTGTAATAAAATATTTCTTCCTCTTTCGATGCATCTGCGAATGTCATCAATGATATTCCTCAACTCTCTGATACTCATTCTTTGTGCCACTTCCATTGGATAATGATGAGAATTTATGCCTTCATGAACGTATTGTTGACATAAATCCGATATCCTACAGCTGCATCGAAAGAATACCGTGATATCAGTTAAATGAAGATTATATGTCACGACTGACTTTATTGCATCTAAAGCGTATAAGTTTCTAGGTACTAGAAACTAAAGTGATTGTGTTACCGTAAATTTTGGTAGCCCTTATTAGTCTAATTTCGTATTAATAACTTACGCCGATAGTTCATTTCTTGTACAAAAGACGAAAACGTCTTCAATCTTCCATCGTTTTATGGTATCTGCACAGTAGATCATTAAATAAAGAAGAGAATTTACTATCACAAAAATATTTATATCTATCGTGAGATTTAAAATTGACTTTACAAAATTTCAGCGCACGAAGATATTACAGCATACAGAGCTGCTATACATACTTTAAACGATGGTATAATTAATTTATTGTCAGAAGAGTATTTACTATCATAAAAATATTTATATTTATCCCGAGATCCAAAAATTGACTGTACAATTTCAGCGTACGAAGATATTACAAGTAGTTGCCAAATGTAGGTTTACTAGATTAATTTCACATTACAAACCAATATCATCTTCAATGCTTCGGCGAACAATGCTATATCTACACCCTAGTAGAAGAAGAGAGTCCGTAATAGAAAATATAAGCGAAGACTAGTTTTATTTGATTGTTTTAACTACGTAGATTTGATAAGACCTAATATTATATTCGCATACGTAAGTACGAAACAGTTGATATTGCATTTAGATCGCCATTAGATTAAAATCGTTCATTTGATTGCGATACAGATAATAAATAGAAGAATGTTCATTTTCCAACTCATAGCTAAGGCAGTTCTAAGCAATCGCCTAACTTACCGGGAAGCTCACTAATTCCTATAAGTGCTCTCTCGTTATCGATTTGTAAATACTCCGGTTTAATCCTATAGAATTACGTGTATAATAAGGCAGCAATTACGCGTATATTGAATTACAGCTATAAACATAGGCAGCTATGAATACATAGCTTCATTTCATATTCTGTAGTGGAGTAATTTTATTCGATGTAAAGTTGATATAATCATGAAATTTCTTGTAGTTAGCTACAGTACTAGACTAGAGCATTTCTATAAATAGGGTAGTTTTACAATTATAGATCAATTACATTCTGAGTAGTATAACGTATTATAGTAATTATAGTAACTATTTGCATACCAAGATATTGATAAAGATCGAGCTTGCTGATCGTCATTTGATTCATCGTCGGACGAAGAATCATATACTTGATTTCTTGAAGTAGAAATCAAGTTTAATTCACGATAATCCTAGAATTGCAAGTAGAATTGACATGTACTTTATCCAACGTAGGTTTACCATTGCACCAATTTTTGACATTAAATTCGAATACTAGAGTCGCGTAGTGCATAGAAGACTATCGTAGACAGAATATAAAATTTTACACAGAAATACGCTAGCATAAAGTAGCGTTGATTAGTATGGAATGGGAATGAGTATTACTTGATATCAATAATTAAAATATGCGTATTTACACTCTTTGTGATAGTGGGTAATGGGATCCAATTTCTTATAATAATAATAAAAGTGGTTAAAAATAACTTTGACAATATTATTTTAATTTTATTAGATCATTTTCGTCATACTGAACGTTGATGCAATTTGAGAGCATGTAATAGATTGGCAGTGTTTATTTACTGCTATAGCATGTTACTATACCTTGACCATTTGCTCCGATAGTGTTCCCCTTTAAGAATATCGCCAATGAATATTGTAAAAGATGCACAGTAGTTGTATGGAATGTAACTGTGAATCAAAGTAAAGACAGCATAGTATGTTTATACTCGTATGATACACCATTAAATATACTGTAAATACGTTGTTTTTTTTCTTATGATGTCTTCTGAGGTTAAAATCATTACTGTTTACAGTATTCCAAAACAATGAATTGCAACTGCAAATATAGCATTTGAGTACATTCTATCTAGTGAGATGTTTTGCCGAAGTTTAACATACTGTATTGTAAGCATATACAGTATTCTAGTAACATACTATTACAGTATACAGCACAATCAATAAAAATCATGTCCACCATATTAAGGATTTTTAAGAGAAATTCTCTTAAAAGTCCCGGGTCCAGTAGTCTTGTCTACTCTATTTATGCAAGTATGTACTGTTAACTCATTTCAGAATTACGCTTTAACGAACAACAAGAAGGATAACAACCATACATACAGTACTAGGTTTCGAGCTAGAAGCAACAGTTGTGGTACTACTTGAGTGAGAGATAGTGGCACATACCTCGAATGCAATTTAAATTCCACTTTTGTATTTCCTGAAGCAATTATGGAGCGTCCTAACCGTACCGAAATATCTTTCTCACTTCTTGCCTTGACTTTTAACGTTAGGCCAGCCTATTAATGTATAGTACAGTATATAGTTGATAACGTGATGATCCTACAGCAAAAAGCATCTACTACAGTTTACTGCAAATTCCGAGTTTGCATTTTGGATATATTGACGTAATACTGTATTGGCCCCCCCAAAAAAAAATTGGGGATGGCGGTGTGGAACAATGCTGGATTGCATTTGCAATACGATTTGAACCAATGGAGTTACCGCTTACGACCAAGCTGTTGTATGATTGGTCAGGAGTGTTTACAGTACTTGCATTTCGTGGCTGCGGAGACTGTACACTGTACAATACAGTGTACAGTACTGTCAGTCGAGTCCGAACATGTTATTGTACAGTATTAGAAGTCGGTCCGAACCACAGTCCGAGCCCCGATTGGCGATTGGCTAGCTTTGATCCTAACACTATTGTTACAGTGTTACTGTACCTTACTGTACCATGGACTACTAGATACGATACTGTATACCAATGTTCTGGATTTGACTAAACAGGGTTCACTGTCAGTGAACACTCTAAAACTGTACATAACAGTTGCTGCGTTTCAGTAAAGCGCACAAGAAAAATCTGAATGAAATCGCTTGAAACTTGAGTCGAATATTGTACAGCATTCCATTTCTGCCTACTGCAGGTATGATAGAAATCAAGGCTTCGCAATGCGAGAGAGAAGGGAAAGTTTACAGTAAGTTTAATATACTAGAAGACCATAAGATGCGATGTAGCTTGATCTGAGCATGAGCATGACAGCACATCACTGAGTGACGCAAGTCAAGTGTACCGACTCTCCAGTTTTGCGTCTGCACATCTGTCTGTACCCTCCTAATCCGTAAAATTACTATTGTTAGTATCATACCATCACGACTATTCACGAGTATGATTAATTAATTCTAATTCTATTCTAATTGTCAACAGTGAACCGTGAGAATATTTTCGGTAAGTGCGTCGATTAAGCGAGCTTGCAAAGCCTTCATTCAAGTTGGCTTCTATTGCGCTATTTGTACAATCATTTTTATACAACAACATTTTCTGACTGTACTGAATCGTGATTATCGCCTAATATAGTTTAGAAGCGAGGAATAGAAACAAGGCAAGAGCTATCAACAAGTTTTCAATATGGTAAGTTTTCATCTCTCGTAGGCTACAATCGTTGTTAGTTGTACTGTACATTCCAATACAGTACCATGCACTCTACTCCACTGTAGTGTTCTGTATGGATAAAGCACTCGATTCTACAGTACTGTACAGTCTACAGTATCAATGTCAACGTAATAGATCAACGATGTCGCCTGCCAAGTCTGCATGTTCTGAAACAGTTATTTTCCATGAATTAATTGACCATAAATCGCAATTCTTTTCTGTGGATTACAGAACTGAATCTGTAGAACAAGTTCTGTTGCGTGTAGTAAACAACAGAATCAGTACCATTGAAAGTCTATCAAGGAAATGACTCCCTTTCATTAAAAAAAAGGTGATATTTACAGTGCATTCCATGAGCGCAAGCTGCACCTTGTGGCAGGCAACTTGTACTCACGTATTGAGTTGCAAGGTAACTCCAATGATGAGAATGATGACTGAATGAATTGATGAGAAGGAAACTGTAGCTTTCATCGTATCTTAGAATGCGTTTAAGTAGGATACTGTAGAGTTGAGAATATCCAAGTGAAGCTAAAGCGATGGATGACTGCAGTTCTAGTGTTTCTGCAGTAATGAAGTTACACTTTTCTCTTAACTCAAGATCAATACACTATGCAAGTGCATCTGTGCAATGCTTTAATAATATGCATTTCTGTCTGATACAAGAACAAGATAGAAAATCTACTACGATAATAGACTGCTGTCGAAATAAAGACTTGATGAATGCTTTATTTCAAGGTTGCAATAGAACAACAATTGGGCGTATGTGTGTCTAGCTATGAATATCTGCATTTTTGTTGATTAATTAATTTATTTATTGGGCTTGATACACGCTCTAGCCTACAATAGATTAAGTGCTAGATACTCAAGTTAAACACCAGTGGCTTGAGTCTTGCAAGGATATTGTGTAATATATCTGCTACAGGACACAATCACAACTACACTGAACACCCGTACTAACAATGATAGTGACTGCTAGATTTATACAATAAAATGTCTTTTAACTCGTTATCTTCTTATCTATTCCGTTATGATCATAACTACACCTACCATGATGGGTTGGTAGTCGCATACAATCTTATTGATACAACCATCTCCGAAAAACGAAAGTCGTACGTACTCGGATTACAATTCTTTGAAGGAATGTTTGGAAGGTAAGAGTTTAATAATTACAAGAAATGTCATTTTTAATTATGTAATCTTAGTATCCTTTATTTACTGACCACTTTTCGCTTGAGTGTATTTTACTATTTGTATAATGTATACGAGTATTTTCTTGATAGAATTTGACTATTTGTAATATTATACGCGTATAATAAAATCTTGCTCTGTACAGTAAATGATGTAATTAAAGATTTTGTCATCACTGTGTATTCATTCTAACTAGTCCGATACTTATTATCGCTTTTTCTTCACAGCTATTTGTAAGATGTTTGAAGAACATTTAAAGAAATTGAATCCTTCTAAGCCGTCCATAACTTACGATATCAGCAATTTGTTTGACTTCATTGATGACTTCCCTGACCTCACCTGTTTAGTGTACCATTATAATCTGCTTGTAGTAATAAAAACTCGATTGATTAATTCTAAGGTTGTATCTGTAGCTTACACTTACTCCATTGGTAAAATGACCTCAGTCTCCAATTGGTTCAAAATAGATTTCATGCAATAGTAATAACTAGCGAATCAATATAGAACAGCGTAGCGATTAAGATGTTTGCGTAGTTCGATAATATTGACGCAGTGTTTCACTTAATAACCATGTATAAGGCACTTAATTTACCAACATGATTTGCCTCAGAGATAAAATATGATTGAAATGACGCTTCAATTGCTTTTTTGCCTATCGCTTTTTTTTTATTAAATGTTGAAATATGACAGGCTGCAGAAGAATGCTTACGCTTACTCACCGTTGAATAAGGATTCGATTAAGGAGAAGATATATGACATGTTAAGAAGTCAAGCAGGACGATAAATTGGAACTGCAAATGAAAGTTTACACTACTAATTCGATCCACTAAGGACAAGTGTATGGTAAATAGTAGTAATCACGAAATTGTCTAGTAGAATACTTCCGCCAAATCTAGTAGCTCCCTCGATATTTCGTAATTGATTTTAATTATTGAAAGTGCTCGTTTGTCTGGTGTATTCAATTGTTATGATATATTAACTAACATTTACCAAAGTTAGTAATCATTCCTGTCGAACGGATGTTTCCATGCATGCTCTATGTATTATTCTGTTCCAGCTATTGTTCTTATTTCGATTATTATAAACAGTTATGTAACTGGATAGCCGATAAGTAACTGTTAACATATTTTCATGCATATTGATTGTCAACATATTATTACCGTTGTACTTTATATACAACCCTACTCAATACCAACTACTCATAGCTTACTGTAAATCATTGTTTTAAAATATGAAATAATGGTAAATTTAGGTGACGTTGATTTCCAAAATCTTACGGCTTCTGTATATTTTTAATCATTATAATAATTATTAGTAGTTCGTTTAAGAATAAACGAAAATTTTTGGCCTAATCATATCTTATTAGCTCTGATTTGAAATACTCGTAAATGCTAGATTCTAGCTTCTTAAGACATACACTGCTACAGCACACAAATTTTAATTAAACTACTTACTATTTCACATTTTAGCTAGGTTCTTGCATGATGAAAGTAAATTACTATTCTAAAACCCTTTATCTAACGAAAACTCTCCTCGCTATAATTCTAGCTGAAGTAACTATAGTAGATTACTTATTTTTATTAATTTGATCCCATAAGGTTTCAAATGTTAAACTTCAGAAATGCTCTTATATAATTGTAGTGTAGTGATTTGAATCTTTGCTATTACTTTTTATATAAACTTCTCAATCCTAGAGGCGTTCAATTATATTTAAAATACGAATATTTATAATAGTTACGATATTAATAGACCAACTCTTTAATCTACGCTTAATTAATTGTTAACTATACGGCTAGTTTATTACTAATTATGGTGGCACTAAACAATTAGATTATACAGTTTTTCATCAATTGTAAATTGGATATAGACTCGCTAAAAGAGCTGAAACTACTATGCAATATTGCAATGAATTGATTCATGATATCAATTCATAGTTCACATTAATTTCGACATTATGAAAGTCTTGAATGTGATCGTATTAGCTAAAGCCTAAATTTAATCTTGCTAACAGTTTCTCCCCCTTGAAATTTCTGGCCCGATCTTCGATACGATGTATCATTTATTACTATAATATATGGTTGTACGCATACGGTAGTATTCAACGACTCTCGATGTACACTGTATTCGATCTATAAGACTGCTGATTCATAATCTATAGTTCATATAATCAGTAATATGAGTAGTTCTAAAGATTAGAATTAATGTAGCCAACTTTCGTCATAGGTCTTACTCTTACTGACAAATTTAAGTTATGTATTTAAAATTCATATGATACTAAGTGATTAAAAATGAATCTAAACGAAAAATCTTAATCCCAATCATACTCATGCTGCAAAGTACAATATACCTCAAATATATTTTATCCATTGAAGATGGATATTAACATCATAAATAATAACAGGACAATGATAGATCATCGACTTTACGCAGCAATAACTGAGTAAATTTAAAACATCACAATCTTTATTTAATCGTATCGCATCGAAAACTTATTTACGTACTTTAACCACAGTAAATTGCGAATACAGTAGCTACGGTAAGTATTAAAAAACAATATCTAATTTCATTTAGTTTACAAACTTTTACAATCATAATTTCATGTTGGTTGACTAATAAGATAATAGTATCAGTCGCTTTAATCTTGTCATATATACGTATATTTTAAAAAAATTGAAATGCATAGATGATTTCATATCTAATTTGCTAAGTTACAATTAAGATTGGGTAGGTGAAATTAAAATTCTTTTTCTTACTGTATAGAAAGTATTATAAGTATGTAATAAGTGACAATGATAAATTCTATGTTTACATGTGAGATATGTACAAAGGATAATTATCTATAAAGGTTTTAAGTATATTTTTTAGTTATAATTAATAAATAATTATATTGAACTGAAATTTTAGCCAATATCGAACGGAGTCAGCTCGTATTTACCGTAACTACGTAATTTTTTATTACTTGAAGGACTATAATTCTTCAGAAAATTCAAAATATCCTTCAACTCTAGTGTATGGAACTCCATCAATTAGTACACCCAACGTATCGTACGACGTATCTCGAAGCTCACCCTAAATAAATCAGATCAGATATACAATATGTTAATAGTCTCATATTTCACAGCTCTGTTAGACTTACATATACTACAAAAATACAATAGAGACTCTGAGTATTTATTACAGCTTTCGACTAGATAATTACAATTTGGAACTGAGCTTCAAGATTAAGGCTAATGTAACAGTTCCAGCATTCATATCAAATAATATTTACTGTCTTGCAAACGATTACCTCAATTGTGAACTTTTTGGCAGGAATGCCATTAATTGTAGCCCTCCCTCGTATCCATCATGATGTTCGGCATCGTGTTTAGTTAATCCGTTAGTTTCCAGAGTAGGAACATCATCAAATTCGGTTCTATATACTTGCAAATCTAAATTTTGCATATTTAAATTATCGGACGTACCTAAAGGCTATAAAAATTAAGAGATAAAATTGCATTAATGAGTTTATCTGGAGTGGACTAGGTAAACATAATAACTTTAACAAAATGAATTAGCTATGGTGATACAGATATACTGTAGATTTTAATAGTAAGAAATACCATTAGTTACTAAGAAGTTTATTTAGCTAGCTGCATTTACGGCTATAAGAGTGATAAATAAAGATTGCTATAATAAATTAAGTTAATTTTCTGCTTGAGTATGATATTGACTTTAAATAATATTCAATCTTCGTTTGCACGCTAGGAATATCAGGATTAGTAATAATAGCAGTAATATGGTACTGCAAGAAACGACTACTATCAATCCCCTAAGGCTCAAAGCAGGAACAAGAGTAGCTTTTTCAAAATTTTGCAATTTCCCTACTAACGTTTTATCGCTAAAGATACTATAATATTTTTAGATTTAGTTTTGGCTGTTCACAACTAATCTAAACACTTTACCGGTTGATATATTCTAAGACATTCATCGACTAGAATTTATAAGATTAATATTTTTATACAATTTAACTAACTAACTAACTAACGCAACCTTGTCGTAGCTACAAGCTTGAGGTATTGGAAATCAATTCCAACACGTTTAGTACGTCTATTATGAGCATAGATTGCAATTCGGTTACGATCGAGTAGATTGTAATATATAGTCCCAATCATCCGTTAGGGTATCGGCCCAAAAAACGAGTCAGTCGGTATAATATCTAGGTAATTTCTAATGATGAATAGAAGTGGACTGAATAGTAGTAGTATTCCTAGACCAAAGATAACTATTAATTTAAATAAATCATAAGTTATTGCTTATTTTCTTTTTCACGATAGTGCAGGATGTTATCAATAAACCACAGAATGCCTTTCTTTACCAGACCATGTGCATTGTTGGTTAGGAAGGTCGGTAAAGCTTCTCTCACTTCCTATTGATATAGCCAGACCAACTATAACTACTGTTTAATGTCATGATGAAGATCTAACCAGTTCTCTTGTGGCAACAACCATGGCAATGCCCACTTGACTTCCATCTTAACCCAGCAGAAGGTTACAGCATTTTATATTGTAAGCAGTCCAAATAACCTCTAGTCCCTCCCTTTACATATTTTAATTAATTTGTTTGATATCAGCTTTTAGTTGTATTTAATGACGATAGTCTATTCACTATGGTCAACAATCCATGATCCCGATATTTGACTACAATATGATTGATGAATACAATAAACACTATCACTGACGATAATATGGTTAATAGATGCCTAGAAAATGTTGATTGCTAATAGATTTATCACTTTTATTAAAATCTTCGTTTAATATTTTATTCATCATAAATCAATTATAAAATTTGCAAATATTAGGCCATTCTACTGTAGTCGATCACAATCAGATGAAAATAAGTCGCCAAATAAACAACAATTGTTAATTAGCTTAATGATAGCAGATCAATCACCCTATTAATGCATTAATGATTTTTTTTAATCTATGCTACTACATCGTATAAATTAATAAACAAGTGAAATAAGAGATTAATCACGAGATTAATCACGATCAGAAAACGGTTTGACCTTTGCGGCCCCTAATGAATTAGATATCTAACTAATTTATTTGTCCTTACTAAAATATGAATTAGTTTTATAATTCTATAACCTCGATAGCAAGTTATCTACTGTATAACAACCAATACAATGTATATAGAGAGAGTTCACTGTAATCTAACCCCGTAGCGGTATATTACATTGGCTATGAGGGATTAGGAAATTTCTAATAATTTTGCATCATTATTTAGCTCCGAGTGAATTTATCTTCCTATGGATATGTCATCGCAACAAAGTGCTATAGTGATAAAAAATCTTAACAAATCTCATAAATTCATATAATCACCGTACATTACTTCTGGAGCTTGATATGCTGAATATTTAAAGAAAAAGATAATCCGAATAACTGAATACAGTGTAAGGCCAATTTGATAATCAGGTAGATAGGGAAATTAAATCATACAGAAAATAGATTGCGAAAGTAATAAACAGTATGATATAAAATGAAAAAAGGTATCCGGTGCGGGATGAAATAAAAACTTCTTACAGTTGTTCTTTCATTGGCCCAAAGTAAATTAAAAATATTTAATGTTCAATACACAAATACATATCGCGGATGTAACCCTTGTATTTGTTAGTATTAATTTTACCTTGCTTGTTTCTGTAAGACACAGCTAGGATTGAATTGTAGATTTGATGAAAACTGTCTAAAATTTTAGATAAATAGATGAATAGTTATAATGCTTAAGAGTACACGTGATACTGCTAATATACTATTAATGCAAGGCATACTAGGAAGCATCGGCATCATTAAGGAATTTGAGTTTTCATTCAGATATTTATTTACGATGAAAGAACTTCTTCTAATGCAAGAGAGGATCTAGTAGGAAGTGCTGGTATAAGAAAAATGATTAACATTTACCTTCGATAAGCTACTGATTCTTTCATAAAGATTTACAGAAGGCTTAATAAAATGAATTTAATTATCTACTTCAATTCTCTATTAATATATCATTAGAAGACCTTATTGAATAGATTATTGATATTGTGATCGTCTTCGAAACAAATGATTTTCGAAATCTTTTATAGGAAGTAACTGATCAAGCCACTAACTTAATGAATTATCGAAGGCTCGACTAAGAATATGGATTATGATGAAAATAACTGAAATACTTCTGTTATAACATTTGATGACTTGTAATACAAGTATACCGATAAGCAGAGAAGTCAAGATGATTTAAGAATTCGTGCGGCATAGATATATAGTACGCACATATTAGCAGATGAAAGATACAATATCAGTTAACACTTGTAGGAAGCATAGATTGTATTTAGTTTGTGAAAAATAGCTAATTATAGAAAGGAATAAGTGATAAGAAGTAAATTCTTGGCTTTAAAATATATTTCCTAAACGTCCTTGCTATCATTAGCGTATTAATTGGAACCCTGTCTTCAGAACTAGGTAAGCAAAGCATTCAAGAAAATCTGCCACTGTTTTTATAAGGTATCAATAGAAATCTACCTACAGAAAGAGCAAAAGTAAACATTGTAAAACGTACCTAATATCCATTTTTCTTGTAGGTGGGTGCTACTGAGATAGCCTAGATTATATTGGATGATATATGTCAGAAGTCTATGTTATTAAGTCATTATTTTATTCTTATAGAAATCTTGTTATTAGGAAACGATACAGATAATCTTTATCAGAATCGATTTGTATTCATTATTACATTAACGAGAATAATATTGGGTCCTACTCTGTAGTATCAATATAGAATCTCTGATCAAAGATTTGTTTATTATACAGATTTGAAACATATTACCAATATAATTCAATCCTTAATTGTATAAAGGATAGCCCAGAGTATATTCACAAAGGTATGGCAGAATGCAAAAATTGTTGGAATCGACAAGCTATCTTGGTAGTACTCTTTGTTTGAAAAATTTTGAATTTCTGGAATATTTTTAACATTCTTTTCTCTCTTGATCAATATAGCGTTCATGCAATATTTATTACATTAAACAAGGAACAATTTAAATAATAGTATTTAATATTTATTTTTTAGATCTGGAAGCAATTAATTCACCATCTGTTATTATGCTAGTTTACGCTAACTGTAAATATTCTAAAACTATTATTGAAAGACAATACCAGCAAGTCTAAAGTCATGCTATCTTTGTAGCTATCGCGAATAGTTGATAATATATTCTACGTTGAATAAATAATCCCTAAAAAAATGATCTTAAACATTCAACTTGCCTATCAGTAGTATTTCAATTTGAAATTATTTAATTTAAATCTCTAAGATACAATCGCATCAGAGCTTAATTTTCATAGCTACTGTAGCTATTTATATTGTACTGCACTATGCGTATATAATACTACATTCTAATAAAATAAATTCTAGTTCGCATATTTACCTGAATTCAGTAAATTGTTTATAAGTTTCCCGCTAGTAAAAATATTCATTCTAATTGTAGAGCTATTTTAAATTCCTGCATGGAAGTTGTTGAAACGTTCCACTTTTTACAAAGATTATAATTACTAATTATAATAATATACAAGATAAATGTAAAGCTCTATTTAATAATTTGTTCGCATCGGTGACTAAGACGTGAGTTTTGTAATTTTACTCGAAAAGGAGGTGTGAACGAGATTAAAATTATAAAATAAAATTCAATAATTATCATTTTGATTCTAGTGCTAGCAAGTTAAATTTATAACTTTTACCTTATTTAGAAGACATGCAGATCATTAAAGCAAATTAATATCGAAACGTTCTAATTCATTATCGATTTTGACTATATATAGCATGTCACTGCGAAAGCAAATCTGATGATAGACAATAATTAATGCAACGATTGCAGCCATACTTCAAATCTTTAATATTAAAGAATAAATCTTACTTGAGGACTCCAAATATTTTAATGGAGGAAAACTTATAATTATGCTGACTCCTCCTCTATGAAATAGCCATAGAAATGAAAACTTTGATGTTGACACACTAAGCAGAATATTTTATCTCTACCGTACCTATTGAGATGATAGTCTATTACGATAAATATTTAAACATTTATACTATGTAATATTCTCTTCACTGTTTAGACCAAAAGTCATCAGATTGATCAGGGTACTGTATTCCAGCATCTATACTAAATCAGATGTTAGATTACGGCTGCAATCTACTGCAAGATAGGTGGTCGTCACTATATGAATACGCATTGACAAGGTATTACTTTTGGTAATAACGATTGACTTAATTTATTAATTCAATAATTTTTTCTCTAACAGTTGTTTAAAAATGACAATAAAACTTTCAATTTTTTGTACTTGTTAGCAAATTATAATGATATTTGGTTAAATTAGAAAGCAATAAGCAGTAAAAAGATACATCAGATCCATCTCAATTTACAATTAGACATAGTAGACACACGGTTGAATATTTTAACATTTAAAATGATTTAAGGTGATTTAGCCTTGGACAACGAAACAAGACGTTCATGCTGAAATTTTAAGCTATTCTTATAGAATTTGTAAACAGATAATAAATATTTCATATAATTAATTGGCAATACAGTACTATATTATGAAAGAAGAAGTAACATAACTTGAAATTTTATTTTTTCTCATTATACTTCATATTTTATAAAATTCCTACTATACTTTATACAATTTTTAGTTGAACGGGTCTTAAGAAATCTCAGAAAATTATTTTCTGATTTTATTCTACGGTATTTTCTAATCGTATATGGCTAATAAATCTTATAAAGAAATACTAAGTCGATAATCTTTCAATTAACTTATAGTTAATGAGTTTATCCTAGTCCGAGTGAAAAATTTCTGTTTATAGAACTCCATATTCTTTAGTAACAACAATCACCTGAAGTCAGGCAGTGAAATATAATTTACATTAACAAACGATAATGATTAATTTTTTAAAATTTGCCTTAGGTAACTCTAGAATGAAAATTTTTTAATTAGTATGCATACATTTTGCTCTAGATAAAGATATTGATGTAAGCAATTGTGGCGTAAACCATTTTTCTCATTATATTATTATATTATATACATTTTTCTCATTATAAGCAATTCTGATATAAACCATTTTTCTCATTATATAGTCATGTATATCTCTGAAGATAGTAACGGCAAAGCAGGAAGAGAAGATTATTCGGATGCAGATTGATGTTGTAACAAAGGCGCAGACGATAATGCAGAATCTGTCGATTCAGTAGGTGATTCCGAAGTAGTTTCTACAGTCTTATTATTTGATGAAGGTGACTCTGATAATGGCAATGTTGCAATGATGCTGATGGAGAGGGTGGCTGTGGTATTGATCGCATAGTCGGTGATGGTAGTGGAGATGGTAATATCGCTTCCACTGAAGAAGAAGGTGGCTCTGGAAGATTTGATGTCGGCCTTGGCAAAGATAATGATATATCTTCTTGGGTAAGTGATGATGATTGCATTGACGATATCTTTTATAATTGAGATGGAGACTCAGGTAAATCTTTACCTTCCAATACCGAAGTTGGTGATTGTGATGAAGATATCTTCTCTGATGAAATTTGTGACTTGGATAAATCTTCATTAATGGATGACGATGCAGATGTTGCCGATCATGGTTGAAACTCTGGTAAGGGCTTGGTGACTGGAGATGATGGTGGTGAGTTGGATGGCGACGACGATGTTGATGACGATACTGGCGACACAAGTATTGGTGAGGCCGTCGGTGATTAAGTTGGAGATGTTTCTGTTGCCGATTTAGAAGATTGCAACAAAGTCGGAGGCATATCATCAATGATGATGGAGCTACTTCTTGGCCTTCCAACGATGTTATCATCTCCATTTGAACAATTTGGATCAAAGGAAAATTCTCCTTCATGGATTTCGTAAAGTTCACCATTCATTTCTACAGTAGTGACTGTAACGTTACCTCTTATTTCCTCCTATAGGAAAATGAAACGATATTAAGTTAAGATAAAATTGAAAGATGATCCATAATAGGATTAATATTACAATATAGCCTTACATTGAAATTTACACTTTTTTTTGATAACTTGGATCCTATAGATGCTGAACGACTGGGTGGTTGACTATTTCGATTACTAGAGACTGGAGCAATAATTTCTTCCACAACTTCTGGAGGTGTATCAAAAGAATCACTATTTTCATCAATATCGTTATCATCACTACCATATTCAGTCGGACCGATATCTTCTCCACTTTCTTTAATCGGCTCTAATGATACATTGTTACTCCGAGCTCGATGGGAAAATAGTGAGAAATTAATAGCCGTTTCTTGTGCCTCAACCAATGGAATATCCTACCCGAAATAAATTCAATAATACGATATTAACTTATCCACTAGATGAATAGCTTTGGCTATCATACACCACTACATTATCTACCCAATATTATCATTGCATCAAATAATAAATTAATTGTGTTATCTTACTAATGATACTTACATCAACATAAAGTTTACGTGTAGAAAGTGGTTGGTTGATTTGATGATTTAAGTGGATCTTACGATAAACGTATACTGCACATACAGCCATGACAAGGAGTAAAAGAATACCACATACAATTCCAGCAATTTCAAGCGTTGTCAACACAGCAAGCGCTGCAACTGTTTCTGCTAGCTGAAAGCTTGTCGTGTTGCTTATAAATACTCCGTTACTGTGGCCAATCGATAACATATCATAATTAAAAATTCAACTATTAATTCATTGTTATGCTTTCATCGACGATCAGATTAACGTATTGTTGATTTTACACAATTCTTAGGTCGATTATTCATGAACGAAATATCATTATAAGCATATTCTTGTTCTATCATTACGTAGTTTATTCACTATTCAAAATAGCATTGTTATAATATTGTTGCATTCTTACTAGAATGTAGTTATGAATTATTCATGATGCAACTTACGTCAGTATAGCAATTAATTGCAAGTTGAAAATAGCGGCATTACGTCTGTTGTCGATGCATAGCACTGTAGTTGTCATGGTGCCGTTATAACGGACTTGACCCCTAGTAGGATCTATTAATTGGTAGTACACGCCTTGATTGCTAGTATCACTGGGTTGTTGAAGAGTTGGCCAACCTATATACCCACAGCTAGTATTGGATGAAATTAGCCTGGGTTGGAAGGACGCTGAAGCTAATCAATTTAAATAGAACATAGGATTAATTCAATCAATCTCGTGATACATCATCATTGATCAATTTATTAACTGAGTCAATGTATAAAATCGATTCATAGAGTTCACATTCTGTCATCATTCATATTATGTCGTCATTTAAATCAAATTTAATTTCATTTTGCTACACCCAATTTTGTTGTTGATAAATTTAAATGTTGTAAATACATTTTTGCATCAACACGATTGCCATCATTTAACTTGTGACGTTATCTTCCTAAATTACTATACTATTTCACACGATATGAGAAAAGGTGAAGGTTAATAAATGCGAGATAAACACAATTTTCAAGAATTAGTTGATTCTCTACACTCATAAAAGATTCAAATTATTACAATAAGAGGATAAAAATAGAAGTATTCAAAAAGCACCGTAGTGAACGTCATAGAAGTGTTAGTTCAATATTAAATTAATAGGACATGATAAGATAGCGGAAATGGTGTTATGTTTGTTTATATTATAACGAAATACATAATTATAACATGTATGATGTATATAAAAATTAAACTTTTATGGAATTAATGACAACAAGATAACTTGAAAACGTGACAATCATTGCTTTCTATATTAGTCTATGAATAAGAAAGCGTTTATAGCTCTATAGTTTATACCGTACTTGAAGCCTGGTATGGCCGTAATCCACGATTGATAACGATGATTATAAATATATACTGAGCGACAGATTAGAGCTCTAATTGGGTAGAAAAATGAACGGATGGAACGCTTTTACTATTATGGCTAGGCAATGATTTGTGAAACGGTGATACATGAATAGAACCAAAATGTTGATTGTTCTCTAGCGTATTTCCAGAACTTTTGTATTATTGTAACTATAGCAAAAAGTTGTTAACGAAAAATTCGATCGAGGTTGAATGAATGGTTATAATGAATCAGTACCATCAATGGCATTCCAATGCCAAAAACAAACATTTGAAAATGTTTTTATGTATCCTAGTGATATAACCGTGGTGTGTATGGCAAATTGCTAATATGCGTATTTTAAATTGATTTTAGCGTACTATTCGTAGCGCTTAATGTCAAAGCAAATATTCCGTCAGTGATATTAATAAAGTCTAGAAGCAAGCGTACAAGCCTTTTCAAAAGTATTAATGATATATCTACGTACAAAAAATGCTCTATTGTATACTTAACCTTTTATATAAAATCGATCAGAGCCCTGAGTTTAGGTAACGTATACTTGATAACTAACAAGTTATATATGTTGTGTATTTACAGTTAATAATTAACAAATTAGTACATGGCACACTTGGGCGAAGTTTAAATGGTAACTAAAAACGAATGTTTTCAAGTAAAGTTTTTCCATGCCTACTCAATATTGGCACATGTATAAATTAATGCACTGCTCGATATGGGTGATTAGATTATTGTAAATGATCCACGACGTATTGCACTTGTAAATTAAGATAAATATTGAAAATTTGTCTAGATATTGTTGGCCGTAATGAGTTTGGAACATATTGATAGAACATATTGTCAATAGTAAACGCTGTTACGAAATTGTATCTTAAAATTCATGATCCTATTCAGGTGGTTAATATACGCTAGAAAGGATAAACTACCGTAACCATAGATTCGCAGTAAATATTAGCACTTTTACGAAGAAGTGTCAAGACAAGGATCGAAACCATAATGAGAGTTTTACAATATTATTCATGGCTGATATACAATCTTTGTTATGATTATTACTTACAAAGTGATTTACATTGATTAGTTTTAAATAATTAATTGCCGTAGAAACTAAATAAATAATGTTATATTAAAGACGGTTATGATAACTTATGTCAGGGAAATAAGGGAGACTTTTGTTTATGTGTATTCAGTGAATGAGCCTGTATGCATATTATGGACAATAAGAAGGAATCAAAAATAATTCGATTTACTTATACTAAAGAGAGAGAAAAAATGAGATATCTTTGATTTTAAACCCTATAAAGGTTTGATAATAATGTTTTATAGCCTTACTGAAATCTGTAAGATTAGTGATGTAAATTCCTTTATAGAAACGTTGATGTAGGATTACTACTAAATGTTATTATACTAAGACCTATTGGAATGAATAGATTTATAACGATAAAAACTAAGTTAAAGTTGGATTATACCCTAGAGGCATTAGTTACAGCTATATCGAGATATTAATAAGACAGTTAATGTTGTGTCAAAAGGTCCAATATAGATTATGTTTATCAAGATAAAATTATCGCCGTCTAGTCCTCTATGCTTATGGAATGATACTGTTAGAAATTATACGTATTATAATAAACAATACGTATCCTTAATCTACTATCAGGATTATTATTGGAAATGTTTTTACAAATTAATTATTAAAGTTGTTAATACCTTACTACTATCTACATAAACTATATAGTAATGTATTTATTGGTTTAGTTCTACGCATTTTACGGTAAGAAAATTACGACGAATGTTATTACAGTTTTGTACTTTGCTAAAATTTATTGTAGAATCGTAATCATTATTCATGCAACTTTTCTGTGGGTACCGTATATTATGACCAAGCAAGAATTTATTACAATGCTGTAAATTCAATCTATACACGCTTTATAATCTTTCTTTATGCTTACGAAACAAAAACTTTTACTCATTATGATACTTTTTATCCATTATACCATTATAAATAAGGACGTATGCTAATATAATTGATGCTGTTTACTAATCGTTCATGTACGATAATACTGACCTGGAATATAAATTATGGCGATGGAACTATCAGTATTACCAAATCTGTGAATAGAAATCAGTAAGAAAAATGGAGAAAAAATTTCAACTTAAGCATTAACCTTCTTATCCTTATAGAGCCGTTTAAATGAAAACTAGAATACTTCAACATTTTAAATATTCGAACATACCATCCACTTCATCTTACTATTTGTTACTATACCTGTTTAGAGCCGTTAAATAATAAATAATTTTGTCTCCGAACTGGCTGCAATATTGATAATATTTTTGAGTCAAAAGTGAGGTTTCTAGACCATTAATATTCAATCTATAAGAAACCGTATCGTCCCCAGATTCACGCGGCTGAGTCCAGTTAAATTGGATACATTGACTGCTGAAATCAGCTCGCCAAGTGGGTAATGAAATTCCAGCTGGGGCTAGATTATGTCACAAAACACAGGACATTGTTTAGTGTATATTGCGTATATTGAGCGAAATTGATACTTATAAAATTATCATCCTATATTTAAACTTACCAGAGCCTAATGTTCTACGAACTAGCCATGCTGTGACATGTTGGCCAGAGCGTACTTGAATGCTGTAAACCGTGTTTGGATTTAAATTATTAATTTGTATAACTTGATTAGGTAAGATTTGAAATTGCACAGTCGTCGAAATATTCGTGCCTTGACATGGTTGATTTTGCGATGGATTATTGGAAGTACCTGAGCATAGGATGACTATAAGCTGAATATTATTAGCGTTAAAGGTAGCTGGTAATTCAATCGTGATTGCTATTGAAGTAGTATTAATAACAGATGGTGTGACTAATGTTGAATTTGTCGGATAAATAGTCGTTTGGCTATTGTTAAAGGCTGATGATGAATCATGAAAGTAGTTGGGAGTAGCAGAAGTAGCCTCAATCGAGCTAGCATAATCAATTGTGAATTGATCATTTAAAGTATGAACAGATATAGAGGGACTTGAGGTAGAAGATAACGTTGGAATTGATTTTACACTTAGTATAGAAGTATAGATGCTGCCGCTATCGGTTGGATTTAGTAGTGCATTCTTTGTAGATGTTAATATCTCCTGTATTGCTGTTGAGCCAGTTTGCTCAGGTATCAAAAATGAGTTTACTGAATGCGAATCCATTATACTGAATAACGCGCTAGTTGAATAACGGTTTTGGCTACTGGTTACTGTTAGGAATACAGTTTCCTCGCTTGAGCTATATCCTAATCCTTCTGCAGAGCTGGAGTATGTTGTAGAAAGCTGATTGCTTGTCTTTCCAGTAAATGTTTGTAAATTCGCAGATGATTGTGATAGAAGAGATATAGTTGGATATTCGATTGAATTTTGCTCACTATTAGTATTCGATATGCTAATTGGGTTACGATTTTGGCTACTAGCTACGGTTACAAATGTAAATCCATCGCTTAAGCTATATCCTAATCCTTCTGCAGAGCTGGAGTATGTTGTAGAAAGCTGATTGCTTGTCTTTCCAGTAAATGTTTGTAAATTCGCAGATGATTGTGATAGAAGAGATATCGTTGGATATTCGATTGAATTTTGCTCACTATTAGTATTCGATATGCTAATTGGGTTACGATTTTGGCTACTAGCTACGGTTACAAATGTAAATCCATCGCTTAAGCTATATCCTAATCCTTCTGCAGAGCTGGAGTATGTTGTAGAAAGCTGATTGCTTGTCTTTCCAGTAAATGTTTGTAAATTCGCAGATGATTGTGATAGAAGAGATATAGTTGGATATTCGATTGAATTTTGCTCACTATTAGTATTCGATATGCTAATTGGGTTACGATTTTGGCTACTAGCTACGGTTACAAATGTAAATCCATCGCTTAAGCTATATCCTAATCCTTCTGCAGAGCTGGAGTATGTTGTAGAAAGCTGATTGCTTGTCTTTCCAGTAAATGTTTGTAAATTCGCAGATGATTGTGATAGAAGAGATATCGTTGGATATTCGATTGAATTTTGCTCACTATTAGTATTCGATTTGCTAATTGGGTTACGATTTTGGCTACTAGCCACGGTTACAAATGTAAATCCATCGCTTAAGCTATATCCTAATCCTTCTGCAGAGCTGGAGTATGTTGTAGAAAGCTGATTGCTTGTCTTTCCAGTAAATGTTTGTAAATTCGCAGATGATTGTGATAGAAGAGATATCGTTGGATATTCGATTGAATTTTGCTCACTATTAGTATTCGATATGCTAATTGGGTTACGATTTTGGCTACTAGCTACGGTTACAAATGTAAATCCATCGCTTAAGCTATATCCTAATCCTTCTGCAGAGCTGGAGTATGTTGTAGAAAGCTGATTGCTTATCTTTCCAGTAAATGTTTGTAAATTCGCAGATGATTGTGATAGAAGAGATATCGTTGGATATTCGATTGAATTTTGCTCACTATTAGTATTCGATATGCTAATTGGGTTACGATTTTGGCTACTAGCTACGGTTACAAATGTAAATCCATCGCTTAAGCTATATCCTATTCCTTCCGTAGGGATGAAGTATGTTGTAGAAAGCTGATCGCTTGTTTCCCCTATATGTGTGTATAAATCTGTAGAGGATTCTAATTGAGGAGATATCATCGAATAGCCAGTTGATTTTTGCCCCATGTTGCTATTTGTACTTGCATCCAGCGAAGATATATAGGGTGCTGTTGTATCCGCTTGAGTCGCGGCAATATCGATGGATGAAGTCACCCCGGATGGAATAGACTGAAATAGAGTTGAAGAATTAGTGTTTTAGATAGAATTTTTATCTTAAATCATAGTTAATTGAAGACTAGATTGATTTATAAATGATAATGACTTAGCTATGCCGCTAGACGTAGTTAAATGCGATGATCCTATCGATAAATACTGTTTGTCTGATACTAAAATATCGCTAGCTATTACTGAAGTATAGGAAACCGAAACAGCCCGAACAGAAATAGCTTGTATTGCAAGCTAAAGGAAGATCTGGGATTAAAATTTTGATTTTCTATAGTGAATGTTGTGCTATAAATATATTTGAGTGATAAACTGCTGATGCTACAATTCTATCGCTAAGAGTGATGTCATAAGTAGTCATACCGTCGATAAATTCGCGAAGGATTACAGAAGTAGAAACTGACAGTAATTGGCTAGAGAGTATTGCAATAGCATATTTATCCGTCAAACTTGCTAACAAGTCAAGTTGTAAAGAATTCAATGCTAGATGAAAGAAATAGATTTGGTTCTCTAATACAAGTAGATGGGTTGAGCTTGGCGGTCGACCTAATGATATTGGGTCCATTTTGTAAATTGTCAGATTGTACTATGCTATAAGTGTTTGTAGTTGCTGGCGAGATGAATTGATTGATCTGTAGTAGAAGATTTTATATGTAGCTTAATAGTCGAGATCTCTAACGGTGATGAGATATTAATGGCTAAATCGTTTGTACTACCAGTATTTTCTCCTATCACTGATGAAGTCAATATGTCAAATTATTAACTAGATTCTTGAATTATTTGATTCTGCTTATACTATAGAAATCGCTAGTCGTTAATGTGTGCACAATATCACTATCTTGTGAGTCAGATTGAGAATCGCTTAATTGAAAGCTGTCTGAATTTGGCAATATAGATGGATTGAGCTTAACAGATAAACTACTGAAGCTAGATCTACTTTGTAAATTATCGGATTTTATTGTATTATAAGCAATTATAATCGCTGAAGGGAAAATTTGATCTGTTCTAGAAGATTTAATTTATGTCTTGAAAGTTGAAATCCTTAATGATGAGTTTTTAGTGGTTAAATTGCTTGTAATACCGATATTTTCTCCGATCAATGATGAACCGAATATCAAATGATTAATCAGACTCTTGAACTGCTGAATTATTCTTGTTTGTACTAAAGAAATTGCTAGTCGCTAACGAATACGTAACAGTACTAATTTACAAATTAGATTGAGCATCGCTTAATTGAATATTGTCTGAATGTAGTAATATAGATGGATTCAACTCATAAATTGAACTAATAATACTAAATTCACCTTGTGAATTGTCAGATAGCACTGTGTTATACGTAGTTTTGATTGATGATGAGATGGTTTGATCTATAGTAGAAGATTTTATGTGTACCTTGGAAGTAAAGATTTCAGACGATGACGGGTTGTTAATAGCTAAATCGCTTGTACTACCGATATTCTCTCATATCACTGATGAAGTCATTATCACAAATGATTTACTAGATTCTTGAACTATTGGATTGTTTTTACTTGCACTATAGAAATTGCTAGTTGTTAGCGAGTATGTGATACTACTAACCTGTAAATAAGATAGAGTATCGCTTAATTGAATATTGTCTGAATTTGGTGAAATAGATGGATTGAGCTCATAAATTGAGCTAACAATGTTAGATCCATTTTGTAAATTATCAGATTGTGCTACGTTATAAGTAGTTGTTGTCGCTGTCGAGATGATTTGATCTGTAGCAGAAGATTTTATGAGTACCTTGGAAGTAGAGATTTCAGACGATGACGAGTTGTTAATGGTTAAATCGCTTGTACTACCGATATTTTCTCTCATCACTGATGAAGTCGATATGTCAAATGACAGAATGGATTCTCTAAATATTGATTTACTGCTATTGATACTGTATAAATTATTAGTTACTGGCGAATGCACGACATTACTAATATACAAATCAGATTGAGTATAGCTTGATTGAAAGTGTTTTGAATTTGATAGAATGGATGGATTAGACTCATCAACTGAACTAATGATGTTGAGTCCACCTTGTAAACTATTAGTTTGCCTAGCATTGTAAATAGTTGTGGTTGCAAGTGGAATGACTTGATCTGTAGAAGATTTTATATGTGGCTTAAAAGTCGAGATTTCTGGCGATGATGAATTGTAATTGGTGATATCTAAATTACTTGTTCTAACAATACTTTTTCTCATCACTGGTGAAGTCGATATGTCCAGTGAATAAATAGATTCACTAGAAATTAGATCATTATTACTTATACTGTAAAAATTGCTAGTCACGGATGATTGCACCATGTTATTAACATAAAAGCTAGATTGAGTACTGCTTAATTGAAAATTGTTTGAATTAAATAATGGATCAAGATTGTCAATTATTGAATTTACGATGTTAGATTGCAATAAGTTATAAGCAGCCGTGACCGTCGATGGAATGACTTGATCTATCGAAGATTTCATGTGTTGTTTGAAAGTCGAGATCCCTGACGGTGATGAATTATTAACAGCTATATCTAAATCAGTTGAGCTACCAATACTTTCTCCCATCACTGATGAAGCCGATATGCCAAATGATTGACCAGATTCTGTAAATATGTGGATACTATTCCTTATGCTATGGAAATCGCTAGTCACTGATTGCACCATGTTACTAAGGTACAAACTAGATTGAGTATCGCTCAATTGAAAGTTATTTGAATTAGTCAGTATCAATGAACCAAGACTGTCAGTTGACTTAATGATATCAGATTGCCATGAATTATAAATTGTGGTGATTGCTGGTGGAAGGACTTGATCTGTAGTAAAGGATTTGAATGTTTGCTTGAAAGTTGATACTTTTGGCGATGAGTTATTCATGACTACACCTAAATTACTTGTCCAACCAATATTCTCTATCACCACTGACGTAGTCAAGAAGTCGAATGATTGAATAGACTCTCTAAATATTTGATCACTATTACCTATCCTATCGGAATTTCTGATCACAGATGATTGTGCTATGCTACTGACATACAACCTAGATAGAGTATCGCTTAAATGAAAGTTACTTGAATCAGCTAATCTCGACAGATCAAGGTTATCAGTTGAGTTAACGATGTCAGATTGTAATGAATTATAAGTAGTCATGGTTGCTGGCGGAGTATCTTGATCTATATTAGAAGATTTTAAGTATGACTTGAAAGTCGAGATCCCTGACGATGATGAGTTGTTAATGGCTAAACCACTTGTACTACCGACATTTTCTCCCATCACTGATGAAGCTGTTATGCTCAAAGATTGACGAGATTCTTGAACTATTTGATTATCCTTGTTTGTACTATAAAAATGGCTAGTCAATAGTGAGTGTGTGATGCTACTAACTTGTAAATTAGATTGAATATCGCTTAATTGAAAGTTTTCCGAATTTTGCAATATAGATTGGTTGAACTCATCAGCTGAGCTAATAATGTTAAATTCATCTCGTAGACTATTAGATTGCATAACATTATACGTAGTTGTTGTCGCAGGCAGGATGATTTGATCTGTAGAAGAAGATTTGATCTGTGGCTTGGAAGTCGAGATGTCTGACGATGATGATTTATTAGTAGCTATATCTAAATCGCTTGTACTACCAATACTTTCTTCCATCACTGATGAAGCTGATATGTTAAATGATTGACTAGATTCTTGAACTATTTGATTATTCTTGTTTGTACTATGGAAATAGCTAGTTAATAGTGAGTGTGTGATACGACCAACTTGCAAATCAGATTGAATATCGCTAACTTGGAAGTTGTCTGAATTTAGCAATATAGATGCGTAAAGTTCATCAGCTGAGCTAATAATGTTAGATCCACCTTGTAAACTATTCAACTGCATAACACTATAAGTAGTTGTGGTCGCTGGCAGGATGATTTGATCTGTAGTAGAAGATTTGATTTGTGGCTTTGAAGTCGAGATCTCTGACGATAATGAATTGCTAGTAGCTAAATCAGAATCACTTGTAGTACCAGTGCTTACTTCCATCACTGATGAAGTCGATACGTTAAATGATGGCCTAGATTCTCTAAATGTTTGAATACTATCACTTTTACTATAGAAGCTATTAGTCACTAAGGAATGCTGGATATCAATGGAAAATAAATTAGATTGAGCATCACTTACGAGTAATTGATAGTTGCCTGAACTTGGCGATATTGATGGATTTAGCTCATCAGTGGAGCTAATAATATCAAATGTACTTTGTAAAATATCAGACTGTAGTGTTTTGTAAGTAGCTTTAACCGTTTGTGTTATGGTCACTAGTGAAATAAACTGATCCATAGTAGAAGATTTGATTTGTTGCTTGAAAGTCGAGACCTCCGGCGATGATGATTTGTAGATGGCCCTACTTAAATCACTTGTTCTACCAATACTTTCTCCCAGTACTATCGTCATCGAACTGCCAAATGATTGACTAGATTCTTGAAGTATTTGATTGCTCTTACTTATACTGTATAAATGGCTAGTCTTAAATGAATACTCCATGTTACTAACATACGAATCAGTTTGAGTATCAACTAGTTGAAAGTAGTCTGAATTAGGTAACATTGATGGATAGTGGTCTGCAGCAGTGCTAATGGTGTTAGATTCACTTTGTGATTTCTCAGTTTGTAATGAATTATAATACAAATCAGTTTGAGTATTGCTTACTTGAAAGTAATTTAAACTAGGCAATGTTGATGAATGAAGGTCTTCAGTTATGCTAACGATGTTCGATTCACTTTGTGATCTATCAGATTGTAATGAATTGTAATACAAATTAGTTTGAGTATCGCTTAGTTGAAAGTTGTTAGGTAGTGTCGATGAATGGATGTCTTCAGTAATGTTAACGACGTTAAATTCAGTTTGCGGTCTGTCAGATTGTAATGAGTTATAATACAAATTAGTTTGAGTATCGCTTAGTTGAGAGTAGTTAGGTAATGTCGATGGATGAAGGTCTTGAGTTATGCTAACGATGCTAGACTCATGTTGCGATCTGTCAGATTGTAATGAATTATAATTAGTTATGATCGTTGTTGTAGTGGCTACTGGTAGAGTGATTTGATAGGCAGTAGATGATTTGATTTGTGGCTTGAATGTTGAGATGTCTAACGATGATGAATTATAAACAGCCACATTTAAATCACTTGAACTACCATTATTTTTTTCTCCTACTACTGTCGAAGTCGATCTGTCAAATATTTGGCTAGATTCTTGAAATACTTGACTACTATTAATTCTACTTGTACTGTAGGAATTGTTAGTTACTAATGGAAATGTGATATCACTAACAAGTAAATCAGATTGAGTATCACTTAATGGAACATTTTCTAAACTTACGAGCATGGATGGATTGAGCTCGTAATGTGAGCTAACGATATTGGATCCACCTTGTAAACTGTTAGATTGCAATAAACTATAAATAGTTGTACTCACTGGCAATATAACTTGATCTATCGCAGAAGAATGGATTTGGGGCTTGAAAGTCGAGATTTCTGACGGTGATGAATTGTTAATAGCGACATCTAAATCACTTGTGCCACCAATACTTTCAATTACCACTGTTGAAGCTGATATATCAAGTGAATGACTCGATTCTTTAAGTATTTGACTACTATTACTGATATCGTAGGAATTATCGATCAATATTGAATACGTTCTGTCGATAGTAAGTGAATCAAACAGAAAATTTCCTGAATTTTGTATAGATAAATCATCAGTTAAGCTAATGATGTTGGATCCTCCTTGAAAACTATTAGATTGTAATAAATTATTAGTATGTGTACTCATTGATGGTATAACTTGATCTGTAGAAGATTCGATTTGAGATGTAAAGACAGAGAAGACCGACGACGACGATATTTTAATAGATATATCTAAATCGCTTGTACTACCAATACTTTCTCCCATCGCAGTCGACGCTGATACATCAAGTTGTTGACTAGATTCTTCAACTAGTTGGCTACTATTGCTTATACTAGAGAGATTATCAATCGCTATTGAAGATGTGATATCGATAGCAATATTACTAGTCAATGGATAAGATAGAATATCGCTTAACAGTATATATTCTGAATTTAGTACAGATTGATCGAGTTCGCCGATTAAGCTTGTAATACTAGATTGTGTAGGATTATAATCAGTTGTATTTACTGGCTGTATAATTTGATCTATAGAAGATTCAATTTCAGTAATAAATGTCGAGAAGACCGACGATGACGACGATATTTTACTAGATATATCTAAATCGCTTGTACTACCAATACTTTCTCCCATCGCAGTCGACGCTGACACATCAAGTTGTTGACTAGATTCTTCAACTAGTTGGCTACTATTGCTTATACTAGAGAGATTATCAATCGCTATTGAAGATGTGATATCGATAGCAATATTACTAGTCAATGGATAAGATAGAATATCGCTTAACGGTATATATTCTGAATTTAGTACAGATTGATCGAGCTCGCCGATTGAGCTTGTAATACTAGATTGTGTAGGATTATAATCAGTTGTATTTACTGGCTGTATAATTTGATCTGTAGAAGATTCGATTTGAGATGTAAAGACCGAGAAGACTGATGACGACGATATTTTATTAGATATATCTAAATCGCTTGTACTACCAATACTTTCTCCCACCGCAGTCGACGCTAATACATCAAGTTGTTGACTAGATTCTTTAACTACAGATTGATCAAGTTCGCCGATTAAGCTTGTAATACTAGATTGTGTAGGATTATAATCAGTTGTATTTACTGGCTGTATAATTTGATCTGTAGAAGATTCGATTTGAGATGTAAAGACAGAGAAGACCGGCGACGACGATATTTTACTAGATATATCTAAATCGCTTGTACTACCAATACTTTCTCCCACCGCAGTCGACGCTGATACATCAAGTTGTTGACTAGATTCTTCAACTAGTTGGCTACTATTGCTTATACTAGAGAGATTATCAATCGCTATTGAAGATGTGATATCGATAGCAATATTACTAGTCAATGGATAAGATAGAATATCGCTTAACAGTATATATTCTGAATTTAGTACAGATTGATCGAGCTCGCCGATTGAGCTTGTAATACTAGATTGTGTAGGATTATAAACAGTTTTATTTACTGGCTGTATAATTTGATCTGTAGAAGATTCGATTTGAGATGTAAAGACCGAGAAGACTGACGACGACGATATTTTACTAGATATATCTAAATCGCTTGTACTACCAATACTTTCTCCCACCGCAGTCGACGCTGACACATCAAGTTGTTGACTAGATTCTTCAACTGTTGTACTAATATTACTTATACTATAAAAATAGCTAGTCACTACTGAAGACGTATTATCGCTAACAAATAGATCAGATTGCGAGCGAGAATTTAATTGAAAGCTTTCCGAATATTGTATTATAGATAGATCGAGCTCATTACTTGAGCTGACGATGTTAGGTCCACTTTGCAAATATTCAGATTGTAATAAATTATAAGCACTTGTACTCACTGGCTGTATAACTTGATCTGCAAAAGAGGATTTATTTTCTGGCTTGAAGGTCGAAAAGTCTAGCGATGACGATATAATCCTGGATAGCTTTAAATCACTTATACCACTAGTATCTTCTCCCACCACTGCCGAAGCTGATATATCAAGTAATTGAGTAGATTCTTGAAATATTTGACTGCTTTTGCTTATATTATAGACATTTTCAGGCTTGACTGAGTGAGTAATCTCACTAGCAAATAAATCTGATTGCACATCACTCAATGGATGGTATTCTGAAGTCTTTAGCATGGAAAGATTAAGTTCATCAGTAGAGCTATTCATATTAATAGATTCACTTTGTGGGATGTCAGGTTGCAATGAATTATAAACCGTTACGCTCACAAGCTGTAAGAGCGAACTTGAAATAGAATATTTGATTTCTGACTGGAGCGTAGAGATCTCCAATGATAGCCTTAATGAACTTGAACCAAGTGTTGGCAATGATGATGAAAGTTCTTGTAAAGATAGACTGCTATCGTCTATCACCGAAGCAGGGGCAAATGTTCCACTTTCATCAGCTTCTAGATTTTTTGAAGATATCTCAACCGATAAAGACACATCGTTCAATTCGTTTGAGCTAACAGATGATACTATATTGGCAATAAATGATGATGATATTGCTTTGCTAAAAGAACTGACCAGGTCTTGATCTGATGAAAGTAAGTTCGATTCTAAAGCATTGCTTGCTAATGGCAGCGAAGATATTTTTTGACTTGAAGGTATTGCTTCTATTTCGAGTGTGGAAGATGCTATCGATGTAGAACTAACTTGAAAAGATGTTTCTGATAATAAGCTATCATCGGAAGAATATATCATGCTATTGCCTGAGGAGTAAAAAATTGGTGTTGAAGAAAGTAATTCTTGAAGTGTAGTCGATGATGCAAGAGCAATATCGAATGAAATGGAAGTGGGAGTAAATTGAAGGGATAATTCTGGGGATAGAATGTTGAAGGAAGAATGTTTCACACTGCTAACTGTGGAGTCCAAGATTGATGTTTCAGGCGATGAAAATGCTAGCTGAACTGATGAAGCAAAGTTTTTGGACGTAGTAATCTCATAATTAATATTAATACTAACATCGCTCGTAGTAATAGGTACAGAACAACTGCCATTATTGGAAAGCGAGATAGTTAAAGTTCTAGTTTTACCAAAATCAGATTGCTGTAAATCTTTAGCCAATCGAACGATACCGGTTTGCCCGTTGATCTCAAAAAGACCATCATTATTACCAGCCATTATCTGATAGAACATAATAATCTCGTCTACCGCCTGATTTTGTCTTGGATCTTGAACAGAGCCGTTAATGGCTATTACTAACGAACCAACAGAACTAACAGATGGATCTAATGTTGTATTATAAGGCGGCAAAATCCACAAAGAAACATCTTGACATGGATTATATATATCCAGATCGACTAAAGCAGTTGTATTGAAGGGTGGACTTCCACCATCTTGTGCTAAAATAGTAAGAGTGATATTTTCAACGATCAATCGTAAGCTCGATGCCGTGGATATTATACCAGTGGCTGAGTGAATAGCAAATAAATTAGTCTGATTCAAGATAGAATAAGATACTTTTCCAAACTGATTTAAGTCTTTATCTGTAGCCATGACTTGTATAACAGATGATCCTATGGGAAGAGTATTTGTAACGAGTTGCCGATAGAGACTGGAATTAAAAACAGGTGGATAATCATTGGTATTGACAATAGAAATGTTCACTAAGGCAATATCTGTTAAATTTGTACAATCTTGAGCGGTAGCATTGACTTGATAGAATGTGTTGGATATACTTGATAATGGCATGGTAGTAGTAATACTACCAGTAGTAGAATTGATGGAAAAAGGGAAGACTTGAAGTTCATTAACGAAAGAATAACTCACAACACTCCAACAACCTTGTGATTATAAGAGCGAAAGCATTAACATAGAATTAATGTAATAAAATTTTATAATCATAAATGCCAAGAATATCTCACAATAATCGCATATATATATTTTAAATAGGGGATTTTAAATATTAGCTCCTTGATAATAGTAACGTTCATATCTGTAGTAACTGATATACACAGTATTGTAAGAATAAGTAATTATAATTGCAAGGTAAAATTAGATGAGTACGGTAAACAGTGTATACTATTTATATGAAATTGTTCTGAAACTCTTAACATGGATGTGTAAGAATTTACTATGTAAAACAGCATAGCCTAGATCATAGCCCAAAATATAGCTAGTGAAGTTCGCGTATAATTATTTAAATTCCAACATGTAACCGTTTCGTAATTCTTTATATGTATGTGTAAGAGTTTATTATGTGAAATAATATAGCCTAGATCATTACCTTAGATATAGCTAGTGTAGTTTGCATGCATGCTTACTTGTACAATGTGTATGTTAACAAGTAATCCTTCTGTTACTCTTAAAGTGGAAGCGTAAAAATTTACTACTATGGAATTACTATAGCCTAGATCATTGTTCTAAATATAGCTAGTGAAATTTGCAAATATATGAACGATATATATACTATATATGTTAATATGTAATCCTTCTGTAACTCTTAAATGGAAGCATAGGAATTTACCACTATGAAAAATAAGATAATCTAGATCATTGTTCCGAAATTAACTTTTCCTAGTAACATTTGCCTATCATAATGGCATATTGCTATTAATGAAAGTGTATAAGCACAAGTGGCGGAATAAAAAGAACTAAATTTACACGCTACTCTCGGAGTAATTAAGGTGTAAAATGATAATATAGAAGCATAATAGTAATGAGTAGGTAAGTAATTAGTTTTATGTCTATGTAAGCGTAGCAATAAAATTGGCATCATTCATAGTAAAGTTGCAAAGTTGCTAGAACTTAGTTATGATTAAATTACCTGTGCCAGAGCCATCTGGATCAACTGCATGCACTGCTGCAATTGCGCTTCCTTCAGAAACTTTTTTATTAACCTCAAACTGATATCCTTGAGTTGGAGTTCCATTAATATTGACAAATTGTGGTGTCTCTGGTACATTGGCAATAGTGATAATTAATTGCTTTGTTTGAGTACGACTATTATCTATCCCATAATCATGAGCAGTAACGTTGAAAATGTAAGGATTAGAGGGAATTGTTTCATAATCGATATTATTTATGGTAGTTATGTTGCCATCATTGGTATCAATGTTAAAATAACCGAATGTTGTATCCGTTGGATCATTCTTTACTGCGGTGAAATAAACTTTAGCATGATCGGGATCATAGGCCATAATTTTCCCAATCAAAGTATTGTTTGGCAAATTTTCTTCAATTTGGTAATACAACGTACTATTAACGAAAATAGGATCGTAGCTATTGCCACTATTGACGATGACTTCTTTAATACCAAAGTACGTCTGAGATTGATTATTGGAATATTGAAATTGAAAACGAGTGCTATTCGAAGATCTAAAATTAGTCAATTGAGCGATGGACTGAACATCGTTGGTAAATGGTCTTCCTTCTGCTGCCTAATTGGGATAGAGAATAAGTTTAATTTCAATGTACGATACAAATCAGGTTTTACGCTTTCATTTACTATTCATGATTTAATACCCAAAAGGTGAAATTGGCTGTCTGCTTATTCATTTCATCGAATTCTATGCAATTTATTGAATTGATTGTTTCTAATCTGTATGTAAATAGTGATAAAACGGATTTAGGCAGACCATTGCATGGATTTATACTTAAAATCAAGCAAATTTAAAAGGTTTACAAACTTTGAATTATTTCCTTGTGAATATCGTAATTGGCAATTATCGGCAAAGAGTTGTAGAATTTGCCATTGGCCAGTTGATGCTGAAAGTTTCTCAACGACTACGGTTGTTGGTAGGTAGACGGAATGAATAGTTAAAGAGGTTATAGTTGTAGTATTGAATAAGTTTAGAGTAAGATTTGCACTTGATGTCCCATTAGCGGCAAGCCAAAATGTATTCAAATTGCCATCATTAGCATAAGCAGCTGGATGCGAATCGGGATTAATTCTAAGGGATTAAATTAATTTAAATGCTGAGCGTAAATTTTATGACTGACTGAGCGTACGGAAAGTGGAATAAATCAAACAATTGCAGTTGCCAACTATATTTATAGCAGTTATGTGCTCTACAGATGGGGAAAACGTGCGCTAACGTGTTACAAGTGAATTAGATAGAAAATACTAAGAATTTTAATATCTTTATTTAAAGATATATCGGTAGTGCTTATAAAACGTAGTAATACCATAATATCTATCTAGAGTATTGGAATATAATATTATTCGTCTGTAACTGTTAAGTTGATATGGATTCGATCTTCAATCTTATGTTACGGTGATCCAGTTGCCAGAGCACTTAGATTATAGTCTCTTAGCAAAACTAGTTAAACTGATTTTATTTTAAACAAAATGATTTATTCGTATAGCTGGTATATTTGCGTTACGATAGTAGATAGTATTAGTTACAATTTATTACCTATCGAAATAATTTCCAGTGCTTGCGTTCAGGCATCTGGAAATAATGTACGCGTCTGGTACTAATTGAGAGTTAGCTTTACACAAACATCGAGGATATGGATATACTTTGGATGCATAAATGGAAGATAAACCACTAGCTAAATTGTTAATTTGATTCGATTGTAGCTGGATGTCATAAAACTGTAGAGAAGCCATAAGACCTAGTAAACAAGATAGAATGTATACTTATTTTGACAATTTATCGTAAGTAACAAAGTATAAAGATCTAATTAGATATTACAATGACAATTGAAGCTTCTGATATTGTTTAACTATATAACCATTATGAATTCATTTCTAACTGTTTTTATAGAACCTATATCCTCAAATCTGTGTTATTAATCTTAATTACTTATTACAACAAATTTGGATTTGCTGTAGCAATTATGAGAATGAAATTTCGGAGCACTTATAAGACTAATATATTATCATTAGATTCTATCAGTCTTGATTATTTGTTATAGTACGAGTTGCAGTAGCTATAGTAAGAATAGAGTTCTGGATTGACGTTATATATGTAAACAATATGAATGACATTAGTAAAATTGCTATCGGCTTAATAAATTGATGTACTTTAAAATGTAACTTTTAAAAATTAGTTGATTATTACTGAAGTATTTTTTAACTACTTTTTGCAATTCATTCATAAAAATATGTATTAGAAAGTTCACTGCTACGCATAATCTAGAATATACCGCGAAGCTATCTTCATTTCAATCACGAAGTAATCGAATTTATTCTCGTAAGATCGTGTTTAACTGATAACTGCTATTTTGATTAATTTATTTTACATACTGTAGTGAATACTTAATTTTCGCAGAATGTCTTCAATATCCTCTCTAATCATAGCCGGTAATATTATTTAAATAACGTTGCCGCAAATTATTAAAATTTAACTCTGAAATTTATCTACTGTATTAAAATATGACACAATAAGTAACATCAATCTAGTTATGTTATGGCATCATTTCTTTATCTATCTGTTAAATTATAGCACAAAGCTGAGCATCTTTGAATTTAAAACTGGCTACAAACTACTAAAACTTAGGCGTTGTGGAATATTAGGCCCTAAATACTATAATGTTGATTTTAATTACTGAATTGATCCTAAAAGTCTGACGCCATATATAACCCAAAATATTTTTAAATAATTAAGATTGAATCACTGAATATAGAACTTCGATAACTGGATACAAAAACGAATAAAAGCTGTAGTTTTCACCGCTTTTAACTGGTAGCATAAATTTCATATTTTATTGATAATGGAACAAGACCGTCCACGCTCTGATAATCAACCACGAACTACTAATCTATAAGTATATTGATACCTTTATAATTATCGCCAGTTTGGACGCCTTTACCGATAGTAAAAGTTCCCAATCCATATTTCGGCTTGCCCCCATAGCGAGAATTAGCATATCTCAGCGTCTTATCAATATAAAGCGATATCGACGGTTTAGAATACTGCTGGGTAAAAATATCAAATCCGCCTTCATTATATATAATAATTGTTACTAGATGCCACAAGTTATCATCGAGGGCAATATTAGAAAAAGTAACGGAACTGAGTTGATTGTTGTCGTCTTGATACCAATAGGATAAATGTTTATTAGGACCAGTTGTATTGGTAACTAACGACATGTAAATACCATTGGAAGTGCCTTGAGCTTCTTTCATAAAAAATCGTCTATCGAAAAGCAAATGGAATAATCAATATTAGCTACACTATCTTTATTGCAAAATAGCGTGAGTATACAGTATAATTAGGAGAATCATGGTGTTAGCGACATAAACTTGAATTTCGCAGTATTATGACTATAAACATCATAATATCGCATACAAGCCATGATAATTAAATTTATGGATTATGACGGATTTAAACTCATTATCAATTGAGATATGATGAAATTGTATTTAAAATAATGATTAGAGCTATTGTAGCGTATTCTTAAGAGATTTAGTTTCGGCTAACGTAGTTGCAGAAACCCCTTTGATTCTTATAGTCTAGGAGATCTTATCGCTATTACTACCGTACAGTATATTAATTTTTCTAAGAAAGTCTTTTACCTTTAAATTCGAATGTTTGTCATCAATAATTAGATACTAGAGGATTGGTATACTAGACTTTACTACCCGTATTATTAGAGAAGTAAGTGTATCATCTACTTCAACTTACCCAACACTACTTGTCTGTGGTTTGGTCCAAATCGTTATAGAGAAGCCACCTTGAACTTGCAATGTTGTCGGCTCATCTTTTTGTTGTACTGTATAATATGTTGATCCGTCAAAATTATAAGATGATGTATAGCTACCAGGAGCAGAAGACGATGTTGGTACCTGCACGAGTAGTACAGGTAAAAGTATCTTTTAAAATCGATCATGGGACGAATACTCGTAAAATGATAACTTATAGACTTCCTTTATATTACTTAATTTTTTAATGCTAAGTAAAGAGATTTTCATTATTCCTTACCGCCGAAGCCGCCGTGGCTGCCGTTGTTAATAATGTTAATTTCGAAGTTTGTGGACATGTTTCGTTACAAATATTGGAACATTGACCATCCGGGGAACAAAACTCAGTTGGAGGACTACCGCAGGTCGAAGTTGATATTACATATGTGCCTTGGGCATAATTAATATCGTTTGCTTCTACACTACTAATTCTTATAAAATAGATCTGAAAGAAAAATATGGTAAACGTAATCATATTAAGCAGAAAGAGAGTGGATTTGAATTTAGTCGATTTGAATATATAGTATTGAAGAAATATCTGAATAGTCTTTATGAAATCGCAATAAAACTGCCTCTGGTTTGTACATTAGTTGATTATTTCTTGCCTGATTTAAAATTATTAGGACCGTGAGAATGGAGAGAATTCGGATTGATCGAGATACCTTTAATGTTCTCAACATGATTGATAACTATCAGTCAATAATAAATGTAAGTGTCTCGAAAAGAATTACAGGCCAATCACTATTAGATATCTTAGCATCGTGTTACTGCCTTCTCCAATCACATAAATAGCGATAAATCCTAATTTTAATAGTAGTATAATTTTGAACAAAAATAAGGAATTATTTATAATTAAGGACAGTTTTAATCAAGTTTAAGAAATTTTCTATAAGATGAGTTTATATGTAACAAGCTAAACTTACAAAATTAAATGAAATCATACCGGCGACATTTCCAAAGCAGTTTTTACTACTGGAGCATTCTACTAAAGTTGTTTGAATCTTGATAGCGATCAGTGTCCTTCGCAATAATCTTTAATTTTATTTCGATGTTTAACGAGAGGCAAATAATCAATTTACTTTTTAAAAGCAAGTTTCTATCGTTCTTGATATTTTTCGTCTTGGTGGTCAGTTTTAGAATTTATAAATCTTTCAATAGATACTAAATCGAAAATAATCGCAATGATTGATTAAATAACAGAGAAAAATATAGGAAAATCGTTAAAATCCTAGGAGTAAAGTACTAAATAATGAATAATGAACGCAGATCACTGACAGTAGTTAAACTAATTGAAATCGAGTTATAGCAATCCAATGAAGTACTAGCGAATGTAGCGATATTTCCCGAAGAAAAACTCTGTACGTGAAATATAAATGACGTTATCAATTGAAAATTACCTAGAAACTTTTTAAGATATAAATGATATATCAGTTACACTTGCTCTTGTGAAGTTTTATAAGATATTAAATAATTTTGAGACTAATTAACTGAAATCAATTATTATCTCTGTAAGGTGACTTGGTTACTCAGCCCAGACAGGACAAAAAGTTAGTAACCGCTCCTTTACTGAATCAACAGATGTCCTATTGCTTAGCATATGAAGAAAATAAAGGTCATGGTTGTGAATCGATCAGTTTGAAGAATATTTTTAGAATAGCGAAGGCGTCATCATTTCTGTTCAGAATAGAGACCGTAGGTGGTAGAATAGATCATAGTTATATTAGCATGATAATGAGTAAAATGACTGTTTTCTTAGCTTAAGCATAAGGCTGATTGAGTAATCTTGACAATAATACTGTTAATCACAATAGTAAAGTAAACTTGAGATAGCTTATTGTCTTTCTGGTTGAAGTTAATGTGCTTAGTTATATCATAACTAGCGTAATCCTTGTGATTTTCATGAATAATTTATGATTACTGTATTTTTTAAAACGATCAAGGATTGGATTAATTGATTAGGATAGAGTTTCGAGAGCTGGCTGTAAACTCATACAAAATAAGTCTTTTGGTATTTTAATGAATGGGATTAATTAAGCTTCAATTTCTGTCATTTAATATGGCCTTTATCGATCTTGATAACACAAAAATCATTTTATAATACTAAAATTGTTGTATTATAAATCAAAGTATTCTGTATCCTGCTTGATAGGGTAAGATTAAGGCTGTTTTAACGGATCATGCGTATTTATAATCTTACTGAAACCCCCCTATGCATACACTCCGTCACAAATATAAGGAAATCTCATAATTCTGGTTTCATTTATATCTCCTTTTAATACGCCTAATTAGATATTATAGTAATTTTTCTTTAAACAGTTTCTATGGTAACAATTAAAGTAATCTATAATAAATAGGATGAATTGGTGGTACCTTTATTAAACTGTTAATAGTTAAAATTCCCGAAGCGGTCATATTCAGCTATAGAACATGTTTATTAATCTTCAATAGTCTGTGATTCTAGTATCATTTGCCGTCTTAACATGTTTTTTTTGCATCTAAATATCATGAAAACTTATTTTGAATAGTTTATAAAGTAAATGATAAGCAATCTATATCATTCTAAAAGAATTAATTTATGCATTTTAAAGGCATTAAGAACTTGAATACACCAAATGAAACTAGATTTAATACAAGTATGGCCACTAAAACTATACACATGTCTCGGATCAATGATTCGACGAGATAACTTTAGTTTCATACATTGTCTAGAAGAAAATTCAGTCATTAACCATTAATATTAAGAAAGAAAGCGATATGTATTTTCGTTACTTAACAGATTATAAAAGCATAATTTGAGCTGTTAAAGACTAATGTTTAAAAAAATATATTTAGTGAATATGCAATTCAATTTTATAACTATTAATATGAGCGAAGTATACGTAGTTTGTTGCACCAGTAATTAAGGTACGTTACTTTCTGTCTATGTTATCAATAATTTCCAATACCAAGAAGTAATTAAGATAATAAAAATAATTTATAATATTTATCTGCGCGTACGATAAATTCATAATACACGGATGGGCAATCTGTTACGGTCTAGCTATGTTACTAAGATATCGTATACGCTACGCTGACCGTGATGGCGAGGGCGATCTGTACGATGACCGAACTAACGGGCAAAGTAAGCCAAAGTACGAAAACATTTCGAATGTAAGAGAAGATGCAGATATCCATGGTATCAGATATATCACGGTTTATTAGTTTCAGTCAGGATAGGTTAGAGTAGTTTTGGCATTAGACGTCTTTTGTATTTTCTACATTGCCCGTTTAGCATACATGGCCTGTATCAGATACATAGCCCAGTCAACCTGTAGAATGCCCAACTAGCCGGGCAATATGAGAGAGAAGCATCATATCCACACGTTCTCATAGATTACCCGAGCATCCTATAGATTGCCCAAGTCACCGGGCAATGTGACAGATATAATATGCACACATAGACTTCACAACATGCTTCTTACAGATTGCCCAACTCAACGAGCAAAGTAAGAGATTTATCGCCAAATACTTTCGAAGGCTTATAAAGCTTTCATAAATAAATAAACGGAACCCTTAGATCAATAAAACTGAGGTATGATAAGCTTAAGATAAATTCAGGCGATACTCGAAAGTACCCATGTTTCAATGATACTCTAGTATAGTTCATACAGAAGATTAATATTAAAGTGGTTATTGTTTATAATTTTATTGGCTACATTTATCCACTAAAGTAGCAAGTGTTTTGATTTGAGATCATTAATTTGCTACCTGATAAATGATTTGAATAAGTATAAAATTATTTCCGTTATTATTATGCGATGATTTAGACTAGTAGTAAAGAAATATCAAATGATATGATTATCGTTACTCTGCAGCAGAAGAAATTCCTCAACTTTGAAAGGTGTAGAAAATCATATACGTACAAGACTCTCTAACGTGACAAGATGAAAATTTCAATATTATTTTCGAGTAAATAATATTCTATAAATCTACTATTATTACAGCTATTGAGTGGCACTAGATTCGGTTGGTAATTCAGAAGCTGGTTATGAGATATGTTAGTAGAGCGCTAATAAATGGAGTCGCTTAAATGATTAAACATTTGCTTAAAATCAAACTTTCGATGGTTCGATCGCTAAATCAGTAATAGTGAGACACAATTACCGTACGTATTTATTAACTTCATTTCAAGCTTATGACTATCAGAATACAAACTATCGTTATAATTAATATGGCTCTTGCAATGGTAATCATTGCTTTAGGCTAGGGCTGCTTAAAAATGTATTCAATTTACATCATCTACACGTTTTTGAATCTGATATAAGAGTAACTTTTTGGGGTTCCTATCAGATTACATGAAAATTAACTGCCAAAAATACGTTAGTCGTTGTTATCAACAATCTTTAGTCCGAATATTACTCTATACAGATTTTAAATTAAACATACTTTTTAATGATTAAAATAAATTACGCTGCTATGTTATCACTAATTATAATTATCATTTAAGAAACCCGATATTAATAGTGTCCGCTCAATTTATATAAAATTTCGTCATTTCTGTGAGGGTACTATGAATCTTCACTAATTATGCTTTTTCCAATGAAATCATAATTTTTCTATCTAATCTTTGGTACTATATCACATCTACAAAGATTTAATAAATTGCCAACGTTGAGATGTAGTATCTGAACATTGTGCTGTCTTCAAAGTTTCCAGCTCATGTGATTGCATTCTTCCTTCCAAACACATGTCAGTCATTCGATGTCTTAAGTGTCCAGTATCAGAATATTCCCATTCCTGTTAAATATAAGTTTATTATATATCTGGATACATATCAATATCAAAGTACTCCATTTATGTGTAAATCTGGCTTCCTAATCTTAAACTAGGTAATACCATCACATGCGCTCTAAACAAATTACACTATTAATACATAAACTGAACTCTGAGGTTATAGAAACAGTCATAATGAAAATATGATGTTGAATTCTCGTTCTGACGTAAAGATCAGGTTTACTTTATACTATCAGTATGAAATTATAAGTATACAGTATATTAACCTGGCGAGGATCATCATTACGGCAACTTTGTAAATTAACGGCTTGTGCTTTTGTTGCGCGATAATTGTCTAATGTTATGCAAAAGTCATATAGACGAATAAGCTTTGCGCTAACGATAGCCCACTTCTAGATGTTGAAAATAGCCACAACAGAAAAATATTCAAATGTTATGTAGCGCATATAATGGTATTTAGTTTTTTAGTAAAATTTATTAGCGTCTAAAAAATTAAATTAAGTTTTCTTTGAATAATAAATATTACGACTTAATTCTATCCTCTAAGCAACTCATGAATCGAAATTAAAGCAAAGTATCAAAATGAACTTTCAAATTTATATCTATAGTAGGAATTTCATACTGTACGTATGGATAAGATCAGTTATAAACTAAAATTGATAATATTTATAAATTTCAATGTCCAAATGTAAAATCATACAGAAAATTTGCTACAACACTTGAATTTCAAGAAAAATTATGCTATCTTCTCCTATCAAAAATATCCTAGGTGATTTCGTAAATTTTAGTGAATATAACGATTTTCAACAGCAATATGCCATAAAAGGGCATAGAGTATCTTATTATTAGATTATAGACTATTATCTATGCTTAGTATGATGTACGTTAGCATGACTTTCTATATCTTAAGACATATTTAGTAGTTATAACCATAGGCTGTTGAAGAAGATTCTATGGTAGAGTATAGATGACTATATACAGTAAGGTATCGAGTACTATTAAGGTTAGAGGTGAAAAATAGAACTGTAATCCATATATTAGGATACTTAGTTCATCATACTCTTGCTAGTAGAAATAATTTCTACGTAAATGCTGTAGTCGTTTCCATATTGAATTAATAATACTCGGCTTTAAGAAATTGTTACTAATAATAATCTGAGTATGCGTAAATTAATGTACAATATTGTATGGTGATTATAGCTACAAATGCTACGAAAAGTATACTAGCTGGCAACTTAGATTATCACAGTAGTTCTTTCTGGAAGTGCTTATTAGTTATATTCGACTACAGTAGAACTAAGCATCTATCTTTTTTGTATAAGGATCTATTAAACTTCTAATTTTCTACAAGTTTTGAATTTCCGTGATCGGTCATATTAAAAAGCTGCATAGAATTTAAATTTTATACATTAGTTATTAATGCGATATACTAGCACAGTTGGGAAAAATCGATAGTAATTAAATTATTTCATAACTAAAATAAATACTAACATGAGTGTTTGTAACGTTACTGCATGGCTTGACTTGAAGAAGGGCTACAATAGTTCTCTCTATGCCTGTTACTAAGCACAATCTTCCCTGCTTAAAATGACCATATACTGCTTTATAAGGAGTTGGGACACTAAAATAGAGGTTATAAGATTAATATTCCGTAGCTGAATCCATTGAAGTAATTTATCAGTGTAATGCAATTACCAGTAAAAATATGATAATAACCAAGATAAATTCTTTACTTACTGAAGTTCAGGATACACATTGTCTAAGTACCACTTAAAAGTTTGGCAATGAAGCCTCTTTCGTAGCTGTTTCCTTGATTTAACGCTATATTTTATAGGTTATTAAGCAAAATCAGTGTAAAATAGGCCCCCGTATGTGAACAAAATTTGTAGCATAAACGTGTTTCCATTCAGTAAGCGACTTACTTTCCGTAGTCTATACTCTTAATAATTTTTCGTATTTGGTAAAAATAAACCTTATATTCATCTAACCAAACTTCAACAACACGTCGCAAATTTCTATTAAGATGTTAAGCAAGTTGAAATATAAATCAGTAATTTCACTCTTATAAGACACTCCGAAATATATTTACGTTGTTGAAATGGGTTATCTTACGAATTAACTAATTCAGTAGTAGAACTACATTTATAATATTATACCTGTAGTATGTTCTACCCGCACCTTCAGGAAAGATATAAGGGTGCTGAAGCCGAAAGACATGTCCAACTCTAGAACAAGGTATTATTTTCATAAATCCACCGCACATCCACGCCCGAAATGACAACTCTAATGTTATGGAGAAATAAAATTATTTCAATCACTGTTAGCATTCGTAGAAAACAGTTTCAATTCACAGAAGCTATAGTTTCAATATGCAATATTGATTGTTAGCGTAGCAAATGGACCTAAATTTTCTCCACCCCAGATCTTTTGTCCCATATCATATTCTCCTAAGTCGTTGAACCATTGCTTAGAAACGGCATAGATACCACCAGCAATGGTCGGCGTCCTGTGTTAATAAAATCTCCAGTTTATGGCGCTATTTCTTAATCTACTTGCTGAACCAGAATTAATGACTATCGTATGCTGTTTTATACTTAATTGGTGACGTAGGATCTATTCTTTGATTTATCATAGCCTCTGTCATGTAGTCCCAGCGAAATGTTAAACTCCAGTCAAACCCTAAAGTAACAGTTCAGGCGTACTTTGATTTGAACTTGTTAATATCAATTTCTTGAAGTAGTTACAATTTATCTAGTTGAATCTAATTATTAGCGATATATAGGGAAAACAACATTACGTATAACCTCCACGAACATCTTCAGTGCCTTCTTGATATTCAAACGTATTCATATCAATATTATCCAAGACAGGACTAACAATCGCTTTAGGATTCTAATCATTAAATGTGGAAGCTATAAATTTTCTGTTTAAGTTAAAGAATCCGTTTAGTTCACGGTTTCCAATTGCTTACCAATACAATCTGTTCTAGTAGCGGCTCTGCCCATTGCTGATTGACTTCACAGTGACTATCAAGGAATATAATTGCTTTGCCTTGGCTACTTTTTACACCAAATACTCGAGATCTTATCAGCCCTGCGAGGATACAACTAAGTTTAATACAGCTGCAGTTATATTCTACGTCATTAAGGCAAAGTATTTTGTTTCATTTGCGGAAGACACTTAACTAAAGTTATTATTGTGATCATATAAATAGTACAGTATCTACTTTATAAATTAGTTACAAATTTCATGGTTTAGATTAGTATGACTATTGTCAGAATGTACAGTAGATGATAATCCTACTATAGCTCAAAAATTAAAAAAAGTTATGGCACAATATGTATGTGAATCTTTTAGGATAATTGGAATAGGATAGAAATTAGAGTAAATTAATTGCATTTCTTAGTAGAAGTCATTTTAAAAGCATAATTCCCTGAAAGGCTAGAAATATAAGATAGCTTTATACGGTATTCTTATTCTTTATACGATTATGCTACTAAGCTCTAACTAATTGTTATGTATATTTTAGGCGAGCGATTACTAATATACCTTGAAATGTTGGTAGAATCATATATCATCAAGTAAATTAGTATTAAATAAATGCATAGCTTAGTTGAAATTCACATTAATATATACTAGTATAGGACTGATGTATTTATTATAATTAGCATAGAGGGAGAAAATTTTCATCAATTCGGTAAATGTAATGAAATTCAATAAACCTTAAGGTAATATGGAATAATGACAATCTGCTGTTATAGAACAAGGTAATATCAAATGAACTCTAAAGATAAGTGATAAATGGTAACAGTAAATATAGCAATACCGCAATCTTGAATTTGAAATATGAGATTAATTATATTATCAAACATTATGTAAACTTAGCTATGTTATCCAAAGTAATTATGGCAAATATTTAGATATAGCTAATGTATCACAAGTATACGCACTACTTTTAGATTTTAAACTCATACCCTCTCTTTTTTTATTTCGGATAAGCTTGACTTTTGGCAAGGTGAGAAGTTCTTGACCTAGAGTAGCTAATTTATTGAAATAGAGAATTTTATTTATTATGTTGGCTTTTGAACAACATCCAAACAGATTAGTTTAGATAAATCACTAACCATCATCGCTATTATCATCTACTAGCACAATTTCCGACAGCAAATGAGGAGGAGTTCGATCTAGAACACTAATTTAATATAGGATGGGGAATTTTGAGTGATTTAACTTCTTGCATAACCAATTAAAATAGAATCTACTTCACAAATTGGCTGTAAATGCTATATTATCATTTACCACTATGAAATACTATAGCTATACACAAGAAAGTTGTAGTCAGACTATAATTTTTCTAACCAAATGTCCACGGTATTTATAGATACTTCCGTAGTAGTTATATTTATTAATTATGTCAAGGTATCGCCCAAAAAATGATTATAATAATGATTATAGTTGTAACCTTTGAACAGTCCTTAGTAATGTTGATCTGGCTTCGTTATGAAAAATAATCACAACACTTACTGATGGCATGTTAAGCCGGTATATTTTATTCTTGCAGCTATTGCAGTAGAGATTATATCGGTTTAATATAAATAATTAACTGAAATTCTTACTACTGACTTGGCTTTCCAATGCATTAACTTGTTATAACGGAAAGGATTTCAATGATCTTATTGATCACGCTACTTTTTTTAAAATGTCGTATCTGAGATGCTGTTGAGTGCTACAAAATTAAAGACTTTACAATAATATTTATTTAAACACTCACAGAGGATTCCTAGTATCTGGTACACGTCGATAGGCTCCAATTATGTCGCTCTCAAATTGATTAAATTGATGTTTTTCATAGCCTTCATCCTTAGATCCTCTTGATTTAAAAATGTATTTCTCAACATTAAACGTTTGATTAGCTCCATGTGAATAAATTGATTCCCGAGGCTATATTAAAAATGACATGAAAGAGTTTGATATCTAAGGTCATTGATTTTAATATGATTTACGGTGTGCTAAGCTTGTGTGTTTTTTATGCAGTAACAATCAGGATCCGGCAAAAACTACAGTACATTACTTGCTATGAGATTTAATGTTTGATTACATTTTGCTATAAGTAAAGTTTGCACGTAACTTTTCCAAAAATCTACCCGAAACTACGAACAGACTTGTAAAATCTAATATCAAGGACTCATAATGCAGTAATTTACTGTATGTATAAACTAATATGATGTATATGAATGGATGAATATCGATACTCCGTATTCAATTTCGAGAAATGAACGAATAAATTAATTATTAAAGAGGCCTATACTTACTTCTGTGTTAATTTTATCATAAATAATAAAATTATAGATCAATGATAATATTATTATCGCTACTAAATACACCATAATCTTAGCCATCCTTGCTAAACGCGTTACGTTTGTCCACAACAACATTATGATTTCACTTCGGTTAAATTATAATTATCAGCCTGTACGCCATTAAAACTCCGTGGCATCCCAATGGATCATAAATATATAAAATATAACTTGCTAGCTTTTATAACTGATTAAGAATATTACTGCTGATGAAGATCTTCTCTGTAAATCGCTGTATAGTCTTTATTTATAGGAATGGAGCTGGGACGTTTTGTATCACGCACTGGCAATAGAATATAACTATATTTATAAACGCATTTCTATCAAATCTCATATTGTGTCGAGAATAGACATCCTCATTGATTTTAATTAATTGCATGTACATATAACAACGAACTAGTAATAAATGACCAAGTAAAATTTTAATTAATTATCTAATTTCATAATATTAGCATATTCAATGTAAAAATGTCAGTATAACACTGTAGAAGTGTTTGATTCTAAATCTAATTAATTCATCATTTTAAGTACTCCATACTGAACCATATGTTCCTTGAAAAAGATAAATAGTTAGCCTTGCACATGTTAAAATGCGGGAAAATAATAGATAGAGTTTCACAACCAAGCGATATTCATTCTACATTATCTGACCTAAAGCAGCATATTGTCATAGTGTGCGATACAACTGTACACTTTGTAGCTATTACATGTACATTATGGCGCAGGTATGCCCAATATGGCTTAGATTAGGGGTAGATTTGTAACTATTTAACCGTGCATTGTTAAATTATTAAATTATTTAACATTCTTTATTCACACCTATTAATACTTAGGTACTGTATTCCTACTATTGCCTTATCACTATCAGTTAATGTAGTAATTCGTAGAAATATTCGACAAACTGACTAACTGACAGTAGTGGGCAATAGCAACTGAAGATACTTCACTAGCGCTATAGCCTAATAGCATGTATCATTAAATTTCCGTTGCTACCCAAATTTCCTTAAATTGTGAACCCCATTATGACAATGAGACTAGAAATAGCTTATACTTTTTAAGACATTCCAAAAATAAAATTAAGTCTATTTATTGTTATGCATAGTCCAAATACAGTATTATGAGTAGATGCCTCGTTTATGACATTGTATGATTTCTGGCGTGATATGCTGATTATAATAATATAGCGAAATTTTATAATAGCATTTCCGTATAAACGAAATGACTATAACGGTATTCACATACAGTAATTGATTACTTACTGCAGTACCCAATCGTATATAAACAGTATAAAGGAAGATCGGAAGCAATATAGTTGAAATATAGCTGCTTATCATTAGAAACAGTTAACTAGATAAAATATAACATTATTATGTAAATACAGTAATAGGAATCTTCATGTTATATTACAAAGTAAAAATTTTACCTAGAATATAACTCAGGATCATACATGCTATTCTAAATAAGATCAATATTAACACGATTCAACCACATGCTAAGCATTGTACCCCTTCACTTTTATAATACATCAACCACTTATCATCATTTAGGTACAATTTTTATCCTCATAAAGATATAAAAATTCACATTACAATTTAAACACTAAAATTGTCATCAGATTTGATAGTAAAATAAAAATCTTTCCATGTAAGAGCTTGGAGAAAGTTTAGAATAAAGATTTGAACTGGGTTGCATCTGTCATAACAATTAAAAAATTTCTTAATGAATATAACACCTTTGAGAGATTGCAATGTTAAGCTTTAATTGATGGATATCATCTTGCTTCATTATTTGAAGGGCTCTTGTATCTATAAAAATCAAGCTCTAGTTATGTACTTCATTTTACTGTATATAAAATTATAACCCATGCAATACATGTACGTTTGCTTCCATTACCTTTTTAGTGATGATGATTTAAGGATAAGAGTATTGGAAGGAAAGTTCCTAAGACCATTACAGTTATTTCCAGTTTTGATAGCTTACTCATATGCGGACCATGGTTAGAATTGTTCGAATTATCCTATCATATACATTAATATTATACAGTAAATCTCTTAAATATATAACCAAAGAAAAGTACTTTCTATAATCATCATAATTTTTGCTACATTAATTGGTAGAATACCTCTGTTTCCTTTTGAGAAGATACTTCTGGTAAGACGTGAACAGTAGCTACGTATAAGAACGTCCCAGCCGAAAAGAGCATTGCAAGTCCAGTTCCTTCCATTGTGGAAGAACTTTGGCCGGTCTAGTACGTAATAAATAGTTGTTACATGACTTTTAAATCTGTGCATGATAAATTCATATCACCTTGGTAAGGATATAAAATGTCGCGATTGCCATTACGGGAGCGGCTAGTGAAAATGCTAATAATTGCTTTCTGATACTGTAACGATTGCAACCCTGTTAAACAATATAATACATATATATAGTTTAGTGATTCATTTGTCAATAGAAAAAGTTTTGAACTATGCTACCCTTTCAGAAACAATTGAAACGACACTACAACAATTGCAGATCACCATAATGTGCGAAAAAAATTTCGAAATATACCAGCACACAATACATACTTCATGCAATAGAAATGAGCACAAACCAAAAGCAGCAGGTGCCTGCATTAGATATAACGGAAATTTTAACGTTAGTTTCTACTATACGTTGCGACAAATTAAGGTAAGCTTTGGACTGATATAATTTTTAAGAAGGGGTAGTTATGCATTTTCTCTTGTAACTTGACCTTGTGTAACATAATAGCGATAAAAACGATGGTCTCGACATCAGATCTAGACGTTGCTGCTGCAGCACCTAGAGCTACACCATCAGCTAGTGTAATATTGAATAAAGATGTGGAATGAGTATGTCAGAATACCAACAGTATTCTGACGTGGTATCGCGAAACAAAAGACACTAGTTACCAGCAGCATGGACAATTAAACCAATTGTGGCGGTTATTCCAGCCCTTCCAACTCTATTTCCACCTTCTGGATCTACAATATCAATGGAAGAATAATTAGTTGGATATCTTTATATCTGAAAATGGTGTCTTAATACCTAGGTATAACTTGTAGTAACAGTATTATATATTTACAAATGAATATGGTACGCGTTACAATACATAGACGACACAACAGTACTTCTTCAGCTAATTACATAACACGAAACCATGGAATATCTCAACGGTTTACTGTAAAAAGAGTGATTTAATGTGTTATCCGTGTATAAAAGGTTTATGTGTACACTTCTGACTGGCAGAGTAATATATATATTCTATTATTAGTATGTCTATAAAATACAATACCAAACATATAATATCGTATTACATTATAATATCAACGTATTATAACAACAGCACAGTATATTGACGTGAAATATTGTAAAGGGAACTTTTTTCCAGTTTTACGTCATTGTTTGAAATTATTTACAAGTCACTCATATTATAAGACTATATTACATCATTGGGCCAGGTCAATGCCCCATACGTAACTGTACTACTCGAATTAAGTTTTATTGTATCAATAAGTAATTCTCTAAGTCATCAACCTCCAATTTCAGCGATACTCCATTTATATTGGTCAATCCAGTAATTACTACTAATGCAAGCATTAAAAGTACCGCAAACATTATTATCACTAGCGATGAATAATAATGATAATCCACGAAAGCATGCTACGAAATAACGAGACATACAGTAGACTTTAAGAGATAGTATCTTTAGTATAATAATTGCGATTACAACAGGCAAGTTACCTTTAACTATGTTGAATACTCTATTTATGATAAATTGATTGAGCAACTTCGTACAGAATGGTAGGATAAGCGAAAAATTACAATATTCCTATATCATTTCATAAGGCGCCATACGCATTACCTTGGTTATGAAAAGCCAAACCACTTAAGTAATCAACAAGTAACATTACAACAAAGCCGAAACATAACGCAATACCAACTAAAGAATGCACGTCATTCCCATGACTATGTGAATGTTTTGCCATGGTAGCTGCACCAGTAGAAGATGAGTAGGTAATGTTCTGTATCTGTGTACCTTTTACTAGCTGACGTGGAATAGGGCAAGGTCTTTGATTGATGGAATAGATGGCCTCAATACCTTCTGGTATGATAACTGCCAAAGCTGTGCCCACGAGCATCCCAGCACCCAAGCATGACGTAATTTTCAGTGATTTCTGCAATTTACAATAAATTTATTAGTGTGTCAAAACTTAACCGAAAGTCAACTTTAGTTACTACTGTACATCGATCTCAACTACAGACCATTAACAAGCTTTCTATATACCGTATTCTACAGTAGTACCGTATATTCATTTGTGATATTGATAAGTTGGTATTTAGGAGTACGATTTAGCTATGCTGTGAGCAAAAATGCATTGAAAGAATTATAAGCTATTTGCTACAGTGCTGTACATATACGCTGTTTCATCGTAAAATCTCGTCCAAGTACCTCCCATTCATTATTACTGTAATTATTTATTTATTATTATTATGATTACTATTATTTTTCATTTTAAATGGTAGCAGTGTCCTGATCGTTAGCAGAATTCATTTCTAATTGCTGGTACAATTCATTCTGTAATTACGATAATCAATCTTTTAAATTTGATAGTTTGGCATTTCAATTTAGTATAGTTGAGTGCAAATATCGTATTTTTATATATATTCGTAGAGTACAGTAGATGAATGAAAGACATTAAAGTAATTTGCATGACCACTTTGGAAAAGATACCGTGGAGTCCTTCCAATAGCGGTAAATCCTTTCTTGATTTGATCTGCCTTGAGTTTAAATATTGTATTCAGCCATTGCTTACTACGGTAGATGTCAACTTGATGGGAATGATTTCAAATTATTAAAATTTATTGGGCTCAATAAATTCACTTACGATTCAATAGTAAGTGAGCATTGATACCGTGGGATATTATAAAATAAGAGGTAAAGTATGCAATTATTCCTCCATTAACTACATTGGTCTAAGTCTAGAATAAATGGCTATCGACTCTACTGTCTGCTCACTCTCAATCTGTTCCTTGTCATGAAATGAATCCCATGGTGGAAAGCATTGCTATCATTACGTTAGCTATACTATACAGTGTACACTGTACAGTATTGAAGGAATGAGACAAAAAAAGTTGATTCTCTGTTCAAAGAGGCAAAGTATCATTTACAGGATAGAAATTGAATAATTGACGATTCAAGAAATAGCCAATATCCTAATATAGAGCAAGTGCGGTGGTCTTTTGTGGAAAATTGCTTGGATCGATTGACTCTGCAGTACATTAAGTTGGCCATGATTGAAAATTTCTGCTGAAGTTAGTCTTCATTGGGTAAAGCTTGTTGACTGTTGCATTGAATGTTATTGGTTCAATGTATCTTTCTACATAGAATAACCTACCTCAGATAGATTCATTGACAGAGGAATAAGGCCTGCCAAATAGCAACCTACGAACATTGCCAAGGATAAAAATAATACTGCCGTTATATCCGCCATTTTGAGCTTGGGTAAGTCAGTGGGCACGATTTGTAGAATGAATTGATCGAGTCGAAAGCGTCTAGTACGCTATCGTGCTGATGCAACAGTGTGTCGTGTATGGATAGTTGAGTACTGCATGGTATACAGTAGTTCATCATCCATTCAGTCATGCGTAATACAGTAGAGTACTCAAGCGTATTGTGTCTGTTTCATAGGGCTTCAGACCACTTTATGACATCATGTATGGTACATGGTATCATCAGTAGAACTGGACACGTCAACAAATAGAGCGCTGTACTGTACTGTCTACAGTATTTCTACTGGAGGAGTCCACTGTACAGCACATACTGTACACTGTACACTGTACAGCACAGCACAGTACCATGGAGGGCCTACAGTACTGTACACTGTGCACTGTACACTGTACACTCAGTATACTCTAGTGTACCGTAAATGAAATCAGTACACTTAGACTGGGTCGTGAGTACATTTTTGGTACTACCATAGTGAATGTGGGTAGCACTGATTAGGAACCCACACAGAAGTTTGTCCACACCCATTGGCGTACAGTACAATAGGTAGTGTAGTTTCTGGCTACAGTATGTAGCACGGTACGATACAGTGTATAGTACTGGACTGGAGAGCAGACTGGTAGAGTACACCGTGGCAGGGACTTTTCAACACCTCCATACCTAAAAAGAGGACATGATGAGAACAGTGTACAGTAAGGTACACGCACGTGCGCCAAAACACTCATTATTGGACCTCGTCGCGTCAATACTGGACGCAAATAGAGTAGGGCATACTGGGCATGCACGAAACAGCAGCCAAATGAATGCAGTACTGACACTGTCGGACACTGACAGACAGACACCGGCGGCTGCAGTTCTGTCCTCATCTTCTCCACTAACAAAGTGACTACTGTATAAATCTCTTGGTATTTTTAGAGATCAAATTAAACGAATAATCAATTCATCAATCCATTAATGACGATCTCGACGTCACGCTGTACAAGGTACAGAATACAGTACATTGATTGATAGACACATCGCTGAACTTGCAATCCTATACAGTACAGTATTGTATCTTGATGTACCGCAGATTGACCTACTGTACGTGTCAAGTGGAAAGCCCCATTATCGTTGCAGCTTACAGATTTGCGCCTGTGGTGGTGTCCAGCTGTCTGCTTACTCAGCTACCATTATTCTGTAGAATTGTATTCATTTCGTCTTCGCCTTGACAGTGAAATCAATTCTTCCATTCAACATCCTTACCCTCAACCAAACAGCTCTATTGGCTCTACTGTATTTGCATTTTGGATCGTTTAATCGCATGGTAAGATATTGTAGCTGCATGCTCGTAGATTGTTATCATCATCCATTGGACCACGATCTCCATTTTGGTAACTTAGATACACAGAATCAATCCTCAATAAAAGTACAGTACCATTTAATCCTTGCCATATTCAATAAAATGACCACATTACTAGTTTCGTTGCATGGCTAGTTTATTGATTTTGTAATCTTGCAAATATTACACAACATTACAGAACCAGTATGCAAATCATAATCATCGTCATATCGCGCTACCGTTCGTAAAACTCAATCTACGGTAGTGAACGAAGGATGTCAATTAGATGCTAAAGTGAATCAACATAATCATTCTATTCAACCGTGCTGTTACCATTACTAATAACGCATTTACAAATGCTTGGAGAATAATTAATAGACAAGGACTACCATCTATTCTTTAGTATTCTGCACGATTAATTTAATTGAATGGATCAATGATTCACGCCATTCCATCACTTAATAGACGTACGCATAGGCTGCATTTTGAACGCAATGACTAGTCTAGAACATCCAGTATCAATGACTATTTTAATTAATGAACTACTCACTATTGTAAATTGAGAAACATCCAATAAGTAAAACATGATATTATCAATTTTTTCTATTTGTATATTTTTCTCCGCTGCTTGACTTTTATGTAGATGAAAAGAAAATGAGGTGGAAACGAATAAGTTTTTTGATCATATTTACTTTTATCTGGCTTACCTTGGTATTTATCTATACTCGTGACCTATCACGTTCGGACGAGGTAGAAAATGCATAAGTATTATTATATGTATATGTATCAAGATTGCCCGTTTATTGTCTATATTTTGGATATTGGAAATGACTGATTTCTTCTCGCCTTACGTTGATATAGTAAATCCTTGCAGTAATAGTTTTCTAATATCCAATGACTTCGATACAAGAAGATTGCATCGGAGAACTCATAAAGTTAAAATTATTAAGATACTTTGAAGCTGTTCAAAAAAAATTACGAATAAAAATCTTCAGACAGTGCCATAACAATATACAATACTGTAGTATCTAACAGGCTATAGCAGTTACTTCATATCATCGTCATTATCCTTCACATAAGAGGGCTTATAATGAAATAATTTTCATATAGAGCTGTATAAAAGTATTGCAAGAGAAATGGATAATTTATCCGATTCAAGCAGTTATAGAATAAATCGTGCTATACGAGCGTACAATACATAAATAGTGATGTAGTAAAAGTGATGATCAATATTGTAGTGATTGACTGGGTTATTTTTTTCCTTGAATCATACGTCTACTCAAACTCGAATATGACTGATTATTTCTTCATTGAACTACACAAAGGATAGAAATAAATGGTAAACTACTTTACGTTCCCAATAATTTCAATGGGCCTTTCAGAAACGAATCAGCTTTAATTGCAGTACTTAAAATATCCATTCTTTAATTATTCGTTATTTCATTTAGATACCATTATCACACCAGTAAATTACATTGCAAATAAATTCATTAGACCTATCAAGTTTGAGTCTGTTTTAGCTGGTTCTTCATTTCCTAGTTCTTTAATTGCAGTATAAATTATTGGTTATTCTATGTAACAATGCATCTCTTAGATTTTAGATTTTTTATCGATAAAATAGTAAAGTTATCTAATATCTCTTTTTGATACTAGTCAAAAACAGCTAACGATGCTAGATCAAATAAGGACAGAAAGATACAGCAGGATGATAAAGATCCTCATGATAGAAAGGTAAGGGAAAAGATTGAACAGCATGCTCAGCAAGTTATAGACTTGTCAAATGATGAAGGTGACCATGAAGTTAAATTACTGGAGCCTCAATCCGAACAGGAGATGCAAGATAACATCCGTTGGAATCCCAATTTTGACGAAAAAGCTTACATTGGTGCAACTGCTTTAAAACAAGGCGAAGATGCTTATATTCGGAATGCTTTCAATCAAGCGGAATGCGATAAATTGCCTACTGATCGAGGTGTACCGGACACGCGTGATTATAGGTACTACTCAATTTCGTTATAATTTGAATTCATCCATACAATTACAAAATTAACTTGAAAGCAATAGAGCAACATTTTCATTCTACAGTAGTCGAAATGTGAGAGAAAATATTTTTGCCAAATTAACGCTAGTGCTAACAGCTAATTTGAAATGATAATAGGCAATGAATTATATTTAAATTATATTATATTTAAATCGTTCTTACGTTTATTCATAGTTGAACGCATTTTTGTATATCGGACGCGATTGAATCATCAGATATCGCATATGATAAAGACAATGCTTAATGTCTAATAATTGTAATGATTGTCTTACGTAATATCTCGAATATTTTTGTTAGTGGACTAGTGTAGTTAGTGAATATATTTAGATGCAAAAGCTATTGAATTACTGGCTAATGATACAGGATACGGATCTACTTGGGTGATAATATAAAAGATATGGGAAAGCACTAATTGATTGTATGGGAAAATCGTCCCTTTTCTATTCAAATTCTTTTATGAACTTTTGTTTTTAATTTCCATCCTTTTTATTTCTGGTATCTTGTGATTTTGTCATTAGCCGAAGCCCCTAAACGAGCTTGATTTAGGCAATCTCAATATCAGTACTCACAAGTGTTAGTATTCAAATAATAATGAATATGCTGAAAGTTCGTCAAGTACAGGTGTGAGAGAAGTTTCCAGTTACTACGATAAAATTAAGCTTGAAATGAGAGTTGTCGCTAGCAGTACCGAATTAAAAAATTGCAAGTTTTAGAGGTTAAACTATTCCTTCAACTGTCACTGTACGGTCTACTTGTTCTACTCCCAAGTACTGCAATAAGACAAGGAGGAATCATACAATCGTATACGAAACACTTGAGTGTTTGTCGACTATTAATTAACAACCAAAGTTTAATCACGAAGCAACGATATTTATTGTTGATATTCTTGCCGTTCAAGGATTTTTCTTTTAAATCTCTAAAGTATTATTCTCCATAGGACATGTGCTTATTTTTTTAATTAATTTTCTTTATCAAACGGAAACTGTCAATCTATGTTAATTTTACTGAACAGGATAGCAGTGACTAAAAGAGATTAAAATTACGATGTTTGCGCTGATAACGTAATTATACTTTCTTTATAATTAATTTAACAGCTGCAGATCATTAGAATACAAGCACAAGTTGCCCACAACCTCTGTTATCATTACATTTCATAATGAAGCTCGATCCGCTTTACTTAGAACAATTCGCAGGTATGTAGTGTAATCGAAGTACTGCCTTAAAATAACATTACTTGGGGCCGACAAATTTTGTTCAATTGACCGTTATTATAGGAGATATGCTTTATATTGATTCTAAGATTAATTGAGTTTTTATTAATACGATATCCATTCATCTTTGGTGATAGTGTTCTAAACCGTAGTCCATCCGAGCTATTAAAAGAAATTATTCTTGTCGACGACTTTAGTGACAATGGTACGCTCACAAACTATTGCATATATAAAATCTCTATGCTAACAATGGTGATGGTTTATTGCACAATAGTAAATTTTTATAACAAAAGTACTGAAATAAATATTATCTAGCAAACGATGGCAGGCTCTTAAAAATCTTACCGAAAGTGAAGACTTTGCGAAATAATAAACGAGAAGGTTAGTGCAATAAAGGAATAATTATGATATCATTACGATAGACTAGCTTCCAACTTGCACGGAGCGATAATTTCTTCTCCTATTGTCTTTGCTGCAATTATTGCGATAGAAATTGTATTCGAAAATATACCTTACGCACAAACTCAAGAATTCATATTTCTACAGGGTTAATTCGATCTAGGGTGAGAGGTGCTGATCTAGCAAAAGGCGATGTGTTAACATTTTTAGACAGCCACTGCGAAGTAAATGAACGTTGGTTGGAACCTCTATTAAGTCGAGTTGCACAGGTTCGATATAAATAAAACGATATTTTCGCCTACTTCGTAATAAACACGCTAAATTTATCATCGGTATTACATTTACAGAATGAAACTATAGTTGTTAGCCCTATAATCGATGTTATCCACATGGATACGTTTAATTACATAGGTAGCTCCGCAGATTTAAAAGGAGGTAAAAAGATTGTTCGTATTATATGAAATGATGTATTAACTCTGATGATTTCTAATAATATCATTAATTGGCTGTGTTTCGGAAATGCTAGGATTTGGATGGAATCTTAATTTTAAGTGGGACAGCATGACATCTGAAGAGCAATCACAGCGGGCCGCTCACCCGACACGACCTATAAAGTAAAGATATTAGCGCTACTAAGAATAATGCAAGATCATTGCTATACGCGTATGCAATCACTAACCACTATATGATTACACTTAGAACACCAATGATTGCAGGAGGCCTCTTTTCTATCAGTAAGAATTGGTTCATAAAAAGTGGAAAGTATGATATGGGAATGGACGTTTGGGGAGGAGAAAATCTTGGTAAGACTATCAGTATCAATAACAAGATGTAGCAAAAGAGTTCTTATTTGTTCCATTCTTTTACACAAAATAAATCTTGACGACAATATCATGGTGATCGCAAATAAAGAAATATCTTTACGTATTTGGATGTGTGGGGGAAGCCTTGAGATTGTCCCATGTTCCCGAGTTGGTCATGTATTTCGCAAACGGCATCCGTATACCTTCCCTGGGGGTGGTGGCTTCGTATTTGCAAAGTAAATACATAAATGATTGCTTGCATGTGATAGCAAGCAAGTATAGTAGTATACTGATTCAATCGTAATATTACGTATTCCGTTCTCAGGAATACCAGAAGAGCAGCGGAAGCATGGATGGATGGATATGCAAAATTTTATTACAAAAGAGAACCTGGAGCCAGGGGCGTTCCTTATGGAGAGTATGCGGAAATAACTATCCGACTGCAAAAATTTTACTCTTACAATTTTTTAATAATTTTTACTACACTAGTATTAGCGATCGCCTGAAATTAAGAGAGAAATTGAAGTGTAGATCATTTAAATGGTATATGCGCAATGTCTACCCAGAACTGAAGTAAGAATCTGGAGCATGTGTATATTAATGTACACTCTTACTCTTAAATATTTCATGTCATTAAAGTACTGATAAATATGTAATAGTGTTCCTGAAGGCGTAAATGATAAATTTGGCGAATTGCGCCAAGGGGGCAAATGCCTCGACTCTATTGGTGGTAAGCCGGGCGATAGAGTTTCAACTTTCCCTTGCCATGGCGGCGGCGGAAATCAGGTAGTAACTGAAGTAATTTTGAGTCCTTATTACCGTAGACTAATTATCTTTACTGACACTTAGGAATGGATATATAGCCTCGATCTCAAGCAAATTAGACAAAGGGACCTTTGCTTATATTTGAGTGACACCAAAGGCCAGCATATTCCTGTAACATTAATGCCTTGTGAAGGGGACGCAAAGCTCATGGTATAATATTAGTTTTCATTATACCATGGACCATGTTTAATATATGTTAACATTGATTACTTATCTACGGTATTATAGGCATGGGACATGACAAAAGATAAGATTAGAAACAACTTTATACAACGATGCTTAACCATCTCGTCAAGCGGAGAAATTGTCGCTGATCCCTGCGAAGACGATAATGAAAAGCAAATATGGCAATTGAAGGAATCATAATTGGAAATGATAAAACCACTATCCAGTCACAATACTGTTTTTACACATTATTACGTACGCTTTCAAATGAAATGGGTGTATATATAACGACATACAAATTACAGTACCATACAACGGTAAGATTGTTGCAAAACAGTTTCACATAGATGCGTATTTTATTTAGCTTCATCTGTCGTGATATACGAACATTTACGACCGATAGCATTATTGTGATGTTATCACAAATTTTAGCCAAAGCGACCATAAAAATGCCGGAAAAAGTTATTTCAATTTATGTTACAAAAGAATCATTCGATAGAAATTTTAAGCGCAATGAAACTTTGTAAATAATCTATTAGTAATATGAATTATATTATTAGCAGGTTTGACAATATAGTTATTTTAGACCATTTTATGCTTGAGATAAAAATTATTATAAATCTTACTAAACTTAAAAATCGGGTTTGCAGGTGTAACTATATGTGGACAATATTCATATATATATATGCATGTTTATAATTACTTAATGAGCATGTCTGTTTTGAATTTGATATCAAATTTTAAGATTAGTTAAGTAACACTTTAATAGTTAATTCGTACAACCTAAAGTAATCAATATGATATATCATAATTTAGCATTATTGATTTCATCAAAATAATTTAGCAGTAGTGTTAGTCATTACTAACATATAGTCCAAATCAATCGATCAACAGCATTTATAAAATGGTTATTTATGATTCTGTAAAACGGTACTTTACAATGGCACGTTAATATCGTATCCTGAGTTGATTGATCGCGACAAAGATTTACAGGCGATAGAACTCAGTAATACCAATACCGAATTAAATTTTGCGAATACACACAAAAATTACTGTACTACAAAACTCTCTAACCATTAAGATACGATATCGAAACACGAGATAAACATACTAAAACAACAAAAAAACATACTATAAATGAATATAGATATATAAAACTTTAAGGTCATTTATTATTGAATCCATATCAACAATCAGAAATTACTGCTTTAGGAGAGCCAACTCTAATCTCCTCATTCTCTACAGGTTCATGTCTTTTGTTGTTGTCAGGAACACGATGCCAACTGCTTCTAGCATCACCTGTTGTCAATGAAATACGACTTGTAGATATAGTACGGTTATAATTGAGCCGACGAGGTACAGGTGAAGAGGCGATATTTGTGAGACTGACAAGTGAACCATAAATAGGAGTTGATTGTGCTGACTGACTTGCAAGATCGCACTGTTCCAAGATTTTTTGTAACTCACTTTCACTTGGACCACCATCACCAGATGCTTCGTTTGCTAAATAAAGAAATACGTTAAGTGATATGCATAAATAATTTTGACAAGAATCTTCAAAAGCTTACTTTCAGAGAACTTTTGTGCATCATCAAGTGCAGTCGATAAATCCCAAACCTATTAAGAGTTGATTATAGAGTCAAGAAATACTGTAATTTAGCTTAAAACTACTTGCAACATTGGTGAGAATAACCTGAATACTTCCATTTTCATGGCCAGTAAAAAAGAACTTTCGAAGCCTTGAACTCAGTCTACCAACTCCCTCGCATTCATGTACACTGTGGCATGTGATATTTGAACCATCTACGGAGCGTATTTTACAAACCCTATTTTTAACAATACAAATATTTTTAACTCTCAATGCAACAAGAATTCTAGGATACAGAACAATTCACATTGTTATCGAAGTTAAATCTGTACGATTATTATTAACTTTACCTTTTCCCTGTAGAAGCCAATCGAACGTAAAGATAATTTATTTCCGGTATAACTTTTTGAATAAAGATTTGCTCGCCGTCACGATGACCATATGGACCTTTGATATTAATTTTAATAGTATTACTAAGAAGAATATTAGTCCACTACAGACAGTAAATATTTCACCATTGCAAATCCTATTATATCATATTAATTTCTTTACCAATTTGATTTCCTGCCTCCAAACCATAGAATGGTTCTTGAACATTCGATAAAGTTAGGACACGGTATGACGCTAACGGCACTGATCCGGGTTGAGTAGAAATCATTCCACGAAATCGAGTTACAGTCCATGTGCGAACATGTTTCTCGGTGCATACTACAATAAATGAAAGTAATCAGTCAAGGTTATATTACATAGCATTACTAGAAGATTAGTAGCAAAGGATGATTGTTACTAATGTATTGATCGTTTACCGGATATTAAATTTTTTTCACTTAACATAACATTAGTAATAGCATTCCGATGAACAGTAAATGTCTGCAACAGTTGTGGTCCTTGCCCAACAGTTTCAGGATGCTGTACAATAACTCGAACAATTCCGGAACTCGTACCGTAAGCAATTTCAATCCAGTTACCGCTACCACCACCTCCAAAATCTATAATTAATGATATAAGTTATAAAGATGTCTAAGAATAAATCAACGCCAATGACTTCATACTGTCATAAATATCATTAATGTAACATACTGCCTTTAGGTGTCAAGTAAACACTTAAAGATGTGACCGCATGGTTCTCAGGATCCTTATATAATTGGGTAACGAGAAGATCGTTGTCTTTCATTCTTAATGGAAATTTTTGAGTATCTACGGAAGTGTCATACACAAAGTATTTAAAAGTAAATATTAAGTATATTTAAATATTACATACCCATTAAAATATATTTACAACTAAGGAATTAAGATATTCTTAGAAATGCTGTAAGTAGGATTATCATACCTATATAATAAATACAACCGTTTCTGCAACCCAGCAAAAGAAATTCAGCTGCAGCATCCCAACTAGTTATAGGCATTAGATCTTGTTTCTGAAATGAACAACCTTTCGTTACTAAAATAACTACTGGAGTTGTTAGTAGCTCAAGATGATACCTGCCAGTGTTGATTTGTAGAATGCCAAACACCAATCTTCCCTGTATGACTTATTGCAACAAGATGGCTACCAACGAAAAACAATGCATCCACGCTAACATATAGCTCAAAAGTTCCTAATTATAAATGAATAATAACTAATGAATCAGGAGCTTTGGCATAGCATACAACAGACAGCAGTACTCATGCGAAGGGGTAATATGCACCATACCTATTTGAGTTACAGGAATAGAACCAAAGCTCCATAAACGAATTTGGCTTCCTATACGGACATGAAATAATACCGTACGTATCAGAGTTTTAATTTCATTATGCTGCATATTACTAGTATTATAAAATTGCTTAAAGTGATAATGTAATACCATCATAATACGCAATAACCAGTATATAAAAAATATCTATGCACATCATCTAACCTGAAGCCACCGCAATCATCTTATCTCCGAGGGATCCACCAATGACTCGAACGTTTAATGCCATTTTCTCAGCAAAATTTGCTAGATAAGGACTAGTAAAACCTAGCTGCCAGCCTGATGTTTCTGTCAATCTAATAAATATCGTTTTCGACAAGATCTCAATTTATAGAATTATAGCATTCACTTAAGTACCGCCCGAATAAATACTTACTTATAACAGCAAATACAGTGAGCAAATGAAACTGCAATCCAGTTGTAATGTCCAGTAACTGATAAAACACGCTTCATACTTGCATCATCTATATTAATAACGTGTGCGCAATTCACAATAGACAGTATTTTCGATTAGTAAATATCATTAACTTTCAACTACATATGAAATGGACGACAGTATGTAAGTAACTCGGGCTAATAACATATATGTAATCTTATCATCAAAATTAAAATTTTTAACGTTGCTTACTAAATTTATGAGATTTGGGTATAGGGAGCGCTATAAATGTTAAAAGATATATTATAACAAAAACAGCCATTAAACATCGTGAACAGCCAAAAATAGAATAATAATTATCAGAGAACGACAACTATTTTTAATATCAATCAATGCAATCTATTTTAGCTACAAAGGAAAAGCTTTACTTGGTGAAGACAAGTAGGCGCTGAAATGCAAACTTCCACAACCGGAGTCGGACTTGTTTTCGCACAAGGTTAATTGTCTCACTATGAAAATATCATGAATAAAATTGAAAATACTGTAAAATTCATTGCTATTATGCGTGGCAGTCATATTCATCTGTTGTCATTAGAATGAGATCATTAGAGCAGTTATGTGGCTTACCTAAAGGCGTGATGCCGTAAAATTCCGCCTCATGTTTTACCGTTGATAGACCAATATTACTATCAAACATAAATGGGGATATTAGAAAGTCTTCCAAGATATCCATAATAAGTTTTACATATTCGTGTATATTACACACTCAGTGCTTTAAAAAATAAGTATTTCCTTTTACTGGTTTTCTTATACCTTACCGTAAATCAATTTCCTTCGTCCTCAAATAATTTAATATTGGTATAAATGCATCGGGATCACGGTCGATAAATATCTGATCATAAATAGCGCGATCAATGTTGCATTGGATCTCAAAATAGCATAGGCATATGTATTTACTTAGATAGATTTATAGTACTAAACTTACGTCGCCATTTTCATCTTTCAGCGTTGGTATTCTACCATCCAGCAAACTTTTTTTATTATGTAAAGACAACATTTAGGATTAGGTGGTTATTACACTCTTGGAAAGTGATTGTAACTGTATCTTACAGAACGACTTTGCTGGAAATATTAAGATACCAGCCGATATTGATAGTAACGTCATAAAATGAATATCATCTTTCCGAAGGCTATGATGTACGTAAAATTTATTCAAGAAACTACTGAGAAATTGCAATTTCAATCATAGCCAAAACTCAATATTACTTCCAAAAGAAGCATTTTGCCATAACGGATTGTGTTACAATTATAATAACAATTCTGTAGCTGGTATACTACATGAAATAAAGTCCATCGAACAGTAAGATATGACGTTAGCCAAATCATAATTTGTAATAATGCTATCTATACTGGCTATTACTATGCTCATCTATATCATTGCCATAACCAAATCCAATCATAATTATAAATGTATATAGAAAGAATCCTTAATTTAATATAGACGAGTACATAATTACATAGCCTGCTAACCATGTAAAGAAAGTATTCGGAATCCACGTTAGAGTTTGCTTGGAGGTCTGAAATCTATACAATCAATGATATAATAGCAGTGATTAATTGCTAATGTTCAGCACTATAGGACGTAGAGTCATAATTCTTAAATTCAATTACGTAATTTTTCAATCCACTGATGATTTTTATGAATACAGAATATTCACAACATTATAAAAAGATCACGTTAAACAATCAGATTGTTATTGAACTTTATGACAAATGCTTTCGATAGCCATAATCCTTTCTTTATTTGTACTGGTATCATGTAGTGATACTCGTACAAAATCACTATCGAGTAACTACAGTATACGAACAGTATTTGGATGTGAAGATTATCTAGCAACGAAATATAATAGGATAAAGAAGACCATGAAACTACCATATTGTACTTTCGTATAGCTTTGATATGTAAATCCATTTACTCGAATCATGACATCATACGTAGGTAGGGTTAATCACGGACTACCTAACCTATGAGTCTACACGAACCAAAGAAGTAGGTAGATTAGTTTCTTGTTGAATGTAACATTTTTTTACTACAAATTGTGCTACTAGGCAATCACTAAATCTTAGATAATGAAATGATTGAGTAACAATATGCAAGTCAAAACATGAGTAAACAAGAACTACTTTTAAGCTGCAGGTTAATGTGACGAGCTGTTTTACGAAGGAGAAATACGAGTATGCTCGGCAATATCATTCGAAAAATGAATTCATACCCGTCTATCATGCTCTTATTTTAGTAGGGTATCATTAGCTAACTGATGTACGTGATTATTGTACAAGTTTAAAGAAGGCAGTTTAGTCATAAATTAGTAAGCATGACGGACATTGTGGCGATCATCTAATATTTCCCATATTCAGTAGAAGTTAAACCAGGTGTAATAACAGAATTTTGATCTAGTGAATCAAATCGTAGTGTAAAGTACCTATTGCTTTATGTACGAGAATACCAGAATTATCAGTGAAAAATAGGTACTGCAAGGCGTATATCGGTAAAACTACATGCAATAACAACCATTTGATCTAGTCAATCCAGGACTGGACTATAAATAGACGTAATCATGGGATGATGTATAGGCTTTATCAATGAGTGATATTGAAAACGGATATTCCATGAAGCTGTGTGCAACAATAACCTTTTTGATCGAGTCAGCGAACTGACTCTATTCTAGTACAGTATACCAGCGACTTGTGGATAAAATAAGAGAAAGAGAATACTGACATTGAGAAAAGGTATAGGGATTGAATGATAATGACATTGCCGATGTTGAAATCAAACTACGTGTAAGAAGAGTCTTTTGGTGGTTGTAAAGAACTTTCTCCTCTAGTGTTATTACATCATCCTTGAGAAATGGGTATTGAGCTATAATACCATCATATCATCAAGATCGTTAAATGTATCATGGAAAATGTTTTGTTTTCAAGTCAAGTGATCAAGTTGTAATGTCTGACCCAAGCAGAACGACAGTACCAATGGCATGAAGTTTATCTTGACAGATACTGCTGTATTACATAGACATTATAATATCATGTTACCAATAAGATTAACTGGAAATAGTAATGGTAACGATGTACAGTAAAATTTTGATGATGATTGTAGGCGATCTTGTTGACTGGTAAAGGGATAAATTATGCTTCCACTATTCTACTCGTCAATTACCAGTACGCGTCTAGGATTGTCCTCAAGCTAGCTCTGCATGTCATCACACGCGAACTACTATATGGATTAAACAGTTTTGATCACCGTTACTGCTGATCAAGGTTAACCAAGGTAATAGCTCGCTTTCTGGCAATCGATAGCTACCCCATGCAGTTTCTATATTCATGCCTACAATATCCTACATCACCTTTTACCACCAACGTTGAGCTTGATAATGGTATCTCCAACTGACAGTGAATAAGGCGAAAAGCTAACCGATTCCATTTGCGCAAAATAGATTGATCCTGAATGGATTTCCCTGGCTCAGTCGATTTCTATCGTGTTAGCAGTTGGCTTTTACCAAGCTTCTCCTATTTTCGAACAGCAGTTGGTGGCAACGTCTTGCTTCCTTTCTTAGATACTTTTCGCCATCTTGTGAAACGACTCTGTGAATTGCTGATGTCAGAGCATGAAATGTCCCTAGTTTCACTCTCCAAGAGAGTGAGCCGTTGTTTTGTTGTTTTGCACTAGGTCAGACGGTGATGAATGACGCCAATATACAGTACACTCATCATCCTGTGGGGTACGTACAGTTGAGCGCTTGACATCAACTTGGTGATCCGGTACGGACCCATTGTTGAGATTGCTAGTAGTGATCCGGTACGGACCCATTGAGATTACTAGTACTGTACACTTTAAACTGGGCGTTGCACCTACCTTACAGGACACTCTCTCTCAGTAAAATACTGTAATTCTATACAGTACTATACAGTGTACACTGTACAGTACTCTACAGTACTCCAATGCCGGTTACTAGTGGGTGTACACTGTATACTACTGTACAATGTACTGTGCATGACTGAGTTTGCGTACCGTATGGCACTAGTCACATCACTCCTACACCAAATCTTCACTTCTGGTGATTTGCAGTACCCAAAAATTCCATTCTTCGCTTTTATACTATACTCTACTTCACTACAGGATGTTTCCGTCGTATTACTACAGGCTTGGCGCATGGAGCTTGCATGATGACTCATTCTAGCAGCCGTGCAGAATTGCATATTTCCATCGGATGACGTCATCTTGTAAGAACATCATCAAGTTTAGGTCGATCAAAACATGAAACGGTAGTAAACAAGAATTTGGCTGTAAAATCACCAAGTTACTTCTTCATAAATAGAAAGTACACGATTAAACTGTATAACCACCAAGTTACTTCTTCATAAATAGAAAGTACACGATTAAACGGTAAAGAAGAACTTGGCTGTAAAATCACCAAGTTACTTCTTCATAAATAGAAAGTACACGATTAAACTGTATAACCACCAAGTTACTTCTTCATAAATAGAAAGTACACGATTAAACGGTAAAGAAGAACTTGGCTGTAAAATCTCCAAGTTACTTCTTCATGGATAGAAATACTATAGAGAAAGAGCAAGATTAAACGGTATAGAAGAATTTGGCTGTTAAATAATCAAGTTACTTCTTCATGGATAGAAATGCTATAGAGAAAGTGCACGATTAAACGGTAAAGAAGAATTTGGCTGTAAAATAACCAAGTTACTTCTTCATAAATAGAAAGTGCACGATTAAACGGTAAAGAAGAATTCGGCTATAAAATAACCCAAGTTACTTCTTCATGGATAGAAATGCAATAGAGAAAGTGCACGATTTCATCGATGTCGGGAGAAAGCGACTGAATTATCACCTTGCTACTGATGGCCAGATCACGCGCTTAATATCATGAGTACAGCGCGATTAGCTTAGGTGGCACTAGGGAAAATAAACTGTGTAAGCTAAATCAAGCCCAAAGTAGGCTACATCTTATATGTAGATGTAGCCCAATAACTCAGCCTGTACATATAGATTTTGAACAAGAGTGTTAACAAATTGCCACTTTAAATTTTCGACGCTATCTTGCCATCGAAGTTAATCCTGTTGTACAACTACCAATAAAATCAACTATCTCGAACTTGACATGGCCAGGCAGATTGCTCACTCCTAGATTGTAGTAGAGTGGATTAACAAAATGCAGTCTTCTGAACTACTGCACAGTGAATACGAAAGTAATTTCAGATTAAATTAAAGTGGAAAGATGATTGGTAATTTCTTTACGGCTATCTCTACCACTTGAGCTCATGACTGTGAGTAAAATCCTCTGCTCGGTGAAAGGCTGGAACTTCCAGCACTTTCAAATAAAACTACCTAGGCAGGGAATCCGGCTGTACGAATCGACTGCACTAGTGCATGGACTGCCATCACTAGTGACTAGTAAGTGATTCACTAGGTCGATTGTAGCTTAACGATGGTTATACATCTCAGATAGTGTATATTGTACTATCGTTTTAGTTTAGATTAGGAACATGATAATTCGTACTATGCCCGGCTCCAATCAAACTGCTATAAATTCTCGTATCTCGTAGACTATGAATTAAGGTTATGAAACGATAATTACTGTAGACTATACCCTTACCAAAATAGGACACTATAATCCCACAAGGTGATTAATTTATACCCTTGTTATTAACTCTGTCTTCTCAATACCTATAAATAGTACCGATTTAATTAAAAGCTTTATTCTATTTATCTACCTAGTAAACTCGAATGGAAGACAGTGAGATTGAACGCACACTAACGTACGAGTATATTAGTATAATAATTGTATCACATCGCATTCATATTAATAATAAACTAAATCAGTAACAAAAATAGATGAAATGTTCTCTCTTGCAGTAATACGATGGTTAGGGTTAGAGCTGCGTAACCTGTACACAAACCCATTGGCTACATTCTCCAAATACTAATGAAATAGTTAGCAGCTATACAAAACGACGACTACTTATTTTACCTATCAAGCAACAGAGTAAGGGCATACGAGACTATTCTTTATTCGCTTAAAGAATGCGAAATTACCACTTTTAGTTGTAGCCTAAATAACAAAATCTCTACACTAACAAATATGCACTACAATTTAGGCCATATTCGCCTTAAACCAGGTGGAAAGTGTCTTTTCGTACTTTTGTAGATAATTGATATTGAAGTTAATAGTTCCGGTTATTGCGTTCTCAAAGGCAGTAGCAGTACTACCAGATTCTGGGTTTTCAGCAAAGAATTGTTGTACCTGACATAATTTAGTGATGAAATCAGTGTACTGGCAGCACATGGTAATCATTATAACACACTAATAACTCTATCAACTATTATAATTATAAACTTACCTGATTACGCCTAAATATGTTATTAAAGAAACGAGTAACAGTACGAATAATCGGTCTGGTAGATCTGAACCTAAGATGATAATTACAAAATGCATAGAAAAGTCAAGATTGAGAGAATGGTCATGCTTTAATTAACTACAACTTCTTCATCAGGCTAGCAATACTCTTGAATATACGAATAAGTAAATTATATCAATGCAATATGAAAACCAATCCTATAATATATCCTTACCTTTGTATGAAATAATTCTTATTCTGGCGAACGTAATCCCAGGCGAGGTATTTACCAACAGGATTCAAACTTACAGAGCTAAATATCGTTGTGGTCGATGATGGATTAATCTTGGTCGGATCAATAGCGTAATCCAAGAACCTAATCACCAATGGTAGAAATTTACCAAGAAAATGAGCAACTTTTAAAATTTACACCAAGGAAAACATTGCAATATCGAACGAAAATATTTCTTTGTCTAGCATGTTCATCAAACAGTGGACAGATACTGCATAAAGATCATCTAAAACCTATGAGCTTCATGATCTGCTAGTTATTACCGGTATTACATATTTGGCAAGAAATATGACTGATATCAAACTAAATAATTAACATGGAAGACTGTATATATTGAATTTGTCTCTGTTTTATCTATATTTTGTTGCAAACCGTCGAAAAAATAATTCTATTAGTATACTGTGCTATTAGATATTTTCCGTTGGTGCCAATCTCAAAATTAACCGATGCATGACTTCGAATTAACCAAATTGAGCATACGAGTATAATCAGATGCTAAAGTCACCTCTTCAAAATCCAATCATCGCGGGAATATGATAGAGCAAATAACATTCTAGATCGATCGGCGATGCTCAATGAGTTCTTATACATGTTGTAAAGAAAGTCCCATTCTTTAACACCTCCATTAGCAATACCATATCTAAATACGATTTCTCTAATAGCACCTGGTATACTGTATTAATCCAAATATAGAATTAATTAAAAAATAAAAATCTACATTGTAGACAATTATATAATCGCTTTAATTAGAAATTCTATAACATAATTTTACTTCGTTTTAAAACTATTCTACTACCGCACAGATATCCAAAATGATTTAAACAATTCTTACTTGTTAGCGACAGGGTCTTGCATGAATTTTTGGAACATCATACTTGCATTCCTCAAGCAAGGACTATAGCCCAAGAAACAAGCATAGTCCAAAACAGAAACACGAGCTTCTCTATAAATTTATAATAAAACAAGTAAGTAAATATTAATTAGCCAAAACAATTTTAATTAGGAAATATCATTCGTCGATATACTCGTACTTACGTAAGATTAAAACCGTAAGTTAAAAAGTGCTATTGTATGATTGATCTACCGTATTAAATCAACATGAAATTTTATTTTAAGTAATCTAGACAGTACAAACTTACTTTTCTGTATCATCCCCACTATCCATCATTCCCAAAATATCTGCAGGAGGTGACAAAATTTTCAAGTGGTATTGCTAGCAATACAAACGAAGTGAAACTTTGATTATGATAAGTTTTACTTTATGAAATTACTAAACTAGCATAATATCAAAAAGAAACCGAAAGATTTTTTAAAGGTAACATGTTACAGATAAATCATATCGTATGCTATAGTTACGAACACTTTTAACTGAAATATCAAAATAATTTAACATCTATCAGTTATCTGAAGTAGAATATCAATCGTTTAGAATTACAGCATAGTCTTGATATGATTTTCTGCCAGAAAGACGACGGCCCATAGTTCTGAAGTAAATATTAGTGATGAACCACGGCAAATAGGAAGTTTCTTTTGTCATATATTTGGTCAAGCTCAATGGAATAGAGTAGTTAATTCGATCAGTTCTATTCAAAATTAAAATAGAAGCGAATTAAAAATTTGCATTTCGTAGAATAAAACCGTTTTCACTTTTTCGTAGCACTTTACACCGTATAATCATATGCAAGTTTGAATAAGATGACATCAAAGCAATGAATAGCATTAATCGCTTTCGTTACACCGGTGTCAAACCAAAACGTTTCCAGTTATTCGAAATATACTTTTAAAGATCATTCATATTGACTTACTGTGCATATGGGAAAGCATCGTCTTGTAAACTTGCAATATCGGCTTTGGAAAATTTCTGCAGTACAAAAATCGTCCACTTGCTTTATTAACTTATTATCTAGACTTCTATTTAATATCTACAACTATTTATTCTCAAGATATAAACCACTTTATCATTTCTATACTGAACAAGATACCTTCTTTTCAATTACTACTTCTACATTTTACATGAGACATACACAGCAAAGTCTGCGGTAAATCTGGACTTTACTATAACTCTCAAACTTATTTTATGACAATAGAATACGCTAAAGTATAAAACACTAGAAAACCTTAAATTTTTAACTGTTATGTTCTCCAATAAAAAAGTAGGAGTATTCGTATAGTAAAATCTCATAAGATTCATAAATAAACATTACATTGCAATAGAGGATAACATAGAATTATATTTCTTGATTCATCTATTTATTTATTTATTTATTTGTTTATCCCAATAAAATTATTTAATAAATAACATTTCTGAACTAACCGTATGATCAGCCTGTAAAGCAGCAGCAAGTTGATTCCAATTACTGGTTTCGTAATTAACTCTGAAAAAGCCCATTTGATCAGCATTGACCTTAATCCATGTATTTCCAGGCCAGTTGACGGTCAAATCAGCTAATTAAAAATTTTTATGGTATAAATAAATTTAGCTCTTATTATAATAAAATAGATTTTTAAAATCTCCTATAAAGCGTTCTTCAGTCAGTTTTGAATGAAATGCTTTTCATCCAATTATAGAGCAAGTTTTATAAATAATCTACGGTAATAAATGTCACAGCAGTCGATAGTGTTATATATGACATACCACCACTTTTAGCCATGAGGTTACGTACAGTCGTAGATGGGGCATCGCCAGTATAATAGGTTACCGGAACATTCCATTTATAACTACGGGTACACAAATAGAACAAGACATGAACAGCTAAGTAAGTTGCTTTTGCAAGGTTTAGAATCTAATCGCAATGGTCAACCACAAGTTTTCATAAGATTTTTATTTTCAAAAGTGAGACGAATCAATATGATAATTTTATTTTATTTACCCGCAAGTAGCTTTATATGGATTGGACGGAGGATCCACATTAGGATCAAGATTCTTATTACTTAAGTAGCGAGCTTGAGAAAATACTCCGGAATTTGCGGATGAGCTGCGCTTAACGGTGATAAGTGGATATCCCATTTGATAAATCCAACAGCTAATGAAATCGGTGACATTAATCCTATTATTAATCGTCTACCGAAAAAAAATACCTCAGTAGCTTGCTTAGCTCACATTTTGAAATTATTATTGTCTATAAATACAGATTTTTTTGATCAACGATCTATCTAAAATCTAGTGACCATGTATTGTCATCTAATAAACTAAATTCGTAAACGTTATAAATGCCTACCGATGTCATAGTTGAAAATAATTGATCAGTAATGGCATTCCCATAACTATATTTCTTCAAGTAAGCCTAAAATGTGATATGAAAGACTTAATTGTTATTATTATAAATTTAAATGTACATATATATATATCAATTATATTCTATTGTAGAATACTAAAACAATAAAATTCTTTTCTACTTTTAGGCTCAATTACTAGCAGTAGAAACCTTAATGCCTGCAATAAAGTCATCGTGGCCCATATAATCACGTAACATACGAAGGATTGAGCCGCCCTAGCAAAAAATGGCAATAACATCGCTTGCATAAATGCTTTAATATTTACAATAAATGAAATTGACGCCAAGTATCTACATCTATGGTATAAGATTGAATTAGAGGTACCTTCCTTTTGTATTCATATTTTAGATTAGATTAAACTGAATTAAAATAAGCTCAAAAACCTGCCAATCATAATTGACCCGTAACTACAGTGCACAAAATGCGTAACTTTTCATACGATACTTAGATAATGTGCAAGACTTTGCGCAGTCAATTTAGATAATCATGATATACTGCAATTTAAATCAGTATCAATATTTCAAAGCTACGGTATGTACAATTGAATCGTTTAAGATATCTATTTTAGAGATTTGGTATAACTACACAACCATAAGCTAGGTAGATTAAAAAACTTATCCCCTATTCGACATCGAAATCTAGAATATTGTAACATACTTTATATGTAATATCAAAAAGCGATAATTTAGATACATAGAAGGACGTAATCATTTTCAGTGAGGCACCAAGAAGTATTTAGTAGATATAAAGAATATTTCAAAATGTATTATTTAAACAGTAATTTTAGGCTACGGTATAAAGACAACGTTATACTAATTTTATTAAATTTCAAAATGCATTAACTTTAACGATAGCACTATATGCGTATCCATCGACACGGGTAGATACCTTTTGATATGTTATACGATCGAAGAATGGGCCATACTGAGCTGGAGGTACAATAGGATGAGACAATGCGGAAGCATCACTAATTAGACCAATTTGCAAATCATCAGTGGTAAATTGCGCCATCTACAGGAAAAAATTAAATTAAATCGATCAATATTTCATCGCTAGGGCGCAATACGGTTATTAGCGTTATGATTTAACTCTGTATGGCTTTCTAATCAGGGAGGCATGTTATAGAATAACAAAGTACTACTATTTAACAAAATACATCTTAAATGGAAAAGTAATTTAAGTCTATAAATGATTAGATCGAAATCATTATTTCGACATGAATATCGATCGGTAATCATAGCTGCAATAATTATTTAAATTATATCTACCAAATTCATAGTAGGTGCATAAAACGAAGCGGAATAAGCTGCAAAGAAGGTAGCAAATCCTTCATTAAGCCACAAATGATTCCACCATTCCATGGTGACCCAATTACCAAACCACTGTTGAAAAGATCACGCATTTAAAATTTGAAACTTAATTCATCATTACCAGCATACAGGAAACATTTCACTACTTTATTATTCTCAGTTCATGTGCGGTACATTTTTTACCTATATTACAAATAAACGTACCATATGAGCCAATTCGTGAGCTACTATAGTAGTAATACTCTCTTTAGTAGATGTTGAGGACAAAAATTTATTGTAAGTCAAAAGTTCTTCGCGATACAAAATTAATCCCCAGTTTTCCATAGCACCAGAATCGAAGGAAGGGACTGCAACGTGGTCTACAGATAATGAATATATCCCGTGGATATAAAATTTAGCTATAATAGCGGTAAGTTTACGTTGGATATGTACACTAGCAATTTCTTTGAAAGATAAAGTTATAGTATATATGAACGTATATATACAAAATTTTGTTAAAGCAGAAATGGTAAATAATTGTTACATTGATATCAATCTAGATTCAGCTATACCTTGCTTAGGTAATGGATATGGTACATCTAAGAGATTTTCAAAGAATTCTGTAATGTTGATTGCAGCACCCAAAGCGTACATGCCATCATTCTTAATCGATTTACGAGAAAAAACTCTTACCTATAATTGGAGATAAATGTTAAGATGAATTATTTTTAATATTTAAACTGCTGTTTCTATATTTGCAAATAACCTGCTATACGATTTGTTATTTATAGGAATTACAGTTATTCACTATTTTTTTCTTAACGACTTACGAGAGTATTTCTTGCAGTTCTAGCCTCAACGGACTCAAAGTCGTCAACTGTGAATGCTAACAAGTACGAAGACATCACGACCGTTGCTAAATTTCAAAAACAAATTGAAAACCCTTTTAGGATCATTAACGTGACACTAATTTTCGCGATAGCACTGAACTGCATCATCTTTTAAATATAAATAATTGTTGAACTACAAAATAAATAAATATAAATACTACACAAAATTAAGATCGTCACTAATAATACTATTGCAAACTGATTATGTATAAGTTGAAAAAATGTATTCGAACGATCAAGATCTACAGCACATTTTGCTGAATCAGTAAGTAATTGTAAACTCAGGTAATTTACTAATAATTGTACTAATATATTAGTAGAGCATTAATGTCATTACGAAAAGCGTAAATATTAATTTAAATTGAGAAAGCAACTTACTCTTATATGATACTATACTATATTGAAATATGATACATGTTTGGAATAGCAACATAATATATTAAAATACTGTCATCCAGAAATTATAAAGCCGTGTGTGCGTATATATGGAATGAATATGAAGTAGTAACTTACGTTGAAACTTGTAGCTCATCTTATTGCCAGCAACAGCGGTTGTAGATGTTACTGGCATGTTAGTAAGGGTGGTATAGTTATTTGGGATGACGACTGTTGTAGTAAAGGTAGCTTTCATGGCTGGCTCATCAAAGCAAGGAAGTATTCTTCGCGCATAAAAGTCCTCACATTGGCTAGCAACACCCCAACTGCAGTATAAAGAAATACAGTTTAAGTATTAATTTGATCCAAAAATAAAGTATCCCTTAAAAGTAGTAGAATTTTAAAAATTATCCTAAACTCGTGAAATGTTGTAATCATTGGATTTTTACTGATGTACTCATGCATATTTTTGTATTTATCTTCATGCTGGAATTTAAGAGTGAGGAAATCGTGCAAAATAAAATCATAACATAAAAAGTCGTACATTACTGCTCTATCCGAAGCTCTGGTATATTGGTACTTATATAATCCATTCAAATCGGAAGCCAAATTTGCGGTATAGATAAACTGGATATAGTAGATACCAGCGGCTAAATTATTTTGCAATCCGACGTAGTAATAATTATTCTGGGTATGAGCGCCATAGTCCGAAACAGTGAAAGTATTGCTAAAAGTGGAATCACTAGCTACTTTTGGCGCTGATGTTACTGTAATACCATCAGTGTGAACAATGATGACATTTGTAGGAGAAGTAACTTGGAATCGGATAACATTGTTTCCATTATAGCTTAATTTGGTCATATCAATGTCCAGAGTGAAGGTATAATTCAAGGGTTTAACATTAGTAGGCAACCGTCTGTTATTTAATTGCGGATATTTTGGAGGAGCTGTAGTTGATACAGGTTGCGTCACTGTCATAGTAGTACTTTGTTGATTGCCAGTTGAGCCAGAACGAGAAGTTAAACCAGCAATTAAGCCTACTGCGACAATTAAACCGATGACAAGAAGAATTGTTATTATTAATTTAGTATTCGAGCAGAATACCCCACTTTTTCCGTCCTTACTAGCCATGATGGATTCAAATCAGTTAAGAAAAATGGTAAAATGGCCGCTGTGCTACAAAGAATCCAGAGTGATTATCACGGCGAACTTTGGCAGTGTTTAATCGAATTTTTAATATTGTCTACAATAGATCATGCTAATGAGCTCGTTAAGCGCATAACATAATTGAGGTCAAATCATACCATTAAACTACGTAGTATGTTCTAATCACATGTGGAACCACGCGATTACCGTCATCAAAGAAAAATGCAAATTAATTTGTTTTCCTATCGTTATTTTGCATATACGAGTATTTATCTTATGCATGAGCCATTGCGGTTTCACCTTTAGGGATTGGCCAGTTCATTATTTAAATTATAATTGTGATTTAATCACTAAGATCAAATTCTATAATTGACTGAAATCACTGGAGTAATAATACCACCTGTATGATAACAGTCTAATTTCCTTAAATTAATAGAATAGCTAATAATCCAAATACTGTTAACTGAAAAAGCATTTTTGCTGTTAATTTAATGATTGCACCAATTTAAGCTAGATTAAGATAATGCGCAACGCAAAATAAGGCTTTTATAGGGCTAATCTTTTACTTGTAATAAGCCGTAAAGTCTAGGATGTTGCCGTCGAAAAGCAACTTATTGAACCAATATTGTATTTCAAAAACTATTATCCACTATATTTGATCATATGCATCATCAATAACTTTGTTATTAGTCATTAATTTAACCTAGTAAATTAAACAAACAAGTTAAACCTCTACAGTCCCAGAATGTTTCTTTCATTGTCTAATTAGACCAATGTCGAATTTTTTTGGCGATTGCCAATCAAAATATGCTATTGATCTCCTTTATTTTATTTAATTTAGCATTGTGTACGAAACTAAAATAGCCCGACGTCAATGTTTCAAGTCTTACCAGTGACAATAGATGATGGTAGTACCACCTTATAAGTTGAATTTATCTTAAATTAGCGATTTAGATCCTCCTCATCAACTAAACAATTGAAAATAAGAAAGGGCGGAGTAATACGTATTTTCAAATATTACAGCTAGTGTTTAATAATTATCAGAATCAGAACGATATTGACAAGCTGATGGACAGTGATGTCAAAATATCAATCATTTGTTCAAATAACCGTAAACTTATATGTTAATTAAAATGAAACATTCTATCCTTGCAATTGTCGTAGCAAGCAGTGTATTATATGGTACTGTATTGTTTTTACAGTAATACAATTTTAGGATTAATTTTTAATTTTTTTTCTCTTACGATGAACTAGCGCCTAGCAAGCCAACAAATATAGCACTTAAACTAATGAAAATAATACGAAGGCTACTTGGAATAACGCTGAAATTCTCATATTCAAATTTTAGTTTCAGCTTTTCCTTTCATGATTTTCTATAAGATTGCGAGGGCTTCTAACAAAAATAATATTGATGTTGTTTAAAGTATTTACCCCGCCTACAGTTATATCAATCTCGAGCCTGTTAATAATCTCATATTTTCAAAAATTAGTAATTTATGACTTTTCGAACTCATGATCGCATATGATGTAATCACGTGTTAAATGTAGAATAAGCAAAACACCTACCGTACTATAAGCACGAGATGTCTCAAGAGAATATAAACATTTTATAGCGTAATTAAGATTATTTCGTTCTATAGTTTCTCAATTTAATACATTCTCCGTAAAAAGTACCATTTTATTGAAGTCAAAAACGTAAATGTGATATATATCCTTATCATACTCTGCTCGATATTATGCAATCCAATCAATTCAAATTAATGATAAGAGTGCACCTTGTATGCTTTATTTGGTATGGTATAGCATGTAGATTCGGAAATATACTATAATCTACTTGATATCGATCAATTTTATCAACAAATATTAAGCAGCAGTGTATTGGTAATTATTTAACGACAGTTATTCATTTAAAATTGGTCATATTTGAACAAAGCCTACTAAATCTATGCAGCTGGTTAATTTCAAGTACTTGATTAACCTGTTAAGCTGCACACTCATGAACACATTATCCTAGAGTATCAGTAGCGGGCCTTGTTAAAATCATGTTCGATACTAGATGCGTAATCATGTCCTTATCTTTAACTAATCCTAGCTGTTTTAATTAGGATTTCGTGTAAGCTGTGTGTTGCGTTTAAATTTTAAATCTTTTCTTTATATAGCATTAATTTGTAGTAATAAATATAGTGATAATAGGACAATTTAAGTTCTTGCGAATATGAGTATTTGTTAAAAGGTCCAATTTAATATCCAACACATTGTGTCTTGTCCGTAAGACTTGCTACTGATTCATGCAATATCTAGCTATATATCACATACATCCAATGCGGTAGGCTTCTAGAAATATGCGTAAATAAATTCTATATTATTATCTGATTCTATAATGGTACGTTATAACGAATTAACGGATACATCTCACAAAAACAATATAGTAGGCTTCTACAAATATAAATACATGAATCATGTAATTTTTAATACAGCATGCTACAACGAATTGAAGCACGTATCATATAGATACAACGTGGTAAGCTGCTACAAAATACGGGCGCATAGATTATCTATCTTAACTATGACAACCTCCTTAATTAAAATATGATATTGCATGCGCTACTAAAAAATACGTGTAATACAATTGTTCTGTAAAACTAGTTATCAACAGGAATTGGTCAGTTCTTAATATGCACAAACTACTGTAATTATTTTTGATCATTTCTTCTTCATAAAGTATGACAAAAAGCTTTTAACACAACAAATTTTTAATGAATACAGTAATTACGACTATGAGAAACCTTTACAATTAAATTAAGCAACCATATACCCGTATCTCTATCTTTTAATCCTTAATTATTAGTATTTGTCTAATAAATTCATCAACATTATAGCTTTTGCTCCAAATTATAACTAGCAAGAAGCATTGACAAGTATTTATAATATGCTGGCATGAAATTGAAATGAACTACTGGTGAAAATTTGTATTATTATCTAATCCATCTTAATATTTTGCTTAAACCATGTCGAAAACGTTTTTCCATATTTATTTAAGTACTTGATATTGGCATTGATTGCAGCTATAGTTTGAGCTTCAGATGCTGCTGCATTTGGCCCTGACTCTGGATGATCCTTAAAAAATTGTTTTACCTGCGACAAATTACGATAACATTTTTAATGGTCTAACAAAATAAATAAATAAAGTACGATAAATAGTCACTAGATCTACATTGAGTATCAGGCGAATGTTCAAAAGTGAAATAGAGAAGTAATATCGCCCTTGTTATATCAAATCTGTTATAGCAGACTATAGGACATCAGTAGCATCATAGATACCAATTATAGAGATGTGACTAGCTTAGCAGAGTTAAAAGTTGATCAATTAGCTGTGGTAACAGCAATTTGTAGTGACTATAAAGCGGCTTTGGGTTATACAGTAATACTCGTATAGGTAAATTATTATGCAAATATAACATTACCTGGTTTAACCGAAATTGACTATTTAAGCGTCTGCTAGCAATATTGACAATTGGCCTCGTAGATTTGAATCTGTAGAGGGACGGATTGATATTGTTTTAGCGTCTTGGAATTATTTTGGAAGATTACTCTTATCAATTTACAAGATTAGTTGATTTTTAATCCCGTATATTTATAATATAACAACCTATTCATAAAATAGCCTGTATTTTGGCGAACATATTCCCATACTAAATCTCTACCAACAGGATTAAAAGTGAGAAAAACGAAGACGGTCATAGAATTACTTGGATCTATTTTTGTTGGATCGGTTGCAAATTGTAGATAGCTAAAATAATATGAAAGCATTAATTTGTAATAAAAATAGTGCTGAGCTAGTTCAATTTCATCGGAGAATATTTTTCTAAAGCAGAAAAGCGGAAATTAAATAATACGGGAATGGTATAATCAATATACCGATTGATAATATATGGATCGCGAGGAAAAGACATGGCATAAAATGCGCTAGATCTTTCCGTTGGAATTAAAGTTGTTCTGTAAATATTATATACGAAATCCCACTCTTGCACACTTCCATATTCTATTCCAGTCCTGAATGCAACCTCTCTTAGACTACCTGGTATTCTAAATCAACGAAGAAATTTAGTTTCAGGTAATACTATCAACCAGATAATGAGTGAACACCACATGAAAAGTTAATTACTTATTTCTGATGGGATCTTGCATATATGCGTAGAACATACGGCTTGTATTAACTATGCATGCTGTATTGCCGAGGGTACATGCCGACTTGAGTACCTCAGACCGAGCTTCTCTATATCATTAGAGCAAAATTATGATAGCTTAATTGATTCCATTATAATTATTATAGCACTGAACAATAGTTTGTTATAAATAGTAAAAGATGCATATGAAATTTTACTGTATGTCTTTTATCTGATTATAACTTCATATATAATGTATTCTAAGTTGAATGCTTCAGATTAAACTTACTCTATGGAATTAAAACAAAGCTATGGGTCTCAGTAGTTTTTTTATATTAATTAATTATTATTAGGAACGTACTGCAATATTTCTATGCTATAATTATCGCATAATTACAACAATTTATCTACGTTTACTCCGGTACATAATGAATAGTTTCTTTATCAAATAATAAAAATTTTGGCACTACAATTACGGTGCTTGGATCGTGCTTCCCATACCAACACAGCATTGTATTAAGTGTCCTATTACCATCATTGTAAAATTATTACTAGCAATATGCTATAATATTCCAATGATTACTGTAAATATGTGGCAAGAACCAAGATATCGAAATGGTCTAGATATTGTTAGATATACATTTAAAAAAAATCGCAGTAGGTAAGGCAACCTTCTTGCAATCATTCTAGTTCGAAACATATATTAGTCCTAGCGTATGCTATAGCATCACTAACAGTGATGCCTTTAATATGTCGCAACGAATAAATATTTTCATTTAATATTTAATTGATCATTATAAATATATATTCCTCTGGTAAACTTCAGTTTAATTATGCACTATGATCTCAATCAAGTTGAAGCTAATAACTTACTTTTCGATATCAGTGCCAATGTCTATCACTCCTAATGTATCAACAGCTGGTTTTAAAATTTGGAGGTGATATTGCTAATAAATTAGCGAAGATAATCGTAAACTTCAGATTACTTTATAGGCCATATTAGTTATCAGCTTGGTAGTTAGTCAAGGTAATACTTTATACCAGATAACCTTTCATGAGCAATATTTTTTCGATTGTTCTATGCTCAGGAAAAGGATAAATCATCAGGTAAACTTACAATATAGTCTTGATAATAGCTACTACCAGCGAGGCGCCCACCTATAGTATCTAGATGCTTGTTAGCCGTATGCCAAGGTAAGAAATCTATTTCTTTGCTTAAGTACTTGGTCAAATTAAGAGGAGCCATATAATCAACCATATCATTTCTAAAGTGATAAATTGAAGCATTACGTGTACATCATCAAACGAACTATTAACAATTAACTTGCGAGTAACAGTAAAGTAATAAAAAATAATATATTTTAAATAGCTGTAAGTCTAGAATATACGTGAGTACGATTCTACTACTGATGCTATTCTGCATTTTGCGAAAATTTTGCCGTATAAAAGTTTAATTATCTTACGCCGCAAACTGGAAAGCATCATCCAATAAGCTAGCAATATCTAAATTGGATAATACCTAAAAATAAATATTTGTAGTCGCAAATAATAATTAACTGTAGAATTTTAATTTTTTTGCAAATATTCTACACAATTACGTCTAATTGTAATGGCTTGCACATGACTAAAATATATTAGCTAGAATTGAGTAATTACTTATAACGAAACTTAGTATTGTGATTGTAGACTATTAGCTATGTTTAGTAAGATGTACGGAAGCGCAACTTTCTATATTTATCTTAAGACGTATTTAGTAGTTCACTACTATGGACTGTAATGGTAGATTCTATGCTACAGTACAGATGACTATATATGGTAAGGTGTCATTAAGTTACTATTAAGGCTTGAAGTAAAAATAGAACTGTAATTCTTATATTAGGATATGCTTAGTTTCCCGTACTTTGCCTACTAAGAATAATATCTACGGAAATACTGTAGTTGTTTTTATATCCGATTAATGATGGTCCGCAGTAAAATATTGTTACTAATAATAATTTGACTAAGTGTAAATTATAGTAGAATGCTGCTATGCTGATTGTAGCTGCGAAGGCTACGGAGAGTATAAAAGTAGGAGACATTAGATTATCTTATTGTTCTTTCTAGAAGTCTTTCAGTAGTCGTATTCGGCTAGAATAGAGCTGTGTGTAGCTAGTCTTTGTATTAGATCTAATAAAGTTCTAATTTTCTACAATTTGGAATATTCGTGATCGAGTATTATCACATTACTTTATTAAATATCGTATCGTAAAGGCGATTCTCATCCATATATAAATTTATCTTAGAAACCCTTACGGAATGATCTATTTGTAAAGCAGTCGCTAGCGCATCCCAGTTGGATAAATCATAGTTTACACGATAAAAACCAATCTGATCAATATTAGCTTTAATCCAGGTATTATTCGGCCAAGATATTTGGAGATTGCCTAACAGAGTTGGACAGTATAACTATAACTGATGTATTTATTTTATTAGAAAAATTTATAAAATTCCTTAACCATATACCAGTAGACAAACGATTAACTAACAGTTGTACAGCTTAATTTTGATATTATTGTAATACTAACTGGTATTTTTGTAAAAATTCGCTTTCATTGTAGTTGTAGGGTTATTACTTGTTACATAAGTGATGGGAATATTCCATTTATAGCTAAAGAAAATATATTTACGTCAATAACATTAATTACCCATAAGATACCGTAGAACAACTAGATCACCCATGACAAATATAAAAACTTTAATTTACTCACCCACATGTTGATTTGTACGGAGATGTAGGATTATCAACTGAAGGGTTAGCATTCGTGTTGGACAAGTACCGAGCCTGATTGACTATTCCGCCATTAGTATTGCTTGAATCGCGTGTTACTGTGACCAATGGATAACCCATTTGATAGACCCAACAGTCGAAATAATTACTGACATTAAACTTGTTGATAGTCTAGCAACGGTTAATGATATTCAAATTGAATTTGTTATTCTTTCGTGTTACATAGTGAACGATTATAACTAGAAAGCGAAGAACTTCGTTACTTGTTAATATTTAGATTTGAAAAATCATCTAACCGTAGTCATAACAGCAAAAAGTTGCTCTGTAATAGCTGTTTTATAGCTGAACTTGGTTAAGTAATGCTAGATCAGATCAGAAATAAACAGAATGAGCATACAATTTCCGATAAGATTAATAATGAAATATCGAGATTTAATAACAGCTAATAATAAACGAATTTACATGAAATTATCTAGAAGATAGCAAAAGCTGCCATATTACAAACCTTTAAACTGGCTACGAAATCGTCGTTTCCCACATAATTATGTATCATACGAAAAATTGAACCACCCTTGCCAAAACAAAATGGAAAAGAATTACCATATTTTAGTCTGAAATTTTAATTTTATTCCTAAACACAAGGCGTTTTGCATTGGTAAGTAAATTTAATTATGAATAAAGATCTATTGTAAGAGTTTGGTGCAAGAAATTAGTTTTTTCTTTACTTTTTAACCATTGGCAAGGTAATTTAGTAAGACATTACCATTGAAAATATTCTAAATGAACTGTATGATAGCACAAGCCAACTTAATATTATCGGCAAAGTCTACGGAGAGATTGTACATTATATTCTCTTGTAAATACCTTTGAGTATGTTATTACATCAAAGAAAGGGCCATATTGAGCAGGAGGCACAAGGGGATGAGAAGCAGAAGAGTCAATAACAAGACCATTTCGTAGTTCATCAACAGTAAAGAATTCCATCTACACATAGATTATTAATCGTCAACACCAGAAAATTAAGATTTTATTTTATAAAATAACATTTTGTAGCAAAGATAGTTAAAATTATCCTTGGATATCTCAGAATAGACTAATCAATGATAACAAAAAATTCATTCTAACCAATTTCATAGATGGTAAGTAAGTATTAGCAGCGTAAGAGGACAAGAATGTAGCCATTCCTTCCTTGGTCCATAAATGATTCCAAAATGTCATTGTCACCAAATTACCAAACCACTAGATTTAAAAAAGCGTAAAACGAAAGAAAGATAAGCAACACTGAACGATTCTATCATGCATTTACATTACTAATAATTTTAAATTATTAAATTATTAGATGTGTATAACATAAACGTATTGTTATTACAAATATATACATCTAAAGATTACTAATATTGCGAAATAGATTTAATTAGAATAGTGTAATATTCAATTACCATATGAGCTATTTCGTTAGTAATGGTCGTTGCAATCGCTCTTTTGAAAGTTAACGTCGTCAAATAGTAATTATAAATTATAAATTGCTCCCGATAAAGACATAACCCCCAATTTTCCATACCAGTAAACGAAAATGCAGGAATAGCGACATGGTCTGTATTCGTTAAAAACATCCATTATCCCTATGCTTAACATATGTATAACTATCTCGAACACATGCTTGTTGATATTAATTCAATTCAACATTAGTATTAATATTTTAATCACTATCAGGATTTCTAAAAAGTCAATAATGGCTTGGATGCTAAATTATCTAGCAATTGCAAGATGATCTCTTTATAAAACTATTAAGTTAGGATAATCCAGCACCTTGTTTAGGCAAAGGGTATGGAATAGCTAGTAAATTTTCAAAGAATTCCGTCATATTTGTGGCAACTCCTAAGGCGAAGTAAGTATCGTTTTTGACCGATTCGCGAGCATATACCCTAATCTTTTAATGTTAAGAAAAGATGGCTATTAATTAAGGTGATAAATATACTCATTTTCGAAAAAGAACATCAAATTAGCTTGAAATTATACATTTATTCTTAATCTAATAGAAATGCAATCGTAATGAAGTTTTCTTACTCGAGTATTACGTGCAGTTCTGCCTTCTACAAAGTCAAAATTGTCAACGGTAAATGCCAGCAAATATGTCGACATAACCAGTGTTGCTGAAATTAAATAGTTAATGTATTAATTTAAGATAATGAAATCATTATTTTACGTGAATATTTCAGACGAGTAAATATGGTAAATGCCAGCAAATGTGTTGGTATGACCAAAGTTGCTTGAATGAAATCAATGGATCAGTTAAAATATTGCGAACTACATTAGGAAATATTCCTCTTGTATATCATTCTCCTAATTAAAGTAGGTAAGGTAGTGAAGGCCACTAAGATAAGATGATTTTTTCGTAAAATCAAAATAAATTGCAGCAAAAAATGATTCATGATTGTAATCTTCGTTAGAGTAAATATAGTAATTATTCGCAATGATATTAGCATATCAAAAGCTCTAAGAAGAATTCACTTATTTACCAATAGCAGAATAAATTACGGCAGAAAGATCATTTTAAATGGTTATTCCAGTTAAAAGTAGATCTAGTAACTGTAGCTAAAATATAAAAAGTATAGATTTGAAAGAGTTAATGTATTATATCACTTCTAAATAGCTTAAATGTGGTCAATAATATCTCATGCTGCTGTCGTTCTAGACTAATTCAAGTAACTATTTATAAGTAGCACATACTGCCAAACTGGTAGCGATTCTTATTGTTAGCCATAGCTTCCTTCTTCAGTAGAGGCATATTCCATCGTGTTGTATAATTATTGGGTATAATGATAGTTGCAGTAAATCTTGCTTTTAATGCTGGTTCATCAAAGCATGGCAAAACTTGCCTTGCATAGGAGGCCTCAAGTTGGCTAGCTATACCCCAGCTATCATGTGCGGTCACATATCATTCAAGACGCCCATAATATTTCAAATTAAAAATCAAGATAGAAATGGAATATATTGATTATAGCAGAATAAAATATCTGCTACAATTAGAATATCGATTGGATTAGAATTGGTAGTCAATCTATCGTATTAGGAATTGAAATTATTAGGATTCCAATCACTTACATGACTTCATGATCGAAAGCTCTTGTATACTGATATTTGTAAAGTCCAAAAAGACCGGAAGATATAGCTGCAACATAATTAAACTTGATATAATATACTCCAATAGCTAAATTCTCTCGTAATACCACGTAGTAATAACTATTCTTGGCATAAGTGCCATGATCAGCGACTACAAAATTTGTAGAATTTGTGTTGAAATTAGCATGGTTAGCCACTTGTGGCGCTGCCAACATGGTTAGCCCATCAGCATGGACAAGAATGATATTCGTCGTAGACGTAACATTAATTTCAATGACATTAATACCATTAATCTTGAATTGATTCATATCGAGATCAAGTTGGAATGTATAATTCAACGGTCGAACGGTATTTGGTAAGCGTGGATTACTTAACTGACTATATTTAGGTCCTGTTAGTGTTGTAGGTATCATGGTAGGAGTTGTATGCCTAACGGTAGAGGATATAGGTGTTGATTTGACTATAATTCGATGACTTATTAATCCTGTAATCAGGCCAACTGTAACGATAAGGATGACACAAACTGCAATAAAAGTAACCAAATTAACAAGACTGCAATATATGCCATTTTGTTTCTCAGCATGATCATTTTCATGATATGAAGGATGATTCTTTTCAGACATGATCAACTTCAACTACTTTCACGCACACCCCCCATCAGCAAGGAAGAATGACAATAATTTACGATATTAAGTTAACCAATTTATATATACCGAATTGATTCTATAACTAAGCCAGGCCAACAATGGCTTATGTCAACATGATCATGGAAATTATTAAACCGTTTGGTTAAAAATTGACATTATTCCAGGTTGCATAGTAGCAATTTTAATTTTTATTTGTCGTAAATTCAGCAGTGATCAAAGTAAACGCGATGAACAATACTTATTTTTAATATAAGTGTAGAGTTTTTCGTTATATAGTTTACGCAATCAAATAATCAATTATACTCTTAATAAGCATAATTAATGAACTGTTTGATCAGGTGTCTAGTCAATTCATATGTTACAAATTCAATCGGTCCGCCTTTAGAGCTACTATACTCGTATGAACACCTATTATGACTAGAACGCCTTAGGGCAAGTCCTACCGTTCATTCTTGCCACATATAAATCAAGATATCGGTCGATCAACGTTATAAATTTACTCTTCTAATTTATCATTGTCAGAATTGCCAATTTCTACTTTAATTATCACTTAAATTTATTCTCCTAACTTATAGTACATTGATTTTCAACGTAAATGGTGGATGTTGACTGATAAGTGTCCACTTATAAATCTATCTATTCTAGGATGTTGCTATTCTTTCAATTCACAACCAATACTGTTCACTTTAGCATGAATTGGAGCATAAGCTTTTAATAATTAATTTATCGAGAACTCCTGTATTAGTTGAGCCAATTATGAAGGACTTTTCAATTGCTCTTGAATTATATTTTAATCTGGCTAATTTTTAATTGCACAATTTATAACAAATCATTTCCATATTTTTCTGCGTTTGTAGACTATTAAATTTCAGTATCGGTAGATAAAATTGTCTATTAAGCTATTTATATCATGTAAAAACTTTCAATTAACGCTATGATTCTTATTTAATTAATCGCATGGGCAATTAACTTTTAGTTGATTTTTAAATGACAATAGGAAACTTACTGTAAAACGATATGTTTAATTCATTGTAAAGAAATCTTTTAGGTGTTAATAGTTTTTAACGATTGCTTTTGTGCCAATTTCATTTCAAAGTAATTGATACCGGTACCTGAATTATTTGAAGTTTGTGCACGAAAGAACTGATACAGCTAGTTATTTCCAATATTCTTAATTGCTATACTAGTAGATTATATATAATTTAGTAACAGTCATTTTATTATAGCTTTGTCTAACTGAAATGCACTACTCGACCGCTATTCTTCATTTATTTAAGTACATTTTTCCATTTGGGTAACGACACGTTCCGTCCTATTTAAACAGCTTCTCCATCAACTCTATACAGTTTTCATGCCGTCGTTACTGTTTTAAATAAAGTTCTATCTAATTAACATTTAACAAGCCCAGTTGAGAAAACACCTATTAGATAGAGCCCTTCTATAGGCTACTATAGGAGCAAGCAGCAGTAACATTGATAATTTAAGCATCAATGTGATATGTAAATACTCAATTTGCTATAGCTAATCAAGAGATCTCTCTAGTTTCTTACACTGAATGATCCTATTCTTTCCTTTCTTAAATCGAATTAAAAGTTTATTACTGTTGCTTAATTTATACTTAAAAAGCAGACACTAATCTACTATTCCAAATTTCCATTAGCTACGTAACAGAAAAGTAGTATTTCATTTATAGCATTACTTCCGTTCTAGCCTATGCTTTACAGATTATAATTAAGGTTCGCTAATATTTTATTAATTGCGAGTACATTTATTATTCTTCACTTTCGACATCACTAAAACTGATCTTACTTACGGCTAAATTGAATCTTTCACTTCTTACTTTATCACATGTCAAGCGAGGCTATAATATTACATAATTGTTGCTCTATTTAGTTTAATACCTTAAAAGAATAGAATACCGGTTATTTTTTCTCGATTCTCGAATCATTTTAAAGATTTCTATTATCGTTAGATCGATAGGTTGATGACTATTTGCGAATAATAAACAATTCATTTACTCGCTGAATGCGAAAGATTTTAAATTTCTATGCTAAGGCTTGCAGTCATGGCTTATGATGCATCATCAATATTTTACTACTATTATAACTTCAATATCGCCATACTATTTGCATTTGATAGCATCGGTTTTAAGATAATTAAGCTCAGTAGTTCATGTCTGACCGCTGTATTTTAAAGTTAACTCGTCGGCTAATTGATCGTATACTAATAAGCAATATTATAATAAGCAATCAATAAGTCCATCCTGGACATCCCTATAGCACTCCTAAAATTAGTTAGCAGCACCTCATTAAATTTAGTGAATCATCATTTTTTAGGATGGTATATTTCAATATAGTCAATTTTATAATCATTGAATAACTTCATGCTTTGATTCCATCTTATTGCTTATTAGATTGAATTTCTTTACAAAACTATAAATCATACGATCACTGTTAATCTTCAACTACAGCATCAGATATCCGATAGTGAAATAAAATCATCTGTTCATGTTAAAGGTAATTGATCTTAGTGATATAGTAGTGCTATTTTGAGGAAATGAGGGAGAAAAAGTAGCTAATACAGTAAGATAGTTAGTAATCTGATAGTGAGATAATTATCTACTCATGTTTAAAGCAATTAGCTTTGGCGCTATGTCTTGTGATATATTAGTGTTATTTTGAAGAAATAAAGAAGAATAAGAAACCAACACCCTGTATTTTTAGCTCTAAAAGATCATTTTATTCCTACAATCGATGGGGTAAAAATACAACAATTACCGACAACAACGATGAAATTGTGGTACAACCGAGTTTTCATCATTGCAAATAACCGAATCTAGCGAAAGAGGTACTACGGTTAACTAACATCTTATGGTCTAGGTTTGGAAATCATACCAAATAAAAAATGAGCTGAACTATTCTTAAACAATCCATTTGCTATTTTATCATGATCAATACTTGAATATTGCCGTGATTAAAAGTTAAACTAAAATAACATTACACCATGAAGTCTTAGTACCGATTTCAGCATATCATTGCTAGAATTGATTATTGTAGCTCGCCTTGACTATAGAGAAGACTGCAAATTGCATATTGGCAAAATATAATAGTTATGCGGTGCATAAGCTTAGATCAATACTGATGAAGTCGCCCAATAAGCTAACATAAAATATTTAAAATTATCAATATATTACCAAACACTCTATTTTCTACAGCATTTTTAAATGATGGCCCGCTTGATACTAAGTAAAACTTTTAATTTAATCTACCATTTATATTATTAGTGTTACTAGTGAAAATGATCGATTATTCACTGTTTCCTTTTTATTAATCACATTGCCATCTTAATTTTGTGAAAACCAAGTACTCATTTTTGACTCGAAATCAGTCAAGTATCGCATATTGTTTTGGATACGAGCAATGATGCCATTTTCTGTAGCTTTAGCGGCTAATGTTGTTTCCGGATAGGCAGCAATATATTTCCTGACCTAGAGATATTATAGGAAATGATTTGGAAACATAGAATTAGAGAAGGTTGCACCGATCGCTGAATGGCCTATATTATTCTTGTAGCATGACTGAATTAAAGAATTTTCGTCATAGATCGGCTTTATGTCAAATTAACATTGATTAGATCAATGATTCATATCAGAAAACTTACCTCGTCTAGCCTGAATTGATCATTAAAGTATTGGGTGACAATACTTAATAAAGTTCTTGTTGATCCATACCTGAATGGAGTCAAAAGAGAGCGTAAGTTATTAATGCCTTGATAACAAATTAGGATATATGATCGCATTGAATATAAACTTTAGTAACTTATTACCTTTGCTTGATGAAAGCTTGATTTTCACGGAAATAATCCCAAGCAAGATAGCGTCCAACAGGATTACGACTGACAAAGGTAAAGACAGTGAAAGTAGATGAGGCAGAAATCTTGGTTGGATCCATGGAATAATTCAAGAATCTGTAAAGAAATTAGTAAAAGGATTATTCTGCTATTCCTAGCCAAAGTGTTTTTACTAACTCATTTTTTTAGGGTATTAATCTCTACGAAACTGTGATAATTCTCACGACTCTTCTAATAGCTATAATGTAGGTTTATATTTCAATATTTTTGACGCTCCAAAACAAAGCTCATTAAGTGAATCAATAGTATCTTCAATCATTTGATACAAATCAAAACCATGCTACAACTCCTTCTCTAGAATAATATTGTACGCGAATATCATACATTTAGATTACGAATTGATCTAATATTACATTTAACAGAATGGTCGTAATTTCACTATGATCCTGAACTATTAGTAAATCTAATGTTACTGAATTTCGAAATAGAATGCCATCTCGAAAATACCATCATAAATGGATACTATAAATATTAATTAATCTTCATGAAATTGTGATGTAATGCTTGCTGTTCTTCTAATAGCTATAGCATAGATTTATATTTCAATATTCTTGATACTCTAAAACAACGCTAATTAAGCACATCAAAATATCCTCGGTCATTGACACAGATCAGTGCCATACTGCAACGCCATCTCAAGAATAATATTGTATACGAACATCATACGTTTGGATTCGAATTGATCCACTATTGCATTTATCAGAATGATCACAAATTTACTATGATCCTTAACTATTAGTAAATTTAATGTTGCTTAATGTCAAAATAGAATACATTCTCATAAATGCCATCGTGAAAGGATATTGTAAATTGATTAAAATTAGAACGGTTTAGATAGCAGGATTTGATTATTGACCTTCTCAAAATCCATGGTTGACGAGCATAGGATAAGGCATTTAAGATTCGTCCTCTATCAGTAATATCCAATGATTGTCTCATCTCATTATAGAGAGCATCCCATTCTGCAACACCACCATAGGCAATACCATATCTAAAGACGATGGTTCTGTATGTGGCTGGAACACTATACGATTAGAAGTAAACTGATTTAAAAATCACAGATCTCATCTTATAGGTGTATCTCTAATACATCTTACAAAGTAATCAAAGTATCAAATACTATTGATCTTCGGGTAAATTAGTGCATATGGGTATATTGCATATGTAATTAAAAAGAAATGAAAAGAAATAGAACTAACTTGTTAGCCACTTTATTCATCATGTATTTTGCTAATATAGCGCTAGCATTATTAATGCATGGAACATAACCAGCACCACAGGCAGTGTTCAAAACTGTGTATCGAGCGCTCCTAAATGAAGTGATAATAAATATTAATTGGGTTAATGCAAAAGAAGCTTGTTGGCAACGATGATTATATTAGTAATTTGACAACACTTGTAAAAGTTAACTAGGAATATCTGCTACATATCTCCTCCTTATTTTCATACTTACTTTTCCATGAAGCCTCCGGTATCCAAAAATTGGAGTCTATCGGCTGGAGGACCAGAGATCTTTAAATTATATTTCTGTTATAAAAAGTATCACAATAGAATATAACCATTAATCTTTTAACATTAGTAGATCATTACAATATCATATACATGTCTGGCATCATACAAAGTTAATACTAATGTCTGATATCTACAATTGATTACTCCTAACATCCTTCGTGAGTTAATGTAGCAGCGCCATTCTAATTCAGATTTCAGCCCAGCTTACAAGTGATCAACAATATAAGTCAATTAAATCTACATGTAACTATAACCATGGCAAACTATGTTCTCATAATTATACTACGTCCTGTAACTGAATTCTATCGCAAGCTTAATAAGTAAAAGCAATAAGCAGACTCATAATTTAAATAAATATCCGATAGCTAAGCTTATAAATTTATTGCTAATATCAATCACTTTTTATTCTATAGGAAAATATACTAACAATAAAATACATCTAACATTTTACTGCTATCACAATATTCATTGGAAAACCTACCACAAAATGTTGGAAAGACTGTCTGTTGGAAAGTCGTAACCGAAAGTTGAAAAAGTTATTGGAAACAACGGTCCATGGCAGATGGTCGACCTCATTTGACATATACTTGGTAAGACTTAAAGGTACAGTAATATCGAGGCGCTTAGTCCTAATAGAATCGGGTTGGAAGATACATAATGTTAGTAATTATGATATTTAAAGCGTACTCTTTAAGATTATGAAAATCGTGCATTTTCAAGGCTGTTGATAAGTTATACGTACAAAGCAAAAGTGAAAGCATCATCTAACAGATTAGCTCTGTCTGTATTCAGCAACACCTATAATTATTTTAGAAAGAGATACGATTACAGGAGATTAATATGCTAGGATATAATATTTTTCGATTTCGGGGGCATAAACGAAGCTGTCATTATACGAATATAATATTGGCCATTAAAATTTTAGTTTATTAATTACTGCACTTACATTTAGATTACTTTGCAAAGCAGTAGCTAGACGATTCCAGTTATCGATTGGATACATAACACGATAGAATCCCATTTGGTTAGCATTCAATTTGATCCAGCTATTTGCAGGCCAAGGAACAACAGCTTGAGCTATATAATCAAATACCAATGTTAGAAATGTTGATCTATGAACAGTTTACTTCCTCAATAGAACTGTTCAGTATATAGGCTTTACCATCATTCATTCCAAAGACAACTCGTCTGACATTAGATGATGCTTGATCATAATAGTTTACTGGGATTGTCCATTTGTATCTGTCAAGGGAAATAATTATCAATAATATGAATTAATTTTTATCATAAATAGATTTCAGATGCTTCATATCAAAAATCAATTAATATATTAGTGTTATCTATTTCTTCCTAATTGGAAATTCCTTATGAAATTAGATTGAGATCGCACAAACTCAAGAAGATTATAATTGCTTTTTAAATAATTTACTATATCCCTAGGATTAACTCTATGAAAATGTCCTACAATTTACAGATATAGCAGATAATTATTACTTACTGGTATGGTGACACATATGGAGATCCAGTTCCTTCCTGACTTGGATTTGCGTCCTTGTTATTAAGATATCTGTTATGAATCGATGCAAATGATTTTAGAAGAGGAAAATTTTTTAAATTTGAACTAAGCTATTATAAAATACTTTCAGTAAAGGCAGATTACTATAACCATAACAGAATTATTTTAACGGACAAGATTGCTTCAGGAATGATATCATCATATTAGTAAATCATATTCTTATCAACATTATAGAATATAGATAGTTCAAGAACTACACGTTACCTTTGTTGAGTCATAACACCTTGATTGTTCTGTGTATCTCGAGTTACATTAACCACTGGGTAACCCATCTGGTAAACCCATGGGCCCAAAAATTCGCTGATATTAAATGGATTTTGAGCAACAGCCTAAATTAATATTGAGTGAAACAGATATTGCATTAATCATCGTAGATATTGTATTATAGATGAAAGTTTTTATATTGATTTCATTGCTAGTGTTTATGAGCCATAAGTGTAGCAGCAACTTATGACTATCATCTTTATCTTTCATTTATAGACGCAAAATTACAATTAAAGTTATGCTCACTTACTTTAGTCAATGAGGCAAACAGTTGTACGGTATCGGCATTACTGTACGAGTAATCGTTCAAATAGCCCTAGTGAATAGAATAAAAATTGTTATCTTCCGTGAAACTATGTTACTTCACAACTAGCTTGCACACGCAAACTAAGCAACTGATTTATAGATTACAGAATATCTTTCCCAGCTAATTAAGTGTTTTAGGAACATTGAGCTTGTCGTCGCTATACCGATTATTCATCAAAATTCCTAATGCAACGTGGGATCATCCACATTTTTTAACAATGTACCGACAATCAAAGGGACAAATATCATTGCAAATAGGGAAAGTTAAGTAATGATTCTAGATTTTCGAAATCACTGCATTAATCAGTATTATTAGCCAAACTCCTTATTGAAAGTTTCCGTTGACCTTTCTACAAGCTTTTAACTGATACAATCGTAGCCACAGAAATAAATATTTTCACAGACTATTAAATTATCGTTATAAGATGACACCAAATCAGTCATCATCATTGTTATTAATTCCTTAAAATTCTCCGCAATATATCACCCTATTTCGTATTAATGTAATCGTAATAACAGCTAATCGTCAGGTAGTCTTGAAATGAAAATGATTTGCTATACAACAATGAATGAAATACCTTACTAAGAGAAGAGTGCGGTATTATAAATAATTATAGCTAATATACGTAATCTAAATTTGCATACCCTTAATCCGGTGAAAAAGTTATCATGACCAAGATAATCGCGGAACATACGTAAAACAGAACCTCCCTATAATTGTAATAAATGGAAGAGATTTTTTAAGCTAACAGATCGAAATAAGACGAATAGTATGATATTCCTTATTGCGCCTTTATCAATGAAATTTTAAAATTTAGCTTATAACACTTTATTATCGCTAGTAATACCTTCTGATAAGTGATTCTATCAAAGAACGGACCATATGCGGAAGGTGGAACAATTGGATGAGAGGTTGGAGAGGAATCAGTTGACAAACCGCTCTGTACGCTATCCAGAACAAATTGCTGCATCTAATAATAACGATTACAGATAGCAATAAATTAATCGTGGCCATTGATACAATTCTAGCCAATAAATGTGTGCAAATCTTATAGACTTACTAAGAACAGGCCTGGTTCATAAGGAGCAGCACCAAAATTCTGGAAAAAGTTGGCAAAGGCTTCATTTAACCACAAATGATTCCACCATTGTAAAGTAGCCAAGTTACCAAACCACTAAATGAATGATAGATTATCAATGTAAGGATATAGCCAAATAAATAAATTCAAAGTACATTTTGACAGGTCAGTTTTGGATGGACTTACCATATGAGCCAATTCGTGAGAAATGACGGTAACAATCGATTCTAGACCGTTGGAGTTAATGTAGTAGGGATCGTAGCTTAATAATTCCTCACGGTATAAAATAAGACCCCAATTTTCCATAGCACCGGCAGCAAAAACAGGAACTGCGACATGATCTATAGGGTTTTATCAATAATATAATGGAATAAGATTCGTCAAATTTTTGGGCAATTTTACTGCAGCTGTCTACATTAGTCGTAATATAGTAATTAAATTAAATTAAATTCTTGATAGAATCAAGGCCATTACCTTGTTTGCCCATTTGGTAATTTAGGCCAAAAAGACTCTCAAAATATTCTGTAATGTTAATAGCAGCTCCAAGGGCATAATTGCTATATTGTTTTATACCAGGACGAGAAAATACGCGAACCTACAGAAAAAGAATAAACTGTTATGTTTGAATTGAAAATTATGAAAGGACATGACTATAATATATATAATATATCATAAAGAGGATTCTATCTCAAATTAAATATCTATTTACCATTGTATTACGATTAGTTGTACCATTGACGTTAACGAAATCATCAACAGTAAATGCCATTAAGTATGTGGACATGACTGGAGTTTTGGCTAAATAATAGATATACGCATACAGTTAACAAAGCAGACTAAATTACCGTAAAGTAGAACGAAGTAATTTAGTTAGCCCAAAATCAGAAAATCTTTCATTTCAGGACTATCAAATGATTACGACAATTGATCATAATATGACTGTTATAGAACACTTACTAGAAAATTCAAAGCGCTTCTTATCGCCCATCATAGTTACACCAGTTCTCATGGTATTCCATAAGGCACTGTAGTTGCTGGGTACCGTGATATTAGCCTGGAAGGTTGCTTTCATTGCGGGTTCATCAAAGCATGGAAGAACTCTTCTTGCGTAGAAATCTTCTAATTGACTTGCTGCAGCCCATCTATCATGCAAATTATCAAGATATTATTATTTTTACAATTTATCTATATTGTAAGCGGTATAACAACAGGCTCATACAAATCGATTATTAAATAAGAATTACAAGTGTTACGGAGACATATTGTCTTGAATTTGGTGATATGATACAAAAACTCTTTCACTTTGTACATGACTAAGAGAATAACTAAGGAAAGGAAAAATTATCGAATCATTACATCACTGACAGTTCTACCAAGTAAATGTTTCAGACAACTTTCTAAAATTGGCCATAACTATTATTTTGGCGTTCACTGATAGCGCCTTTAAGCATCTTTACAATTTCAAGGATTTCATTCACCGTTTCTTGAAGTTGGCAATAATTTTAGTAAACATTAAAGATTTATGCCCCCAAATTTATGGTGATTTTATTCCATATCTCTTTTTATTATGTAGAAACTGTTGTTAGATATTGTAGTCTGTCTATAATTATATTTAATAACATTTTCTTTTGATAGTTAATTGCAGTAATTAAAATTTTGATTTTTCTTGTGTATGTAGCTGAACTCAACTACGATATAACGGCTCTTTTAGTTTCAATATCGGTACTTTTTAGTATTTTGTGTACCAAAACATTGACGGATTAGAAACACTTTTTCCTAGGCACTGATAAACTGCGAGTAATTTCATCAATATCTATATTTTATACTAGGACAGCTCGAAAATCAATCTTCAAGAACTGCTAGCCACTATATATCGAATTTTATGTTTTTGATCATTTTCCTTATAAAAGTAAGGTTATTTTATTCTTGACAACATTAAAAAACTGTGACAATGTCACGTTTATCCATATCGATTGCATATCGTGCTGATATTAAATTTGCCCTTTAGCTATAATAAGTATTCAATGATGTGTGTATTGATCAAATCATCATGATACGTATAACCTGAAGGAACTATGTATGTTTATTTTAGGAAATCATCCACGCACTATCAGTAGCAACATTTGAACAGTGAGCGTAAATTTGTTTGCATAAAGGTAGACGTAGAAAAGTTAAATTATGGAATAATGACATTGCGATCCCACCCAAAAGCAAGTTGTTTAACTTATTACATGTGATGTCAAACCCGCTAAGGAAGGTAGTTAATACTACCAGTTTTACTATCATTTCAATACATATTAACATCAATACCGGCAAGTTAGGGTCGATAAATATCAGGAAAAGTATAGATAGTTATAGCTTTCTTTTTTCTTAAGATATTACACATCTCAATTTCAAATTGAGATATTTTTATTTTTTTCATTTACGGGAAATGATCGTCGTAGGTTCTTTGCTATTTTGCCCCTTTTATTTTTTCATCTCAATTATAAGGGTAATCATAGTGTTTCTATTAACGGAAATAAGACTAGGAAATAAGTATAGGTCACCGTTTAGTAAACTTAGTTTACAATAGAAGGCGTGGAAATTATAGCTCTTAACGTTGGTTGAAAATAAAACGTTTTGCACAAATAATGTGGTCATACGAACATTGAATCATCCGATATTAATGACAATGCGATAAACTGTAACGGTCAATACAATAATTTGATATAAGAAAAATATTAATATAATAAAGATATCACAGAGACTTCATGTACCAATCACTATTATCATGCTAATAAAGATAACGGTCAACAGTGATCGATCTAGTTATTATATCCCATTACTTCAAAAGCATTCCTTCGTCCAATTTAATTCGTAAAGTTTAATATTAACAATTAGCAAGATATTTGAGATCGTATGTAAATCCAATGGAAATTTTATATTACATAATAATTTCTGTAAGCAAGCATTCTATATACTTCCGTAACTTAATAATCTCTTTCCTATATTCCAGGGCAGTCGGATATGATATCTAAATACGTGGGTATACTGTAATGTAAAAGTATATGCACGTACTGAAGCGCATTTATCTGTCCATAGGCTATTTTTTCCCAAACTATTATATCGCGGTGTACAAAGAGGTTTTAAAGATAATAAGACAAGGAGTATCCTCGAGTCGCCCTGACGTCAGCGATGTTAGCTATTAATCGAAGTTATGGTAAATGTTACCGTAATATTTTGAAAACTTTTTTAAGGAATGCTAATTTTATCATGTGACTAATTATGTAGCACTAGTAGATAATGACGATGCTAAGCTAGTCACTATCATATCGGAATACTATTGCATTAATTTATAATTTATAATAGCCAATTTTTAGCTTAATACTACACTGTTTGCAAAAAATAGTTAACAGATACTTCAACTTAAAACTTTAAACTAGCATAGCCATTTCAATCGTGGTATGCTAAGATAAGAGAGGGGCATGAACATGCGTTATCGAGAATTTTTAGTCAAACTATTTTGATATCATAAATATCTGTTGAAGTGATTGGAACAGTGGGATATAAATATGATAAAAATTATGCAATCTTCTTCAGTTCTCGTATCATCCAAAATTACTTCAATACTTTCCAATTTGATTTTTCGATAGTATAATTTATCCGTAACAGTTGCTGTTTTAAAAGGTAATCTAAAATACTAACTTATTCCATTCACTGACCCTACTATAAGGGCATACTCGTACATGTATGCATTTATTCCTTGCTAACTTTTTTGCCTAGCCATAGCAGTTACGACGCTCCTTAATCTCTATTATTCTGTAAAAGACCTGTGATAACAATAGTTTTTTCATTCTATATTTGTAAAGTAGCTACCATGATTTGACATGCAGTATTCATCAATCACCTATCAAGAACTAGATTTGCCTATATTAAAATTCATAATTTGTGACCAGATTTTACATGCATCGATACGCGCCTTATCTAGCGTTGCTAAAAAATTTTCTATCAATAGCTAAAGATGATATTATTCAAGACTGTCATTTTCACTATAAATCAAATCAGTAGGGAGCTTAAATGATATTGTGTGCTGGTATGATCACTTTACCGTCACAAATTAGCATCAATAAAGTGTTTACAAGTTAATAGTAGGGGGGTCTGTAGAGTAATCTTCGTAGCAAGAATTGTTATATTCTCTCCTGTAGGATATTATGTTTCCTAGCTAGTTTAACTCCCTCTCCATTTGTTCTTATAATTGAGTAAATTATCTCTTAAAATATAGCTTATAGTAGTGGTTGATTTGAATCATTATCGTTTTAGTTTTTATACTTACACAGTTGCACGATCCGAAGCTCTAGTGTACTGATACTTGTAAAATCCACTACGATCGCTAGATAATTTTGCGTTATAGGTATACCGAACATAATATACGCCACCAGCCTGCAGGTTACTCTGAAGGACGGTGTAGTAATAGTTGTTTTTGGCGTAGCTGCCTTGATCAATAACATTCTGCAATCCAGTACTAAAGTAGCGATCGGTACTAACTTGTGGAGTCCCTGTCACAGTAATACCATCGATGTGGACGACAATTATGTTGGTTGGATTAACAACAGTAAAGTTGATAACATTGATGCCAGTATATGATAAAGTAGTCATATCGACGTCTAACTCAAAATAATATTCGGATGGTTTAATATCTGTGGGTAAACGAGCTTTAGCCAAAGCAGGATATTTTGGCGGTGCTGGGGTTGTCGGCTTAACAGTTGGGCCTTTGGTAGTGCTAGCTACGGTTGCTTTTGTCGTAGCGGCGGCTTTAGTGGTAGCCATCGTTGTTGCAACAGTGGTTCCACCTGTTGATGCTTGACTACCGCTTCCTGCATTGCCAGTTAATCCTGCAATCAAGCCAACTGCAACAGTAATTGCGATAACAACAACTACCGCAATAGCCAATTGAGTATAGCTGACGAAGAAGCCTTTCTGCTCTCCATTACCCTTGTATTGAACATCTGGAACTTGTTTTTCCGACATGTTGTTTTGCGATCGTTACTACTACCTCCTCAGGTACAATCCGCTCGTGGTAGCAAACGATGCTTTATGGCAGGTTAATCGCCACAAGATCAACCTTTACCTATTTTATGTGTATCTTGTATCAATCTTTTGACATCATTTACATAACATTAGTTCCACGCCCAGAAATCGTTTGATTATGCAATAAAATCATCCGATAATTATTCAAAGTTAATTAATATCGTAAGACTCTTATTGCATCCGATTGTTACTATCTTGCCGTTATAATCATTGCACGACCACATTGAGTCGACGATAATCAAAGGAAAATAGAACCCTTCTAGGCAATGGAAACGCCGAGTATAATATATAAACCGCTATATTGTATAACCAAGACAATACTGATAACTATTGGTAAATTATCAGACTTAAAATCTATTTCAGCACTTCTGTAATTGATGTAGCCGCCAATAAAAAATGTACTTGTAATAAATCCTTACAATAAAAAGTTTTAATCAAATATGCGTAACCTTAAGTCTATAGTAGGATTACTTGGTCAATCAATATCATTATATGGAATAGCATATAATTTATATCATATATAAAAGGTAACATCCATGACTCCAAACTGATAAGCGCAAGCATATTGCCAATATATGATATAAATAATAGACCAAAGTAATAATTACCTATTTGTATCAGTTTATAAATCAATTAATGATCTTACCAAGTATATTACAATAAGATGCCTTTTTCGGCGTTCCATTGAATGCTTTCTATAATCATGGTACGTGATAAAATGTTGAAAGTAATCATTATAAAATCAGTTATGCAATAAAACTGCCAATAAATGACTGAACAGTACCATTGTCGTGAATTAGTAGCTTGAATAGCACTATAACTATTCTGCTATTACAATAATTTCTAAGAAAGCCCACTCGCTAAGTTGCTCCCACTTACAGGTCATATGATATCTTCCCTCTAGCTATATTTTTCTTTCGCACTCACCTTTTCATCCCTTTCGCAACATCACCTAGCACAATCTATAGCGTACATAGGCGTAGGCTATTTACAACAAACGTATTAATGCCTGGCAAAATTCAATAAGACATTATTGCAAGTAAACTCGTTAGTCAGAGTAAAATTAACGTTACTACATGATTAAATAAAAACTATAAAGTACAAACCCGGAAATTGGCCACTCTAAGATAGATGAATGAATCAGAAGCAAAGATTAGCCTAATTATCACTATTGCAAATCCTATTTAGTATATGTCGTTTTTCTACAACCATGATTAATTAAAACGCAAAGATATAGAAATACCTAAATAAGTTATCAACTATGCTGCATTTCACCCGCCCATAAATCATATCATATCATCCCTTAGGCTACACGTATAGGTTAAACTTATTTTACATTCATCTTATTCACGTTATGCTGTATTAGCACAATTAGATTCCTAAGGAAATTTTCGAAGGACTTTAATTCAAGTAAAATGCTGAGTTACAATTTAATAAGCATATTTATTTTAAATTTTTCTTTACTTAACTGACAGAGAAATGCTTCATAATACAAAAGCTATTCTGGCCTGTTTTATTCTGGACACTGATTACAGCTTAAACGTATAGTATGCATTTGAAATGGTTTAAAATATTTAAATTTTAATAATAATATAAGCCTTCTATTAGGCTTATATAAGAGGAAATGATTGGATATAATTTGCGTATTAGGATCCCATAATTACTGCGGTATAATTTATTATTACTATTATATGCCACCATTTGCCGATCAATTCAGTAAATTATTACGTTCACTGAAAAAGGCATAACGATACAAACTTCTATTTAAATTCTATAATTACTGAGCCTTTAAAGTCATAGTGTGTTATGCATATCATTGCTTATCATTCAAATGCACAAAACAATATTTACAAATTCAATTTTACCAGGATGAAGTACAAAAACTGTAATTTACAATACGCGTATATGAAAGTCATTAAAGCTATGGCCAAGTACACCTTTTGAACGCCTTAAACTACTGCAGATATGAAAGATTGGCCATCTCTGTATCGCTTTCAGTTATATTACAACAACTTTCTATATTTCTCATTAAAATGAAAATTGTACTACTCTGGACTTGGTATGGGTTCAGTATTAATTAATATACATCAAATCTTGTAGTGAAATTTTATTTTGAGTAATCAAATACTTCAAAGAATCCCTTAAATTTTATTACAGAAGTGACAAAGTTTAAAAAGTGACTTTGGTCAACTTGTCCTGCCATCATAGTTCAACAAAAAGCATAAAATTATCACTGAAGTGAGAGACTTATTCAAAACATATCTATCTTATCTAACACGAGTATCTTACTTCTTCTATTAGTTTATTCATTTTCTAACGAAATATGCGTATAATCGAATTTGAAAACAGGTTTGAACTGCTTTTTAAAATCTGTATCCTATTAAATGTAAACGCTTAAACACCTTAAATAGGCGATTGTTGAGTAATGTATGATTCATCTCAAATTCTAATCCAAGAAACTGTTTATATCGACCATTGATAATATTAATGGCATGTCTTACAATAAAAATTTTATAGTACGGAAATCAATATAAATGACAAACATTTTAACGTTAAGAACTCTCATGATGATGGAATAGTAATTTAGTAATTTAATGTACTTAGGAATGGTAGTTCTATGAACTAATTTTAATGTGAACATTTGCAAGTACACTGTAGGGCAGTACTGTACAGTAGTTTCACAGATATGATATTTTCATTATTTTCTATTTATAGTCTGCTATACGACCTTATCAGTTAGCAGTTCGATAGCTACATGCGTATATATACTTTTTAGTCTTAAAATAAACATTAGAGGATCCTACAAGAATAAAATGTAGTCAACGATCAGATTATAAATAATCTTTATCCAATTGTTACATTTAGAGCACGGTCTTTAGCTTGATTTCTTTGCACTGCAATTGATACTACATTGTTACCTAGATAAAAATCTGAAATAACTATGTTGATACTTTTATGCAGCCAATCGTTCTCTAACCAAGTATTTAGATTTGAATTCATAGTATTGGCTAAATGTTGAACGCTAAAAGGTATTATTGACTCTGATAGAGGCGTTAGAATTCCCTGTAGAACCCATAGACTGGTATGATTACGATCAACTTCTTGATCAAGTTTCTTCTTAGCATCTTGAACATGATCTACATTGGGCCATACTGATCGAATGGCTGGCCACAATTTCTTATTGTTTCGATTCTTTAATGATTGACTTTTACCATCATAAGCTACAATAATACGCTTATTTTGATCCCACATTTTGCCAATAATAACATCTTGTGTGAAACTTATGGGAGCCATATCATTGCCAATATGCTTCATGATTACTTCAATTAATTCATCATGAATATTCGCATTGAAATAATAAAAGTGATTAAAATCTAGTATTATAATTTCTTGATATTTAGAGACAAAGGTCTTTACTGATTGCAGAAAATTTGGTACACTAGTAGTAGTTAGCCACGTATTATGTACGAAGCGAAATTTATCCTTACTGCCTTTCTTATATTCTGTGCGTAAATCAAAATAGCGTATTCCATCTAAAAGTTGATTCTCGAACGTTTCTGATTGGGTTTGCGTCCATGAATCCGCTAAAGAAAATACCATATCATAACAAGCAGAATCATGGGTTCCAGGAAGGATTAGATCTCTTAGTTTTACTTTACTAATGGAGTTCTTTAAATCACTCATCCAGTGGCTATGATTGGGATATTTCATAGACTCTTTAATAACATATTTTTTGGCATGATAATCATAACTAATGTAGGCGGCAAAATAATGATGCTGGCGATCAAATTGAACACCTGTATTACAGAATCCAGTTTTGTAATCACTTACCCAACACCACTGATTTGCAATGTAACCACTATCATTCTTAGGATCATGATTATAAATAGCAACATAATCCCACTTGTCCACATCATGAGGATGATACCAGTTTAAATTAAACGTTAAACTTAAGTCAATTCCAATGTCTAATGTGTGCTGACCAGAAGCTGTCAAGAAAGGATAATGATTAGTATAGTTCTGGCTGTCCTGTAATTGTATAACACTTTCTTTGATGTTAACATCTTGAGGACTAATTCTAGGATGAGGCTGAGCTGCATAACCAGAGTCATCTTGCATGGCAGGCAAGTTGGTCAGATTATTATAAATCCATATGACTTTCACAGGAGTAAAACCAAATCCTTGCAAACTTGCAGGATTGCGTTTATAGGTATAGTAGACTACATAGTAATATAAATTTTGCCTATATACAACATCAGTTACAATGGTATTATTTCTAGCGTACTTGATCCAATAGTACTGACGTGGTAAATGATTAAAAGGTGATTTTGGAATCTTATTAAATACTGCTATAAAATCGAATTCCCCGGGCTGCCAAGAAGTATCCCATTGGATGATAAGAAAACTTTGATTATACGGACTTCCCCACTTTTGCTTGGCAACTTTCAAATTTAATTTTTCACATTGACGATGCATTCGATTATTCCTTTGGGTGTTAATACCTGATTTCTGAATTTCTTGACTAACAGATAAAGGATCCATTTTATAACTGACCTAGAGTATAATGTTTCAAATAGCATCTTTAACTAATCGATAAGTCAATGCGAATCGAAGCTTTGAAATGAGTGTACTAATATATACAATTTTAATTGTTTTAAATATTCAGATAGTGGTGGTTGGTATACTTACTATTTTGCGCAATAGCTCGTTCGTAATGATGCTTTGACCATCTGTTAATAAATTGGCAGCACTCTGTAAAACCATGTACAGGCGTGATGACATAAAATTGAATGCTAAATCAAAAGGAATGGAAGAATAGTTTATTAGCCGTATGCAGCTAGATTGCAACAAATGATCATAACGCCACAATAATCATATACTGCTCTGGATTTATTAACTATAGCATAATCTTATGTTGCACATCTATATTAACATCATTATTGTTACAATGAACATAAAAAATTGTCCAAGTATAATACATTGCTGACTACTGTACTGTACTTGAAAGGCATTTATCTTTTAGAATATACAGTCATAATAGAAACAATATCTTAAACTTTAGTCTTACTTACCTCCAAAGGTATAGGAGATCTTGTTTGAACTTACAGATGCTTTTCGAGCATATTGTGTATTCCATCTGAGCTGGTAATCCTTATGAGCTACGATAACGGCTTTAAAATTGATCTTGAATAGCTTTTCGTTTAAATACGGTAAGACTTTCAGGGAGGATAACATTCCGCTTCGACTACGTTTAGTTTAAAGGAAGAAAATAAATGAGCCAATTCGATCAAAAAATCAGCGAAAGCTATCAATCGCTGCAATATCAATACTATGTGATTTATTGCAGTTAGTACAATATCTCAAACGCCCCTTTAAAGAAAGTTATAACACACTAGAAGTAATTAAAAAACTCATTAAGGAAACATTAGTGGTCCTTGTACTGTTTCTGTCATACGTATAAGTTCATTAACAAGAATAAGTCAATGGCAGGTGTCTATCTTGTAGGCATATTTTAGGCTTTAAATTGGAAGAATAAAAATTTTGAAGATGGAACGCTATTTCATCAACATAGGTAAATGTCTATTTGTAGTCATAGCTTAGGATATAATTGAACTTCATCAGCAGTTGCTGGTGAACTAAATTTAGCGATTACAATCTGTCTTTTAGACTAAGGGATAACTTTGACAAGTCTTTGCCTTATCATGTGATGGGAAAGTATACAACCTATGAAAGTACTGGATGGGGAGCCTTGACTAGCGATTAACAATTCATTTTCTACAGTATTATGGCAAGGGTAGCATTTCATTTAAGGAAAGTATTCCTATGATTCTTGTAATAATCATATGTGTAATTAATCAGATTAGAAACTTGTCGCTCAAATTTTTGACACTAAACGACATTTTTTGTATACTACTCCTAATTAGGTACTAAGAATCAATTTATGATGCTATCCAATCTTTCATTACAGTCCAATGTGACTCGTCTAGTAGCTCTTGTTGCTTCATAGGATAGAATCGACTGTCACCATCTTATTACCGTGTCTATTGATGTTCATTAGAAGTAGTGCATTCCAAAATCATTACATGATCTACTTACGAATTCTTTTCGTCTTTACAACATCTAAGAAATTTTGAAGCTATTTGAGAAGTAAGATTGAAGCGAATATAATAATGACCGATTGCTAGATTTTTATCGAGGACGAGAGAGTAACGGCTGGCATTTTGAGTTGATCTTCTGCTAGCGTTACGAAGACGATACTGTATTAAAGTCTGATGAAAGTCCAAGCTACGAGTAATTTGAGGTTTTGACTTCATGTCGATACCATTACCATGAAGAATAATAGTATTTGTTGGAGATAGAACAGCAATACGTATAATAAACATTAAATTATATTGAAATTGGTTGATATCCATGCTCAAGTTGACATAATATTCCTTGGCTTTGATATTAGGCAGGAAATGGGAGCCAGGTAAATCATCCCTTGGATTATCAGTCGACATGATCGATGATCTTGTTGTTTCGACTGTTCTATTTCCCTTATAACCAAATGTCATGGTTGGTCTGATCATTTCTGATTGCAACCATAGTTTCATTACCAATATCATCAACAAAACCCCAAGTGTGATCTTGCTGAATGTTGTCATAACCTCTCTACGTCTCCGCCTTTTTATACGATCATCTAGTACTAAAGGAATAGCATCATCCATCCTCTCAACCATATCAGTCTTCAATGACGATCAGAAATGAATGAAAAAGCGAGAGAGGATGAAAATGCCAATGGAAAATTCTCTTCAAGTGGTTTACCTGCAGTTCTTTAATGGTGCTAAGTTCGCTGGCCGTCGAATCCTCTCCTACTGAAGAAGAAAGTCAATACGTCATGGCAAAGGCTTATAGCAGCCTGATACGCTGTTGTGGAACTAGTGGAACAGCTATTGACGGTATCAGGTAGGAGCTAGCGCTTACTGCGTTGTATAGGACACCGAGTTCAAGTTGGTTAAGGGGAAAGTGCAAGTGAAGAATTCCTATACTACAGTATCCTGAATAGGTTGAAGAGCTGTGATAAAGTGCCTTCAAAATAATAAAACAACTACTATAATGGCTTATAAGCTTTCTTACATCCATTAGAATTACCAAGGACAATTTAGCTGCTATCAGACGACTTCAATTATTACAACAAAATTCATATAGACAACTCGCTATCCACCTCCGTTCGCTACGAATGGAAAGAGCCATCAACAAGTGCTATCGCGTCGGAAGCGCCTTCAACAACTACAATTTCTTGTAAGCTCTATTAAATCAATTTGATCCATCTTACAACTGTCAAGGACTATCTAGCTGCAATCCGACGACCTCAAGTATTACAACAAAACTCATATAGACAACTCGCTATCCACCTCCGTTCGCTATAAATGGAAAGAACCACCAATAAGTGATATTGCATCGGAAGCGTCTTCAAAATAATAATAATCAATAACTACAATTTCTTGTAAGCTCTATTAAATCAATTTGATCCATCTTACAACTGCCAAGGACTATCTAGCTGCAATCAGACTATCTAAATTATGATGATAACATTGATATATGTTACGTCTAAAGCCTCAATATCCCCATAGACTATTACGAGCAATAGCCTGCCAAAGTCCGAATTAGGAGTACACATAGTAGTACAGTTGAAGAGCGACTATTTGCTAAAGAGAAAGAAAACAAACTTGATGTGCAACTAGCTGTCCACTTCCATTCGTTATAAGCGGAAAGAGTTATCAATAACTGCTATCGTATCGAAAGTGTCTTCAAAATAATAAATCAACAATTACACTTTCTTGTAAGCTTTACGGTATCAATTACATTTGCTCATAGCTAGAAAAGATCATGTCCAGCCCAACTTGTTCTCATAGAAATCTCACACTGTCTTACCGTTGCCGTATAGAGAAATTCTCTTAATTGATAAACTATTTTAAATCCTATTTTATTATAATGTGCGGTGAGCTATACAGCTCCAGGTTGGACCTTCTCAAGTGTAATATCAATTATATAACGTAATTCTAGGTCAATAACCATAGCAACGATGATCATTAAATTGCCAGACTGGCTAGTAAGTCTACCAAGATCAGACGATAGCGTAGTGTAGACTTAGTGCAGACCACCTATAACTCAAATTCTATCATTTATTTCCGTTATTTCCGAAGAATATAATACATCGTAATGATATACAATAAACTATTTATCTTCAAGAATATCCACAACATTACATTAGTATACTAGAACGAATAGCACATCTAACGAACTAATCGACAATATACTTCAGAGGAAAACATTCTGCTACGATTTGTAAATATACAAAAGGCTCCAGAATGAGATACTTATACAAGTATATGAAAAGGATTCTGTTATAGAAATCGATGGTGCACTACGGGTTTATAACAAGTAAAAATGAAGCAAATTGCAATCCAATAGAAAAATTTTACATTTATATTATGTTATTTTAACGTACTATACTTTACTAGCAATTAATTCATTTACATCTACTTCTCTATGAACCTGTTGATAAAATGATTCACTACGTATTTATTGCATTCTGCGCAAACCATGTGGAAAGCGTACTTTCACACCGATGCAAATACTGCATATTAGATTTAATTCTTTGAATAATAGATGCTTCCGTAGATTTTGCGCTCCCTGAATTTTCTGGGAACATTTTAAAGTAATTCATCACCTATCATATGATAAATTGGGTTAATAAAATTAAAAGTTATACTAAACTGGAACAGCTTCATACTAAACTAAAAATGCCATTGATGTAATAGTCAGATAACCCATTAACAATTAGTTTTTGCAATCCTTCTACCACAATCTATAGACATTATTCTCATATATACTGATAATAAATTCTAACAATAAATGCTTGTTAAGCAGTTTCTATCGATTCGTAATTTCTATTTGGCTGTAATAGTGAACAACAGTGTCATAATAATGAAGGAAATAATTTATCATTCTATCTAATAAAGATCTGGGTATATTATTGAAAGAATGGCGAATATAAAGCATTAATTTCTAGGCAAATCGAGAGTGGTATGTCAAAACATACCAGTAGGTCTTGCTAACTATGTTAATCTCATTCGTTACTACAGTTTGTATCTATCGTCATACTTACAACATTTAAAGTTGAAAAGCATAAGCTATTTATACGTGTATAATAATAATTTCTTTAAATTGTTGTATACCTGATTCAGCAGAAGTGGAGTGTCATAGTTTTGAGTAATAATGCGGACAATTGATCTTGTTGTCTTAAATCTACGTATTGGTTACGATATAAATGCAATAAAATTTTCAAATATCTATTTGCCCATCATACTTTTATTATGCAAAGTACAACAGTAATTACGAGAAGTATTCCAATCTGCACATATCCAGTCAAAGCTACTTACTTCTGCATCAAGAAGTTTTGATGGTCGCGCAGAAATTCCCAGGTAAAATACCTTCCTACCGTATTGCGATTAACATTAAGTAGAACAGTTTGCATGGAACTTGACGGAATTTTAGTTGGATCAACAGTATAATTTAAGAACCTATAATAATAGCACGGATGTTACCAACCATTCATGAATTATATGTTTACTTAACATAATTCTTCAAAAATTACTAGGTCTAAACTTTGTATTTCTCATAAAATCATTCTACATTTAGTCATACCTTCTTATAAGCCAAGGTATTTTTGTGGCTGATAATGCCCTTAACATAGTTCGTCTATCGGCAATATTTAGCGATTGTTTGTATTGCTTAAATAGGAAATTCCATTCCGTAGCACCACCATTTTCAATACCATACTTAAATACAATTCCTCTAATTGTGCCTTTGATACTACGATAAAAGTAGAGAATCATATAAGAAGTTCGGTCTCAGTTCAGTTGCATCATTAATGAAGGAAAATATAAACCATCGAGTTAATTTGTAATCTTCGAATCTAAGCATATTTACGTACTTATTGGCTGTAGGATTTTGCATATATTTCTTGAAGATGGCTGTGGCATTAGCAATACATGGCTTATAACCTGTACTACAAGCCATCTCTAACACAGTTGCTCGAGCTTCCCTAAAATTAAGATCATACGAATGATAATGAGATATCATGATTTTCCTGCTAAAAGAATCTCATATCAAGTTTGTATTGCCACTATATCAACTGAAATTACATACAAAATTTAGGCTGTTACTAAGCTTTATAGGATATGTTATAATTATAAAACGCTAAGTAAGATTAAAGTATAGGAATTCATCATTTACTCCTTTAGGTATTACACTATTGAAAGAAATACTAGTTTCAATATAATCATAATAATCTATTGATTTTCTTTTATATTGTAAATAAATAATAAACAGAAAGATTAGTCTATTAAAATTTACCCCGTGTACCTCTATGAACTAATGCTGAAGTAGTTAATATAATGGTTACAAAATCTTCGGTCTCTTTATAAGTAGAAATATCTAATGCGCCATATTATGAACTACCGTACTTGCTAAAATACTGGTATATTATATGTATGTTAATTTCTTCATAGCACAGTAAACTTCCAGTGCCTTTATAGTAAGAAAACCGTGTAAATTTAACTTTAAAAATTCGTTAGTTAGTCTTTTCTAAGTTTCTTACAGACATTAAAGTTCAATATAATCATGCTAAGCCTTCCAATGTCGTTATGAATAAAAATATTCCACTAAATTGTCTTATTGTTAATACGTCATTTTTCACCTACTTGTATATCCAGTTTCCGTTATCAGAAAATCCAAACCGATCGGCCTGTACAGCAGCTATTTTCTGAAAGTATTTCTAGGCAATTCAATAATATGAAATGTTATAAATCACCTACTGTAATAAATAAAAATTTTAAATACACCACTCTATAAAGTTTGAGCATAACAGCTAGGTGATTGTAGGGACTGCTTCTGAACGATACAATATGCCCAGCGAAAAAAATAAAGGTGTAGACTCATTTTAATCCGATACGGGTATTTATCCTAAAGTAGCTCTACTTACTGAGAAATATTGAAAGGATCCTCTATTTGATAGGCGTTGAAACATTGCAGAATAGTAAAGGCTAGTAACACCCCAGGGTAATTGATTTGTCTCTTTAAATAAATACTTGGTTAGGTTTAAAGGTATCATGTAGTTAATACGATAAGTCCTGAAATAATCCAATATACAAAACAAATTATCAACTATACATAAAACTTTCAAAGTATTTTGTGTCCTCATTACTGTTACGTAAAATGTAAAAATTACTTTTAATTTATTCTATCGATCTTACTGTGCAAGTTGAAAAGCATCATCCAACATATTGGCAATATCAGTTTCGGAAAATTGCTAAATATAATCAAAATTGAAAGTAATTACACCTATACTATTTATCACCGTATCTAGAATATTCTACTAAAGTTTTCAGTACAGATAGCAACCACTACAACTGACAACGTATTTGCATACAGTTTTATCCGTTTGTAATGCCATAGCCAAAGCTTGCCAATTTTCTGTAGGGTAGTTGACGCGATAGAAACCAATTTCGTCGGTATTTAATTTTATCCATGTATTTGCTGGCCAACCAATCTGAACAGAGGCTAGCAAGTAAGAATCAATAGCATTAACATAGCAGGAAAAAATCGGTGATATTTAGTAACTTTTAAACTTACAGTATTCACGGTAAGATATTTTGTAGCTGATATTACTAAAGAGTTATTAACAATTTCGGTAGCTTACAACAAATCTTATACTCGTGCAAATTCATGACGTAATTTCGCTAGCTAATTATTAAATATTAATAATTCTAATAGAATACAACAAATCTATACGCTAGATACTCGGTAATTTTAACTTTTAGAGTCTTTATAGCAGAAATATTTTAACGTAATTTGTAATAATCCATTACCAGTTCTCATGACAGTCAAAACTTAATAAATTTATTCTTCTAATGAACTCTTAATCTGGCTTTTTCGTATTACTAAATATGAGTAGCTTTTATGGAGTATTACTTATTTATAAATTATTCGCATATTACGTTCATAGAGAATTTATACCATTTTTCTATTTATCTAGTAGGCTATCAGACCTGTACATATCTTTGTTGTGAGCCTTTGCAGTAATTTGTTTCGCATAATAAATATTATTACTCCATGGGTTATTACCTGAAGTCCTATCAAACACCAGGAGTTTAGTAGTTTTATCTCCTGAATTGTAGTATCGAATAGGAATAGTCCATTTGTAGCTATAGAGGTAAGAATGAGTCAAATTTTTGTGAAATAATTACATATGTATATAACAGTATTACGGTGTACGCTATCATAAAATCCACTACTAAAGCTAGAGTAGGAAGTTGATTCAAGTTATTAATCAATCTTTCTTAAATATGGCATGCGCGTCATCTTTTTGGCTTAGTTTTACCAATACTACTGCATTTTAAATCTATTAAACAGCTTTATAAAGCTTAATAGTGCCTATAAAATTTAAAATCATTTGTGCCATTGGTTGTTTCATCTCTTAATGAAGCGAAATGCGTAATATTATTTAATCAATTAAGCAATCTTCTACAGTACTATATCTTGTTGGTTTAATACTGTATACAAGTTCTACAGCACTTAATTAACTAAATACCTATATAATGATTGTATAGTGATCAAAGTAATTCAACAATCCATAGCATTATCTCGTAATGAAGCAGATAGCCCAATAATAATTAATCCGTTAGGGCATTTACTTTGCATTTATATAACCTATCATCTACTACATCTTGTTAGGGTTCAATATTACAAGTGCTTCAATATTTAAATAACTATATAACAGTTGGACAATGATCGCAGCAACTTGAAATAAGGTTCGCAATCGATAATAACATCTCGAAATAAAGCATATAGCTCAATATTAATTAATTTGTAGGGCCTTTACTTTGCTTTTGCGTACACAATTTATAATACCAGCTATACAATATACAAAGAATTTTACCCAAAAGTTGAAGGATAGGGTGAACCAGGAGGGTCAGTACTAGGATTTAATGATGAATTAGTTAGGTAACGTTGCTGTGATATTATGCCCAAACCACGATTGCCGGGATGACGAATTAAAGTTACCAATGGATAACCCATTTGATATACCCAAGGACCCATAAAATCACTGATGTTAATTGGACTTTGAATTGCCTATTTTAAATAAGATTAAGATATATATCTATTAATTATTTACTGCCAATTAGAAATAGATGGAGGCAGCTAATAGTCAAATATTTCCTTTTTATCTGGTAAAGGCTATACGCAGATTCTATAAAATTTAGATAACGAATAACTAAACTAACCCAGTGTGTTATGATCTAAATTAACAAAAAAAATTTACTAAAATATTCCGCAAACAGACGGTCAATCATTAAGTTTCCATATTGATAACAACTTCATCTAATACAGCTTAAATAAGTGAGCAGTATTAAACCTAGACTATAAATCTATCTAATTTCGGTACGCCTAAGAATGCAAATTATATTACCAATAAATGATGCGATGCCAACATTTACTTACTCCAGATATAGCTTGAAACACTTGTTCTGTTGCAATATTACTATATAAATATTTCTTTAATAATGCCTAATATCCCAGAAATTTTAGATAAAAATCTTAATTTCAGATTTCCTTCGCTAATGTTGTAACTATACATTAATATATTGCTAATTAAGTACTAAAGTTGAATTATTCCTGATAAGCTATTAGAACTTAAATAATCGCATCTAATGAGGAAGGTGTCATTATTCCTAATTTACAGCCTGTATATTATTATTACTCTCCGCTATAATTAAAATAACTTAGAATAGATAAATTTCCTAATAAATAGGAAATCAAAACAATTACCTTTACTCCAGTATGATAATTCGCAGGACCAATATAATCACGTAACATGCGAAAGATAGATCCTCCCTGCAATGGCAACGTCAACAAAAAGAATCATATAAAAATCGATATGACTAATTTTATACAAATAATCTAGGGTGTAGTCAATAGTATTATACCTTTTCGTATGTAATTTTATCGAAAATGGGACCAAGATTAGGCGGTAAGACCAAGGGGTGCGAACTACGAGTAGCATCTACAAGCATTGCAACTTGAACACTATCTGTAACAAATTGTTGTTTCTGTGCAAATTGTACATGAAACAAGAAGACAGAATTATTCGAGGAGAATACTGTATTAAAATTATTAAATCCAACAATTTTTGCTCGAATAATTATAGAGGGTATCGTAGCATGTAAAACTTTGATTGAAATTGTCGCTAGCTATACTTGAAGATTTCTTCAGTAACGAGGTCTTACCAAGAAGAAGCTGGGCTGAAGGATAGAACCAGCATAAAATTGATAAAAGTTGCAAAAACTTTCAGTGATCCACATATGATTCCACCATTGTATGGTAACATAGTTTCCCAACCACTAATTTTTAAATTAAATCAAAGCAGATCAATCAGTAATATAACAGGTATAGATTGATTGAACATATTCATGCTATATATTGCCAACTATATAATTTAGGAGAGTACTGTAAAACAGCTGGGTTACTAATTAGGTTATGAAAACTCGCTCGTGTTATCGATAGTGCAGAAATGTTGCTTACCTGATGACACAATTCGTGGGAAATGATAACAATAATAGTTTTTAGTAATCTTGAGCTAACATAATAAGGATTATAGGTAAGAATTTCTTCCCGATATAAATTTAAACCCCAATTTTCCATCGCACCGGCATAAAATTTAGGAACGGCAACATGATCTATGTGTTGATGACAGTAATAGCAGTTAATTTACACCTATTGGCTCTAATTTATCTTTTGCTAGGTAAACATTACATACTATGTACAGATGATTTATAAAGGAAAAATCTTAATATTAGAATTCTATGGATGATTTTATCAGTTTACAATCATGACTTATCTAACAATTAATCTAACCTTGCTTTGATATGGGATAGGGAATTCCAAAAAATCCTTCATAGTACTGTGTTATATTGATGATGGTTCTCAAGGAGAAATAACTATCATTCCGAATAGATGGTCTAGACCACACTCTAACCTATTTATTAAAAAAAGCCGCAAATTTAATCGATTTCATTCCCTTACATTACTTCTAAAATATAATTTTAAAGAGAATTTAGAATCTTAATGTTTAAATTGATTATCGGTCATTGAATATCTGTAAATTAGTTAATTTGCACATGTATAAAACTCGAATGCTGCACTAATTAAGAACTTAAATTTTCACTATTGCAATTGCTATTTGATAAATCCATTTAGCAAGTAATAAAACGATATTAAACAGGATTGATCTAGTCAATTTTACTAACACGAGTATTTCTAGTTGTATGTCCTTCGACATAAGTAAATCCGTCGACAGCTAGGGCTAGTAAATACGTTGACATTATGGGAGAGGCTAAGATTTAAGAAAATATCGATTTAAAGCAATATGTTCATTTCTTTATATAACCTAGTGATAGTGTAATATACAGTGTACCGTAATCTTCTGTTTATGATAAATGATCATGTTTTAAATAATTGCATTAAGCTGCGATAATAGTAGCAAAAGTATGAAAGAAAGCCAACACACAGTAGATAGTAAATAGGGTACTGCAAATCAAAACAACGATTATCCAAGAGTATTTTAGCTTAGAAGCTATGATAAATCCGCAGTAATAATGTAAGAATTGACTTACTTGAATGTTCATAACGCATTTTATTGCCAATAGCAGTTTTTTTAGTAACAGGCATATTCCATCGGACACTATAATTACTTGGCACGATGATCGTGGCTTGAAAGGTTGCTTTCAAGGCTGGCTCATCAAAACAAGGAATCATTCTCCGTGTATAGAAATCCTGCCCTTGACTAGCTATTGCCCATCTAATTATTGTTCATCGAAATAATTATTCAAACAGATCAGAAATTTGAATACTGAATATATCCTATTCATAAAATTTTAGAATAAGGTTTACAAGCTGTGATACAGTCTCCAAGCTTCGAACTAAATCAAATTAAGAATATAAGCTATTCCAACCCAATTATGCTGCATTTTATTAGCTCACGTTATGGTGTTGACTAATAGTGGTGATATCTACCAGTAGCTCTAAATAGCTATTTATGCAGTGATATAAGATATTCCTTAAATATCCATTTATACTTCTTAAAAACATTGATTCTTGTTATGAATTGTGCTTATATTCTATTCTAGAGGTATAAATACCGCTGACTTTTACTTCATTTCTAAATTATTATAGTTATTATTGTTAGTGCCAGCTATTTGCTCTCATGACTATATGATAGCTTATATGTTGATCCTTCCTTTAAATACCCATTTACTTCTTGAAATCATTGATTCCTGTAAGGTGTTGCACATGTATTCTATTCTATACGTATTAAAACCGCTGACTTTTTACTTCATTCTCAATTATTGTACTTATTATAGTTATTAGTGCTACCTATTTGCTCACATTACTATATGACAGCTTATATGTTCGTCTACATAACAGCAACTGAATTTAATCTTATACACTTTACAGCTAGCAATGCGAATTTAATTTATCACTAAATCATGTAGGTATTATTAGTCTCTGATGATTACTAAATCTACTTGTATCAATTTTATTGAACCCTCCATCACAGTTTTATATTCCCAAACTTCTTAAATATAACTTCATATAAGTCTTCATCAACAATCCATACTAGTTTTACTATTAATACTTTGCGTGAATATCTAATATACCATTACTTTTAGCAGCCAACAAGAGTGCAAATTCCTTTTGTCAACTATGCTTGTAATATTTCTCCTAGCAACAAGTAAAATTATGACTGCTAAGCACATAGAAAGATGCAGCCATCATACCGATCTTTAATTGAGGTTATGTGGATACTACGTGTATTTCGAGAAAATTTCTAGTTACTCTGGTTATATAGCGGTATTTTTACTGCTTAAGTTAAAAATATTGGGATAGTCTAAGCACAATATTTAATGTTCTCACTACGATGATTTCGTGTTCGTTATGCTCTATTTATATTCATCCCTATAAACCGATCCTAGAAGTAATTTTTATTTGATATTATTCTATATTATGCTGTACAAAGGAATGCTAAACTGTTTCAAAACTTTTTTAGTGCTGTAGTCGCTCATTTAAAAAATAATAATATCGATATTCTACTAAACAGTTTAGAATGACTACGTAGACTTACATTTTTTGCCGATCTGATGCTCTTGTATACTGATACTTGTAAAGTCCTAGGAGATCAGAAGCCAATTGCGCGGTAAAATTAAATCGAATATAATAAGTTCCTGGAGTTAATTTGTTCTGTAGGACGACGTAGTAATAACTATTGGGCTTATAATTGCCAGTATCGATAACTTTATAGTATGTCGATGCACCGTTAAAGTTTCGATCATTGCTAACTTGCGGTGCTGATAACATTTTAATACCAGAAACATGGACAATGATAATATTGGTGGAAGATTTAACCATAAACTGAATCGTGTTAATGCCAACAAAATTCAGTTTTGTCATATCGATATCTAATTGATAGTAATAAGCCTTCGGTTTAATACTGGTAGGCAATCGAGGTTTAGCTAAGGCGGCGTACTTGGTTGGAACTGCAGTCGTTAGCGGCATACTTGTTGTGGTGATATTAGCCGATTGATTCCTGCCACTTGCTGTTAATCCTGCTATCAATCCAACACTAACTGCAAGAATGATAAAGACAATAACACCAATCGCCGTTTGCCTATAGGTAATGAAAAATGGCCTATGGGGATTATGGCCATCTGCATCTTCGAATTCAACGTAGGGAACGTCCGACATTGTAAACAATTTTGAGCATTAATAAAACCAGCTAGCGAATGAGCTCCTGGCGATAGCTGATGATCTACGCGTATGTACTCGTACGTGTGTTGTCGTTTCCGAGTTTGCAAACTTTTAACTATGTTAGTGCCAATGACGATGAGCTATTTCAATTCCTATCAAAATAGAATTATTCTGTAAATGATGACTTATCGTAGACCTTGTTACTCAGTGCTGCTAATTCTAAGCAATCAAGTGTTTATATCAATTTAGTTCCATCCAGGGATACGAAGGAATTGGGAACAAAGTTCAGAGTGCAAATACACAAGTATAGGAAGCAATGCAATCGTTTCTACCACGGTACCAAATAAGCGTAGGCTATCAGTACATCAAGCCTAGCGTGTAGGGTTTAGTAATACAATCGTTAGCTCACTCCTATGTTTTATAATAAACGTTGTAAGGTAGCTCTTAGCTAATAAATAAACAAACAATCGACACCATATTGTAATTCAAATTCTATTCAATATGCTACTTAATAGAAGAGTTATTATCCCGTAATTTTGCACAGTAAAAGAACTCTCAATTGCCGTTAATGATATTGCAAACCTACATGTTATCCAGAAGAAAAACTTCTCTTTAGCAAGTTCTGTAGCTAGTCAATATGTTTATTCTCTCATTCATGATGGGGGTAATTGACTTGGATTATTAATTAGAACGGTTCAATACTTCTTATTTTACACTTTGGTATAAATCGCAGTATCTCCATATAAATCATGGGATGCACTCGTGATCTCAACCAGCTATTGAATGGTAGGTAATAAGGCTTGAACAGACCACCGCTATAGTGAGATAGACATTATCTATTATACTGGTCTATATGCGTATGTTATATAAATCTCATTAATACATAGATATTAAATGTCAGTAAACGATTGATATTGTAAGCACTACTCAATATTTATCATAATCAGCTCATCAACGTTCGATAATAATAGAACATTTGTCGCTAAACGGTTACATTGTGAAGCACTATATTATCAGCTAGAAATTTTAACACTCATCATAATCAATCCAAGGAATAAAGTTCGCCAATAGCAAAACATTTACGCGAAATGTTATAAGTTGGACACTTTGCTAGTAAATTATATTTCATAAATTATTGATAACGGCGGAATACGTTAAATATAGTTACTTAGATCAGTGTACATAATACATTAAAGTGTTGATAGTTAATAGATAAATTAACCATAATAGTAAATGCGTTAAATAGAGCTATTTATATCAACATAAAATAGACGTTATTTCATACCATGATTATTATAATAGCTAAATTAATAATAATAAGAGCGAAATAACCGTATATTGAAAACGTCTATTGACGTTCTTATGAAGTTATGTTTAATATACTTACGAATCCTAGTGATAGTCAGTCATAGATTTCTAGATTTATTGCTAAGCCTGAAAGTCCATACCTTAATAAACTTAGATATTTGTAATATATAAAGATAACAACTGATATAGTATCTTGAATAAGAATATCTACCGGGCCTGTAATTTGCTCCACGGTCAAAATAATCTCTAGTAGCTTGGGATAGTATTTAAACGCTAGAATGTGACGTTCAGCTTGTGATCTTATCAAATTGAAATCATCAAGTAAATTCAAAACCTTAACCTTATTGAATTAAAATACTTATGATAATGAATTGCAGATAGCAATGGTATACTCGTATGTTGAACGTAGTTCCTCGTAGTAGTAACTAGCATACTATGCTGTAAAGAAACCCGAACTTAGTAATGTAACAGAATATTGAGCTCATAACCATAGTAAATCCAAATGTCTATAATGCCATAACAGAGATGGCGCCTTGCGTTGGAAATGAATATCTACAGCAACATGCAGTATATTGTATAGTAAATATAATTTCAGCAGCTTAAGTTTAGCATTTTGAACAGCAAAACATCGAGATTCACATCTTACGAGATTAGATTTGCCACGTGCACGCAAACCATTTTCTAGTTGTCTTAAAATTTTATTTCATAATCGCTAAATTCATATTGCAAGCAGTTTGTATATTTTTTAGTTAACAATTAAATGTAAATTTAATAGATTATCAATTACGTATACTGTAGTGATAATTTAATCCAGATTTTACGAATAAGATAAAATGAAACTGATAAATAAATTCAACATGTCATGAAAATTTTTAACCGGTGCTGTATTTCATTTTAGCCCCAATAAAATAATTTGAGATGAACACTAGAAATGCTTATGGAGTTATTTCTATCCTATATCTTCGTAGTTGTCACTAAAAAAGGGCATTTATAGATTACACCAAACGCTCGGAATGTGAGATATAGTCAGATTACAGATACCTTCGAAGCGTTACAGACAACTTTTAAATGTTTTAATAATGTATTCATTTATCATAGTTTCAGACGCTATTTAAGCAAATCTTGACAGATAGAAGATAATGATAGGTTAATATGATTGTTCATATATAAAGCATATATGTGTTTACAACAACGTAACTATACGTGATAAAAAAGCAGCAGCATATATAACAGGAAATTGTAGCATTGACTAGCTAGAATATCAATCTCGGTAGCGATCAAATCATATCAAAATTTCGTATAGGTTATATGGTAAAAAAAACGCAGGTAATTTTGTATCATCAATATATCGAGTTAAGTTTTATTCTTAAGAACAGCAAAAGAAAAGGATGAAATCGTACTATACAAAGAATAACAACAGGGTTGTTTTAGTTTCACTCATTAATATGTACTACGATACATATGTCAACATTAACAGACCTCATATAACGCACAGTTATGCTAGGTACGGTGATAAATAGATACGTATAAATACACAGCTGATTCAATAATAAAATTTCGTTTTTGGTTATGTTTTCGATTAATGGGCACTCCATCCTAAAGTAAACAGCATTATATATCAAAAAAGTGATTGATATGGGTAAAATATACTCAACTTTAATTTTAATATAAAAAATGATGTTCTAATAAAAGTATTCTATCTATACATGTTGGACTCGCATCTACTGAGATCTTAAATTGATGATAAAGTATGTAAGTGATAACTACGCTTTAATCCATTATAGTTTAGATTGCAAGCACAGTCAATTAACAACCGCACAGTCTTAATTAAGAACAGTTTATTACGAGTAAAAATAGAAATTATCTAGTTGGCAAACCACGAACAGCACATTCTAGCTGCAAAACTTTGATTAAAATATTCTTAAACAACTAGTTTAGCGTTAAATAAATTATAAACTTTTATATTTGGTAACTTACCTTTCTTTACTTTTTCCCTCCTTAAATAATTATTATATTCTTCCAATTTCTGACGGATTTCATGAGGATCCATATTCATTGTATTAGATAATCTGTTACAATACATGATTTACAAATATTAAGTTCTATTTCTGCGAAAGATTGAAATTATAACAACTTAACGGCAATCCTAGCTATTAGATTTTTACCTGGCTACGCGTTTACTACTCATAGGCCTGCGGTTACCTTGTGGATTAGGCGGAGGGCGTGGTACCGTATGTTTAACATCTATAAGTTAAAATACTATGTCATTAAGAACTATAAAAGTAATGCATGATTAGATTTACTTGAGTAAGAAAACTTCGTTTCTGAAAAACCTGATGAATCAAATATAGTAACGTAGTACTGCAGCAGAAACTTGTACAGTATATTCATATATATACGCTAGATACGCATATACCGTAATTTCCATCCGTCTCTCCTGATCTATTATCCGATAGTTCCTTTTCCCATGACCCATCATGAATCACTGGTTTTCTCCTTTCGTCGTTACTAAATTGAGAAATTGGAAAGATAGGGTGTCTATCGAATGTGTTGCTACAGTAGATTAACTAAATAAAGATAAATAGACAAATACTGTACTTTCTGTATTAAATTATAGGCAATAAAATCAACACATAGTAACTATCTAACCGAGATAAAAAATTGCACAAAGCCTGATGTTAAAATATTAGAATTTATAAGTTAATTAAGCACAGTTTCATCTTTGTTGCTTACATAATAACTTAAAACAAAAATCTTCAAGCATTGTTGTAATCATCCACTTATTTGCATTTTTCTGTTACCTTATATTTTGATATAGTGGGGTATTTCGCCCATTCGCTGAATATTTACGAGATGCTTGCCGGCTAGCAAGTCTGCGCAAAGCAGCCGCTATTGCATCATCACCATGAATCTGCTGATTATTGTTCATATTCCGACTACTAATAGATGTATTGATATGATGATCTGCCATGATTAGAAACAAGAAAGGATTACTAAATAAACGACTTTGATATTAAGTATCAAGTATCAAATTATGACAGGTTATCAGACTCGCCGCCAACAAGCAACAAAACACTTTTTCTAATACCTGCTGATCTCGTATGGGATCGCGCTTTAGCCGATTGTGGCCGTTTCGATAATGGCTCTGCGTAGGGTGATCTCTCTATGTAAATTAATTAAAGAGCTTAAACATGAATTTCCAATCACTGTTCGTCGTAGCTAACTTATACTGGACAAGGTATACAATGATATAATTTATCTGAAATAATTTCACTAATGTAAATTACCGTACTTAAAGGCTCAGAAGCCGTAAAGAAATAAAACATTGAGACTTTAAACGTTATCACGGATAGAAATAGCCTAACCGCAGTAAAAATGTTCTTAAAATTTAATTCATCATAAATATATAATTACCTTTAGCAGGAATCACAAATGAACTTCTACGTTTAGGAACGTCACCTTCGTCATCAATCCAGTGAGCATAGTCGGTTAACTCGCTACTTTGTTTTAGCTGATTAGTAGTGCTTGCAATCGTATTCCGAAGTCGATCCTCTTTAAGATCCAATGTCAATCCATTAGAAAATCGATTAATTACGTCCTATAAAACAATGTCGTAGTGTTAGAGTAAAAATCTTTCTTAAACTATTGTTCGAAGTTAAGCAATTTAGCAAAATAGAACCATTACATTGACATTCATTGATTCTTTATTATCCGTTTGATTGCTACTGACAGAGTTGAACCTATCTCTATTATTTTCTAATGAAGGTCTTCTTCTCTGCAAGCTTGTTCCCAAAAAGATGCCAGCTGATTTATGTTCTTTGGTGTATGATGTTAGTAACTCCTCAAGTTGCTGTTCACTGCATAAATACAAAGTAAAAAATTAGTAACAATTTCACTTTTAATAAACAAGATGGAAATGGTAAAATGCTTTTGCTAGAGTTGATTTTACTGTATTTTTGCAATATCTAAGTATATTAAATATGTGATATTCGATACTATAACACATTAAACTTATAAAAGCTATCAATTATCACGGTATTTTAGTAGTAAGTTGTCAATACATTAGTTTGTAACATATACGTGTAAATATATCACCTTGCCAAGTAAAGAAACTTAGTAAAGACTTGTTCTGAAAACGCATTATCTAAGACAGTACTTCCATTTTTTCCCATAGGTCCGCGTAGAGTTACTTTAAGCGATTTAGTTTCCTATTTATTAAGTAGAATCGAATCACTAATACATACAACAAAACTACAGAACACTAGCTATATAATAATACAGTATTGCTGTACATACCCGTTCATAAATCTGAATAAAATTTCCTAGTTGTTTGGCTAGTATATGCTTCCTACAATCATTTCAAATATACGAGTTATTCTAAAGTATTGCAAGGCTCTTGTTAAAATCAATTATTTGCTATTATCAGAATAAACCTATGGTGAATCGGTAGCTTTCGGTTCGGTATATCAACAATAAATGGTTGTTGCAAGTTTAGCACAGCGCGTTTAAGAAATTGGATGACTAAATCCTAGTATAAATATTTATAACCAGTACCGAAATAAGCAATAATTGTAAACAAGATTGACGGGATGTTCGGAAAACTATCATTTAGTTATAACTTACTAATTGCGTATCTTTGGTATGAGCTTCATCCTCTGTCGGTTCCCTGTAAAATATTTACGAAAAAAAGAATATTGTTGTTGTTACTCTTATATATAGGTACATTCAGAAACCGTTTAATCCTACAATACACTAAGATTGCGTAAACATATTGCATCAACTATGGATATATTTAATTTAGTACTTCGCTTCCATAATCCAACGTTGCTGAATTCTCTGTAAGTATGTTGAAAAAGCTTGACGAACCTCAATTTTACTATTTTATCAAAATTGATAACGAATATTCATTAGGTGGTATAGTATAAATTATGCAAGATTTACAGTTGATATTTCGTTAGCTATTATACCATAATTCCCAATCAAATATTCAACAGAAGTAAAAACGTATAAAAATGGTTACTTTTTGTTAATACCTTAACATATTTCCTTTCTTTGAAACATTATGGACTAAACTATCCGATGTAGAACGAGTAAACACCTTAGTGACCTTAGGCTGCGCCATTTGGACATTATGTTTTCGATCTGTAGACTCTAGTTCTCCTTGTGCTAAAGGTTGATGATAGCCAGACCTTTCATTTACCATTTCTACAGATCATAAAAGCAACATTTTCCTTGGTGTTATTGACGTAAAACTTATTAATAACTCTATACGTATGTATTTACTAGATGTACCAGTAGCATTTTCACCAGTTAATGAACGATTTTTGTTTGATTTCATAGGTGAAAACTTGCCCTATTTATAATTTATGTTTTGATTTTAGAAATTTTATCATTACAAAGATTACTAGCTGAAGCTTTCGAGCAACTTACAAACGACAAACTGCTCTGATAATGAGCCATTCGTTCTTCAAGTGTAATTGCGTGGCTATTGCCTTCATGCTAAAAGTTTGCAATTTTACACAATTAAGAAATGTAAAATGAGTACAATATTGATACACTTTGGAATACAAAACAAAGCCGATCTCCCATTTTAATATCTAATTCTGTACAATGATTTGAACACGGTTTTTACTGCTGACTCTATTGATTGTATAAAGTGGGTTCAAATAACCAAAAATGTAATAATACTACGCCATTTATCATATGATCAAAAATTCAAAATATTTAATGATTAGGTTGCAGTTTTTAGAAATGACAGTATACGGCTCCTCCCGTAAATTAAAACTGACTGTAATGCCACTCTACTACAAAAGGATTTACAAGTTGATTGTAAGAAATTTTTACTTACGGTCAGCACACTCTGCGGACATAAATGTTTATGTAATACTACAGACCTACATCAAATCACAGTAACATAATAAATTTTTTATCATCAAGAATTTAACAATATAAATATAATTTCATAAATTATCTTTCCATACTTTCGTTTCCACTTGAAATTATTTTCGTTAACCATCAGTTGCTTAGCCCTAAAGAGAGTAATTAATTCATTCAGTTAGATAATACTACCTTTAGGTACCTTTATATCTCCAAATGCGATTGAAAGATTCTTATTTATTAATTAAGCATACTTCTCAGGAAAGAGGCTACAGAACAATGTCGCGTTTAGAGTGCTGTGCTGCTCTAAGTATAACCTGAATAAAACAGTTATAGATTTCCAGTAAGTAAATAATTAAAAATACAATTACGAATATATAACTATCTAAAATGACCCTTACCCATACAATTCTAACGAATCTGGAGAAGGAAATATCCTCACGAAACCACCTCGCCTTTTATGTTCCTCTTTAATGTCATACATTAATCGTGCCTCATCCTGAGTAAGACGAAATGGCAACCCTGGCCTTTTAATCTTAGCACTAGAGTTTGCCCTAGAATTCTTTACAGTTTGAAGTGAAAATAATTATCATTCTGCATTTAACAGTATGCAAATTTAAAAAAATTGCCATCTCCCCTATGCAATGTCTCTATGCTTACAGAATCGTTCCCATACGCTTTATTTAACTGATGTGAAATTTTCATGGGCTTTCTCGTTATAATCGGATCATGTGCGGCGATTCCTGTAAGAATAGTCGATAATACTTGATGCTGTACCGAGAATTTGCTAAATCTTATAAATTAAACTCACCAATGATATTGAACGTATCACAAATTAAGCTAGACTTGATTTTGAAATCCATAGGTGTATCACTGCAATAAAATTTGATAAGCAGAAAAGCCGACTAGTTAATTACATGATTATTGAATTATACTTGTAATACCATATTTTCATTATTATTATTACATATTTTGTATTAACTGACCATGCTAAACTAGGTGATAGATTAACTTCTAGTACCCACGGTCTAAGGTCTTCATCTACCAGGATGTCAAATCCGTAAATCTCTAATATATATTGAATCACAGCAAAAATGCAGTATAATAAAACCATAATCAATAATCCAAGTTATGAAGAATCGTTGGAGTTATACCAAAGCAATTTCTTCTATGTGGCAAAAAAGATTTGCAGGCCGTTGCAATAGGTAGCTCAGCACTTATTATCGTCTTAATTATGACGTCTTCAATTCTAATCATCAAGGCTATAATAGAGGAATTTCGTCAAGAATTAAATAAATTAGAATACTCTTAATTTCTATATCAATTATTAGTGTGCATTACCAGTAGTATCTTCTCCATATTCATTTAAATATCTAAGCATAGCACTCATACTCCATTTGTTACCAAAATCTTCAACGTTTGGGTCTTCACATCTGTAGGCAAGGAGAATAACATTGGTGAATAGGATCAGACTTTTATCATGATATGCATCTCCTATACTATACCTGATATAATCGTTACTTTTCTTATTGATACTATAATTAGTCAGATGCATACAAGCTTTATTTATATTTCTAACTCCATTGTCATATTTCATAGTAGCAAATCTGTGATGGTCAGTAAAAAAGATTATGATCATAAGTTAATGCCTAATTGAAAGATGAAAACTTCCCACGTAAGCCAAGGTGATTAGTGTCGTCATCCAAGATTATCAATAAATTAACAGAGTTATACGATACCTTGTTAGGCCTTCTTTATACAAGTAAATTACTAACGGATCGTAGGATGTTACAAGAACATACAATCGAATGTCAAATTTATAGCCTAGGTGAGTATGCATTAAAAAAGAATAATAGCTTAAGTATTTGCATCAGTACAAATATTATTTATGCATTAATGTAAATAGATTTATAAATGAATCTCATTCTTTAGATTTGTAAATCAAAAATAAAACTTACCATCAATACAATAAGGATTGCGAACATAGCGGGACACAACTAACTTTTCATCTAGAGGGACTTGATTCGGCTATAAGAGTTGACATCATAACAAATTTTATGGTAAAGTCTATCATTTTAGTAACAAAGATAAACTAAAACTATAATAAGAGAAGTCAATTTGCAGTACATTACACGGATTATAATATGGTATCTAAACTATGATACGTTAGAAAAACGTAATTAATCCGACAAGGTTAATGCAAAACAAAAACAAAGAAATTTATCCAAATGGAAATTTAGACGATATATTTCTTGACTTACTTGGCTGACCAGAAATATTCCACGACCTCTAGATGAAGCGATAGGCTTAACAATCCATAGTCCTTTTTCTCTCTTAAATGTTGCTATTTAAAAGTGGAGCTTTGATTACTTACGATCATAAGCGAAATTCTCCGTAGCAAAAGACAACAAAATCAAATGTTGCATGAATAATTACCATAAAATTCGTTATATTCCTCTGGTAATACAAAAGTCTTTGGTACAAAATCAAAGGTCTTGCTTGACTAAAAATTAAATTATAATTGGCCTAAAATCAATAAACTAAATCGGTAGACCCAAATATTACGGTACTCTCTTACCTGATGTTGCATCCTTTGCACATTCTTAAACATTCGATCTTTGCGTGTAACCTCGTACGATCTATTTTTCGTTATCGAAATTTAGTATAGGTTAAGCTGATATGCATAATTATGATAGAATCTTATCACATGAAACAGTGAAAAGTGACGATAAATCTTCCAGATATAACGTATTTTACAGTGCGATTTACTAGTAGCACCTAAACGTTAAATACTCATATCAATAACAGACTATTATTATACGAATATATGAACGAGAGTAAATAACGATAAGGTTTTCTTGATTTAATGTATTTATGGAGCAATCTACTAATAGCATCTAATTCTTGAAACATACTTATAGCTCTACGGCTCCCTTATTGATATAGCATTATAACTTTCAATTAAGCCAAAATTGCGAATTTTGAAAATCAACTGTATCTAATAGGTTGTAACTTAATTTAACTATAACCTACACTTTTAGGGGCAATATAGATGATTGATTTGAAGTAACAATTTAATAATTAATAATTGTAATCTCAGCGAGTATGCAATTAAATGATGCCATCTATTTAGTCGTTACTAATAATTAATAAAATAGTATAAAAGGTGTATAGTCACTACTTACAGCAATTATTTAATGACATAAAACTACAATGATCAACATAGAAGTAATTCATAGCAAAAAAAAAAGGTAGTCACGATGTATTTGCAAGACCTAGGAAAATGATTAATGCGTTGGTAATCGAGGAGACCGCGCATAAGATAAGGTTTTAAATGTGATCCAGTCCACATTATATTAAAATTGGAACTATTAGGATGAGCCTAATCCATAATATCAAAGAGAGATAAGTTAGCACTACTTTAACATTGTAAAATAAATTAATTATTGGCTAATCCATGTTAGTATCAATAATTACGTATTTATTTATGTCTATCAGCATTAACATAAGCATGTTATGGATTACATGAAGAAAGCGCTACCTCTCGAAATCCATGGGCTGTTAATACTTGATGGATTAATTTACAATCACACATTACTTTATAAGCCATGTGGAATTTATCTATGAAATGATATAAAATATCGACCATATTTAAATCATTAACAATTCGACGTTTGGTTGCTGTCTCAACAAGCGTAGCAAGAACTTTATGGCTACATATTAGACAAATTAATTATTGAATGGTTTAGCTATCTTATCTCTTCTTTCACTATTACTGATATCCTATTAGTATACCGTATTTCGTTAACGATGGCTAGTATTTATTTTTCATGATAGACCATTGGTTGGTATTATGCATGCATGATTGATTGATTTATTTGATAATAAGGATGATTTATCGTCTATACGGATAGGTAGTTAATTAACATCTTACCTCCTATCGATTTATAGCGTTGATCGACAGCACATGCAGTCAGCTCGGGTCGAAAAATAATTACGGGTAAATCTTTTTTAGGGCCAGCCCACAAGATGACCGGCTCTTTGCTAGAAGTAATGTAATCGTATATAGATATCAATATTTAGTAGCAGTTATGATTGTCAATAGCTCATGACTGCAATTCTCCATCATACTTCACACACTGATTAGTATGCAATCAAAACAGTCATTAACGACATGCTCGCTATTGTCCACCGCACTGATTTAATCTACTGTCTTTCTATATTAATCCATGCATCGATTTAATAGAGCTCAATACACTAATTGACTTGTACTCTATCATCCTAATGATAGAAACAACTTGAATTTTAGGCAACGACTGAAATTTTTAATAATTTACGTAGCCATTATTTATCCAATCAATATTACCCAAATTACCAAAATAATAATAATAATAATAATAATAATAATGATGTTATCCCTCCACTTTCAAGTGTAGGATGGGTGTATTTACTTTTCATCTACTTGATCACTTTCATCATCTTCTTCACTCAATGATGAAACAGATGATGATGAGGCATCTGCATCAGAGCAAAAGGAATCGTTATCGTAGTCATCATCGTCCATCATTCCTGCTCTATTGGCATCACTTGATGTTGATGAGATTTTTTTCTCCTTCAACTCGTTTTTGAAATTGGTTTTCTATTATGAACTTATGTCATAGTAACGTCTACTGATTGTAATCGGCGCTTGATGACCGTCTAGTCGTACAGTACTGTACAGTACTATACTGTACATTTGTCTACTGTAGTACGGTACAGTATGACTTGCACAGTACTGTAGATTATACAGTGAACAGTACTGTAGTGTTGACAAGTGAAAAGGACTTTGACAGCCTTATAACGGCCCCAGCCCATTCTGGCCCAGTAGCGAACACTTTGTCAGTGACTATTCAAATGACAAGGGGGCTGGAAACGGTGGAAAGCTGTAAGAAATGAGGAGGCCGACATTTTTTTGCAGGCATTTTACAGTACGCTACCATTATAACCGTTTTACACACTGTCGTGTGTAAAACCAGGGACTACTAGAAAGAGGGAGGGACGCGTAGCGGCCGTTCATTACAAAATCATGGGTGTACTCATCGCTAGGATAGCCAACGATCGTATCGTGTCCGTCCGTTCTTTCCAGCAGTCCGTAATTTTGTCTTCGCATTGACTCAGAGTTTGGAGTGACATCTCACTCCCGATACAGAATACTGTACTGTACAGTGTACAGTATACAGTGTACTGTACACTGTAGCGGCCGTTCATTACAAAATCATGTGTGTACTGTACTATACTGTACATCGCTAGGATAGCCAACTAGAGTAAAGCCAACGATCGTATCGTGTCCGTCCGTTCTTTCGAGCAGTCCGTGATTTTGTCTTCGCATTGATTCAGAGTTCGGAGTGACATCTCACTCCCGATACAGAATACTGTCCACTGTAGCGGCCGTTCATTACAAAAATAGTCGGTGTAGATAACAGAGCTATTGCTCATGGTAGTACTGTACAAGTAGTGCAGATATATTGTCCATAGTCGGTATTCCAACGCCGTACTGTGAAGGACTCCTCGCTAGGATAGCTAAACGATCGTATCGTGTCCGTCCGTTCTTTCGAGCAGGCCGTGATTTTGTCTTCGCATTGATTCAGACAGAGTTCGGAGGGACGCCTCACTCCCGATACAGAATATTGTTACACTATAGATTCTGAATGCTGCAGTACAGTACAGTACTGTACTACAGTATACAGTACATACTTTGCAGTACATTGTACTGTATCGATCCACTTTGTGAGAAGAGTAGTCCCAGATTTTATCGTGGCACTGAGTCAGCAGTCAGACAGAAATTGGAGAGACGTCGCACTCCGATACAGAATGTTGTTCACTGCTAAAGGTCTTCATGGTCTCTGGTCTGGTTCGGTCCGGACCAGGGTCAATTCACACAAAGCACTGCTGTACAGTACACTGTACCGTACTGTTCAGTCAAATTCGTGAGTGTACCGCATGTACAGTACATTGTACTGTACTGGACTACAGTACAGTACTGTATTGTAGTAGCATACAGTACTGTACAGTACAGTACTGTACATACTGTAGGAGACTCAACACTGCAACGCACTCTCAATCGCATCCTCCAGCCCTCTGCTCGGCAAGCGTGCAATATGGCTGCAATCACAAGAGCGATGAGCGTTTTTGGCTTGCGATCAACTGCTTTAAGCGTCCGCTATGTTATTCCAATACGTGGTGATGGAAAAAAGAAAAAAAAATCCAAAGTAAAAAATAAACTAACCCAACAACAACAACAAAAGGCAAAATTAAACTCTAAACTAGCTAAAGCAGCTCAGCAAGAACAAGAAGAGGCAAAGAAACGTAAAAAATTTGTCGATCCTCCTGTAGATAGTAAGTGGTTAAAAGAGGACAGAAAAAGAAATATCCAAAACAACAATCCAGAGGAAGAGGAGAGAAGAATTTTATTATTAAAGGAATGGTCTCGATATAAGATGAACCAACACCGTTCGGATTTAATCAAATTTCAAGATATATACAAAAGTCGAAATCAAGCGTTGCTTCAATTAAAGGTTTTATCTCCATCGCTCTATGCTAAAGCTTTACAAGCCGATCCACAATTATTCCCATATCAATGCAACGGGCCAACTTTTACTCCACCAATTGCAGGATATGATCAACCTGAGGCGGAAGTTACCACAAAATAGAATTTTTCAATTATTGCGCTGTAATACAGTACAATTCATAGACGCAACACATTATTTTTTTAAGATTTTCGCTTAGGTTTGTAAGAGACTACGAAATGTTCTTCAGGGTCTTCGCTTTGGTGACATTCTCTAGAAAAGGATTGTAAAATGGTTAAAAGACATTTTTTAAACACAATAGGACCATACAATCTTACAAATAATAACACTTAAGCTTAAACATCTTGTACAAACTATGCTGTAACTGGCACAATAGATATGACATAAATATTGTATGCTTGGAAGTAAACTGCATCACTAGCAGGTGCAATGCCATTCGAACACTGGTAATTTTATGCTATTTTTACTTGTAACATCTCTTGCAATATAAATCATCATCACATCCGCGGCATCGTAATGAAGCATCCCGATTACATATCGTACACCATGGTAATTCCTCGTCTTCTTCATCGTCATGGTTTGCCTTCTTTTCCAGTAAATTTCCTAGTGTTAAGTAAATTCCATATTTCAATATCTTAGCAAGATGAAAATCTCTGCTATTCTTAAATGCAGACCTTAAAAAATCAAGATGAATACTATCGCATAGCAATCCTATTTTGATTATAATAATATTTATACCAAAAACACATGTATACAAAATTGATACTTTATTAAACCAACCGTATCCAGACTGTTGAAGACCTTGATCCATCTGAGCTTCTAGTATAATCTTATCATAAATTTAAGAAACAAAAATTTATGCAAAGGTATTAAATGTAAATGTAATGGAATAATTATGTCTGTATAGTTCTCTAGGTGAAAATGTATACAGTATAACTACAATTGAGCGATGTATCAAATGCTGATATTTATAATCTTTTGGTGCCTTGAAGCAAAAATGTTCCAATCTAATACTATCACTGTATTCTATCATGAGCTAACATTATTAAATTTAAACTCAATCAAAGAACACAGACTTGAGACTTAATTTCTAAGAAAATTAAAATCCTTATCGGTTACATCGTACCTGCTTTAGTAATTTGCTAGCTGATGTTTCATCATCATCGCTGTCAACCTCATCGGTATAAGCGTTGAATCCATGTGCACCTTGATTTTCCTTATCAGCTAATAAATTAATACACCAATTAATAAACAAGTTGTCTTTATAGCTGGTAATTTCCAATATACATAAATAACATATCAGCGTAAAATTTCCATGTTCTATAAAATAACTACTCTACTATACAGACTATAAATACGACTACAAGTATATTAGTAAATTCTCTATCTGGATCTTGCAGTCTATCACCAATGTGATAGCACTATTGAGAACTAGCTAACTACAGTAATTACCCTTCAAGGCTTTAAGTCTTGATTCTAAGTCTTTTACTTTATCTTGTAATTTATCATCTTCTATCATATCTATCTGCATTTGTTGCATAAGTTTTTCAGCTTCGGAAATATCCATTGCCTGATTAGTGCTAGATTCTGAAAGTAATTCCTGCGGTGGCTTAATGGATGATGGCCCGTAATCTAATTGAACTTCGTCCTCAGTTCTGTTGATTAACTCATCAATTTGTTCGGTTTCGGTTCGATGTTTCTGAACCAGCTAAAGTAAATTACAATAATAAGCAGCGAGCTTGAGAAATTTTATAAGTGCTCCTTCTACTTTGGAAACTATGACATAATATCAGAGAGATTATAATCCTCAGTTCGGTCGTTTGACTGTAACGTAAATATTTAAGTTACCAGTGATTGCTTGGTGCTGGAATAGTTCTCACCACGTAGTTTACATAAGCGTTCTTCGATATCTTTATCCGATACTAATCAACATATTAAATAAAAAAGTTATAATAGTTTTAATTTGGATCCCTAAGCAATAGTACAGGAATTGGTTGCCTATAAACTGAATAGTCTTACTATTGATATCGAAAGAAAGTATTTAAATTATGCATACTTACCTTTACACGGATTGTCCTTCAGTTTATCAAGTCGTTCCTTGATATCTTTGGTATCGCAGACGTTTACTCTTTCTTTCTCATTACGAAGGTGCTCTAGTCGTTCTTCAATATCCTTTACACTTTGTACGTTAGAGGAATGAAAATCTTCTTCACTGTTAGTATATTTAAGTCCACTACCTCTCTGGTTAGCGTGTTTGCTGCGTTGTTTTTGCGCGGTAAGTTGAGCACTTGTATAATTAAGTGAGGAAAAACTAGCTGCCTACAGAAGTAACAATATTGCTGTAAAATACTAAGATAAAAATCTTTATCTTACGTTTTAATTCAATTCAGTATACCTGTTCATTAACAGCTTTCGATGCCTTTTGCTTATTTCCATCACTTTCACTTAATATTACGGTAAATTTATTATTAACAAGTAAAATTACAAAGATGCGATTTTTAGAAATTCTATACGTATCACTTTTACTTTAATATTACGGTAAATTGATTATTAACAAGTAAAATTACAAAGTTGCGATTTTTAGAAATTCAATATACGTATCACTTTCACTTTGATATTACGGTAAATTTATTATTACCAAGTAAAGATTACTAAGATGTAATTTTTAAAAATTCTATATACGTACCGTTGATATTACATTATAAAGACTATTGACTATCATATTACTAATACCCTAATTTGTCCCATTACCATTACCAGTACTATAAGTACACAGTTATGTAAGTGCGCACAATTTTATTTAATAGAGCTCAAATTGTCAATCTAATTTTAACTTACTTCTTTAAGCAATCTTTACAGATCAAATTACCATCATGAGTGGATTTGAATAGGCAATTCTTGCAGAATAACTTATTACAGCGTCTACAGTAATTCTGTTTGTAATAAGTATGAAATCAGTTAAGAGCTCAAAAATCAGAATTAATACGGTAAATTAAGTAACAGTAGCTAATTCTTATTTACTAGCACGATTTACTTGTACAGATTTACATAAATTTTGGCAATATATTCTGTGCAAGCAAAAGTATGATCACCCTATGCACGGATATAAAATCGAGTAGGATAACGAATACTACACTGTATGTTGTATATATGACGTTATGTTAAATTATAACACTGTATCAATCAATAAATGAAATTTATTTATTTCCAATCGTACGTTCATAAAATGTAGATAAATTACCTGACGCTTAAGAAGACCAAATTTTGCAGCACATTTATAGCACATCATTTTGATCCTGATCTAATTAATAACAGAATATGAATACTAGATTAATTCTTCTTGTAACACATTGATAAGTCTCCAAATGGAGATGCATTATACAGTAATCCCTAAACTGTTTGATTACTCGATTCGTAAGCTCTAACAGAACTGCTTCAATATCTTTTTCTACTTGGTCATTAGGCCTACTATACATGTACTGTATTTACATAGTCTATGGTATACGCTTTATTTAATCAATCAAGGCGTTTCACCAACATCGTCAATCAAATTTTGTAATGAAATATCAAACTGAGAGCAATATACGCGCGTACAAAATCAATCTGTAGACGATTACGGTATGACCATAAAATAGAATTCTACGCAACAGCCTAACCACACATTAACAACCATTAGCGTGAAAGATTAATTAAATAAATTATGGGCGTCATAATTCCTGATATCGATTAGCCAGCAGTTTTTTTATTAATATCAAGGAAAAAGAGAAGTAATTCACTAAGTTCTATAGCTGCATAGATTAAATACTGCTATTCTACTTTCGATTCACGTACTATTATTAAACTCCGTTTAAAGCCTTTACAACATTGGTGAAACAATGTGAGCATATAATATAATTATTAAATTCATTAACCAGAAGTTATAATGGTCACCCTTACAATAATAAACTCAATGGATTCTGAAATGGCAAAAACGTTTATTTTACTAAATGTTCTTTTATTATAGAGTAACCTTACAGTCAAAGCAATAGCGTAATGAGTGATAAACTAGAACGTTAGTGAATTTTTATTGTACTAGACATTTAAATGTAGAGGATATAGCTATCACGTATAAACATTGAATATCGAATTGATGTCTTATATTGTTGTTAAAAATAATTGATGTCCCATTCACTTTTACGATATCAATCAAATACCTACGTAAGCCTATAACTGTTACGATTTCAGCTTTCTGAACGACCAAGAATGGCTAAAGACTACCAAAGACCAACTGGCTACCAACGATTGTCTTTGATTATAGTCAAAACACGTTATAATATTATAGATACTTTCTTTACTCCCTAACGTCCGTTTTGATAATTGAAAAATTCTGATCAATGTCTGATCAATGAGAAAGTACTTTTTTTTTTTGTAAACAGATCCAAGTTCTGTCCAATTACTAGTCCTCAACTGAAAATTGTATAACACTAAACGTGGTTATAGATAGAAATTCTATCTATCTAACGGCTCTAAATGATTATCTGTCATTCCATCATTCTAAATTTGTCCCAAAAAAGGTAAACTGACTACCATACAGTATACATCCACAACTCCAACGCTAAAAGAAGTGGGCAAAGCCTACTGCAGCTGTTGTCGATCGTATATGTATGTTTATATCACTAAAACTATACTTATACAATTGTTAAATCATACCGCATAGTAGGTAGGGCCTACAACAGAGACAGCAACTTGAATTGTCCATCCGTCTGTTGTTTTTACTAACTTCTATAGCAACTACAGTAAGTACTACTATTATCGATTTCGGTAGTGATTATATCAGAAACAGATCGGGTTGTACAGAAATGTACACCAAACCACTTGCACCATACAGTATACTGCATTTAATCATTGACCACTGCCACTCGAGCAGAAAGCATTGGTGAGAAATATTGTCTATGCCTATGGTGGTTAATCAACTCAACATGGAAAAGAAGCAAGAAGAAGAATCAGCGAAAGCAGAATGCACTCACCATGATAATAATGTTGAGCTAGGATTTATTGAGGAGGTCGATGATGAATTATTATTAACTAATCAATTTTTTCCAAGTAAGGTCGGTGGCAAACCAGTATGGCTAGATCTGCAAGGAATCCCTTCCGCAGCTAGCTTAACATGCAAGAATTGTGGAAACGTAATGCAATTCCTTATACAGCTATATTGCCCAGTAGATGGCGAATCTGCATGCTTTCATCGTACCATTTATATTTTTTGTTGCAGAGATGGACAGTGCCATCAGCGTTCTGCACAAGATTGTTTCCTTGTGTTTCGTAGCCAATTACCTCGTAATAATAGCTTTTATAGTAGCCAACCTCCTGATCGACAAAATCCTCAAAATTCATACGATAATTCACTCCTTACAAAGTGGTGTTCGTTATGTAGTTTATGTGGAATTCCGAGCGAAAAAAAATGCGCTAAATGTGGAACGCCGTATTGTTGTAGACAACATCAGGTATTTGATTGGAAGCACGGCCATCGTGAAAATTGTACTTCTGCAGCCAAAACACCCATATTTGCAAGCAATGATTACTTATTTCCGCAATATGATGTTTGTATCGATGATGATGATGAAGATAATGACAACGACGATGCTGATAGTAAATCTGATCATCCTACCGATTCCAAGCTGACTGGAGAAAACTACCATGATTATATTAAGTCCGACCTTGCTAATCAAATTACAGAAGCCGATATAAAATCTGTGGAAGATCATAATCATGACGAGGAATTTCTTGAATTTAAAGAAAAGATTCGCCTACAACCAGATCAAGTAAGTAATCAATGATACCATTCTTACATTATTTATGAACTGTTCTTACTCTCATTGTAGTTTTGTACATGACAGTAGAAACGTTTTTGGATAGTGACATCATTCAGTAAGTCATTATATCAATCTTGATATACGTGTAGATCCTAAGGTATAAGCGTAATGGAATTCCCCTATGGATTTCAAGCAAGGATATCCCCTCATCATCCGACATTCCAGGTTGTTCATGTGGAGCTAAACGTATATTCGAGTTTCAGGTAAAGACATTGGAACTTAAACTTAACATTCAGCATATACAGTAATATGCAACACTTTAGATTAGTGTATAGTATTAGATGAATAAATGGCATAACTTAGGCTACAATCAAGTTTGTAGACCGTATAGTATAGCAAAATATTCATACGAATGCGGTATTCCTTGGTCACATAGTCTCATGTTGCACTCTTGTAGTAGTCAAACTGTATAGACAAACGTTGTTAATATTACGTTTAATTCAATCATCTGTTCAATACCGTACAGTCATGTACACTTAATGTACTGTACTTCAAAACTAAAACACCGATACCTGCATCAAGGTAGTTACCGAAAGCTGTTATCTCCGTTATTAGATTATGCCTCAACTCCTCCATTATTTAAAGATTGAAAATTCTCAAACAAGCATCGATTGGGGTATATTGTTAGTTTACACTTGCAGCAAGAATTGCTTGCATAACAACAATGACAAATCCTCTAATGGGTATATGAAAGAATTTCTCTGGAGACAGAATTATTCATCAGCCGAAACCAAAAGTTAACAATTAACCTTTTTATATGCGTAGACTGTAAAGACGAATATTTTATTATATTGATAATAAAATTTTTATTTACTATGTAATTGTAGATATTAATTATGCTGCAAATACTTTATTCAATATTTTAGCTGTTAATCAGTAAAATGAATTGCCAGATTTTATTTGTACATTGCTCCCGCTTATTTCGATCTAAGTAGTTCATATATTAGATTTTGAACTGGAAGAACCAATTCAGCAGATAATCTCTAACCAAGCCTTTCCAACTATTATAAAAATAAAGTATTGCTTATATACACAACGATAACAAAGCACTAACAGAAATATAAGAAAATATTAAAAATTACAAACCTGTTGCAAGAAATGAGATGCGGTCATTAACTCACTGCATCCGTAAGTGATATGCTTTTGTACTGTCTGGCGCTTAAAAAGATCCCAACATTATTACAGAATGCTAGATTTAAAGAGAAAGTATGATTTACGGCATACCTTGGCATAATCGATTAAATTCTGATATTCAACGTAATTTCCTCCTCCAACCATAAACACAATAGCCTTCAAGAAATCAACATTTTATTAATATATATAGCAATTTACCATATTATTGTAATAGGACATAGAATAGCTAGCTAGTAAATATTTTTAATTAATTTCCTAATATGAGCATTAAGTAGAAACCTCTTGAAAAGGATTTTTTGTATGAGCAGCCGATCTATATAAAAAAAAGCATGATAAAATCGTTTCACCGTATACTTTAGGCGCATGTATGCTATACTGTATATACCCGTCTGATGCTCTCAGCAACTTTGGATCAAAGTAACGATAATCTTCAATTTCCTATGATCATTTTAAAATAGATAACCTTGAGTACATCCATAGATAATACCATCCTTAATGTCCTAAATAACTTAAATCTATTATAGATCTTTTAACGTAATCTTACAGCAATTGATCTTGATTCCATCAGTGCATCGACAATACGTGTCACAGGCAAATCCTGTTTCAATTCAATATGTATACTTAAACGAAATAGTTACAAAAAGTGGTACTCAATTACGGTATTGCTTACCTTAGTTTTAAACGCTAAATTTTTGACGCCTTCCATTACAAATTTAGATCCAGTTTTCATGATCCGCGAAAAGACTTGCCTAATCCCCGTGAAGTAAATTTTAGTGGCACTGTCGAAAATCTATGATAAATAATCTACATAGTTTACGATAGCAACAATTATCATACCCCACGCTAGATTTGCTATCGCTGGCAATGCTTGGTTTAAGAGTCATTTTAGCAAAGGACCTATAAAATAGTTCTAAAATTAATTTTACTCCGCAATTACTCTATAATGCTACAAGAGGTATACTTACTTCATCTTCTTTACATAATCAAAAGAGGTTAGGTTAACTCCAGCATTCCTTAGAGTAGTAGTATACTTCTCTAAATCAGCCTAAAAGAGCATAATTATAGATCCATCCTAAATAATTTGTACTTTTAAATCAAATCAAATCAAATAATCAATGTTTACATCAGTCAAGGGTGGACCACAAATATAATAGATTAAAAATAATCTCAATTTGTCTTCCGGAGTAGCACCTACTCGAAAATAATGGTAAAGTCAATGCTTAATCTACAATGTCTACAGTATCTGATGGTCCGCATAAAGAAGAATGGAATATTTACTGTTTGGATCGGCGAGAATGTCCATAACTGATATTTCCTATAAAATTAATTTTAAATTTATTCATAGTTAAAATTAACACAAACAACATAAAACTTTTGCACTGCAATTCTCCAATTCTAACCCCGATCGATGATTTACTCATAAGTTTTTCTTCAAGTTCAAAATAAGAATCCAATTTACGATTCTGAAAGAATATGAAAAGAGATAACAGAATTACAGCAGCCTTATTCAAACCAGTGCAAACTTTAGAATACTCACTTTAATATGTTCTAGCAAAGCGGTTGCAATATTTGTATGCATATCAATGGATTTCTTTTTTTCCAGTAATTCTGGTAACGAGCTGAAGGAAAACAAGAAGTTTTATATGCACAGCTCGTAACTGTACAAAATACCGTTCTAAGAGCACTAAAATGAGCTTTCATGCAAAATACCTAACAGCAGATGATAACTTTGAAGTATGATCATTCGATAACGAATTTTCTACAGCCGCACTAACAACCGCTAAAGATTCATCTTCTAAGCCCTAGTATTAAAATAACAAAAAGAAACAGCGTTAACAGTTGCGATAAAAACTGCTCACAGCTTTGTATTCTGAGCTAACCATGGTACTTTTTAATTTCTTAATGTCATCTTCAGAATTTCTGTACTCATCCAATGTAACTTGAATCGCTTCAGCAACGCTTGGAAATGGGCTAGAATAATGAAAAGCAAAGATGTGGTGGTATGAAACACTTTGATGTCAAAACGAATAATCCTCTGCACTAGCCACAGAATAAGATTTGAAGATCAACAAACCTTCCTTTATGGAAACTCCAAAAGGAATCACTATCCGAGTTTAAGTCATAGCACTTTGGCTTTTGGGCTTTTGCACTGCTAGCTCCAATTTCTTCACTAGAAGAACTTTCCTGAATATTAACTCTATTCAATTCCATATTCTAGTAATCAAAGTTCATACAAACAGTTTATAATTTAAAATTTGACATAACGTATGCAGTTTCTATAGGTTATACCAGTAAGTCGTGAACAAGGGCTTGATAAGTCCAGGTATGATGTAAAATGGTTGTAAAGTCGGTATTACGATCAAGTATGATGAGAAGAGGTCTCTGAAAACTAATACGGCAAATGAAATTTGATGATTTTAATCATTTAAATCAAGAAAAGAAATTTCACGTTATTTGATGTATTGTATCTAGCACTAGCTGCTTACTTAAACTGTCCACCAACCACACTGTCTCCTGAAAAAAGGCATGTGCGACTATTTCTTAGATTCTCCCTTAGTTTCTTATCCAATGCCTAGAGTGATAAATGATATACGCAAAACTCGAATTACTAATTATCAATCTAATGAGCCATTTCATACAGCGATTTAAAATCTAAAATTTTTTTCAAGAACGACATAGAATATACCTCAGCTACCATTTCTGCAGCGTTTCCACGCGGACATCTAATGATGGGGACAGTGCCTTCATTAATTAGACAGTATGAATACATGAGTACTGTAATCATATCAAAATTTTGGTATGTAGCCAATAATATAATTAGCTATGAACTAATAATAGCGCTATACAATAGCACGGTACGATCATATACCTAAAGTTGCCAACGCAGAAAACAAAGAGTCTACCAAAATATCTCGTATAACTTCAATGTCCGTATCTTTGGCATCAGTACTATTCAGTGCTATTGATGAAAGCGAATATGACAATCATACCGTTTATTATCAAGCTATACAGCTTTCAACAAAGTAATAAGTTGATAACACTTCAAAATTATAGCAAGTAGACAAGATATTATATCACTAGTTAAGGCGATAGAGATAGAAGTTCAATCCTACCATGATATGATAACATCTCGACATCATGATATCGCGGAATGAATAGGTCATCTTCAAGACATATAAAGTTGAGGTATTGGTCATAAACCTGTAATAATTATTTCAATAATGCGAAAAACAAGTTTGCCAACAAACAGAGAAACGTATATCACGTCTATTAAATGAGTGAGTCTAAGTATAATAAATCATCTTTTTAGTACCTTAGAAATCTGAGAAACTGAATTTGCATGGATCGTTCCCATCGCCAGATCCTCTAATCGATTACGCGAGATGGGAGAGATGAAACTTAAATAGTATGAATCATACAACTGATTTCTGCAATCTTGAATGATTCTGTCAACATTTTCAGATGATGGAACCACTAAATAGATAGCAGGTACATCCGGTATAGGTTCCCTATCTGACATTAATGGCCTAACGTATAGCCACATAGAAAGGATAGATAAGGTGTGAGAACTTTACATAGAATATATAAATTCGACGTCTTTCTATTCTATCATTATACTAAGATACACCATACTGTATTAAGTGAACTTCACTACCTCTATTACCAGAGAGCAAATAACATTGCAAAACTAATAATATTAAAATATTATACTTATTTAATACTTGATATCGAGTCAACATTATTGATCGTTATGTATAGTGTGTGAGCCTATCTATACATACAAATGAACCGTTACTCCCAAATCACGTAAATCTCCAACAGTCAGCAATGGGGAAATAATATCTTGGCCATAGCCATCATAGATCAATACCTAGATAATAGCAGTAGGTACTTGTATCAATTCAATGGAATAATAATCACTTTACAAGTTACTATCAGTATTTGGATTACGTATAACTGATAATTAATATATAACTGCATGTTAAACCCTAAGTGACACTAAGTCATTTGTAGCAAGATACTGTAAAGGCTGAGAAGACAATGCATACTCGTCTATTTGACAGAAAGAAGTAATTTTCCTGATCGGTTTGACTTACTGTCCATAATATTTTACTTATTACAAATTCAATTAAAATTGTTAATTCAACTGTTCAGTGTACATAGCTATACCTTCCAATTAGGCTCTATAGACGAAGCTTTGCTGCCAGCTGGCTGATACATATTCATCATCAGCTTGATCGATTCTATGAGGACGAGACACATGAACATAATGAATGATAAATACGCATCGAAATAGCTCAGTTTACTGCATTCCAACAATTTCTACGGATATATTATCTTCATAATTATTATTGTAATTGCACTTGTACAGTATGTTGCCCATCCACTGAAGACATTAGTATCAAATTATAGCAAGTTAATTAAGCAATATATCAACTTGGCTTGTAAGATATCGTATAAAAACCAGTAAACTAAGTTTGATCTTGATAGTCAAACTCTGTTCCTGTTTACTAATTTATGACCAAGATTGAACATCAGTCTATTATGAGCTACCAATTTGCTTTCGTCGAAGCTCGTTGACTGCCATCACGATTGGTGTTACAATGTGGTTTCTGCAGGTGAAGTGATTCCGATTGTTGTCGTATTTCTACCCTTACTGTAGTGCGATGATACAACAGCCAAGCAGATGATTTACAAGTTACCAACGAGCTATACTTGTACAGAACGGTCCAGCACGATGGACTCGTCTGAATAGAAGAAATGGCTAGTAGAAGATTCTTTTATCCGGCCGTTGTAAAGAATCTGTTGAACACCCTTGCACAAAATGGAGACGTCTACAGTACTGGTAGGGCAGATTTCATTCACCAATTATGGTACAGTATGTACTGTACGGTAATACAGTAGTCTCGCAAACAGCCGTGCTTTACTATAGTGTATAGCGTATGCAGCACTCAAAACTGAGCGCACTATACTCTCTGTGATGTAGTACAGTACAGTACTACTGTACTCAATGTACTGTAGGTTTGGACAGGTGAGACTGGCATTCACATCGAATTACAGTATTGTACTGTACACTGCCAGATCACGTACTGTACACTAGACCTGTCAGAGGTTCGGTTCGAATCGCATACGAACCGATTAAAGTCAGTCAGTTTGTCCGGTTCGGTTCTCCAATCTCTAACAGGTCGAGTGTACAGTGTACAGTACGTAATCTCGCACAGTGTGAAACGCGGCTACAATCACTATGGTTCAGTCACAAAGGTTTTCGAGGTTTTAGTACTGTACACTGTACAGTAGAAAATCAGTGACGTTTACAAATTGGACAGTACCATACCTCGTCTATGCCGGGACTGCATGCAGCATAGAATTCGGTACAGTGATAGACTATGATAGTAGTAGAAAATCATGGTAATCATCCAGTAAAGTACATGTACAGTAGTCCATGAGTTCACCAAACACTAGACAGTAGTACAGTTCTTATGTTTTGTTTTTGACCAGGTTTTTAACCATACAAACTGTATGTGCTGTAAACTGAGTGACTCAGTCGCTCAATCGACCATGTACAACAGTAGCCATGCTCATACGTGAGCAACGGCTAACTCAGTCAGTACCACGTACAGTACAGTAAAAAGAACTTTTAACTTTTTATAACCTGGCGTAGAGTACAGTACTTTATAGTTGTAGTACTGTATAATGTACTGTACATATTACAGTAGATTGTACCGTGTAACGCTTGTACAGTACAGTACTGTACAGTAAGTCGTCCAGTACTCTACAGTATACAGTACAGTACAGTAGTGTACACTACTGTACTGTACTGTACAAGCGAAAATTTTCCTTGGAAACCATCGACTAATTATAATATCAGTCACTAACTTAGTACTCTCTTAATTAGCCGCATGGTGTGCCAGTTGTCAATAAAAACAGAAATTACTCTGGCTTTTGACCAGTCAGGTTGAACAGGCATAACATGTTGCTGCATACTTTATTAGGAAAATATTTGCATAGTATCAGCAATTCGGTATGCTTTGTTCAATGTCTCTGACAAATGAGTGCTCACTGGGCTCAAACTCGTAAAGCCCTCGGCATTCAAGGCTGGGGAGTAGACAACTGCTACTAATATTCGCAATTCCATTTGCAAAATGCTGCTAATGCTAATCATAATCAGTCTATGAGTAATAGAGTGATAAAAACACCAAGAAAATCGTTATAATATTGACTCACAGGCAATATTTTGTGCATGTACTCAATGAAATAGAAAAAGGCCCATGTGCGATGGCGAATTCCAATAGGTAATTAAGATGTTAAACGTTCTAGGACGTTCACTTTTGTTAATTTACGTATTATTCTAGCCAAGTCAATCAACGCAACGAAGTCAATTTTACTTGCAAGTGTTCATATAGCTCATTGGATAGATTAACGGTAGTATCCCACTCCAGCAGTCTTTCAATTAGAAGACAGATACCAGTAAATATACGCGTATAGGATTATGCTCGTACGCCCAATTAGCTACATCAATTGTAAAAAGGTCGACTATTGTATATCTTATTTTGCTCTACTGTCACAATTCGCAATAAAGTTAGACAAACTGATCAGAGATAAAAGTCTATATTATTACAGTTTATAGAATTGAAGGTGGGTGTAAGGTAGTCTAAAATAAGAAAATACAGTGTTTACTCCGACTCATTATTACTCCATCCCTATACAACTACACATTAATTATATACGAGCGTATGGAGATTTTAAATTCCAATTTAATAACGTTATTTATTAGACTGTGCAAGTTTGCATACTACTTTCCTTCTGAAACTGTCATGTTCGCTGATTGCAAATCTGTTTAATACCTGGCCTACTCACAATAAACGCGAAAAATAATTGAACTTCATGAACTTAACACACATGTCAGCAAATAAACTCTTTTTTCAACTCTTAGTCCTTCAATTACGATGAATGGTCATAGCTAGTCATAGCCAATGTATAATTAACCTTAACTATCTTATCATACTTCTCTATTGTACCAAATGATGCAACTCGCAAGCAGTATGCTCTCTCGAGCAGCCCATGAATAACCCTTTTCTAGGATACTTCAGAATTTATCGCTACGTAGCGAACATAAATTTGTTGATGGTGATATAAATTTCTCCTTAAATGAAAATTATTAACTGTAACAGCTATCTTATTTAATACATCATTGTTACAAATGTCCTACAATTTAGATTATCCGCTGAAAATGGCATATACATCGATAATTATATCGAGCCTGATGACGGCAGCATAAAATTTATAGATAATGCCGTAGTAAAGTACTATGAAAAGAAGGTTTACAATTTGAAACGTGGCTCTTGGGAATCTCAGACGGAAGTAGCTGTTAAAAACGATCAGCTATATCTAATTATCAATAATGGTAGGAAATACCCGGATAATTTCGGCTTTAGTAAAGGTATTTCAGGGTATTATGTATCATTCACGATCAATATTGACGAGGAGATTATGCAACAGCTATCCTATTATGGGATATCTTCTGCTGGAACTGAGCTAGTATCTGGAAAATTGATGGAAAGAATCGAAGGTTTCGTGAAAGGAATCTCGTCTGTGATTCCAAAAGATCAGAGAACATCATATCTTAAGCATCTAATATCAAAGAAAGGTTCAAAATTAGCTTTAATCCATATTGGAAAAGGTTGTGCTATCCAAACTGTCGGCTTCATTCCCCTTAAAAATTACACTTGTGTCTACGGTTACCAATCTATGACTGGCTCTGATGCAGCTGCACAAAGTCATGGTAAAGCTGTAAGCATTGCTTCTCATATTGATTACAATAGTTCTGCTAGTGTCCCATACATTGAGGACTTTATAGAACCCAAAAATGGAAAAATGATATTTGAAAACGGTATGGTGTATACATACTTTGAAAGGAAGGTTTACAGTCTGAAAGGATCTTGGGAAAAAGGTACGCAGGAGGCCATTAGGCATAAGCAGTTATTCTTAATTATTGATGGAATTCGACGATATCCTGATCATGACGGTATTAACCGTGCTCCCAAAGGCTTCTATTTACCCTTTACTGTTGTAACCGCTAACCCTCCAGCTACACAAACCAAAATTGGCAATAAGAATACCTTAAGGTAATAAGGGTTACTGATGTTGATGTTAGAGTATTATAAAATCTACTATATTTTACGTCAAGTATCACGAAGCAGGACATTCTACGAGTAATGCGTATGTAATAATTTTATAAGACAAGCTCGTATGATTATAATTCATTGATCAAAATTGCAATTTAAATTTAACATTTTATTATGATACTCGCAATGGTAAAAGTAAAACAGCACACACGACAAGATAAATCATTCGCTGCGCTAAGCATTACTCTGTCTATTTTATCCAATAAATAAAGAAATGGTCATTTGTAAATGTCTCATATTAATATGGGCAGAGCACTCATTCATTCAAGAAGTACCGCTATAAACAGTATTATCGACTTCTGCTCAAATTAGTCTAAACTGACGATATAATTATCGTTTTGTTCCATCTCCAGTATTCTATCAACTCTATCTGATATTAATACGAACAAATCACCCACCCTCTATAGAAAATATCGCTATAAACAATACAGTCTACAGCCAATAAAGGCAGTTTCAATTTAAATTTGAAGTAGCGATATAATTACCGTATTGTTTTGTCTATATTAATTATCATGTTCATAGAATATACTTTTATATGGAGCACATGAGCGCTTTTTCTATTAATTAGTTCATTATAATTGCAAAAAACTCAGCAAAGCGCACAATGCAATTACACTAAAACACTTCCAATCACCATCATTCTTTACTGTCATCTACAGTCAAATTTTCCTTTTACTGCCTGCAATCTAATTGGAAGGGCCTTTCGGAAACAAAAATATATGTAAAAACTGTCCATACGTAATTAATTTATACGATAATTAGTTATAATCCGATTAAATATACATTAATTAATTAACAACCAACCATACAGGATGTTCTGGATAATGTATCATGGCTCAATCACTGCTCGGAGCATTCTCTAGTACAGTGGTATGGACTATTAGATAGCAGTGAATTATAGTAGTCTATGCTAATCGTAACCATCAGTATCCTGCTCAATCGCTGCTTGCTAACTAGTTGCGATAAAGTATCTTCAAAGTAATAAAGCAACAACTCCAGTTCGTAAACTTTGACTTTTAATATATATAAATTAGGTTCGTTTTCCACTACCAAGAACTATCTAGCTGTAATCAGAGTATCGTTATTATTATTACAGTGAAACTTATCCTTTGTATACAACTAGTTATAGAATGATTGTATTGATCTTGCCAATTAAGTCGCAAGATTAGTTCTAAATTTTCTATCGCATAACTATAATCTTGAGCTAATTTGGCCTGCACAACACGAAGACCCTGGTAGTACAGTAACAGTCTACCTACCATATGGTCAAATATAGGCTTTTACCTTTAGCATACTCCAGCGCTGTCATGCGTAGTCCACCCATGACACAATCCCAGCCCAACAGTCCCCTAGCGTAAGCGCTAAAGAGAAAGAAAATAGAAACAGTCTACAGTATAGGACAGCAACGCTGTTTTAGTGACTTACCGTACCAACGACTACTTTTAATACAAGCATGCGCAGGGCAAATCCTTCCCTTCTAACTTCAGAAATGGCCTCTTTCAGGTTAGCTTTTGCAACATGTTTGGTTATGCTGTTCATATCAAATCACTGTTATGTAATGTATTTGAATTAGCATCGATTCAATCTTCGCCAACAGTGAATATCGTTACCCCTGTGTTATAATTACGCCGACAGTTATAAAAGTAACCACGATATTTCAGCAATAATACAACTGGAACACCCGATACTCCTTAAGCAATATTGTTTTGTTTTGAACTTGCTGCGTTTGCACCAAATGTTTATATTGTTGATCTTCTCTGAAATGTCAATTACCGCTTTATTCCCTAAATACTATGATATTATCCATTAAGAAAGGCATAGGAATCAAATTATTTCCTAGCAATAACCACTTTAGATGGCACGATATCACGAAATGTCTCTTGATCAAGTAATTACAGTAAATTGAGATGATTTTGATCCAAAAAATTTATTTATTAATTAATGAATTAGCATACGTACATGCGATACTTGCAATGGATCAGTATTTACTAGCCGAAAGGTACTAGTATTTTATTAATCGCTCGAATTAATTTATTCTATGTATGTTATTACTGTAAGCTTAATTAAATATCAATTATACAGTTCAGTAAATAAAATAGTCCTACTTTTTACGCACTATATCTCCTAACTTTGATCAGTTTACTGACTTGCCTGCATTGCTACCTTTCTATGACTCAGCTTCTCTGAAGAAAAGAACGAAGCTCTTACGGATGATTTCTTTCGCGATGAAAGCGATATCGGTAACATTTTTGCTGAGTTTGGTATTAACCGAGATAATACTGCGGATGATTTGTCGTTTTTGAGTACTGAGAAAACCGCCAACTCTAAAGGATCAACCATTAAAGTAAAGGAAGAGGCCTCTAAAACAAAGGTAGATAGTAGCACTAGCAAACCCTCGCCGCATCCTAATTCAATTCCCGCGAATATCAGTAATAGTGTTAGCTTATCAGAAATTGCTCATTATAATGCTGGAATACAACCAACGAACTATGATACTGAAATACAGCGAACAAGACAGACTTCTACTAGTTCACAAGAAATCAATACAATAGCTGCAGAAAATATCAACAAGGCCGATAATAATATAATCGCAAAAAGTAAGTCCACTACCAACATTGATACAGAGAAAAGTAGTGAGACCAGCGGTGACAAACGGAGAAATTTTTCAACAATATTTGGACGAAAAAGTAAGTTATTATACCTCGTTGCTGTCAATATTATGTTGGCAATACTTGGCATAGATATTTGTGCCGTGTACCTAGGGTTATCACAATATAGATATATTTTTAGATAAACTGAGTTTACTATGGCATAAATTTGCTGATTCTAATTAATTAATACTAATAAAATCGGATTGTACGTATTGCCCTAAAATAAACTGCGTCTATATTAATTCTTAATGCCCACATTATCTAGACTTGAATGCTAATTCTGAAAAACCAGGAAAGAATACATACATCGAAAATAATATTGAACCAGAAGACTACCAAATTTCCTTTGCAAATAATTCCCTTTATCAGAAATTTGAAAGAAAAGTTAACAATTTATCCGGATCTCAAGAGAAAGTGTTGGAAGAAGCAATTAATAATAGAGATTTATTCATTATTGTTGATGATGTCAAAAGATACCCAGATAATTATCGCTATCAAAAGACACAACGTGCATACTATGTCTCATTCACACTAAATATAGACGCTAAACAAGCGCAACAAATCCAATACTATGAAGTAAAATCTGCTGGAAAGGACGATTTGCAAGCCTACGGTAAGAGCGTGGAAAAATTTGAGGCGAAAGTTCGAGGATTATGGTCGAATGTTCCTACGTCCTCAATCGAATTGTATATGAAAAAACTGATCAATGAAAATGTGACACTAAGATATCTAGTTGTTGGCAATAGCAAGAAAATTGAAATTTCTAACGCAACAGTATCCGATAATATTGTTCGTGTATATGGATATAACTTGAGCGAAGAGTCATCGTCGTCATTATCCCAGTTATCCGTTTCATCATTGCATAATGAAGGCTGCAGGAATATGTCAAACCCCGAAAATGCCTACGAACGCTGGGTTGGTAGAATCATAGGAATTCCGGATAATATAAATTTGGAAACTTGGTTTGCTACTCACCGAGATTCTGTATACTTGAAAGCTAGCATTAATGGTGTACTTCTTGCGCCTGATCACCTAGAAATGTCCTCGTCTCATCCTATTGTTGTTTATCACGCGCCGATTGAAGAGGAAAGGCTAAAAAGCTCTATTCAATCACCTGCTGATCAGGCACCTAATCGTGCCGATACAGATGCTAATGGTGAATTACCTGTCTTGAGCTCGAGTTCATCTACTTCTTCTATTACTTCCGCATCCTCCACGACTATTAAATCTCAAGGCAAACGAATAAGTGCTACAGTGAAAAAAATAAAAACAGCTATTGGAAAGACAGATAAAGTTACCAGAAATCGTAGTTCTTCTGCTGTAACAGGAGCTGTAACAACACAAGCCGTTGATAATGGTATGCTGCTATAAATTTACTAGTAAATGTTTAATTTTGTCTTGTTCCAATTAAGAAGAATTTATATAACTTAAACCGTTTATTCTAAAGCACCTCCAAACGATAAACTCATAAAGCAGCCCGTTGTGCTAGCAGTGACGGTATCTAAAGAGGACATGCTTACAAAAGAAATTCGACGTCTTCGAGAGCAACTGCTGGTAACATAAACTAGTTTAGGTGTCGAAGTGTTACTAATCCATTAAGTTAACATTTAAATTCTGCCCATAACAGCGTTTAAAATGGGAAAAAAATAACATCCCTCCTGTTAAAGAGACAATAAAAAAAATCGTACTTGGCCAGGTATTTCTTTCTTTCTTAAGAATGATATAATAGTTTAAGCATAACATTCAAGTAATTTGCGTATGTATATGTATTATACATAGACTTTCAATGATAATTCTGTAATAGCTATAATTTTTATTTTCAGCCTTATTTTCTTGATGGGTATAAAGATATGAATGATAAACTTGCTCTACTAAAAGAAGCGATAAGATCGGATGATGGAAATGCCATTTTAATTGTATGTATTTTTATATATTACAGTACATTAATAATTGATTAGCGTCTGCAATTATGCCCGCATATTGTAATAGAAAACTTATTATCACCAAATTGATTGAGTATTATTCAATTTAAGATTACCTTATTCTTGAAAAGGACTATTAGAAAAGGTACAATTTCTACTATATCTAACTTATCAGATGCATGCAGCTTTTATGCTTACATATAAATATACTGATATTCTTCAATTTTTAGATCTATTTATTCATCAGTTAAAGGACCATCCAGTTGCAACAGATCAATATTTACATTATCTAAAAGTTGCATCGGAACATAAAGATCTAATTGATATGTACAGGTGCACATGAAAATTCTTGAAATTTTTCGGTTATATTTTCGTGCTATTATTAACTATGACTCACTTCTTATGTAACTTTACGCAGTGTTTTAGGTCGAACCCAAGAATTTGCCGTAAGTAACTACATGTAGCATGGTTGTCTATTGCATTTGGATCAATAACATTGTCTAGTAAAATAATATATAAGATTTACATTTTAGGCTTTAAAATATAAGTTAGCTTTAGTTGGTGGAGATCCTCAGGTTAAAATCCAGAACTTAGAAGAGCTTAAAAAGTATATTTCAATATATTATATTCTACCAGTTCTTATATGCCACTGATTTTCTATATTAAGATCCAATAACCGGGTTTGCTATTTCCCTCCTTAGAGAATTCAAATATGACAGACAATTGTCAGTTTTTAGTGCAATAGTTAGCCAGCAATGCTCTCTGATAAAACGCCAAATATCGATTGAGGTACTTTATTTATAAATTTGATAGTCAAAAACTATAGCATGTGATCTAACACATCTTCTTTTTGTTATATTATTAAAATACGCAAAAAACTTACTACAGGCTCAAGATAGTGTACTAATTTCTGGAGAATCTAATGAAATGCTGGTCAAGTATCCACCCACTGGATCAATATTTGAACACTCCTTAATTAAGACTTTGAACTATTGTGCAAAATATCATAGCAGCCTGCCACAAGTTCGTGATATGTTTAATTCTATCTGAAATCGTACTTTTTAATTTATACTACGTTTATTAATTTCGTGTAGGATCACTTCAGCAGCCCACATTCGGTTCATAAGGAGAATAAGGTTTATTATAGTACAATACTCTATGAATTATTATTGTCAAGGTGATTTAATAATCTCAGTATTTTTTAGTTAACAGAGAGGCAATTTATTATGGCAACTGTCGATGCTTATGTGAAAACTGATCAGCTCCAATATATTGAAAATTTTAATAAAACTAAGGTAGTTTAAGTAGTGTGATTACCAACAGCCGTTGTAAGCGTGGTACGCAAACTAAATTTTAATAAATTAAAATGTATCGAAATTTTTATAGAGTAAATTCTTCAACTTTGGTTCAAAATCCTCGACACCAAACGAAACCATCTTACAAGCATTAGTTAGTGCAAAAGCATCGGAAGAGGTATGCAAATTGTGACAGACACAGGCCACCTCCCTTAAAATATTTTATTTTTAAAATAAAATCTCTAAATTTTTAAAATTTAGACCGCGACTAAGTACCTAAAAAATATCGAAAATGTGACTGCCAGATATGATTTAGCTAAGCGATTCCGGTATCACACTATTGCCGTCGAGGTAAGTTAGCATTTATCTTTGCATTAGGTTGTCTGTCCAAAATAAACTGAACGATAATAACATACAAATCAAATTTGTCATATCTTATCGTTCTCTAACCGTCTTCAATTTTGTTTACACAGTGCCTCATTTCTCTTCGAAACCGCGACGAATTAGAAGAGTACTGTACAAAAATAAAGAGAAATTCGCCTGCCTATTCAGTAGCTGCTCAAGCATTAGTAAATCCGGTAAATATTGTTGTGTTTCTTTCTTTGTTAACAGGTACAGTAATACCAAAATGTTAATATAGTTAAGCGCCCATGTAAGAATTATTTTTCACAATATTTAGACAATACGGTGGAAATAATGGCTATCTATGCAGTTGGATTTCATCTATTCAAGCCTTCAGTACACGTATTTCAGTAGAGCTGTCATTGCATTATATATTCAATGCAGTGAATATTGAAGCCACAAGCCCTTTGTGAGCTTACAACCGTAACTTCTCAATCAATATGCTAGGTAGTCTTGTGAATTTCCGAAAAATGGTATTTTTATATTTTAATTTTATCCAACCGCATAACGATAGAGACGAAAAGAAGTTTGGTACGCTTAGTAGTCTATAATTACGACAGCACGTATGTACAAATCACATCAAATACTATAGTAACAATTAAATCTCAAACATATTGTCCCTTAGTACATCATAACCATGGCCAGTACAAGTGATGTATATCACATATATATAAATATAAATTGAAGGACTTTTTATATTCAAGCTAGTATATTTATACATTTACTAATCAAATTTCCAATAATTATTATCATTTCAAGAATTCTTTAGCACGACTATATAAATATTAATAATGTCAAAACAAATTTAAGGAGAATATTTAAGTACCATCGAGACTGGTAATTTATGCACTTGAAATGCAATTATTATTATATGAAACATAACGAGTTATTTGTCTATTTAAAAATTACGAAAATAAATTTTTTATTATTGTTTAGTAACAAACTTGCTTAATTCGTCACTCATAAATTTAAACCCTGCAACGATATTTTTCTCAATAATTATAATGCATGTAATAATGATACTAATACTATATCCGTATCTACGGCTTTGCTATATTAGTAGTCATATGATATAAATTTTTTGGAATCATCACGCGATAACGAAAGGAAGTTCATATCCTTAAAATATACTTTTCTACTATGAATAGTTACATTAGTTGTATAATCTGCAAAAGCGTAGGCATACTTTACTAAATTGTAATTGATTTATCTGACTAAAATGTATGCTTTAACTCCCTGACGCCTACGATAGCTCATTGTTTATAGATTTTTCAGCTATCGATACCATAAAGGGCGCGTGTGTGTTTACAACACCGAAACAAGGACTCAATCACGCATGTGAAAGAAGCGAAAGAGTCGCATTCGTATAATGAGTACAGATATATATTGCAGCATAGGTAAATAAATATTTAATAATGTATTGTAAATTACATAGAGATGACAGATATTAATAGCAATATTTTTTATTAGCTGCCATGTAATACAGCAGCGTGCATACGATAACTTTGAATAAATTACCTGCAATATGGCAAATATGTGTATATCATCAAATAGTGCAGATTAGATAACTGGAGTTACTATCAGTTACTAACTTTACCTTCAATATTCTATATGATACAATCAACGGTAATCAAGATACAAATCCAAGTATTCCCATACTGTAACGGTATACTAATATTAATATCTATAGTTCCTATTACAAGTAATCTTAGAAATAGATGAGTACTTCCATGTCCATTTAGTTAATACTAATATTCAATATCAACCAATTCCGATTGCAAATAAATTACATTTCAACACTTTCTTCATCTTTAACAGTCGGTAAACTAGACGTTTCCTTACGCTTATAGTAATTCAGTCTATTGGAAGATGTTTTGACGCTTTCAGTTTCTCGAAATACGTGATTCAATCGGTTTAGAGCTTCCCTATCAATTTTATACAACAGTTAGCTCTGACTTTACAGCATTTCATCCAGCAGCTAGGATAGATTATCTTTTCTAACGTATAGCTATATTTGACATTTAACGTTACAAATAAATAGGCATGTAGAATATGAATCTAAACCTTATTTCGTCTTTGTCGCTGCATACCATAAGACCTTTACCCAAAGTTAATCTAAAATGATATTAATAATAATCAGTAAGATATAGAAATGCAATTTGTAAAAGAGCTCCCTTATTTATTAAGGTGTCCCCTTAATAATTATATAAGCTATTAGTTCCAAAGATATACTAATTTTTCTATACAATGCCTTAAAAGAGTCAATAGCTAAAAATGCGACAAACCTTGCATCAGTCCATTTATTTGCTAATACTAGAACTGCAGCTTTACTTATATATCCCTTTGGTTCTTTACGAAATATATCGATAACCTAAATGGCAAACAATCAGAGACACTCGAAAGTAAATAATAATGGTTGATAAATTCGTGACCGAGTTTCATTGCGAGCAAACTTGAAGTTGCTGGTAATAAGAATTTAACAATACTGCAAAAAAAGCAACGAGATTACGCTATTCATTCCAATTAACGTTCAAATGCCTAATTATGGTATATCCGATGTAAGAAAATCTATTCACAGATGTCATTATAAAGCAAAAATATTCCTACATGATCATATTGATCGATCAATTCATCGATGTAGTCCTGTATTAAATTATCTGGCTTCCGTGATCTATAATCGGAAGAAGTGAAATAGACACAAATGAGTTTATTGTCAACGCCTTTAGATGTTAAAAAAATTATGGCTAACGCAATTTGCAGATATTGTTAGCCATAATATCACATCAAATAGCACTGAATACATTCCGTTGATTGCGTAATCAATTTTAACCAAGACAAATGAAATCGTTATTTTACCGGTTAGAAAATACTGAGAGAAACATTTCAATAATTGAAATCATTTCAAAGAAATCAATGGGCAATGCTATGATATAATATTTAGTATTACATAAAAAATTGAATAATAAACAGTATTTCATAGCATTATGCATTGAATTGCAAAAATTTCATTTTAACTCAAGAATTGAAATGCTTCTATCCAGCAGAGAATGATAGAGAAAACTGTAACTAAAACGATTGGCGAAAATCATTAAGTTCGAATACCATGCAGAGAAAACTGGGGAAAACTATAACTAATGTGATTCATTAATAATGATCAAACTCGAATTGTAAATTACAATAGCAATGCGGACTAGGTTAAAGAAATGGTATTAAACTGAAATAACAGAATTATTTCTTACAAAAATGGCTTGCAATCTGTATAACTCATCGCTTCCACCATTAGCTGGCATGTATTCTGTAACTGATTACTACATAGTGCTTTTTGTACTTTACGATTTAAATCAATAGACTTTAGTTGGCCATCATCATCCATATTCCTAATTGTTCTTTGCTTACTAAAACTAAAGTAGGTCCTATCGAATATTAGAAGTGTTTGATAGTCCTGTCCTATACTCTTCCTACGTAGTAGATTGATCTTTTATTGCATGTAAAAACTAGCTCCTGAACGATGATGTTATACTACAATAATAAACAAAAATCAGCATGCAGCATATGCGTACATTAGGCTTGACTGTAAATCCACTTCAATCAGTTTTATACCCATAAAGCAATAGCTTATTATACTCTATGCCATATATTCCACAGTTTAATTATATAATTGGCATTATAGTCTATAATTTTATTATTATAAATCCCCAAAAATGGTTTGAAGATAATCAATTCAATCGATTATTAAATTGTACATTCCGGATCTTAATAATATCATAGCTAATAATTTTAGCATCAGCGCATCTACTAGTCACCTTACAAAGCAAGCCTCCAACAATTATGCTGCTATATGAAATCCATAGCAAATAAGAAGAGCTTTAAGTAATATTATTAGCTAGTTATATCATCCTTATAGATTATAATATAGCGTAGAGGACCGTAATAAAATAATTGATATAAATATCTTAATAATTAACGATCGGATAAGCAAATTTGATGGGAAAAAAATCAACTTAAATCACTGTTAAAGGTATTGGGTTAATACTTTATTAGAATAGATGATAGGCAATATTGTAGATATAGATATTAATCAGCCATAGTTATAAGGATGAAATAGTACTATGACGGATCTTTAAAAGCTACTTGGAAATTAATGAAATTTCACAGAGTACAAGAAATATTCTAGCTTAAATTAGATAGCAACCGCTAAATAGAATCCTCAGAATATTTTCAATCAATCTACTTTTAATTTGTAAAGATCAGCTATTACAGCTCATTTGGGATAATTCCCTATCCTTTAATGAATTGTATGAACGTATGTCTATGATAGCACGGGATTTCATCTTAACATTAATCATGCTTCTAGAAGATTCAAGAACTGCTAATACTACCGTCAACATCGCAATCAAATTATTACTATAATCATCAACTAAAACGGATTATTTCATACTAGCTCTTATATGCTAAATCTTGATGGTACTTTTTTATAGCAAGAAAATACTTACAAGATACATTTAGATTTGATTAAATTATGGTAACCATAGATTGAATCAAAATCATTAAATAGAAATCCACTGGCGTAATAATATTTATCATAATAAATTTTAACATTTTGTTGGGTTATAGCAAGGGTAAACTGTACATTAGATGGATTAATCTGTTGATTACTGGGTATCTTGCATTGAAAAATTATCGAATTATAGAAAGAAAAATTGAATTAGAATAATGTTCGCAACTGAATTCAATCGACAACATGTTACTTCGCTAAACTGGCTTATACTCATTTTTGTTATTAATTTTATAAATTACTCTCTGTGATTATTCTGTCATATAATAAAATCTAATATGGTTTTACAAATTTGTTACGTAAAATCATGGTGAAAATACGTCTTCAAGGTAGTATCGACAGAAAACAGAGGCATTGAAGCAATTCTCTCTCTAATCTCATCCTAATATTGCATACTTGTTTCATCTCGTTGAATTAAAGCGTGCCATCTTACCATAGGCTGATTGGGTAATCGAATTGTTTCATTCCAATGCTCTCTTTCGTTCTCACCACTACATTGCTTCCCTATGGAGAAACCGCCTAATAAGTCTTTACTTTTGCCAACTCCTTTCACTTGAACCATGGAAAAATGGAAAGTTGATTCAACAAAGTGTTTATGGCTTGCATCATAAGCAAAAGTAGAGTTATACTCCGGATCTCGCCTGCATTTTTGTAATCCCGTTTTATTTTTATCGAGTAATCTACCATGATGATCTTTATGTGTTACCTTGACATATGAGTCTACAATTGAAAATAAAATCAGCCCAGTTTCATTGCAGTGAATGATTACTATCATAATATAGCAAGCTAAACAGGGTCTCAATAATGAATATTTGAAGCTATAAATTTATGTCACGGACGATAAACTATAGTTACTATAACCTAAAAGAAATCAATTTTACGTTAAAATTTCACTATTCATTGTCAGAAGAATCATCCATTTCATACTAAATCTCTCCAATGATTTTGTACTGTAAAATATCGAATTCAGTACAGTAAAAGTTTAATGAAATTATCAACACTACTCATCGAGATTCTGAAAGGGATCTACTAAAATATAGAACAGAAGCTAAACAACTTGATTGAATGAATACTTACACGATTAATGACATTAACATGGATAACCTTAATTAATTTAACATCAGAAATGAAAAAGACAGAGAGTAAAGAGAGAAAGAGAACAACAAAGGCGAGGTAATCCTAATTAGAAAAGGATATTACTATTTTCTATCAAGCTGTGCCAGAAAAATTGAGATAGCGTGATAGAGTAAGAGCTTTCGAGTGAAGTAAAGGTTAGCTAAAATGCATTGTCAGTCTTAATGTTCAAAAGTCGTCATAGTATAATTTAATGTATTTAGAATAGATCTAAAAAGGAATGGTGAATAAGACTGATATACCTGGTAAATTGGCCATACCAGGATGGAATAAATTTTCCGCCTTTATAACTTTGACTAAAAATTGAGCAATTTTAGGCTTGTAAGTCAGGGAAACTAATAATTCCGGAACTCTCCCATGAGGTAGCATCGAGGATAGTTCGTAAGACCCATTACTTGATATACTAGCTGAATCAGGTAAGTCCAAGTGTGATGGCAATGTATTAAGCGGCTAATAGAAAACGACGATCATACAGTAAGCGAAAATATCCTCAATGCAAAGAAAGACAGAAACTAGCCATAAAATTTAATTACATCATTTAGGACTAGAGGCCTTTCATTACAAGTACATGAGTTCAAAGAAAAAATTATGGAATGTGACTATTGACGAATTAAAAACTGTCTATATGATATGTTTCATAGCTATTATTGACAATCTTAACAAGTGTTATACCATGTTGTCAATTCTAAATGATATCTATGATTACTTGCTGCGCGATAGCTTTAAATTTACGGATAGAAAGTTCTTAGAGAACCTATGGGTTATGTCGTAAATTATTTCTATGCTTGAGTACGGACTTGATGGCAGCTTAAATTATGGATAAGTAATTTGGAGAATTGATTACAAATTTTTAAAGATATCTAATTTGTATTTACACTAGTATGCCATAATCTAATTTGGAGAGAGTTAATCATTTAGATCTTTTCTATACGCAACTTCCAATACACTATTACTCCTTCTGGTGGGTTATGGATACAATTTTATTTGCGTGATAAGAATTGTACGGAAGATTTTTCAAAGGGGTTTGATTTATCTTCCTTCTTTGCTTATGAACTATAGTGGAAGTAGCAGAATACTCTAATTTCAGATCTTCCTAAGCGTAATTTACGTTTTACGAAATTAGCTGAAAGGTTTTAATGATGTCTGATTTGTCCTTCTACTACTATCCTGTTACAGATATATAATAGAAGTAGAACAACATTATAATTGCAGAACTTCCATCTTGCAATCTTATTTACTTTATGCGTCCTAAGAAACTCACTGAGATCTTTTCAAAGACATGAGGTATACTATAATCACGTATATGCAGTAAAGAACTAAATCATTCCAAATCTTTCTCTATGCAATGTCATTTACTTTATTCGTTGTAAGAAATTCACTGAGGTCTTTTCGAACGCATCTAATTGATATTCCTACGGTATTACCATACTATATGAAACATATAGTACTATACCCAAATTAAGAGTAAATTAGGGGAAAATGCGGCGAGTGTTTAGGTTAAATTGTCGTCTGCTTGCCTCAGAGCACGCTATTTCCGAATAGAACCTTATTTGCGTCCATTTTATGTCACAAATGCAAGATTTAGCTTCATTATCGACGAGAAAAGGACTGGTGCGAGTTTAAAATCATTTGTATCCGTAACTAAAATAGTGCATTATATTGTATAGCGTCGTAATATATACTAGATAAACACAATTAGTATCTACTGAGAAAGCAAAGTTATGACAGGAATTGAAAATGAAGGGAAAATTAAAGGAAAAGGCGCGAGAACTTGTGTTGAAGAATCACTTATTTGTCTTATGAAACGTTATTTTCGATTAGGGCCTTCCTTATTAAACTGAGAATGCCTACCCAATGAGATAACCAACATGGATGGTAATAATCTCCATCCGCAATACGGATAATGGCTAGATTAGCATAGAGGTAACGTTGAAATCCCGACGTAAGCTACGCACAGTATATCCAAATACTTGAACTACTAGAATGGAACGTGAGTCTATAGCGTATTGAATTTCATGTTCAATTCCTATCATGGCTATAAACACTTAGCTATCAACATAAAATGAAAATTTTTCTCCTCAACATTAAACGGAAAAGAAAGCGAAAAAAATAAACGTAAAATAGAAAGAGAATAAAAACAAAACGATATCTACATTCATTTTGATGATTGGAAACGAATTTTTGAGCTCGTGTTTGTTAGAAACTAGTTTATAGTGTAATCTTCAAGTCATGCTGTTAATTTGTGTAGCGAGTAGGCCATCTGTGAACTACTTTCTTCAAGAAATACATTTCTTTACTGGATTTAATTTAAATAGACATTGGTGACTATAGGCGAGGATAGCATGGGATAGAGTGCAATGAAGAAGATTAGAAATGATCATTAGCGAGATATGATTGGTGAAAGACTGCATGCTGCATTAAAGTCATAAAACAGTAAAAACTTTTATTTGTAATAGTAAATTAATCAACGTACTGCAAATTGATGTAAACTTTTAAACTAGAGTGCTTAAGTTTACCTGTCCATTAATTCCTGTCTTTACTGGCTGAATAGCTGTAGTTTGGTGGATTGATTCAGCATTCTCATATGATGCAACGATAGACATGGGTAGGAATGATTCACCGATGACTTTTTCCGAGGAAAAGGAAATTTTATCAGTAGTGTGATAAATTCGTAAGCGTAAAACTGCATCTTTCATGTCTTCTAGACTTATTTTAGCTAACTCAAATTTCTCGTTAAAGATGGCTGATCGCATATTACGCCGTTTAGTCTTGAAGCGTTTCTTTTTACTGCCAAGGAAAGCTCCATGGACTGATACTATGCCTTTACTAACGTTGGCAGGTAAATCGCTTAATCTTTCGATATTGATGGTAACAGTTGATTTTGTTGTATCATAAGTAACTTTAAATTGAACTTGACCACTTCTAGTATTTAATTGAGAAAGACTTTCTTCGTAATCGGAGTTGTTTTGATCTTGTTCATCGACATCGGGTATGGTACTACTAATTTGTGAGGAAATACTAGGATTAGGTATAGTATGGTAAGGCATCACCGATGATGAATTTCCGTCGTTATGGTATGGAGCTGAATCGTTAGGATAATTATCACTATCATTAGTCGATGTTAGAGGAATAGATTTAAGCGATCGATCATCATATTGTAAATTACTCGTATTTCCAGTACGTGCATAAGGAGTTGATCTTGATTCTGTTTCAGAAGTTCGAGCACCATTTTGCTGACCGGCTGCAATTCGAGTATTATTTCCATTGGCATAATTTCGATCATATTGTTGCCGACTAGTATTACTTATCGATGGAGTTATTGGTCTACTAGTAGCAGCTGCTATATTGGCACTATTAGTATAACGTCGTTGATTGCGATCTTCACCATAATTTTTTTGCACTTGAACAGATTCTAATGCATTATTTTGCCGATCTCTCAATAATAGATCGGATTTCTCATCATTATGATCGATACTATCATCAGAGCCATCTTCTGCATCCGTACCAGGCAATAGTGACCTCGGTTTTGATTTTTTATGACATGGACAACTCTCGCAACAAATTTTTTTACATTTCTTTTTATGTAGTATGGTACAGTAGATGATTAATAGGAGCACAAGCAGAATAGAGATGATGAAAAGGGCAACAATGGCTGGCAGAGGTACTATTTTCATGGAATAAAAAATCAAATAACGACGTTAGACGATGGTAAGTCAAATTTTAGATATACGTATTAACTACAATCAGTAATGATGCTATAACGGCAGGAAGAGCTACTATTTGGATGAATTGAAAAAGCAAATAACAACGTTCGATGAGGGTAAGTCAAAAGTTGGATATACGCGTATTAATGATCAGTATTGATGCTAGAACAGCTGGTAATGGTATTATTTAGATAGGATAAAAAAGCAAATAACAGCGTTAAGTAATTGTAAGTGAAATTTTTAGAAACGTTAATGATCGATAACGATGTCATAACAGCCGGAAGAGTTACTATTGAGATGGAAGGAAAGGCAGCTAGCAAAGTTAAATAATGGTAGGTAAAATTTTAGATACGTTAATGTTCAGCAACAATGTAATAATGGTTGGCAGAGGTACTATTAGATAGATTAGGAAAGCAAAATACTAAAGTTGGATAAAGGTAAAGTAAAAATTTTAGATAGGTTAATGATCAGTAACCGTAAGTCGTGAGACTTCAAATGATTATAAAAGCGCGGGTGATAATCTTGTATTCCTTGGTATAATAATGGATGATATTAATTATAAAGAATTAACATAAAAACTCGAGTAAGAAGCACGACTAAAAATTTCCTTGAGTAATGTTGTCAGCGGCGTCAAAATATAATGAGAGATTTTTATTGAAAATGTATTATTGGATAGCGCTAGAATCCATTCGATTTAGGGGGATATTATATCAACGCATAATTTAAAATATCGGATAAACGATAAATTTATAAGAATAGAAAAGTGGTTTAGCAAAAAGCAGAGCTGAAATCTATTTATGATGTTAAGGGGAACGGCATCAAAAAGAGATAGTATGGCAGTTGATATAAATGGATTTTTTCAAGAATAATTCTAAAATTTCTTTAATTAAATTGTGTTGATAAATTTACTTTATCACTACCATTTTTAAGTGAAAAATCAATTTATCGATGTAAACTATGAATTTATTAACATCAAACATCAATATGATAACATACAGTACAGTAAGTAATGGGGTTAGAGTTGAGAGAAAACATATTACTATTCCCTATCAAATTCTATCAAGTCAAAGCTAGTATTACACAATCCAAGGTACTAAAATAAGAATGTATCCTTGCACATGATACGTATTTATTTGTGCCTTAAATGATATCTTATTCTACTATTTTTAACCAAAATTTATGGGCTTTAGAGCTGTACTAGTAAGGAGAGAATGCTCAATATAAGATTAGAGTTAACAGAAAATTACTATTCCCTAATAACTCCGCTAAGATTTAAGTTTTTGATCATAGCAAGCTAATAGTAATAAAATGTTTTCTGGTAGTCATCTAGAAGACGTCAACTATCCCTTCCACTGTTTTCTCTTGCAGTATGCTGCAATTTAAAATAAGATCGGGCTAATTTGGATAGTATTACTAAGTAAGCAATAAAAATATAGGAATATATCCAAGAGAAAAGACTGTTATTCATTATCCAATCTTATTAACTTAGAGCTAAAATCAGATCACTAATAATATCTGAAAATAATCTGTAAATTGGATACTGCTGCATCGCTTCAGCAATATTCTCTTGCACTACCATAGATTTAAAGTAAAATGCACAATATAAATTTGAATGCATTCTACCAAGCAAATCATTTATCTCAATGATAATCAAGAAGGCAAAATGAAAATTTAAAATTAGTGAATATTTATACGTCTTTCATAAAAGATTGAACTTACTCGGTAACTTTGCCATTTTGGTTGATACTGCCTATACATCCTTATCAGTCAGATATTGCCGTATGCATCCTTTCATTTAATCTATAACCTGTTCTAGCACTGCAATACAACTTCAGCTACGACTAAAATTTGCACAGGTATAAGACTTGTCAATATCGAATAGAAAATATGGCGACTCAATCTTTGTATCACTTTATATCAAAATGCAGCAAAGTAATTTAAAATTCAAGAATTGTTGAAAATGCAAAATAAACTTCAATGAATCCTTTACAACGATAATACCGTTTTAAGCTATCACTAGCTCAATCATGTACAGAAAAAGTGCTTAAAAAATCCGCAGGAACTAAATTACAAGGGAGATAAAAAGTTAATAGCAAGAAAAATGTAGCCAGATATTATCTTTCATGTCAACTAAGTTCTACACTAAACTAATCAGCCTGTCTTAGCGTAGTTTGTCACGAACAATAGTCAGTGACCGTTAAACTTGAAAAAGGTTAAAATATGCAACATACTGTTAAAAACAGCAAAGATGGTTTGCCATATAGTTAGCGTCTGGTTAACAATTGAATTATTCCATTATCTTGCCGATGAGACGCTACCCTAAATAGTCTATCTATAAACAACATAAGTTGGTTAGCGTTATAACCAAATCTATTTTCATAAATGACAACCTTATGGTCAATTCTACTTAAACAATGCTAAATCAACATTATTATTTATAATAGTATGATTGATTGAGAAGGGCTTATAGCCATCAACAGCAGGGTTAATCATCTACCTTTACTGGGTCATATCTCATAACTCTTCTATTACAGTCCGTTAATAATAACAACACCATAATTTTCATATTATTGCGAAAGGAACGTTAATTGAAGTAATTCGCCTGTTGCTTAAAATAAGTTGCTTCAGTAAAAGTTAAATAATTTCCATATAATTTAATAAATAAGAATCGTCGTTTTTAAATTTTCTGCCATAGTATTTCATATGCGTATATGTGCATACGTATATGCACACTTGTACATTATAAATCCTACGGTAATCATACAGCCACTACGAACCAACGACGATGGCACAGTTAGAAACGAGTCTGCACTCTACAGGTATTCATGCACGCCAATATAATATTCATGTGTTAGGTAAGGTCATATGTCTATAGCTATCTACAATATATCAACTCAGCACATAAGTTGGATACAAAAATACCAAATTTTCTCTAAATCATTCATGGCATAACGGGAAAAGAATTCGAAATTTTATGATTGCATTATGGCGATCATAAGTCTTAATAACGGTGCAAGTAATTCTATTGTAATCATAAAAATTCACAAGTAGCTGATATTAAGAGTCAGATAAATCATTGAGTTCAAGCCTTGTGACGTGATGAGTATGCTTGTGTTTAGATTTCAATCTAAGAATATGCAATGGAAGTTATAATATTTACTTATTAGCCTATGAAGTTGTGATACAATTAATCTAAGAATAAGCAATGGAAGTTGTAATATTTACTTATCAGCCTATGAAGTAGTGATGCAATTAAATTACTTGACATTAATTACTGTTAATGTAATTACTGACACAGCCAAAAATTTGAATACATCTGTAACACTAATTCAATTTACAACAATCCTTTCCATATTTAGAAAAATTGTAATATGTTATTCATGATTAGTAAAAATATATAGCATGTCAACGTTACCAAAACTGTATTTAGCAAATCTATGCCAAAATTACAGCGGCTACCAATTATCCAACTAGGTTATCTTTAGTCCAAAATTGCTAGACAAGAAATGACTCTTAATAATAGCAAGAACAAAAAATAAATCATGGTAAATAAATTCTTGAGATCCTGTAGTACTGCACTACCTTTAGTTTGAGTACTTAAGTGACATTATTGGTACTAACACTACAATACTACAGTGGTTGACATGTAATATGTATACTTGTATAGTATACACGAAGGATCGCTAGTTACAAATTAAATTAAGTACATACTTTAAAGTCTTGTATGTTTTCGTCATAAGCTATTCTCTGGTTGATAGCAATAGTTGTACCTGTTGTTATGTAAAATTTTCTAATTCGTATTAAAATTCACAAATTTATAATTTTATTAATGTTCGTCCGTAACAGGCGCGAGGCCGCTCTATAGGATTTGTCAATTTAAGCTACCCAAAATGTCTTTAAATGCCTAATGAAAGATTTTAGTACAGATGCCATAGCCGGTTTATAGCATTACTCTTGTTATTGTCAATTAATATTAAACGGGAGAGGGGAACTGTAGATGTACGCTTTATCAGTCCTCCTTTACTCCTGATTTCTTAATTACAGCACCAGGCGTGAAGAGCAACTGTTACAGCATCGCTACAATTTATTCAATGTTTATTAATCCTTTAGAAAAGATCTGTCGATGGTACTAATATAGGACTTCTACGCTAAATTAGCAATTATTTATTGTTAATGCTACAGTTCCGTTATTCGTTAGACCATATTAATAATACTCGTAAGATAATAGCTAAGCATAATCAAGTCCTTATGGCAATTTTAATATACAATATAGCATATACACAATTTACGTACTACAGAGGCAAACCTTAATTAATTTATATCGTTATTGCTATACATATGTTGTATACATATACTTGGATACTATCTATTGTTACCTCTACAACTTGTAACTGCTTTAGCGAATTGGATTCAAAAATAATACATTTCGTAATTTTATAAATAAAGTTCACGCCTACATTTATATTCAGATTCCAAAATTTATAGCCAATACAATCTAAACTAAACAATACATATTATCTCATGTTACAAGCAGTTTTCGTATGTTATACACAGTATATATTACAGTCAGTTTAATATACAAGTAATGTACGATGACAATAAATTATGAATCGAACATACATATATTACACATTTTAACCAAGAGAGTCTGGCGGCTCCAAACCTGAACACGGTTGGATTCATATATGGTACATTAAATTGGATTGCAATCATGCCAGTAACATTTAATGATATGACGTTATATCATCTCTTTTACAGATTGGAATAAATCTTCCAGAATAATATAATCCTTTTCTATGAGCTAGATCTAACTAACATCACTTTCACCCTGCAGAACGTATAAGTTGGGCTGACTAAGGACAAAATATGCGAGCAATATGTTGGATAATTAGTTGCGTAAGTATCTTTAACCAGATATACTATCAATGTCATCCATTGATAAAACTGAAATATCTGCTTCTTCCTTATCATTATCGTATATCTCTTCAGAACGCATAAAAACTCTTGATTGATCCTTGTCTTCTTCCTCCGTCACAAATTCCATGCCGTCAGTTCCTGACAAATACGTAAATATACGCGTATAAATATATGGTAGAAAGGATTATACCAAAATTTGTATACCGAATATAACATGTAATAATGTTTATTTAATCTAAAATGTTTCCAATTTATGAAACTAAAAATATTACAGTAAATACTACCTGCTGCAATAGCGCCTAACGGCTCTAATTCTGAAGGACTGGATGAATGACAGTCTAATATTTCTGTTTCTAGTTTGTCCGGCAGTTTTGGCCTAATATCAGTTGCAGGTATTTCTGTAGTTGCTGATATAGGCGTAACATATCTGATGCCACCAATTGCCGTGGACTCTACATTGCCATCATCTATATGGTCTGGATAGTTACGATTTGATGATTTTGCAACGTCTCCTTTTGTTAATGTAGGGTTAATCTTTTCGATATTGACCTGTCCAACACTCAGCTGACCTTCACTGCCATCATTGTCGAATTCTACCTGGTCAATGCTTGATACTTTAACTTGCCTAGCACCAGGCGAAATTTCACCTTCGCTTGAGCAGCTCCCATCCTATTATCAAAATCAACAAACTGTAATTGCTGTACTAAAGAACATGTAAAAGGTAATAACTTTTTGATTTAAAATCTCGTTATATCTAACATCATCAGGTAATGGATTAACTTCACTTAGTGTGTTATCCATAACTGTGTCACTACTAGCGCTTTCGGTTGGTAGTTCATCATCCAGAATAGCTTCAATTAATCTTCGAGAATTGATAGCTACAATCAAAGACAGCAAATAAAAATTTTAAAATTACATTCAAATATTTAGCATACATACTAACAATAGACATAGGTATTAATCATTTCACCGGCTTCATAATGTGGCCGTGCATCCTTCTGAATTTTATTCTTATGCACAAATTCTCCTTCACTCCGCGACTCTACATACGCAGTTGATTCGTTCGTCAACAATTCCCCTTCCGAAATACCATCTCCATACGTATCATTTGTTGTAACTATAGAGCTAGACTCTGACATGGTCTTAGGGCTAACTTTTCCTTCATCTACAACTACCAGAATGTTTATCATTTTTTAATTCTAAAAACTAACAATAAGTATTACAGAGAAAACTGTAACCAACGGTATGAACTGAACAAATTAGTAACGTTACCTTTCTCGACTTCTGTATTCGACAGCTCGGAATGTTGCAGTTCTTGTATTACTGATAACTCGTCATCGTTAGCAATTTCAGCAGAAGTGGAAAAATAACTACTACGTTAATAATTGAACATTAAATCAATGCTGATGCCTTCATGATGCAATACAAAGTTCAATGTATACAAATATAGATTACTAAGGCCGTACATAGGTCTAGGCGCAATTACTGCACTCTTGTCTATTCCTTCGATCATTTGCTTTTCAGAAACTGAAGTATAAACTTGATGTTGCGAATTGTATTCTTCATCTTCATCATAAATTCGAGTGGTGCCACCGTACTTATGGCTAGCAATTACGGTTTGGTTAAGATCGTCATCACTCTGGCTTGATTCCGAAGTCAGTGAAAGGTCCTCCATCGCTATATTCATTGATCCTTTATCAGACTCAGACGGAGTAGGAGTCACTGGAGGAACCATTTCGATTTCCGAAGGAGGAGGCGTTGCAGAAGGACTCAGAATTGGTGTATCCAGGTCCGGCTTTTGAAATTTTGAATCCTATTGTTGATGTATTCCATTTTAATTAAGACACGTCAATAATAGGAATAGTGACTTGCATAAAAGTAGATTCTACATGATCAAACCTCTATATCTTTTTGTGGATTATTTTCTGTTAAATTTTCACTATCAATGCTACGCTCATCGTATGCATTATCCTCATTTTTTACTATAGTGTCTAGTCCTTGTTCTAGATCAGATGATGTCGATGAAGAAGCATTCGATTTTGGAGGTGTATATACATTGGGAGCTTCAATCACATTAAATTCATGGTCTGAATCTGATTCTGGCGGTGTTGGTTGAGGCGTTAGAACTGTTTTATCTAATATTAGATTATGTTCAGATTCTAAAACAAGCCAGAAAATAGAAGTTATATTAATAGCACTTTACTACATGTTAGAAAAACATTATTGGTGACGTTAGTCTACCAGACGTTTGAAATCATTACCATCTTCAACTTGTGCTCCGGCCATCTGATCTCTCAATTTATCAGTCAAAACCTCTGATACTAGGTTTTCTACTGCTTCATGATTGATAGAACTTCCGGCATCAATTAGTAACTGCAAACCTCGAGATCCCATTTGGTTTACTATAAATGAATAAATTACAACCAAGAAAAATAGCATGTATTAGCCGTAGTTTACTTTACTCAACTGTTTACATTAAATATAAATATCCAATTACAGAGATCAGCTTCGCTGCTCTTCGAGGAAGATTCATCTGCTTCATTACTACTCTCGACATCAACATTACTGATGTTGCGTATATTACCAGCCTCTGAAACTATTCTTGCAATCAGTTCCTGTTCAACCCTATAAATAAAATCGACAATATTAAATTCCTGGTAGTAACTCATATATATTACAGTATAAAATTTTACAACTTTAATAAGTCGAATTTCCATATATTATTTACTCATACCAATCAACTATATTATTTCGTATCATTATTTGCAATTGTTGTTCCGATTCTAGAATATTTGTTTCACCAAAGTATTTACCGCTGATATACCGATTTCTAGGCTCAGCGTTGTATGAAGGAGATTTATTTTTCGGTTGGAGACGTGCTCCTTGCAAGGATAACGACATTACCAAATTTTTATCACTGTTTCCATTCTAGATAATCATAATTTACAATTGAATATTAGGCCAACATTAAATTGCAAATATATAATACTAACAAGAATAATATGAGAATATTATCACACGTATACAACCTACCCTGATTGGAATCTCTTCTTCAGTTTCACTACTGAATGAAGACGGCTTGTCCTCATGCGACACAGTTTGTAATTCGGCTTTTCTGTCCTTATTAACAGGATGGTCAATGACTTGTTCCTCTACTTGAGGGCTCTTTCTTTCTTCTACATGAATATCAACTTGTAAAATTGAAAGTGAATAAAATTAGAGCAAATCTTAATTAATTTTTTATTAGATAACATTAAATACTTAATTCATAACCATAAATTAACTCAACTAATGAACATATACATACCATTTTCTTTAATATTTTCGTCTTTGCACAGATTAACCGACTGCGCACTGTTATTTTCTCTCGATTTTAAATTATTAAGATCTTGGCTGTCTTTCATAGGCTTGTGTGTATCCTCTACCGTTACAGAATTAGATATAATAGGGTATCCTAAAGGAATTACCTTTGACTCATAATTAGGTAAACAATCAATCCGTTGACGCCTAGGTTCTGCTTTATAATAATTTCCGCCCATATTGAATTTGGAGGTATCGTTACTGGTTCTCCTGTGTAATCCCTTTTCAAGCCCTATTCGAGATTGCATCCTTTCTTTAAGGCTAGTCTTGTCTCCATTAATAGAGTTATTCACCTTTCCCTTTTTGGATTTATGTACAGCGAAATCATTTTCTACCTTTTTATTAGATTCCTTTTTGCCTTTCAGAAATCGTCGATGACCCTTGACGGTATCAATTTTTTTAGTTTCATCTATCTTCCCGCCTGTACTATTACTTTCATTCTGGGGGATTACTACTTTAGTTAAAGCCGCTACAATCTCCGGTTCTATTTCACCTGTAATATTCTCAATCCTATTGCTAACCTCCATTTTAATACGTTGTGTGCTTATATCTTGAAATGTTTTCATGTTTTCAACCTTACTAAAAATGCTATTCCGATAGCGGCTCACTTGCGAAACAATTTCCAAATTATTATCAATAATGTTCGAAGTTGAGAGTATCTCTTTTAAATCATCTTCAGCTTTTCCTATCCCATTCCATATCTGCCGATTACTAACTTCCATCAGAATATCTTCCTTCCGATTACTTGATTGTGAGTGTGGCAACATGTAGGAATTTAGCGGTTTAGTTTCTCCGTAATTACCAATGTTTACGCTAACAGAATTTTTTGATTTATTAGACTTAATCTTCGTACTAGGTATTGACTTCTTGGATAACTGACTGCCTAAACGATTTTCATCATGAACTGACGATGGAGAACTTTCAGATGATAGTATTTCTGCTAACAGTTTGCCTCTTTCGTGATTTTCTTTTTTTCTAGCTTGCTTGGAGTGATTTTTTTCAATTGGCTTAGGAGGATTGGTGCGTGGACCAACAAATTTAGCCAAAGCGTATTGATTATTATTACTGTTCTTTATATCTGATCTAACAGTGTTTGCCATAACATCACGAGTAACATTTAACCGATTGTTATTATAGTGTAATGACTGCGATTGAACATTGTCATTTGGTGCGATAGCATTACCATCATTATCGGTTGGAGAAGGTAACAACTTGGACGTGCTTACGGGGTGACCTTTTTCGAGTACACTTTTACTTTTTCTATCAACATCTCTCTGCTGAAATTCATAGTTACGACGTTAAAAACACTTTAGTAATTTATAGCACAAATAAAAATATCAATATGAATTTCTCGACCTGTTCTAAGCCTTCAAGCTGATTGACTAGACTATGAACTTGTTCTTGAAGTTTATTTTGTGTTTGAAGTAAATTCTGTTCACTCCGATAGGAATCACTCTTGTTAATGTTGTTATCTATTACTTGAAGTCGATTGATGAGTTCATTTAATTTGTTTTCTAGCGTTTCTTGAACCTGAATGCGATAGTTGAAGCGTAAGCATGTAGAACAAGATATGCAACATTTTAGAATAGTGCAACTTAATACTGATGCAGTTACATTACGGTAATTCATGTACATGCGTCTATTCTATTTCTCACCTTTAAAATAGGTGAAGTATTTGCAACTGCAACTGCAGCGGCGGCGGCAGCAGCTGCAGCTGTAGAAGCAATATTTGGTTCCTTCGATTGCTGAGATGTCTGTTGAAAGTCATCATTAATTTTATTCTTGATCAATTTTGGTTGGAGGACCCGTTTAATAGGCTTATTTCGGTTTCCTTGGCTACTTATTCGATAAAAAAAGGTGATAAATAGTAAGATTTATGGACAACAGTGTATTTTAATCACATCGTATATTTCCTTTAAATTTTTTCATAAAAGTTCAATATCTGAAATTGTTTAACAGAGTTACACTTGCCTGTGTATGAACGTAGATTTTAATTTTTGTTCGCGATCGCTAAGCTTGAAGGAACGAGTGACAAGTTTGTCTATTTTATAATCAAGAAGACAGGTATATAAAATCAAGTCCAATGAGCAAATCTAGTTATAGGTTAATTTCCAGTATACATACAGTATATATAGGGTAGTAATAATATATCATTAATTCATAAATTATATTATCGAAGTTTACGATTTACCTTCGAATTTTCCAATTTCGATCGTAGTATCATGCTCTCCTTGTTGTATCGAGCGATTTGATGACTTATATATAAAAAAGCAATATTTTCGGATTTTTTAGTAAAATCAATTTAATAACTATATAACTATGAACACTATTCGAAATTAGATATTTTTAAACTTAAAAGCAAAGCTAACGTACAATGAATTGCTACCATTTTTAACACGCTATCGTACGTGCTATAATAAATCATATCATTATTTTGTGGCCAGGTATCATATCTTTGTTGTACAAACTGCTGTAGAAAGCAATTACTAAGCGATATGTTTTAGCCTATTAACAACATTACTTATATTATATAGTTGCAAGGCATACGATAGTGCACAGGCGGCAGATAATAGCCTGGCAAAGATTGAAGACGGTAAATATGGTAGTCTGAGTGCGGTCATATGGTCCTTGTCATGAACCGTCTTAACTGTTAATTCCTACTACAGTACCTACTGGCAAGTAAAAAGCAACATAGGAATACCGTAAATCTTGAATAATATTTTCAAAAATTGTTGAAAAAGTCACTACAGCGTTTACTATAAGCTAGTATCTTATACTGCCAACGTCGATTACGATGGATGATACATTGTACACCTACCAAGTATGATATTTTACCCAAGTAAGATTGAAGATTTCCTGATTATTTAAAATGCTCTACTATTACTATTGTCTGTATGGAAATATCATGTAGTATCCTATGAAGTTAACTGCTCACACAAGAATTCGACAATACTGCTAAAGGTAATTTAGTTATGTTAGTACCTTTATGGTATTGATTGGATGCCTGGAAGCATAAGAATTTCTGTCTTGTCTCAAATCTAAAAAGCATTAATTCAGTTAATCATCATCGAAGATATTGATTGTAAATTTATAACATTAACACCCCAACAAAACAATCCAATTCAATGCTTGCTAATATATTGACATTTCAGTTATAAGGGATTGACTGTGGACTTTGATTATGTCATGATTGTCACTCGAGTATCGGATTTTTGATGGTAGTAAAATTTGGCTTGATAGCCTTACTTAATCGATTGATAAAGTATGCTATGGTTCCAATTTACAGTAATAAGATACAAGCAAGATTTATCATAATAGAGTAGAGTATAAATAATAGAGAAAAATGTGGCAATGAATGCTATAATATTGAATATGATCAAAAGAAGCTATAATTTACAAGTCTTTAATCTTACAATTATCTGCATGGGTATCTTTCGATTTCGTATCATTAGCAGATTTCTTTTGTACAGATTCTAGTGCGTCTTCATCTTCTGTGGTGAGACCATCGTCTATATCTGTAGCAGTTTATAACATTGTAGGAAATTAGCCTGGACATTTTCGAGTAGAAGAGAAAGATATGATGATTGCCATACCGACATGTAGTATATTACGAATAATTCACAACATTATAGGGGATTTTATCATTTGATAAAAGGATGTTTTGTATCGGGTAATAAACTGTATGCTGATTGATGTGGAAGAGTGATGTAGTAGTGTACAGTATGTCCGTCGATGTCTATTGATAAGATAACTAGTTGGACTTGCACACTTGGGCTTCTTTATCTTTATGCAATCGGATAGTCATTAAAACAGCAATGCTTTTGGATATCAGAAGCATTTGAGTATTTTTAATAGTAAGCAATTGTTGCAAGCTTTATTAGCAAGCAATCGTTGCAAGCTTTATTAGTAATACCTCATAAGTGATCAGACAGATCAATCAATCAAGGAATACCTAGTGTACATTTACTGAGTTGCAGGATGTCGTACAGTGATAGTAGAGGACAATATTTATGTATTATATTCATAAATATAGAAGAGTATTTGGAAGCGATGTTTTTTCTTTAGAATCATGCTGACCCACAGTGTGTAGTATTCCAAGCCGTAAATGGCTATAGCGTTGCTTATAGAATAAATTCTATCCACTTGGTTAGGTAAAAGATACACGTCAGTACGCGCATCTACAGTATTCTCCTGGCAGTAAGCTACAGCTAGCCGGGAATCAACATTCTTATTTGATTTTCGATCGAATTGTGTAGGCATAGTATGGTCTATTACCATCATGATTTGTTATTCCATATTCCTGGTACAGTATAGCGTGGTGATGCTGCAGTGTTTGATCAGTTTTGCAATCATGGAGAGCTACAAAATACGTGTAACCAACATGAAGTGAGAAAGAATATACTGTACTGAAGTGTATATATACTGTAATGGGATTGTTATTCTTTTACAGCTCGTTGTAGGATTGCAGAATCATTGGCACCACTCTGCCCAAGGCTAATCTATTTGCATGATAAGACTGCAAGTACGAGATCGCTTGGTGTACTCATCGTATAGTAGGATACTCTACGTACTGCAAGTGTATTTTTCTATTTGGTTGGAAGTCTAGTAAAAGTGAGAAGCACGACGAAGAACAAGATGATCGACATTGGAGAGAGAATATGACGTTACATTTTGATTGCTTGCTGGAGAAAGTTGTAAAATGGCGACATGAATCATTGAAAATATCATTTGCTTCTCGTAGTCGTTTCTACAACGCCATTGGACTATCGAAACTTACCGTTATGACGCGAGTGATGGCTGAAGCTTTCAAGGTTGTCGTCCACGGCGTCATCTGCAGTCAACTTGAGGCCACTGATCACAGCATTGGCTGCAGCACCGGTTACATTCAATATTTCACTGGCATAAGGCAAGTTGTACTCTTGATTACTATTGAATGCTGTATCGTTTACAGTAAGGCGATCTACTGCAGTCATTATTATTAAAGTGAGTTAGCTTAAGATATTGTACAATGAAGACATGAATCACTTTGAATGTTTCGCCAGCATCTTGATCCTTGAGTCTTGGTCAATTATCAACTTTATATGAATAATATTTTTTTTTAAATGGGCCTTTAGACGCGCGAATGGATTGAAGATGTAACCGTTCCACACGAACGCTTTGCACTGATCGTATTACAGTTACAGTACAGTACAGTACAGTACACTGTACACTGTACTGTACAGTATGATGTTACTGTACAGTATGTACTGTACAGTGCTCGGTAGCCGGTCATGTGTACTGTACACTGTACGTACAGTACAGTACAGTACTGTGTGATATACAGTACTATGTACTGTACTGTACTGTACTCAGTGTACTGTACACTGTACAGTACAGTACTGTAGATGGCTCGACTCTCTTTCCGTTCCGTTCACTGATACTGTACTGTACTGTACTGTATACTGTGCTCGGTAGTCGGTCATGTGTACAGTGTACAGTGTACAGTACACTATTACGGTGTACAGTACTGTACTGTACAGTACTGTAATGTAATGTATGTACTGTACACTGTACACTATGGTACTGTACATTGTAAAACCTTTGTGTGCGACATCATGGTAATACCGTACAGTAGAGTATTCCGCTATGATCTGCGCAGTGCATACACGCTGTCGACACGCCAGTCAATCATACAAGTACAACAACACCTTACGATATTCATCTCATCACTTACAAGAAATTTTGGTAGACAATTTTAGCCATTTTGCTGTACCCATATTAACCAGTTATAGGATATTTGAGGTAAGTCATTATATTGCCATTGACCGCTCCTGAAGTGCAACTTGACGTGGATGTAATCGTTGCCAAAGGCGAAAGCGGTTTGCCAAGCACACTGCAAAGATTGAACGCCAACCATTACTCCCAAGATTGACCGACGTGCTCAGCAGCGCATTCGTGCTCATTAAAATGATCTTACTATCTCTTCTTTTACAATTATCAACAGTAAAAAGAACATACTGTACCAATGTCGTAGGATGCCTATTGCAGCCTACTACAGTGCTGTAGTACCGTTCTTTATTCGGATCTGATCTGATCTGTGTATTCTACTGGCTTCAATCCAGGTTACAATCTTGTGCCATTGCAAACATGCAAAGATATGCTTTCGTTGGGCTTACACCACGCTAGAGTACTATCCGTATGTCCATTGAAATGATCATCGTTCGTAAATCCCCGAGCCTGATTATTCTGTTGCAAGTACTGGCAACGATCGTCAGGTGTTTATGATCACCTCCTACTGTATAATACTGTATACCTGTGTATAATTGAAGCATGCAATTGCCAATGATAAACCTGGATGGACATCATTCAATGTCCAATCACCTCAGTATCCTTTAGGATTTAGTACACTATGATCATTTTCCAGTATTATACTGTACCATCTCTGTAATCTCTGTAGTGCCTTAATTGACTTAGACAAGCTCATTGACAATAGGTGCAAGAAGAAGACCGCTAGTTTAAAATGGCTTGATCGTTTAGGTATATACGTTTCGTAATAAAATTTATTTTTATTTCACTATCACTGATCAAAGGAATTAGGATATTGCAAACATGAATGCCGGCCAAGACGACGTAAATATGAGACAGGTAGGTCTAAATATCGTTAACAAGTACAGTACTGTGTATGCATATTGAAGGTATTTCTACAGAAAGTGCCAACCAAGCTCTGACATAAATTATTCATTTAGAACAACATTCTGGTCTAATTATTACTAACTGAAATCTATTTTTTCGACATTGAAGTTCCGCGACTTTCTAGCTTCATACAATAAATTATCCGAATCATGTTTTAGTGATTGTGTACACGACTTTAGTAGTCGAAAGATTTCAAGTTTGGAGGTAAAATATCTATCACACTAGATAGGCAAAGATAGACATTGGTTCTATTCTATAGTACTATATCGGACTATCATAATGTGCGTTTGCAACTAACTTTTAATATCATTCATCTACTTGCTCAATAGATCGGCTGTGCTTTAAACTGTACGGAGAAGTATTTAAAAATGACACAACGGATTATGCTTCGATTTCAGGAGCATCAACAGCAAGTGACTGAGTCTATAGCCTCACAGAAATAACCATAAATGCTAAGACGTTTCCATAAATTAATATTACTATCATAATTACTCTGCTGTATTACTATTTTGGCAGTGATTGCTATACGCATATTATAAACGTAGCAAATGTTACTGTTCTACTGATTTGTACAGCTTTGAATGATTGACCCAAAACTTAGCTGTGTTAATTTTCTTAATGTTGAACTTGTAATATAAATCAATAAAAGAATTTATAATGCTTTGGTAATGCTATATAATAAAGCTAACCTACTGATTTTACTAGAATTGATTGCAGTATTACCACTTTATGACATTAACAAACTAGGATATTGGATGAAATGTTAACGATAGAGACTACTGTCTTGGGAGATAGCTTAGGGATACTGCGGTATTCGACAGTTCATGTTTACAGATCAGCCATCACCTCTTTTTAGATTTTGTAAAGGTAGAAACATAGTGATGAGATGAATAAGAAGTGATATTGTAAGTGAAGATCTCAATAACATCCGCAGTTGCTGATTTCAAGAAAGATTTATGCGATATTTTGACCTACATTACATAATGTATATGCCTTTTTGAAGATATATTGTTATCATCAGTATACACTAAGCACTTTAATTCATCCATAAATAGTGCCAATTTTTTATCATCAAATAAATGATGCTAACTATATTGAACAATCGATTATTATTGTGAAAGTGTATTATAAAATATCTGCAATGAGTTGGCCTCAATTTTGCTTTATGACTAACTTATGGTAAGCTTCGGTTCGGTTCGATTTTAAAATTACGGGTACAAAATAGCTCAAATATTCATCTTTAATCTTACAGTATATTATAATACTACATAGTAGCAATGACAAGATTCTCAAGTATAAAAGAAGCCAACATTTGTTAGAGAAATTGAATTTTTAGTAGTCTGTAGATGCATTAATACCTACCGTATGCCTACAAGTACGTCATTCAATCATTTATATTATCTGAATCTCACAGTAAAATAGAACTACTAATGTTGTAGGAGTATTTCTATTAGACACTTTAATAAATTTTAACAATAAAATTTTCCGATAGTTACCATTAATATGCACAAAATGGGAGAATAGGCCATAAAACAAAAATTATCGATACCTGCATGTAGGAAATTTCTAGTATTTGTATTCAATAACAAGTCTTGCATTTTAGATAGGAATATCAATGAGGTAAAAATTAATATCTATAATGCATTATACTTAAATTGTAATTAAGATGATTTCTTACTTTATTCAACCATATCTTATGTTTAATAGTATTCAACAAGATATTCTTTCAAATGAACAACCCAAAAATATAATCGCTATGAATGTACATCTCTTTCTATTTGTTGATTTTCGATACGTACGCGTAATGTAATGGCAATTATTGCTATCTAAAAAGCGGATTAATTATCTAGCGTAAGAATCAACACTATCATCAATCGATATTTCACTTATGATGAGTGGAGCGTTGTTAATTACATGCTTTCAATCTATACGACAGTATTAAATAGGATAGAATTATTTCCTTCTTACAATATTAACCATTCGATTGAAAATTAAAATAAACGTTTCGTTCTAGATTATTGTATTATATATTAAGTAATTGCTGCTACTTCGGGAATTCAAAGTGATTGGATTAAAAACGAGCCAAGTGGATAACTTTTACTCAGCCAAACATTTCTTGCGATGCATATACCATATATAGGAAACCATCATCATCTTTCTCATCTCTATAAACTTCAGTTAAAGTTGTCGTCATACTAACCAATGATTTGTTATTGACAATCAAATAAAATGCCTGCGATGGTGTTAATGACATACGATTCCTATATTTATTTACACCGGAGAAAAAAAATGTCAACAAACCGTATAACGATAAAAAGTACTAAACTGACTAGGTCGAGATTACTGTCAAGTCTCCTATACAACGATTAATTTACATGTAAATGATTCACCATGTAGGCTTGATAGTATTTGTCAGCAATAAACTACTGTATGTCTAGTCTTTTGCTACGGCTAATCTGTATAAAGCAATTGAACATGGATATTGATCTATTCGTAGATGAAGAAGACTATAGATAATGAGAACTATTGCTATACCACAAGCTTAACCGACTGTTTGGATACTTTTTCAAAAGAGATAATTTGACTAATAATAGGTAACGATATTTACAGGGCTACGATATTATAGAAAGAAAAAGTAATGTTAAGCCTAGAAGATGGTTATAGCATATAGAGCGATACAATCACGGCTTCCTTCATCGATATTTTAATTATAATATTTTTAAAATTATACCTTTTTGGACCTTTAAAACGATTATAAATAACTAAAGATTGATATTTATAGCTGGATGATAACAATACAACGTAAATACGTTACTTGACGTTTATAGATGCAAACTAACCACATAACTGTTCGAAATTTTAAGCGTCTCTAACAATTTTTTTTAAATTATTTTTTAATGTTGATTAAAATTTCGAACTGTTGTAATTAAAATCATTCTAATTAAAAGAAGGACATTGACTAATTTTGCTCCTATACATCTATTATATCGGTAACAGTTTACTGCCAGTAATATAATTCTTAATACGTATTAATTAGGATCAAGCTAGGATAATGATCAAGATATTACAAGATATTACAAGGTATAGTACATTATCATGCATCGATCACAAACTAATTCTTGGAATCATCAACTTGAACAAAAAAAGAACAATAAATTGATGAAAAAATTTTCCTGTCAAAAGGCAAATAAATCTATCGACACTGACATAATCAGATTGTAGTCAGAGGGTCAAAATGATCTATAAATTTTTCCGTGTCCTTTTCAAGGTATTTTTAAATCTTTTAACTATCTTGCACTAATTTAAAGTAAACGAACAAATATCGATTTACTTTTCCTTTTCTAATTTCTCTTACCTTATTATCGAGACAAATTGGCTCATCGTTAATTCTTGTGGTACTAAAAATTTAGTTTTATCGAGTATAGGTAACACTTTCTCATTTTTGTATCTCTCAACGATAACCTACGATTAAATAGATAGCAAATATCGCGTTAATAATTTTAAAATTTTACTGTCAGAATGATATAAGAATTAAATGGAAGGTCAAAGTCTTTGTTTCTGTTTTTTTGTTATTAGCATTCAATTACAAACTAATTACTATTCGCGAACAAAGTTTTCTCATTTTTCATTCCAATTTTACGCTACTGATTTATTAAATATCTATAATGATACTGTAAATTTTTCATCGTACTAGACACTATAGAAACGGTCATAAATATATCATGAATTATAATTTATGATATTGTATAGGCCACAAAAGTAGCAGATATCGATGCTATGATCATTTGCTGATCGAACGTCGAATTAATTCAAAATTTCATACCGGAATTTTATTGGGAAAACGATAGTGGATATTTTCTACTTCGGCCTTTCTTGCTTCTATTTCAATAATCGTAAATAGAAAATGGTTATCCTTGGTATCAACATCATCATGTAACTTCCAATTGCTATGGTGTTGTTCAGTATATAGTGGTACCTGTCTTTACTTCCAGTAAAGAAGTATTCTGGATAAAATTATCTAAAGATAAAACTATTTACTCTCCCCACTATGGAATAGCTCTATCATTATTACAACTAATGCTACATACTGTATTTCGACTCTGGAAATGACATCAAACTTGAACATCTATATCCTCTCTTTTTCTACTTCTTTACAACTAATAACGATTCACAGATGGGAAGAATAGTGCCGGGGATGGTACTAAACATTTATCGTTAAAAGTTAAGGATAGAATAGACCGTATGATAAAAACAAATAAATGTTGAGGAATTTATTTTATAAGATTGCAATTTACCATTAGTATCAATCTAAATTTATCTATAAGCATCAGTTTATGAACATATTCAAATGCTAATTTTTTTTCTAGTTTATGCTACTGTATTCTCGAAAATAAACTTAGTTACCGAAAGACTTTCTTTGCTTGAAATTTTTCTGACCAGGATTAACATTTAATGGTGACATTTTTACGATAATTTAGAAATGGATTTTATCGACTGTAATAGCTACTATAAAATAAGCTAATATTAGCCTCAACAACAAGGCAAACTACGACTAGTTGTTCTAAACGAATAGTTGATTGTAACTGATAGAAACAACATACATACGTAACTACATCAAAGCTACTACGTAACTTGATGATACTATGGAAGAAAGTCTACGCTAATCGCGTAGGAATTGACTCTGGCCAAGCTTGTGAATTCATTGTTCGAGAGTATTTTGTATTTATTTTTTCAATGCTCATGCTCTACCCTAATATCAAAAGACGATAGCAACACCACCTGTGTTTTTCCTTTCTGACGTCATTTTGAAAGGCATCCAAAGTAGACAATAAATGTAAAATGAACAGCAAATATTTCATTGCTTATGACTGCATTTTACTAAAATGTTAGACACATTTATATGGATATAGCGATCATTATTATTATAATGAGTATTGATTATCTATTCTATTAGAGTATTCGCAGCTAGACGATAATAGCATCTCTGTTTTAAAAGTGATCATTCTCCTAGGACGCTGATACTAAATTGACCACGTTAAAATTTATTTCTCTTGTACCGAATTATTTTTTTTAGCATCTCTTTTAGCTGTGGTAAAATCAATCAGAACCAAAAATACTCTTTCGTTAAAAAAGAGATAAGGACGGCATCCACTACATACTATAATAACAATTATTAATAATGTTTGCTATATTACGATAAAAGTATTGTATTAGCATTTCCATATGGTATTTCAATGACAGTAGTGCGTAGTCATGCCGGCAATTACCAGCCAAAAACTACGTAAAGTATTGAATGGTAGCCAATAGTTTGAATAAGTACTTTGACAGTTAGACATTTTCTTTCTCTGTATCCGAAGGAAGTACATTAATTCATCTATTTTCATCGTTATTGACGTCTCAGTATTCGGAGTTGGAATAGGACTTTGACTTTTTTTTCTATTTATTTGGCGCTGATACAATCAAGGAAATACTCTTTACAGTGATAATATTTTGTGGTATACAATATTTAGCGTTAAATAATCCAAACATGATGATAGACTTAATTTAGCTGCCTTTCAAGTTGTTATTCAGAGCCGGTACCTTGCATTCTGGATATCGCTGTGATGTGATGCCTACGGATTTCAACTTTGATTTGAATAAGCAAATCCAAATCCAAATTCATAACAAAAAGAGGATTCCATTCATATCTTAAATTGAACTAACCCAATTAAATAAGATGATTTTATCAATATTGACCTGTAGGTACATCTATCACTATAGATCAGTATTATATGCTATACTTCAAACGCCATATTGATTCAAGCTATATACAGTCTACGATATCAATATCATCGTTCAGTATCTCAAAACGTCTTGCCACCTATTAATCGAGTATTGTGATTAATAAACTATGTGAAATCACAGCTTATGATCTACTCAATTTTCTAAATTCACGTTGTAGTTTGAGAAAATAAAATCTGCATTAATCAGGCAAGATGGAATAAATGGGCAAGGCGGGAAATGGTATAAACTTATCATGCTTAAGTCGATAGCGTTAATTGCCAGAGTAACTACGGACATTATATAGCACAGAGGATCTTTCATCTCTGCTGATAAACTATAAGACAGGTGAATTTAGAGTGTGATATTCAGAATTCTATTTAATCACCTGGTTATTGAGATATAAGACAAAGGTGAATTCTATCCAGGATTAGGTGTACTATACGTGTATATGTATCTTAGCTGATAGTCACATTATAAGAGCAAGAATTTCAGATCGCAAAAACCTCATTGGCAAAAGCATTTAACGACAAGAATTTATCCCATATCTAAGTTCCATTAATGGATATAACAAGAATTCTTTAACAATTTAGGCTTATATAACAATCTTACGTACAGTTTAATTTATACAAGTGATATTTAACTATATTACTGTACAAATCTGCATATTAATTCTTAAAGCTTCGATTCAGTACAATCTAAAATCTATGGGCGAATATTGATTAAAATGATCTACTCCGCTCTCTCAACGGTTCTGTCCTAATCTACCCTCTGCTACGAATGTGGCGCACCTGCACTAGCTAGCTGCAAACTTTAGATCACATTTAGCAACTGTAAATTGACAGACGAAGATATCTAGCTTCGTGTTGTATCAGCCTACATCTATGAAATTAATCTACGTATTTCAATACAATGAAAAAATGTGCATGTTTTTATGTCATAAACATAAAAGTTTGATCTGAATCCAAAATTAATGTTAGATCCATAGCATTCTTTCATCAATTTTATTAATAGTAAATCTATTTAAAATCTCTGTTCATCAACTGAATCACCATATCTTGATAGAGGCATTTGTCAAGTAAGATGATCTTGCAAATACAGTACGTGACATAGTGACATCTACCTAAGTTATATATGACTTTATATGAGCATATCAGCAACTAATGATTATATATCCAGGATTATTACGATTTAAGAGATAATAATAGGAGAAACTGTACAGTAAAGTTATAATATTAAATTTGATTACTGAAGGATTTCAGTAAGGGCTATTTAATCTACACAGCACCGGTATTAAGAATGATGTTGCGTAGTGTAAATATGCGCACTTTATAGTGAACACTCATATTTTTTAAATATTGTTTGAGTTCTAGTTTTCATCGGTTACAATGAACATCGAAATCTATCCCAAATACGAAGAAAGCTGTTGACCTATGTACAATTATGAACGATACGCCTTGACAAATTCCGAAATTTGACGTACAACTTCTGCGGCTATCTGTTCCTCGCTAGCGTTAGGGTGATGTTTAATATATTCAGTAACACCGTTGACTGCTACCGCCTAAGTAAGTTAATCGGTAAAACAAATAAGCAATTGAGCATCCATTAAACCATCGCAAAGTTGCAATACAACTACCGAAATAATGTCATTAGTAATACTAATCTAGCATAATGATTTGGCAACTAATTTTTCTATCGATTTCAGGTATTAATGCGTACAGTCTTGGTAATTGTCACTTCCGAATATACAGTACGAGTGCAGTATTTGAATAACAGAAGTAGAGAAAGTTGAAAAAATTGGAAGATTTTAATGAGAGTGTAGAGTAGAACTGCAGTCACTAAGCAACACAGTTAATACTGTATGATACTTTACTTCTGTATACTCGAATTTGTATCGCTCTATGAATGCAGTACCTATATACTATATGTACAATACATCTGATTGCAGCACTAGACTGCGTACAGTACGGCTGACATTAGTATCTCAACCACTGAAATTTTTGTTGGCAACAAACACTACTTTCGGAGATATTTTTCGCTATACCTGTTGACTTTAGTCTATCAAAAACTAAGAATTGCATCATAGAAGTACAATATAATAACAAGGTTATCAGATTTTTCGACGCAAATTTCTACTTAGAGCGATTTAAGATTTAAAAGGAAAATAATAAGTGTTATTGGCGTAATCAAGTCATGCTGCAAACATTACACGAAAAATCTTACCCTTAATGCATCTCCTTTGGTAGACGATTTGAATTTTTGATGTAAATTCATGGCTAAATTTACACCAACAGTAGCATTATAAAGATCTTTTCCACGTGGATCACCGTTGATATAAGCCAATAGCGCTAACTATAATAATAATTATAATAGCAATATACTTTCAAATAGGTGTCGTATCAATCAATCGCTGCAATAATGACACTTAGTGTACTCGAGAAACGATTCAATGTATAGCACTTGAACTACACTTATTACTCAATTCTATTACAGTAGTTGAAGTTGTCCATTTAATCTTATACTTTTAAACTACATACATGACAGTAGCGAATGGCAGCGTTAACATGTATATCGTGGTTGGGCTACTTTCGATCGAGAATATTTCAACAAAAGTTTACCAGAGATAGTGTTTACTACTCAAACTGCTATGTATGTACAGTAAAATCCCAATGTTGTACTGATCGTATTGTCTCCTATATTACATTGATGACGATTCATTTACAGTCATTACCTGTTGTAAAAGACTTGATGACATTTTAGACTTCTTTTGGTAAACAGCTACAATAAATTGGGGTGAATTAAATGAAAGAATTGGACGATTTGATTGCTAGTTTGGACGTTTATGGGCAGCGCGAGTGGCAATCGCTCAATTCTTTGCCGTACAAATGGTTAAACCAGGTTGAACGCGAAGAGGACTCGACGTCTCCACCCGAATTCATTCAGGTTACTGTACTGTACACTGTACACTGTACACGGTACCGTACAGTACAGTATACAGTACATGCTGTAGAGTATTATGACGTACTGTACACTGTAGTGTGTCGAGTACAGTATGTGTCAGAATTTTTCTTACTGTATTCCAAAAGTCCCATGGTCCTAAGCGCTTTACGACTGTATCGTGTACCAGTCATCAGTCACAAAGATATAAAGTACACATACTGTATTCAACAAACTAATTGCAAACCTAGCATTCCCCTGGCAGACACATGAGTACCTGTATGACATGATGTACCGATGCCCATTACGCGTGCGCAGAACAGCAGATACTCGCTGAAGAAGAAGAGCGATTGCATTCTGAATCCATCAATTTCTGCAGCTTAATTCTGTAGTAGAAATCCATCATTGTTTAGTAATTCACTACGTAGAGCCAAGACTTACTGGAGGAATACTTGGACTTTCTAATTGTAAAGGTATGCTGCATTTATTCTTTCGATGAATCTTGAAAAGCATTTCGTTTCATACAGTACCACAGTACACGAGCGTCATAGGGAATGTTTCGCAAGCACTTTCAAAGTTGCATTGCTACTATGTTAATTATCAGAAGTAAAATAAGAACCAATCCAATCTCGTTATACCGTAGAATTAGGCCAATAAAAACAAGATGGCTAGCACATCATCGAAATCGAAAAAGGTAAGCCATATGAATATCCAAGTGATACATTTTGATCCGCTCTATCCTCGTTGTGTTACATCCAGCTAGTAATCATAAGCAGAAATATTACGCCTAGATTACGGTAGTACCCTGGATGTAGCAATCTACAGTTGCCTGATGATAATATTGCATAATGCATAACCAAAGTAACAGAAAATTTGAGTATACTATGGAATAATTCATATGCATCCTGATCAAATTTCGTCTACTGACTAAATTAATGAACTGGTTCAGTGTAGTACTGCCAATCCACTCATCAAGCTCGATTCGTATAATCGTATTAATTTTTGCAATATATTATAGGTATATTATTATTTGCAAATACACTGTATTTGCAAAGAATAAGATAGCATTGATCTAACTATCCAACTATAACCATTCATAATGATGACAATTATAGGATGTATTACCTGAATATTTCTCAATAAATAATTATGATTACCGGATTGGCTCAATCTGCGATGCAGTCTTTCCCCAAAATAACAAGAAAAAAGCAAAAGCAAAACGCACCTCACTCGCAAAGTTATTCGACGATAGCAACAAATCTAAGAAAGTTACAGTAGAATTTTTGGATCCTCCAACATCGAAGTATGATCAGATGCACGCAAAGCAGCTCAAAGGTCATTTTCTATTAAACCTTAGCATGCATGTTATTTGATTTATTTTCTTGAGGAGTAAACTAACAAGGGAAAACGGAGTAATGGTAGATACGAATTACTAACACCAATTATTAAAGGGAGACTCTTAAGCTATTTCTTATCAGTACATGCAATTCCAATCATAATTTAATCATTCTGTGCGCTACTGTATGCAGTATGTTATCACTTGAAATTTTATTATGATCGAGTTAGATAGAATCAGAGTATAATCAAAAATTCATCTTTTTGACCTAGTTGCACGACATGTTATCATCATATTACTCTATATAGCTCCTTGCTGTTAACTTAAATTAGCCAAAAGTTATTTTACTAACAGTAAGTGACGATTTTGCAGCTGCAAAGAATAAAGAACATGTTAGTAAGGATGCAAATCAACAAGCAGAAAAGCAACAGAACGTTACTAAAACCCCTTCAGATAGGTAAAGTGAACGATACGTCTATAATGCAAGACTTGATATTCTAGTCACTGAATAGAATATCCTATGTATAACTACGGTATTACCTAGTGATGAAAGAAATGACCGAACTATATTCGTTGGAAATTTGCCATTGCATTGCAAATCTAAGGTAACATGGGCGTTTGCTGGTTACGGCCTTTGTGACAAGGCCAATATTCTTGATTACTACTTTTATATAGAGTACCAATCTACAGATCGTCTCTAATATTTTGGACTCTCTTTAATATGACGATTTTTTTTAAATAACCTCATAAACTAATTAGGACGTGAAAAAGCTATTTTCCAGATATGGCAATATCGAATCTATAAGATTTAGATCAATAGTAAGCTTAATGCCTATCAAGGAATTATAATTCTCTTATAATCAGTAACTTCGAAAAGGTTAACATTTGGCTCTTATTTAGCCTGTTGCTGAATCAAATATGTCGAAAAAGACAGCATTTATCAAGTGAGTTCACATTTAATGCTCTTATCTATGCAGTTTTAAGTTTAGATACGCCATGTTATTTTACTTACAACTATACGGTAATTTCTTAATGTTATATATCATATGAATCCATTACTAGACACATTATTGAATACCGTAGTAAGTGTCTATGCAATATCATTGCTTAAGTTATCGATTAATCTGCTCATGTTCTTCCAATTAAAATTCATGGCAGGAAAAAATTTCACAGCCAGGGTCAGTCAATGAATGCATACATTGTTTTTGAAACCAAGGAAGTTGCTCAAAGTGCAATGGAAAGGCTAGTAACTACTATTATAACCACATGATTATCAGCAGATCCTTCTCATAAGGGTAGAATCCTAATATTGTATAATGTATGTACTGCAGCAATGGCATAGAGCTTTTAAATCGTCATATCAGAGTTGATGTAGCCTCAAATTCAAAGAAGGTATGTCAACAATGAAATATCTTGTGTGCTTCAGAATACTGAACGCCTTTGCGATATCTTTACATAATGCAGCATTTATTTATTTTACTGTACGTTACTTTCAGCATGACCATAAAAGGTCGATATTCGTCGGCAACTTGCCTTTGGGTAAAATAACCATTTCATGTATTGTTAATCTTGTAGTTTATACCGTTATTATATGCGAAGGGTATCGTATGTAACAGATAATCTCTACCATTTTTAAACGTTAAGATGTCCAAGATGAATCACTTCGTGATCATTTCCATTCATGTGGTGAAGTCGAAACCATTCGTATTATTAGAGATCCTAAAACTGGCATGGGTAAAGGTTTTGGGTTTGTTACCTTTAAGGCATGTTAAATTGACATCGCACTATTACAGATGTGCATCATTGTTAATCCCTTTGCTTAGTTCCTACCGCAGATGTTCACTTACCCAACATTTATTATTTACAGTCTAACGAAAGTTTAATCATGGCCTTAAAGTTACATGGTTCGGCCTTTAATAAAACCAATAACCTTCGTGTATTTCGATCATCAAAACAGCCTACATCAAAGGTTAAAATCATAAATATCTGTACTGCACTAAGGATTCCAATTACCAAAGTAAAGTCTAAATATCATTTATATATTCGATTTAGAAGAAAACACAGGGTCCTTTTAAATTCTCTGGAGAGTCGAGCAGTAAAAAGCACGCCCAGCAAGCAGCAAAATTGAGAATTAAACGGAAAGAAAAAAGAAAAAATCTTAAAAAGCAAAAGCAGGATATTAAAAGAAATGTAAAACCTAAAAAAACTAGATTACAATCTGTCCATAATAAAAACTGACGATTTTACTCGATTGCTATCATCTGTACACTTTTACTTCCTATTGTTGACCTCGGAATTGAAATTGACAAAATTTTTATAGAAAGAATCAACAAATTTACATGTCATTGAGATTATTATACTTTATTCCCGAGTAAAAGTCATAGTACAATAACGTGGTTCAGGACTGGTGATTACAAAGTTCATGTAAAAGAATAATTTATTACTTTTACGAAAAATGTCGATCATGTACTTAAAACAATTAGCCCTTGCAATATTTTCTACAATCTTGATCTAAAGCATGACTGACATCAATCCTAGACTAAAATCTATTATGCTAGTAAATGTAATCGAAAAACGAAGATAATGTACTGTACATTGAAAAGACAGCTAAGCTTCCGCTGAAACGACAATCTCAACCGATTCACCATTGCTATGGGCTAAAATGAAATTGAAAGCAAAACAGTTAATGACACAAATTGGTATACATTAGTACCAAGCCACTTATGTATATGCATTAGTTTTACGAATGTCTACATAAATTATAGTAACAATGTTACCTTTCTCTTTCGCTTTTTTCCTATATTTCTTTAATTTCCTATCAATTGACATTACTTCCGCTCGTCGACTGTTATACAAACGTCTTATTTCATTTAGTTTGACTTGCAGAGTTTCTATTCTTTTCCGGATAGGTAAGTCGCCTAACACTACCAGATCTAGGAGATTATGTACACAAAACTCTTAACAACGCTATATCCAACTCTTTCATAAAATACGCTCATAACATACCATTTAAAATGCCTGCGAGATCATTTTCTGCATTATCATCACTAACAGTTGAAGAGGATGTCGAAGTCTTAGCACTACTATCATTATTAGACTTGCTACTTTGATCATTTGACGATACTGATGTTGAATCACTTCGACATCTTTTCCTGGCATTGCCATTTCTCCTATTTCCTCTTTTACGAGGTAAAATTAGCTCTACAGGATCAGAATTCTCATCGATATTAGCATCATCGTTTGATGTTTTACTTTCTTCACTTTCTTCCTTCTTTTCTTCAGTAGTAGGCTTATCTTCAATCGTGGGATTTTCTTCCGGAGAAGCACTATCTTCGATTTTCTGATCAACCTGAGTAGTTACACATGTTTCAGGTGATTGTTCTGTGACTTCAGGTTCTTTTTTAACTTCAACTTGTTCTGCTTCTTCGTGGCTTGATTCCTCTGCTGGCTCGCCATCATCATCATCATTAGGGGGGATATCTTGTTTTATTTCTTCACTCTCCACTTCCATCTTATTTTCTTCAGAAGATTCTTCTTCTACATTAGCTTCAACCTTCTCTTTAGGACTGTTATTACTGCTAGCAGTATTTATTTCATCGTCTTGATAAGAAACAACTTCCATACTACTCGTATTTTCGTCAGGATGTGATGCTTCTTCATCTGCAGGAGAATTAGTATTCTGTGAAGTTGGGCTGTCGGATGGTGCTAGCGTGCACGAAATAAAAATTGTAAATCACAATTTTAGCATATAACTTCAGTTACAGAAACTATATTTCAATTCTGGATTACCTGATTCCACCTCACTATCGTAGTGTGGACTGTTCCGTGTGCTAGCTCTACCTCTTCTCCCTATTGGTAATACAACAAGAGATGATATAGGGCTACTTGACCGAATATATGCACAATTAATCCGTTTACCTGATGGCTGTCTATTGTTAGATGGAGATGTACGCTCCGTTTTAAGGTTACCATTTCTGCTATTTCGGCGAGGATTAGTGGTTAATTGACTGCCGCCTCTTAAAGGCATTTGTCGAACAGGAAGCGATACTGATTTAGCTGGATTCTATAAGTAATTTATAATTCATAGAAAGCATTTTATGTATATATGTATGTAATCTGTATATGCAACCTAATCGGTACTATAGAATATAGTAACATTGCAAGATCTTACCTTATTGCCTCTTGAAAGTCCTTGTGGATTCATTTTTTGAATAATTCTATCTGGTTTGATCCATTCATCGTGTCTGTTGAGTACAAAATCATTTTAGAGATTTCTCATATTACATAGTAAAGTAACTCCGCGTATTAATTAAATTAACTTACCGGCTATTCCAGCCTGAATAATGAACGAAATATGATGTGGTACCACTTTCATCACTGTCATCCCATTCAAGAATCTGTCGATGGAAAGAAATTTTTACTACAACTAAGAATTAATTTATGAAGTAACAATAAGTGGATCTAACCTTGGCTTCATACTGGCAATTTTTTTTACCCCTGCCATACTTTACCAATACAAATGATCCAACAGAATAAGTGTCTGAATTATCATTCCTAAAGATTAAGAGTGAAGTTCAGAAACAAAACTTCTTATCACAATTGGCAATGCTAAAAATATATACTAATGATCTGTAATTATACTTACGTAGCGTCTTTCCCAGGGTATTCTACTGTTTAGCAGATAAATAAGATAGTGTTAGTTTCTAATGTATGACAAGGCCAAATGTAGCAAAAAAATATTAGTAATATCAACTAACTTGGTTTGTATACATCGGAACCAGAGGCAACTCCATCATCAGTGCTATCGTCACCTTCACTGATTTCTATACGAAACCACAAAGTATCATTACGGTTTTTACGAGACAACCTATACAATAATTGTACTGTATATTAAAATACCTTTCCGTCTGCGCTGTCTTCTGTACCGTTCGCGTCTAAGAGTCTACAAAGCATTATTAATAATATTATTGTTATTGAATTCTAAATTATCCGCCAACAATATCTATAATTTACTAAGTGTGTAAATAACAAAAACTATTCAATCATTACTCCAGAAGATGTGGGTACTTCTTGGCTCTTAGCACTCTCCGCACTATCTTCATTATGGGAATTTTTATCATCGGCAGTTTTGTCATATTCATAGCACTCATAAGGATAAAGATATCTATAGAAACGTATTTTCTGCTTTTAATTTTCGTATTACAAAATTTTGAAAATTAACGCAAATTCCATACTTCTGATATGCAAGTTTGATATTGTGAGATGCACTGGTAATCATGGTTGCTATACCAAGTTGAGAATATAATGATCTCCACTTCATTTGTTGTGAAACCTGAAAAATAGTAATACTTTCATGAATAAACGACAGCACCTATAACATTTCAAATCTTCAAGTTCATATACTAAATACCCTTTCCATTCCTCCCATTTTCTGAACTAATTTATATAGCTTGTACAGATTTAAGGTTTGATAACCTAAGACCGGTGCCTTAGTAATTGGTGTACCTAATAAATTCGGAAAAAAATAACGGTTAGAAAATATGTCCATTGAATCAGATAATTTATCCTGAATTGATTAACCTAACCTTTATCTTCCATAAATTTGTATAATCGACCCATAAATTCTTCAGCTTCTTCGTCCATTACAACATCATCTCCATCTTTATTGGTAACCTAATGAAAAATAAAAACGTAACTAAGGAATATCGATAGGGATGCTACATTGGAAGAAAGTAAAGTAGTAACTCTATTTTCTTAAACACTTTCCATACCTGCCAGTCTTCAGGTAGTTCACCATCATTTATATACGTAATCGCTTTTTCCAGTGCTTTAATTATTTTAATATAAAATGGAGAAAATAGATTAATACAACTTTATTTATCGCTTTGCGGACATATTATCATAGTGTAGACACTAACTAATATATTATGATGCCTCAATCAAATACAGTACATACCTGGCTTATGAGCAGATCCGTTACTTTTTAGTTGATTTATAGCGGCTTCATAATTTAAATCTAATGATTGCAAATCTTTCTTGGCTACCGAAATTCTGTTATTTATAAACATGCTCATTATCGATTAAATTTCACTGGCGATAACACTTGTAAAGCTACTTATATTTATACAACATATTAAAAAATAACGTACATCTTTCCATCTTTGAAAGATCTAATAGAACATTTTTCCACGTCATCGTTTAGATCAGAATCCCTTTGCAGCTAATAAATTTTAGTAATAGAAAAGAGTAAAATAAGTGCTAACATAACACCTACAATAAACAGCAAAATTTACGAACCAAGCCTGGAAAGCAACTTCTCTTTTTGTCATTCTGCTTGACCATGACAATCTACCATTACAACATAATTTATTTACATTATTTAAGCTCAAAGTATAAATTAACAACAGCTTCTTTTTCGAAATTCTACTTAGCGCAATTAAGCCAAAAAGCAGCGATGTAAACGAATGCTGTAGATACTTAATCGAAGAACATAGCAACTGATCTGATATTATGTCACTAGTAGAAGCACAATTACTAAAGAATGATTTCTCATTAACCTACTTTGAATTTACGTAGTAACATGTAATTCGTCGACGATTTTTATGAATTTTACCTTCGCAATTCGAGCGCGCTCATTACTTCCGATTTTCTTGCTTTCACTACTTTCTGATTCAGTATCATCATTCCTGTATTTAAACCAACCATTTCAGTTATAAGCGTGGCTTACATGTAATACAGTAGTAGTGCATTAAAGCAAAATAGATTTAGTCTCATGAAGTGATGATAAATTGATTTTTTAAATTTCTATTATTATTACCTTGATCGCTGCGATTTCTTAGCAACTTTCTTCGACTCCTAATTTATACAATTATTTGCTAATTGATAACTTGTACATATTTTTTATAACTTACAGAATTAAAATGGAGTAATCTTACCGCTACTACTGGATTGCCAAAATTTTCCGGATTTGTCAGAGGTAAATGATCCAGTGTCTATAAATAAGTATATTTATAGTTAAGTACAAAAATCGAGTCAGACCAACAAACAACGTGACTAAGATATTATACATGTACAAATATGCGTAGAGTACAATATTATACATTGCACAACCACATGCGGTATTTATCCCAACCATTAGACCTATTGATTGAAGCATGGACTACTAGATATAGATACATCAGGTAGTCCATGATTGAAGTAACGGAACGCGTCTACTCTTTTAAGATATCAAGCAACTCTTAAAGTAGACTACTGTATCTAAATAATAAGTACTAACCTCGCTTTCATTGAAGTGTCTCTGGCCCTTTAAGCAAAGTGCGGTGCGCTTTAAGGATCTCTGATCACCATCATCGAAAACTAATTCAAGGCGCAATATATAAGTTTATTACACTTTAATCGTACAATCTCTAATGGTATCTATATCAGTGTGATTTATTATGACTACGTTGTGGTTGTACTGCGCATTTGTAAACTGTAACGAGTTAACCAAATATAGTAGAGTACGGTTCTATAGCATGCTAAGTGATGAATAAACATTACTTGAAATGAATGGAAACACTTGAAGTTAAGTTCAGCAACTTCATGTTAATGACATATAATATAGCATTCTTTATTTATTCCACCGTATATCTATTTGATGACATGATAGCACAAAGCTTGCATTTACTTAGTGTTTGGAATAACTTAATTGTCATGAAATATGTTGATGATGGATCAGGGTAGAGAGAAACATATTTTTATCCGAGGGGAGGAGAAAGTTTAAATAGAAAATTTTCTTGAAACGTAACATTGCTAAGTTATATCGTGTAATGACAAGAAAAACATTAACTTACCAACTGTATATGTGCTAGCATCGGTAAGCTTAGCGATACTACCACTAGCGAGAGTATCATCCGGCATTTGAAGAACAATTTCGCTGCCAACCTAAAAGGAACAATAATTGAAATTTGTAAGAATTGATATATACTTTCCAATATCACAACAACTCCGCGGTATTTTATAGAACTGATTATTTCTAGGTACTAGCAATGATTTTATTTTGCTATTTGGTAGTCATATAATAAGCATATTGATGGTCAAAAAAATATAATAGATAAAGCCTATAAGCTCATTTGTACCATAGACATGGCTCATCAGTTTCAATGAGCAAGCTTGATAAGATGCCCTTAAATTACAGTAGAATGTTGAAGCCATCAAAACGGTGTCAATTTTATACGCGTAGATAAAGGCAAGAGTTCGAAATCTACAATAGTTTCGTCATGGATGCTAACTCTAATCATCATGGACTACTACAATCGAGGTTGACATTACAGAGAAGTAGTTCAAACAAGTTTTGAATTAGGAATACCTTCAACTCGCCACGGACAATACAGTCGTCTAGTACTGTAACAGGGTTAGTATTTCTTCCGATGTTAACCTAAACAACATAAAAATACGATTTCAGTCATTTCCAATTTAATTTAATCTAAAAAAACATACAGTCTTGTAATAAAAAGGCAACTTAAGTTTACGCTGTAGATTAGCACTAATAGCATATAATAAATAAATGAAAGGATAAAATCATTTAAAATTCAATATTGCTATATTGTAAACGATGTTGATTCGTTGGAAAATTTACCTTACATCGAACCATTTTTCTTACGTCGGTAATTTTAGCTTCGCAGAAAGCACCACGATATTTAGCACTAACATCAGTACCAATATTCAAGTATGCAGGCTCCTCTGAAGTCTAGAATTGAAAAGAATTAATTTAGTTTAAACTTGGTGGGTTATTTATGGCAGTGACATAGAAGATGGAAACAAGTGGATTACAGAGAGGTAATATTTGAAGTAATGTATCGTGTATAAAATGATAAGTGAAATCGATCAAGGAAAAAAAAAATATTGAATGCGTACAACTAGCGGTTTTCCAAAGTCATTGATGCAGCATTTAATAACACCATTTAGAGTTTCAATTGTTCAATCGAGTTATCCATAATGGTCAAATCAGCAGCCACCCTTTTCAAAAATTGATTGAACGAGTGAAACTAGTCCATACGTTGGTGAGAAATGCCGTTGATGTAATATTATCTTCCAAGCAGATCGACTGTAGAATACAGTAGTAGAGTGTATGGCTAGCCCATAGCGAGAAGGATCAATGAATGATCTGATTGGCTTTGATCCATGTAGAAAAATCCCATTGTGAATGTAACCTGTACAGTAAGCTTGGAATGACGATATGGACATATGAAATGTACAACTGGACGATCTATCAAGACCAGTTATTTTCATCTAGTAGACTTTATAACGATGGAGATAGACTGTAGTAGTAGTGTAACATGATAATAATATTGTTGATCTATGCTCCATTTTACGTTCTTAACAATCACTACTGCAAGGCTACTTTGCATCAGAAGGCAGCCAACAGCGTCTCCCCCCCCCCTGTAAAAAAATCTCTGTCAAAAATTTCTCCTCCTCCTCTCATTACAACAAAACTCTACAGTACTTCAAATTGAACTACTAAGTTATTTTTCTTTGACTAAAATCAACATTTGCAATCAGGAGTAAAAAATAACTCAAGTTCAAGACTCTACTGTATCGACAAATGCTCTAGCCATGACATCCATGATATACCATGAATGGAAGAAATGACACACAAACATCCATGATTATGTGAGCCTATCCATTGAGAGACACATTTTCAAGTCTTACCATTGCTGACTGTTTCGTTCCTGTTTGTACTACTGCAACTCGATCTTTACGATATTCCTTTCAATCGCTCGCCTTTTACCCCCACCTTTGGATAACGCGTCAAAATTAAGGTCCAGCAATCAATTTCCTCCAACTATCTTCCACAAAACATCCAGCGCACGCCAAGCAATCAAGTTTTCCTTCGAATAGTTTTTTCCACTTGATTCACTGCAAGTCTTTTAGTATATTGTATATTTAGTACACTGACTCAGAAACAATATAATCATCCTTTTGAATGTCAGTCAAGTCAGACTTCAACCCCCCTCTCACTTCAACTAACTTATTATGAACAAGGAGGACAAGTCAGCGTCCTCCACTTCACTTGCAGCAGTTGACGCAGTACCAGAAGAAAAAAAAAAGCCTGTTCAACGTCCGTGGATGTCATTGGTTGACAAGGCCTGAGGCTCCGCCTCTTACTTCAACGCAAGCGCAATGTCATCTAACGGAATGGATGACAACACTGCGATCACAACCGACACGAACGTCGCGTGCAATATACTGTATATCTTATATCTTATATATATAACATACTGTATACACGATCCGCCATGTCGGCTAAGAAATGGCAGTCATGCCGTCCATGAAATTGTTTGAAAACGATTCAAGGACTTATTTTTTCGTGTAGATAGACTGAAAATATCCACACTGAGTATCTTTTATTACAAGGAAAAGCATTTCTTTGAAAAAAATTCTCTGTACTCTGAGATGTAGCGTACTTGAAACAAGGTGTAGCGAGCTACAGTAGGATGTTACAAAGGTGATCAACTGATCATTCATCCCATAGAGGACAAAAATGGCGATAGTTAAAAGCAAAGGATTACAGATATTGACTATTTTTAAAGCTGTGATCGAGTTTGACGATAGTAGAACTGTCCATACTGAGTCCAGTAAGTCCACGCGTGATCGTCCAGTAATCCTTCACTGGTTCATTATGCACTAGTATTTGGTGTCGTAGTTGTTCCAAAATGATATGGAAAACAGGCCTGCCTCTACTCATACGAAATACTTCCACCAGTACAACATATTTATAAAGTACAGAGTATGGCATAGTAATAGCAGCATCCATAATGTTCTGTTTGTCATACTTTTCCAGCACAAATTGTATTTGTACAGTAAGGCAGTTCTAGACTTCAATTTGGCTTTATTAATTGCATCTGATTCAGCATCGCTCCATATAAAGTATACCGCTACAACATACACGTCCAGCAATGAAAGAGGATGGCTTACAAAGCCTCACCATGGGAGTACAAGTAGGGATAGTTGTATTAATTCAATCTACCTACATACACAGCACTTTACTACATTACAACCGTGACGATTCCATTTGAGTGCACTTCATAATCCATGCTGTTGCCAATTTCTTACACTGCTTAACTACATCAATAGTTCTCAGTGAAGTATTCCCCAATGGCAAGCAACTTAAAATTGTCGTCAAACAAAGCTGAAAATCCATAATGCTACTGAATGATAACAATTGTTGATGTAAGATAAATAATTTATTAATTCGTTGGAATGTTGAACAATGAACGATATGCCAATAATTAAAAATTCAATATACCGCTATTTTAAGCTTTCGTTTATATTCTTTTTCATCAACACCGTACTATCGGTTACTTAACATCAATATCTCACTTGATTTTTACAGTACTGTAGGCGTTTCGTACTTTATCACGATGTAAGGATCTTTTGCATTTCTAGAAACTGTCCATGACAACACTGGGAAAGTCGTGAGCCAACAATTCTCTGGGCTTTCACGACCTCAACGGCGCTAGGTTATAAACAGTGATGACTATAAACTTTTCAATAGACCATGATATTATACGCGTACAATCTAGTACAATCACAAAATTGAAATATAGAGATATTAAAATACACTACATGCAATTTTCATCATGTAATCCATGTTCTCCAAAAATATACAACACAACTTAATACAGTGGTACATATATTATTATTTATTTATTTACAGTAAGATCATTCTGCGCAATCTACTTTATCAATCAAGGCAATTTGATCAATTAGTAAGGTGCTTACAATATACATAATATTGTACCACTAGATACTTGATTGGACTGTCCATAAAAGAAGTTATCCTTTAACACACACATCATGCCGTATCCCAATTCAATTGAAAATACCCGTATACAAACGTACTGATCAGTAGCACTATTGCGTGCAATGTCCATTTCTTGTTCAGGATATACTACAAATAATGTAAATTAATTGAACATGACCCAATCAATCAATTAATATAAAGGTCCTAAGCCGACTGCCTGAAAAAAGACACCAAAAATTCCTCCAAATGCGCATCCCCAAACGACGATCCATCCTAAGTGTTGATGAATGACATCTTTCAATATCTTTGTCACGATTTCAGCAGTTAACTGTTTTGACCTGATATCCAAATAGTTATCAATCTCAGACCGAAAAATAGACTGTAGTTTATTCACCTAAGATATAATAAGATAAAGAGAAGTAATCTTATTATTGAAGTTAGCAAGTGTATCCTGTGTACAGAATAATGAAGTGGTTCATGCAACATCGTGCAGAACATGTAAGACAAATAAATCAAGTGAATAAGTCGAGTACAATTACAATATTCAGATTGTCAAACTTTAACGTCATAACTTACATTCCATGATTGAGAAAAACTGTGTTTCAAATGGTCTATTAGATCTTCGCCAAATCCAATTATAAAAGGCTTCACCAGGGGTTGCAAAGATTTGATATCAAATCCCATATTTGTTAGTGATTGTCCTAAAGGTTGACCTGTTTTCATGACCTCTAGTTTTTCTTGAATTATTTCATCGACTTGACTAGAGTTGAGAAAAGTCTTCATCTTCTCCTTCATGGCCAAATTATCTTGCAAAGTATTGACTTTATCCAACAAGTACTGCGACACGAATCTTTCCTCAAAGAAAGTTTTGAGAATGACATCTTTGACAGTCATCCTAATTTCAACGTACTTTTTAGGAATAACTCTAAAATCAAAGGATAATTACACCGAAACGAATCAGTTGGTGTTCTAGTGCATCATGCTTGCTCTTCATCATTGCATAAACTACGATAATGTTATTCCTCAAAGTGATTGATTTAGTTTGATCGAATTTGGTGTATGGAGCCTAGTTCATACAGTAGAGTGTAGTATGTACTGTGGAGAGAATGGATGTAGCACAGTAGCAGTATGATGGTATAAAATGTAAAAAGTAGGAAGAAAGTACAGTAGAACGCGAAGTCTATTGCACTGAACTGCATCACGCTTTACGACTTTGGATTCTACAGGACTATAACTCCATTTTTCTGGATAATTGTATATTGAATTACTGCTGTCTACTACTGTATCGATCAAGGTTGCAGAAGGATCTGCATCAGTACCCAAAGTCTCCATACAGTACCGTACTCTATAGTCTACTGTGCTTACCCGCTTCCGTATATCCATGGTATTTTGTTAAAGAGCATGAATATTGCCAACCAATTGGTGAATCCGCCAGCAAAGGCAAAAATACCACAAGATAAGAAAAAATGGCTGACAGCAAGGGCAGTTTTGTCTTGTTGACTGGCCACAAGAATGACAACACCAATACCACCAATAACAGCACTGAGTGCTAAACTGACGCTGCTTTTATTAATGATTCGCGTCCAACGGTTTCCGATCTTGATTTGAAGAGAAGATTGATCATCGGCTGATACTTCATTGCTGGTATTTTCCATCTTCATCATCAAGCTAATGCTATAATAATAAAAGAATATGATACTTTTACTGGATTTTTACTACGCATCGACTCGATCGTCCTCTCTCTCTCCAATGGTTTCCAGCTACATGTTATTGGAGAAGAAAGAGCCATTCGACCTACGACTGAACGCCTGTTTCTACTCTCACGACCTACAGTACGTGGTACTGTATACCGTCTCGCCTCTACAGTACAGTACAGTACCACTCTCTGTTGACTCTGTACGCTGTACTGTACTGTACTGTACAGTGTACACGTCTACAGTACTGTACTGTACACAGTGGGTAAAAATAAAAAGAAAAAGTTTCATGATACTGTATACAGTACTGTACAGTACTGTCAAGGGGATTGCAAATAAAGAGAAGAAAATGACTCGCTTTTATGATGAAGATCGAGTACAGTACTAGAGAGAGAAGGCTTTTTTTCGATCTCATTACTCATTAATACAGTACTGTACTGTATAATTAATTAATTAATTAATTAATTAATTGATGAATTAATTGATAAGCAGAGTGCAGCGATCTCCACATACTGTACTGTACAGTACAGTACAGTACCACACGTGCACTGGGTCAGACTGAGTTTTGCACAGTACAAAGTACTGTACTGGGTCTACTGTAGAAAGTGGCTCATTCAGTACAGTACAGTACAGTACTGTACAGTAATGTACAGTATAGTACTGTACTGTATGATCCTTTTCCAATCCGATGAATCAGCACACACAGTACAGTACAATATACTGTAGTACTGTACTGTACAGTACTTTACACAGAATAGTGCATCGAGTACTGTACTGTACAGTATGTACTGTAGACAGTGGACAGTACTGTACACTGTACAGTACAGTACAAGAAAAGTTCCAAAGCCTTACTGTACTGTACTGTACTGTACATACTGTACAGTACAGTACAGTGTACACTGTACAGTACACAGAATAGTGCATGGGGTACTGTACAGTACAGTATTGTACTGTACTGTACAGTTGACTGTAACAGCCATGTTCAGTACTGTACACTGTACAGTAGGGTCATGCGCTGCTTTTTTGATACAGTACAAAGTACACAAGAGTCGCTCCTTGACTACAGTACAGTACAGTACAGTCTACAGTACTGTAACAACCATGTTCAGTACTGTACGGTCATGCGTACTGTACAGTGTACAGTACGCAATGCACAACGGCGCCGCTTTTTCCATACAGTACTGTACTGTACTACAGTAGACTGGAACTGGACCAGGGAGTTGTACAGTACTGTATCCCTGTACTGTACTGTACAGTCTGTACTGTACAACCTACAGTACAGTACACTGAACTGGCGACTGTACAGTACAGTACAGCAGCAAATACAGAAATCCTTTCTTCATTCTCGTCTTGCCATTCTCTTCTGTAAATAGAGAGAGAGAGAGAGAGAGAGAAGTAGTTTTGTCTTGGTGCATCTTCTCAAGACGTTCTCAAAAGACTTTCCAACGTGTGGCATGGATAGCAATACGTCACTCAATGCATCAATCGATATCAACAGCAGCATTGGAGGCGATTTGACAAATTCTTCCCTTCATATCGATGTAACCGACATCCAAGCTCAAGGCAAATGGGGAATACCAACTACCGACGCTTACCAACTTGCACTTCAATTCTATCACAAAGGTATACCAACTTCAATTCACAGAGTAGTAGTCCTACTTCCATTCTACTCGCGTCTTCAACATACACACACACACACAAACAAACATTCTCCTTATCCTATGATTGTAGTCCAAGTAAAATACCATGACTTGTTGTACAGTGTGATAGAATCTTGTCCAGAAAGGGTTATCCACGGCAATAGATTGTGTCCATTGTACAATGGACAGCCAAGTACAGTTAGAATGCAACAGCATTGTAGTCAGAGTCCCTGCTGTACAAGTTGGTCGACAACCCTGTTGGTCGCCATCAATTACAGTAAATGCTAAATGCACTTCCTGACTACATGACACATCGCTAAATGCACTCGTTAGCAATAGTAGTCATCCATCCATTCTCTACTACATGACGATTGACATAACATCTTCAACGATGATACTTGAGAAACTGCCAGTAATACAGCTCCAACCATCATATCCATGCAACCCGAGAACTACTTTCATTCTCTCCTTCAGGCTTACGTTGACAGGATTATATAGCTCAATATACGAGCAATGGACTCGTATCGTATGCTGAACAATTATACCATTGCACAGTACTACCGCAATCGATTATACATTATTCAACAACAGGCTATTCTACAAGTTCTCTCACAAAAACCATTCGTCGACGTTGGTAATTGAATAGACAGTCGGATACTAAAGACTTTTGCCAAATACGTCGCTATTTCAATCCGCTATTTATCTACCAGCGTTAGTTACACATTGATCAATCTCAAAATCCATAACTGTAAACTATTGCATTCAAGGACTACTGGCCCTGACGTAGTCCTCCTATCTTATCACACATAGCGCAAATGTAACAAGTCATCATTTGAACCAGTTATACTTTACCCTACTTTAGTAGCATACGCGTAGAAGAAACGCACACTATACTCTATGAATGGTCACAACCTCAAGGATCTCGCCTGCATCATACAGTACGATATCATTAACTGCATTCAATTACCGGTACTTGATAGCAATATTATCATAGCCATTACTCAATATTCACTCACTACATTGACGCTTTACATGGAGTACGGTAGTGATGCAAGTCAAATCTTACTTCCATACTACAATCTACGACTCCATTTGCTGCTATAGCTTTGTTAACAATGACTGGTATACTTGCATTTCTTGCGTCTTTCACTTGAATTAAAGAGAAACATGTTCATCGAAACTTTCCTAATATAAACGTAAGCCTAAGCGTATCGTTTTTACCAATCTTTCAAATAAATGCATTGATGATAATATTGTCAAGGTGACTTATTGACTACGACACTCCGCCGTTTTAGACACGCTTATGAAAGCGTCAACAATTCTTGGCAAACCCGTCTCTTGTTAATCTACTTGTATGGAAGGGGTATCAGCGCGATGTTGAATCAAGATCCACAATTTACAGTAGTAGATATCTACTCGATGAGTAAATGACAAAAGATATCAAAAGCTTCTCCTTTCACCCAGGAAAGGAATAAACTGTATCAAAAATATATCGTACACCACCTTGTAACCTCTAGGCGAAATTGATTACATGCATATCCATATTTCGCTGGCTATTAATTGACTACCTTCATGCAAATTGTCAAATAACCTTTAGTTTACATTAAATTAGAGTACTGTTATTAATGAATCTTATAAATATCAATAGGTGTATGATACCATTTTGAAAATTTATTATCCTTCATTATTTAATATTGCTATTGAAATATGAAATAGAAAAAGCCTCATTGAAGATGTCGTACAATGATAAGTTAAGGCTGATAGCATTTTGGAAACAAGTTGAATGTGGACCCTTCGATCATAAAACAGCACCTGAAATTGGCTACTTAGATGTCATCGGAAATGATAGGAGGTTCAATTCACCTACTATTCGATCGATTTGTCTTAACTAAACTATACTTACATTTCGATCCTTCATTATTTGGTTATTAATCGGTTGAATACCGACTTTTCTGTTAGGCAAGCATGGATAGCATTGGGTAGTACAAGTCAGGAAGAAGCGATGATAGGATTTTCTGATTTGTTATCTGGTGTCGCCCCAAAATTTGAAAAGTGGATGACAGGAATTGTTGAGAACGCCCGTCAGCAGCAAATGAAGCGTGCCGAATCAATAAGAATACGCCTGCAAGTGGAGCAAGAAGAAGAAAGACGACGTTTAGAAGAGGAAGCATTGCGTCAAAAAATGAAGCAGATCGAGTTAGAAAAGGCTCAGGCCCAAACTACAAGAGGTAACGAAGGAAATGTTCATCAAGATCCAATCGGTGAAAGTGTTCAAAATTTAAATGGAAACGCACAAACTACTACACAAACGTAAGTCTCACTTATTTAAATTATAATATTATCAATGATCAATGCATCAATAACTGTTTCAGTCTACTATACATTTAAATATGAAATTCTTTCAGTTAACAATTCTGAATTGCTGAGCTCTTTAGAGTAGATTACTTGTTATAATGGATTTCTAATACTTGAAAAAAAGAAAGGACAATACAATATAGCAGCCTTTAGTAATAAAGAAATACTTTAGAATGTTGCCTACTATAATCATTGAAGCACATGTTTATCCTTCTAGGCCATCCCCAGAGCTTAGCCATGTCAATGTACGTACTGATCCTTCTATAAAGTCCGAGCAATCAAATACAACTCCTGAAATACAAACAGCTGCAGCATCGCTTCCTCAACAAATGCAAGGCGTAGAAAACAAAATTACGAACCCTACACCAAGTCAACAACAAGTTAGCGATAAAATGTTATTATTGTATGACTTTGCAGTTTGTGTCGCATTTCCGTGTGCCATTACTTTTATATCAGCACAGAATGATTGATAGATGTAATTCAATAATTGATGTTAATTTAATTTTTAGTAATCGGTTATCAGAATTGGGAGATACTTTTTAAAGATACTAATATCTTAGGTAATGCGAATATTTAACAGTATTTCTGCTAATTATTGCGACAGAATGTCACAGTTCCAATTTCCGAAAAGACTGTAACTGAACTTAACAAAGGTGATGATGTTGACAATGCTGTCGAACCAAAGCATATAATGTTAAAGGATATACCGCAGCCTTCACTATGGACTAGACCCGCTGTTCATGAATTTATTAATCAACTCAAGGATGATGCTGGTATATTGGACTATTACTACTATTGTTCTGTTTAAGAATCACCTGATCACTTTGCATCTTGCTATAAATCTCACATGCTGTATTAGTTATCGCAATCATAACATTGTTTTGGATGACTTACTCATTATTTAAATAATGAAATTTCAGAATCCAAGCTGGTTGTATCAAGAGGAGAAACCATCACAATTCGCGTTCCTACCAACCCGGAAGGAGCAAAATTATATTGGGAATTCGCTACAGACTATTACGACATTGGATTTGGAGTAAGTTTTGAGTTTTCGGATCCAGGCTATATGCCCGTATTTGAAACGGACACTGGCGCTAATATGGTAAGTTATATCTATATTCAGTATAACTTTAAATTAGAATAACGTTGACTTGTTATAATGCCACTCATTAAATTAACAGGAGTATGGAGATGATGATGAATACGACAGCGAAGACGAAGAAGGTTATAGAGGTAGCGGGGACGAAGATGATATAGAACTGGCCGGTGTAAGTGGAACTAAGAGGACGCCAGTCATCACAATTATTCCAGTGGATAGAAGAAACTCTCATCAAAACGTTATTGTTGGTACACATGCGTATCCCTCTCCGGGCGTTTACTTATTGAAATTCGATAATTCTTACTCCCTATTCAGATCTAAAACGTTATATTATAAAGTTTATTACAATTAAAATTAATTATTGTGTTCCTTTCGATTTTTCGATTTGCTATGCAACCAAGGTTGAATTGTTTTAAAGTGCTCTTATATATGACATGGTAATAGTAATAGCTCGTGATCTTGAAATTAATATTACGAAGGCAGCTTTATAAAATGCTACAGATAAACTTTCTAATAGATAATTTGTACTGTATAATTATTATTATCTTATGTTACTGTACAGTTTGACAAGATCATTATATAATGCCTTTACCCCTAAACTGTTTACGTACCTATGTATACGTTACCAAATATATATGATAATGCGGATAACGAATAGATGGTAATACCAGTGACGGTTATGCTTTT